CAAACTCAATTTCAACAAACGCCACAAACTCAAGTTCAAACAAGAAACAAACTCAAGTTAAAAAAAAACAGAAACTCAAGTTCAAACACAACACAAACTCACGTTCAACAAACACCACAAACTAAATTTCCAACATGATACAAACTCAAGTTCAACAAACACACTAACTGAAGTTCATCCAACACCTGATTCTCAAGTTTCAAAATTTCAACAAACTCAAGTTCAAAAACACCACAAACTCAAGTTCAAACACAACACAAAATCAAGTTAAACAAACACACAAACTCAAGTTAAAACACGACACAAACTCAAGTTCAAAAACACCACAAACTCAAGTTCAAACACAAACTCAAGTTCAACAAACACACAAAATCAAGTTAAAAAACACCCCAAACTCAAGTTCGAACTTGACACAAACTCAAGTTCAACAAACACACAAACTCAAGTTAAACCAATACCCAATTCTCAAGTTTAACAAATTCCACACCCTCAAGTTCAAAAACACCAGAAAACTCAAGTTCAAAAACACCACAAACTCAAGTTCAGACACGACACAAACTCAAGTTCAACAAACGCCACAAACTCAAGTTCAAACACGACACAAATTCAAGTTCAAAAACAACAGAAACTCAAGTTCAACAAACGCCACAAACTCAAGTTCAAACACAACACAAACTCAAGTTAAACAAACACACAAACTCAAGTTAAAACACGACACAAACTCAAGTTCAAAAACACCACAAACTCAAGTTCAAACACAAACTCAAGTTCAACAAACACACAAAATCAAGTTAAAAAACACCACAAACTCAAGTTCAAACTCGACACAAACTCAAGTTCAACAAACACACAAACTCAAGTTCAACCAACACCTGATTCAAAGGTTTAACAATTTCCAATACCTCAAGTTCAAGAACAACAGAAACTCAAGTTCAAAAACACCACAAACTCAAGTTCAAACACGACACAAACTCTAGTTAAAAACACAAAAAAATCAAGTTCAACCAATACCCAATTCTCAAGTTTAACAATTTCCACAACCTCAAGTTCAAAAACACCACAAACTCAAGTTCAAACACGACACAAACTGAAGTTCAACAGTTGCCAAAAATTCAAGTTCAAACACAAAACAAATTCAAGTTCAAAATCACCACAAACTCAAGTTCAAAAACCCCATTTACTCAAGTTCAAACACAACACAAACTCAATTTCAACAAACGCCACAAACTCAAGTTCAAACAAGAAACAAACTCAAGTTCAATAAAACCACAAACTCAAGTTAAAAAACACAAACTCACGTTCAACAAACACCACAAACTAAATTTCCAACATGATACAAACTCAAGTTAAAAAAAAGCAGAAAACTCAAGTTCATAAACACCACAAACTCAAGATCAGACACGACACAAACTCAAGTTCAACAAACGCCACAAACTCAAGTTCAAACACGACACAAATTCAAGTTCAAAAACAACAGAAACTCAAGTTCAACAAACGCCACAAACTCAAGTTCAAACACAACACAAACTCAAGTTAAACAAACACACAAACTCAAGTTAAAACACGACACAAACTCAAGTTCAAAAATACTACAAACTCAAGTTCAAACACAACTCAAGTTCAACAAACACAAAATCAAGTTAAAAAACACCACAAACTCAAGTTCAACAACAACACAAACTCAAGTTCAACCAATACCCAATTCTCAAGATTAACAAATTCCACACCCTCAAGTTCAAAAACACCAAGAACTCAAGTTCAACAAACACCACAAACTCAAGTTCAAACACGACACAAATTCAAGTTCAAAAACAACAGAAACTCAAGTTCAAAAACCCCACAAACTCAAGTTCAAACATAACACAAAATCAAGTTAAACAAACACACAAACTCAAGTTAAAACGACACAAACTCAAGTTCAAAAACACCACAAACTCAAGTTCAAACACAAAATCAAGTTCAAAAACACCACAAACTCAAGTTCAAAAACACCACAAACTCAAGTTCAGACACGACACAAACTCAAGTTCAACAAACGCCACAAACTCAAGTTCAAACACGACACAAATTCAAGTTCAAAAACAACAGAAACTCAAGTTCAACAAACGCCACAAACTCAAGTTCAAACACGAAACAAACTCAAGTTCAAAAACACCACAAACTCAAGTTCAACCAAAACCCAATTCTCAAGTTTAACAAATTCCACACCCTCAAGTTAAAAAAACCCACTTCAAGTTCAAAAAACAACAGATACTCAAGTTCAAAAAACACAAAAACTCAAGGTCACCAAACACACCCTCAAGTTCAAAAACCCCAAGAACTCAAGTTCAACAAACGCCACAAACTCAAGTTCAAACACGACAAAAATTCAAGTTCAAAAACAACAGAAACTCAAGTTCAACAAATGCCACAAACTCAAGTTCAAAAACACCACAAACTCAAGTTCAAAAACCCCACAAACTCAAGTTCAAACATAACACAAAATCAAGTTAAACAAACACACAAACTCAAGTTAAAACGACACAAACTCAAGTTCAAAAACACCACAAACTCAAGTTCAAACACAAAATCAAGTTCAAAAACACCACAAACTCAAGTTCAAAAACACCACAAACTCAAGTTCAGACACGACACAAACTCAAGTTCAACAAACGCCACAAACTCAAGTTCAAACACGACACAAATTCAAGTTCAAAAACAACAGAAACTCAAGTTCAAACACGAAACAAACTCAAGTTCAAAAACACCACAAACTCAAGTTCAACCAAAACCCAATTCTCAAGTTTAACAAATTCCACACCCTCAAGTTAAAAAAAACCACAACTTCAAGTTCAAAAAACAACAGATACTCAAGTTCAAAAAACACACAAACTCAAGGTCACCAAACACGCACCTCAAGTTCAAAAACACCACAAACTCAGGTTCAAACACTACACAAACCTAATTTAAAAAACACAAAAACGCAAGTTCAACCAAAACCCAATTCTCAAGTTTAACAAATTCCACACCCTCAAGTTCAAAAACACCACAAACTCAAGTTCAACAAATGCCACAAACTCAAGTTCAAACACGACACAAATTCAAGTTCAAAAACAACAGAAACTCAAGTTCAACAAACGCCACAACCTCAAGTTCAAAAACACCACAAACTCAAGTTCAGAAACACCACAAACTCAAGTTCAAAAACGCCACAAACTCAAGTTCAAACACGTCACAAACTCAAGTTCAAAATCACCACAAACTCAAGATCGAACACAACACAAACTCAAGTTCAACAAACACACAAACTCAAGTTCAAAAACACCACAAACTCAAGTTCAAACACAACACAAACTCAAGTTCAACCAACACACAAATTCAAATTCAAAAACATCACAAACTCAAGTTAAAACACAAACCAAACTCACATTCAAACACGACACAAACTCAAGTTCAACCAATACCCAATTCTCAAGATTAACAATTTCAACAACCTCAAGTTCAAAAACACCACAAACTCAAGTTCAACAAACACACAAACTCAAATTCAACCAACACCTGATTCTCAAGTTTAACAATTTCCACAACCTCAAGTTCAAAAACAACAGAAACCTAAGTTCAAAAAACACAAAAACTCAAGTTAACCAAACACGCAGATTCAGGTTCAAAAACACCACAAACTCAAGTTCAAACACGAAACAAACTCAAGTTCAAAAACCACACAAACTCAAGTTCAAAAAACACACAAACTCAAGTTCAAACACGACACAAACTCAAGTTCAAAAACACCACAAACTCAAGTTCAAACACAAAATCAAGTTCAAAAACACCACAAACTCAAGTTCAAAAACACCACAAACTCAAGTTCAGACACGACACAAACTCAAGTTCAACAAACGCCACAAACTCAAGTTCAAACACGACACAAATTCAAGTTCAAAAACAACAGAAACTCAAGTTCAAACACGAAACAAACTCAAGTTCAAAAACACCACAAACTCAAGTTCAACCAAAACCCAATTCTCAAGTTTAACAAATTCCACACCCTCAAGTTAAAAAAAACCACAACTTCAAGTTCAAAAAACAACAGATACTCAAGTTCAAAAAACACACAAACTCAAGGTCACCAAACACGCACCTCAAGTTCAAAAACACCACAAACTCAGGTTCAAACACTACACAAACCTAATTTAAAAAACACAAAAACGCAAGTTCAACCAAAACCCAATTCTCAAGTTTAACAAATTCCACACCCTCAAGTTCAAAAACACCACAAACTCAAGTTCAACAAATGCCACAAACTCAAGTTCAAACACGACACAAATTCAAGTTCAAAAACAACAGAAACTAAAGTTCAACAAACGCCACAAACTCAAGTTCAAAAACACCACAAACTCAAGTTCAGAAACAACTCAAACTCAAGTTCAAAAACGCCACAAACTCAAGTTCAAACACGTCACAAACTCAAGTTCAAAATCACCACAAACTCAAGATCGAACACAACACAAACTCAAGTTCAACAAACACACAAACTCAAGTTCAAAAACACCACAAACTCAAGTTCAAACACAACACAAACTCAAGTTCAACCAACACACAAATTCAAATTCAAAAACATCACAAACTCAAGTTAAAACACAAACCAAACTCACATTCAAACACGATACAAACTCAAGTTCAACCAATACCCAATTCTCAAGATTAACAATTTCAACAACCTCAAGTTCAAAAACACCACAAACTCAAGTTCAACAAACACACAAACTCAAATTCAACCAACACCTGATTCTCAAGTTTAACAATTTCCACAACCTCAAGTTCAAAAACAACAGAAACCTAAGTTCAAAAAACACAAAAACTCAAGTTAACCAAACACGCAGATTCAGGTTCAAAAACACCACAAACTCAAGTTCAAACACGAAACAAACTCAAGTTCAAAAACCACACAAACTCAAGTTCAAAAAACACACAAACTCAAGTTCAAACACGACACAAACTCAAGTTCAACAAAAACCACAAACTCAAGTTCAAACACGACACAAAATCAAGCTCAACAAACGCCACAAACTAAAGTTCAAACACGACACAAACTCAAGTTCAACAAACACACTAACTCAAGTTCAAAAACACCACAATCTCAAGTTCAAACACAAAACAAACTCAAGTTCAACGAACACAAAAACTCAAGTTCAAAAACACCAAACTCATGGTCAAACACGCTACAAACTCAAGTTCAAACACCACACAAACTCAAGTTCAAACACCACAAACTCAAGTTCAAAAAACGCAACAAACTCAAGTTCAACCAACACATAAACTCAAATTCAAAAACACCACAAACTCAAGTTCAAACACAACACAAACTCAAGTTCAACCAACACACAAACTCAAGTTCAAAAACATCACAAACTCAAGTTAAAACACGAACCAAACTCACATTCAAACACGACACAAACTCAAGGTCACCAAACACGCACCTCAAGTTCAAAAACACCACAAACTCAGGTTCAAACACTACACAAACCTAATTTAAAAAACACAAAAACGCAAGTTCAACCAAAACCCAATTCTCAAGTTTAACAAATTCCACACCCTCAAGTTCAAAAACCACACAAACTCAAGTTCAAAAAACACACAAACTCAAGTTCAAACACGACACAAACTCAAGTTCAACAAAAACCACAAACTCAAGTTCAAACACGACACAAAATCAAGCTCAACAAACGCCACAAACTAAAGTTCAAACACGACACAAACTCAAGTTCAACAAACACACTAACTCAAGTTCAAAAACACCACAATCTCAAGTTCAAACACAAAACAAACTCAAGTTCAACGAACACAAAAACTCAAGTTCAAAAACACCAAACTCATGGTCAAACACGCTACAAACTCAAGTTCAAACACCACACAAACTCAAGTTCAAACACCACAAACTCAAGTTCAAAAAACGCAACAAACTCAAGTTCAACCAACACACAAACTCAAATTCAAAAACACCACAAACTCAAGTTCAAACACAACACAAACTCAAGTTCAACCAACACACAAACTCAAATTCAAAAACATCACAAACTCAAGTTAAAACACGAACCAAACTCACATTCAAACACGACACAAACTCAAGGTCACCAAACACGCACCTCAAGTTCAAAAACACCACAAACTCAGGTTCAAACACTACACAAACCTAATTTAAAAAACACAAAAACGCAAGTTCAACCAAAACCCAATTCTCAAGTTTAACAAATTCCACACCCTCAAGTTCAAAAACACCACAAACTCAAGTTCAACAAATGCCACAAACTCAAGTTCAAACACGACACAAATTCAAGTTCAAAAACAACAGAAACTAAAGTTCAACAAACGCCACAAACTCAAGTTCAAAAACACCACAAACTCAAGTTCAGAAACACCACAAACTCAAGTTCAAAAACGCCACAAACTCAAGTTCAAACACGTCACAAACTCAAGTTCAAAATCACCACAAACTCAAGATCGAACACAACACAAACTCAAGTTCAACAAACACACAAACTCAAGTTCAAAAACACCACAAACTCAAGTTCAAACACAACACAAACTCAAGTTCAACCAACACACAAACTCAAATTCAAAAACATCACAAACTCAAGTTAAAACACAAACCAAACTCACATTCAAACACGACACAAACTCAAGTTCAACCAATACCCAATTCTCAAGATTAACAATTTCAACAACCTCAAGTTCAAAAACACCACAAACTCAAGTTCAACAAACACACAAACTCAAATTCAACCAACACCTGATTCTCAAGTTTAACAATTTCCACAACCTCAAGTTCAAAAACAACAGAAACCAAAGTTCAAAAAACACAAAAACTCAAGTTAACCAAACACGCAAATTCAAGTTCAAAAACACCACAAACTCAAGTTCAAACACGAAACAAACTCAAGTTCAAAAACCACACAAACTCAAGTTCAAAAAACACACAAACTCAAGTTCAAACACGACACAAACTCAAGTTCAAACACAACACAAACTCAAGTTCAACCAACACACAAACTCAAATTCAAAAACATCACAAACTCAAGTTAAAACACAAACCAAACTCACATTCAAACACGACACAAACTCAAGTTCAACCAATACCCAATTCTCAAGATTAACAATTTCAACAACCTCAAGTTCAAAAACACCACAAACTCAAGTTCAACAAACACACAAACTCAAATTCAACCAACACCTGATTCTCAAGTTTAACAATTTCCACAACCTCAAGTTCAAAAACAACAGAAACCTAAGTTCAAAAAACACAAAAACTCAAGTTAACCAAACACGCAAATTCAAGTTCAAAAACACCACAAACTCAAGTTCAAACACGAAACAAACTCAAGTTCAAAAACCACACAAACTCAAGTTCAAAAAACACACAAACTCAAGTTCAAACACGACACAAACTCAAGTTCAAACACCACACAAACTCAAGTTCAAAATCACCACAAACTCAAGATCGAACACAACACAAACTCAAGTTCAACAAACACACAAACTCAAGTTCAAAAACACCACAAACTCAAGTTCAAACACAACACAAACTCAAGTTCAACCAACACACAAATTCAAATTCAAAAACATCACAAACTCAAGTTAAAACACGAACCAAACTCACATTCAAACACGACACAAACTCAAGTTCAACCAATACCCAATTCTCAAGATTAACAATTTCAACAACCTCAAGTTCAAAAACACCACAAACTCAAGTTCAACAAACACACAAACTCAAATTCAACCAACACCTGATTCTCAAGTTTAACAATTTCCACAACCTCAAGTTCAAAAACAACAGAAACCTAAGTTCAAAAAACACAAAAACTCAAGTTAACCAAACACGCAGATTCAGGTTCAAAAACACCACAAACTCAAGTTCAAACACGAAACAAACTCAAGTTCAAAAACCACACAAACTCAAGTTCAAAAAACACACAAACTCAAGTTCAAACACGACACAAACTCAAGTTCAACAAAAACCACAAACTCAAGTTCAAACACGACACAAAATCAAGCTCAACAAACGCCACAAACTAAAGTTCAAACACGACACAAACTCAAGTTCAACAAACACACAAACTCAAGTTCAAAAACACCACAAATCTCAAGTTCAAACACAAAACAAACTCAAGTTCAACGAACACAAAAACTCAAGTTCAAAAACACCAAACTAATGGTCAAACACGCTACAAACTCAAGTTCAAACACCACACAAACTCAAGTTCAAACACCACAAACTCAAGTTCAAAAAACGCAACAAACTCAAGTTCAACCAACACACAAACTCAAGTTCAAAAACACCACAAACTCAAGTTCAAACACAACACAAACTCAAGTTCAACCAACACACAAACTCAAATTCAAAAACATCACAAACTCAAGTTAAAACACGAACCAAACTCACATTCAAACACGACACAAACTCAAGGTCACCAAACACGCACCTCAAGTTCAAAAACACAACAAACTCAGGTTCAAACACTACACAAACCTAATTTAAAAAACACAAAAACGCAAGTTCAACCAAAACCCAATTCTCAAGTTTAACAAATTCCACACCGTCAAGTTCAAAAACACCACAAACTCAAGTTCAACAAATGCCACAAACTCAAGTTCAAACACGACACAAATTCAAGTTCAAAAACAACAGAAACTAAAGTTCAACAAACGCCACAAACTCAAGTTCAAAAACACCACAAACTCAAGTTCAGAAACACCACAAACTCAAGTTCAAAAACGCCACAAACTCAAGTTCAAACACGTCACAAACTCAAGTTCAAAATCACCACAAACTCAAGATCGAACACAACACAAACTCAAGTTCAACAAACACACAAACTCAAGTTCAAAAACACCACAAACTCAAGTTCAAACACAACACAAACTCAAGTTCAACCAACACACAAACTCAAATTCAAAAACATCACAAACTCAAGTTAAAACACAAACCAAACTCACATTCAAACACGACACAAACTCAAGTTCAACCAATACCCAATTCTCAAGATTAACAATTTCAACAACCTCAAGTTCAAAAACACCACAAACTCAAGTTCAACAAACACACAAACTCAAATTCAACCAACACCTGATTCTCAAGTTTAACAATTTCCACAACCTCAAGTTCAAAAACAACAGAAACCTAAGTTCAAAAAACACAAAAACTCAAGTTAACCAAACACGCAAATTCAAGTTCAAAAACACCACAAACTCAAGTTCAAACACGAAACAAACTCAAGTTCAAAAACCACACAAACTCAAGTTCAAAAAACACACAAACTCAAGTTCAAACACGACACAAACTCAAGTTCAAACACCACACAAACTCAAGTTCAACAAACACCACAAACTCAAGTTCAAAAAACGCAACAAACTCAAGTTCAAACATGAAACCACCTCAAGTTAAAAAACACCACAAACTCAAGTTCAAACACGACACGAACTCAAGTTCAACCAACACACAAACTCAAATTCAAAAACATCACAAACTCAAGTTCAAACACAACACAAACTCAAGTTCAACCAACACACAAACTCAAATTCAAAAACATCACAAACTCAAGTTAAAACACGAACCAAACTCAAGTTCAATAAAATCACAAACTAAAGTTCAACCAATACCCAATTCTCAAGTTTAAAAATTTCAACAACCTCAAGTTCAAAAACATCACAAATTCAAGTTCAACAAACACACAAACTCAAGTTCAACCAACACCTAATTCTTAAGTTTAACAATTTCCACAACCTCAAGTTCAAAAACAACAGAAACCTAAGTTCAACCAACACCTGAGTCTCAAGTTTAACAATTTCCACAACCTCAAGTTCAAAAACAACAGAAACCTAAGTTCAAAAAACACAAAAACCCAAGTTAACCAAACATGCAAATTCAAGTTCAAAAACACCACAAACTCAAGTTCAAACATGACACAAACTCAAATTCAACAAACGCCACAAACTCAAGTTCAAACACGAAACAAACTCAAGTTCAAAAACCACACAAACTCAAGTTCAAAAAACACTCAAACTCAATTCAAACACGACACAAACTCAAGTTCAAAAACCACACAAACTCAAGTTCAAAAAACACTCAAACTCAAGTTCAAACACGACACAAACTCAAGTTCAACAAAAACCACAAACTCAAGTTCAAACACGACACAAAATCAAGCTCAACAAACGCCACAAACTAAAGTTCAAACACAACACAAACTCAAGTTCAACAAACACACTAACTCAAGTTCAAAAACACCACAATCTCAAGTTCAAACACGAAACAAACTCAAGTTCAACAAACACAAAAACTCAAGGTCAAAAACACCACAACCTCAAGTTCAAAAACAATAGAAACTCAAGTTCAAAGAACACAAACTCAAGTTCACCAAACACGCAACTCAAATTAAACACAACACAAACTCAAGTTCAACACACACACAAACTTAAGTTCAAAAATGACACAAACTCAAGTTCAACCAAAATCTGATTCTCAAGTTTAACAATTTCCACAACCTCAAGTTCAAAAACAGAAACTCAAGTTCAACCAACACCTGATTCTCAAGTTTAAATTTTTTTCCAGAACCTCAAGTTCAAAAACAACAGAAATTCAAGTTCAAAAAACACAAAAACTCAAGTTCACCAAACACGCAACTCAAGTTCAACCAACACCTGATTCTCAAGTTTAAATTTTTTTCCAGAACCTCAAGTTCAAAAACAACAGAAATTCAAGTTCAAAAAACACAAAAACTCAAGTTCACCAAACACGCAACTCAAGTTCAACCAACACCTGATTCTCAACTTTAACAATTTCCACAACCTCAAGTTCAAAAACAACAGAAATTCAAGTTCAACCAAAACCTGATTCTCATGTTTAACAATTCAACGACCTCAAGTTCAAAAACAACAGACTAGAGTTCAAACACGACACAAACTGAAGTTCAACAATTGCCACAAACTCAAGTTCAACAAACTTAAGTTCAAAAAACACCACAAACTCAAGTTCAAACACTACAAACTCAAGTTCAAACACGACAAAAAACTCAAGTTCAACAAACACACTAACTCAAGTTCAACCAACACCTGAATCTCAAGTTTAACAATTTCCACAACCTCAAGTTCAAACACGACACAAACTCAAGTTCAAACACAACACAAACTCAAGTTCAACAAACACACAAACTCAAATTCAAAAACGACACAATCTCAAGTTAAAACACAATACAAACTCAAGTTCAAAACACACAAAAACTCAAGTTAACCAAACACGCAAATTCAAGTTCAAAAACACCACAAACTCAAGTTCAAACATGACACAAACTCAAATTCAACAAAAACCACAAACTCAAGTTCAACAAACACCACAAACTCAAGTTCAACAAACGCAACAAACTCAAGTTCAAACATGAAACCACCTCAAGTTAAAAACACCACAAACTCACGTTCAAACACGACACAAACTCAAGTTCAACAAACACAATAACTCAAGTTCAACCAATTTCCGAATCTCAAGTTTAAAAATTGCCACAACCTTAAGTTCAAAAACACCACAAAATCAAGTTCAAACACGAAACAAACTCAAGTTCAACAAACACAAAAACTCAAGGTCAAAAACACCACAACCTCAAGTTCAAAAACAATAGAAACTCAAGTTCAAAGAACACAAACTCAAGTTCACCAAACACGCAACTCAAATTAAACACAACACAAACTCAAGTTCAACACACACACAAACTTAAGTTCAAAAATGACACAAACTCAAGTTCAACCAAAATCTGATTCTCAAGTTTAACAATTTCCACAACCTCAAGTTCAAAAACAACAGAAACCTAAGTTCAACCAACACCTGAGTCTCAAGTTTAACAATTTCCACAACCTCAAGTTCAAAAACAACAGAAACCTAAGTTCAAAAAACACAAAAACCCAAGTTAACCAAACATGCAAATTCAAGTTCAAAAACACCACAAACTCAAGTTCAAACATGGTTAACACAAACTCAAATTCAACAAACGCCACAAACTCAAGTTCAAACACGAAACAAACTCAAGTTCAAAAACCACACAAACTCAAGTTCAAAAAACACTCAAACTCAATTCAAACACGACACAAACTCAAGTTCAAAAACCACACAAACTCAAGTTCAAAAAACACTCAAACTCAAGTTCAAACACGACACAAACTCAAGTTCAACAAAAACCACAAACTCAAGTTCAAACACACACAAACTCAAGTTCAACAAACGCCACAAACTAAAGTTCAAACACAACACAAACTCAAGTTCAACAAACACACTAAATCAAGTTCAAAAACACCACAATCTCAAGTTCAAACACGAAACAAACTCAAGTTCAACAAACACAAAAACTCAAGGTCAAAAACACCACAACCTCAAGTTCAAAAACAATAGAAACTCAAGTTCAACCAAAACCTGATTCTCATGTTTAACAATTCAACGACCTCAAGTTCAAAAACAACAGACTAGAGTTCAAACACGACACAAACTGAAGTTCAACAATTGCCACAAACTCAAGTTCAACAAACTTAAGTTCAAAAAACATCACAAACTCAAGTTCAAAACACCACAAACTCAAGTTCAAACACGACAAAAAACTCAAGTTCAACAAACACACTAACTCAAGTTCAACCAACACCTGAATCTCAAGTTTAACAATTTCCACAACCTCAAGTTCAAACATGACACAAACTCAAGTTCAAACACAACACAAACTCAAGTTCAACAAACACACAAACTCAAGTTCAAAAACGACACAATCTCAAGTTAAAACACGATACAAACTCAAGTTCAAAACACACAAAAACTCAAGTTAACCAAACACGCAAATTCAAGTTCAAAAACACCACAAACTCAAGTTCAAACATGACACAAACTCAAATTCAACAAACGCCACAAACTCAAGTTCAAACACGAAAAAAACTCAAGTTCAAAAAACACACAAACTCAAGTTCAAACACGACACAAACTCAAGTTCAACAAAAACCACAAACTCAAGTTCAACAAACACCACAAACTCAAGTTCAACAAACGCAACAAACTCAAGTTCAAACATGAAACCACCTCAAGTTAAAAACACCACAAACTCACGTTCAAACACGACACAAACTCAAGTTCAACAAACACAAAAACTCAAGTTCAACCAATTTCCAAATCTCAAGTTTAAAAATTGCCACAACCTTAAGTTCAAAAACACCACAAAATCAAGTTCAAACACGAAACAAACTCAAGTTCAACAAACACAAAAACTCAAGGTCAAAAACACCACAACCTCAAGTTCAAAAACAATAGAAACTCAAGTTCAAAGAACACAAACTCAAGTTCAAACCAAACACGCAACTCAAATTAAACACAACACAAACTCAAGTTCAAACACGACACGAACTCAAGTTCAAACACGAAACAAACTTAAGTTCAAAAACACCACAAACTCAAGTTCAAACACAACACAAACTCAAGTTCAACAACACACAAACTCAAATTCAAAAACATCACAAACTCAAGTTAAAACACGAACCAAACTCAAGTTCAATAAAATCACAAACTCAAGTTCAACCAGCACCTGATTCTCAAGTTTAACAATTTCCACAACCTCAAGTTCAAAAACAAAAAAAACTCAAGTTCAAAGACAATACAAACTCAAGTTCACCAAACACGCAACTCAAGTTCAACCAACACCTGATTCTCAAGTTTAACCATTTCCACAACCTCAAGTTCAAAAAACACACAAACTCAAGTTCACCAAACACGCAACTTAAGTTCAAACACAACAGAAACTCAGGTTCAACAAACACAAAAACTCAAGGTCAAAAACACCACAAACTCAAGTTCAAACACGACAAAAAACTCAAGTTCAACAAACAGACTAACTCAAGTTCAAACACCTGATTCTCAAGTTTAACAATTTCCACAACCTCAAGTTCAAAAACAACAGAAACTCAAGTTCAAAAAACACACAAACTCAAGTTCACCAAACATGCAACTCAAGTTCAAACACAACACAAACTCAAGTTCAAAAAAATTCAAACTCAAGTTCAAAAACGACACAAACTCAAGTTCAAAGACGACACAAACTCAAGTTCAACAAACAAACAAACTTAAGTTCACCAAACATGCAAACTCAAGTTCAAAAACACCACAAACTCAAGATCAAATATGACACAAACTCAAGTTCAAAAACAACAAAAATTCAACAAGTTCAACAATTGACAGAAAACTTAAGTTCAAAAAACACACAAACTCTAGTTCAAAAACACCACAAACTCAAGTTCAAACATGACAAAGTCAAGTTCAACCAACACTCAAATCTCAAATTAAACAATATCCAAAACCGCAAGTTCAAAAACAACAGAAACTCAAGTTCAAACACGCCACAAACTCAAGTTCAACAAACACACAATCCTCAAGTTCAACAATTGCCACAACCTAAAGTTCAGAAACACCCCCAACTCAAGTTCAAACAAGACACAAAATCAAGTACAACAAACGCTACAAACTAAAGTTCAGTGAAAAATACAGACTCAAGTTCAACAATTGCCACAAACTCAAGTTCAACAAATGACCTAAACTCACATTTAACAACTGCCAAAAACTCAAGTTCAACAAACTCAAGTTCAAAAATTGCCACAAACTCAAGTTCAAAAACACACAAACTCAAGTTAAAAAAATGCTGAAACTGAATTCAACGAACACCACAAACCCAAGATCAACAAATTCCAAAGTTTGAAGTTCAACCAACACCCAAATATCAAGTCTAACAATTGCCACAACCTCAAGTTCAACAAACACACAAACCCAAGTTCAAAAACACCACAAACTCAAGTTCTTAACAACACAAACTCATGTTCAAAAAACACACAAGTTCAAGTTCAAAAAACACACAAACTCAAGTTCAAACATGAAACAAAGTCAAGTTCAACCAAATCCCATATCTCAAGTTCAACAATTTCCACAACTTCAAGTTCAAAAACAACAGAAACTCAAGTTAAAACACGCCACAAACTCAAGTTCAACAAAGACACAAACTCAAGTTCAAAAACACCACAAACCCAAGTTCAACCAACACCCAAATCTCAAGTTTAACAATTGCCACAAAACTAAGTTAAAAAACCATACAAACTCAAGTTCAAAAACACCACAAACTCAAGTTCAAACATGACACAAACTCAAGTTCAACCAACACCCAAATCTCAAGTTCAACAATTGCCACAACCTCAAGTTCAAAAACAACAGAAACTCAAGTTAAAACACGCCACAAACTCAAGTTCAACAAAGACACAAACTCAAGTTCAAAAACACCACAAACCCAAGCTCAACCAACACCCAAATCTCAAGTTTAACAATTGCCACAAAACTAAGTTAAAAAACCACACATACTCAAGTTCAAAAACACCACAAACTCAAGTTCAAACATGACACAAACTCAAGTTCAACCAACACCCAAATCTCAAGTTTAACAATTGCCACAACCTCAAGTTCAAAAACAACAGAAACTCAAGTTCAAACACGAGACAAACTGAAGTTCAACAAACACACAAACTCAAGTTCAATCAATACCCAATTCTCAAGTTTAACAATTTCCACAACCTCAAGTTCAAACTCAAGTTCAAAAATTGCAAAAAAATCAAGTTCAAATACGACACAAACTCAAGTTCAACCAACACCCAAATCTCAAGTTTAACATTTGCCAAAACCTCAAGTTCAAAAACAACACAAACTCAAGTTCAAACACGCCTAAAACTCAAGTTCAACAAACACACAAACTCAAGTTCAAAAACACCACAAATTCAAGTTCAAACATGTCACAAACTCAAGTTCAACAAACACAGAAACTCAAGTCAACCAATACCCAAATATGAAGCTTAGCGTTAAGGGGTGTTCAGACCAAACGCGACTTCGGTGACGTCGGCGATGGCTCCCAATGCAAAGTCTATGGACAGCCGCGACCTGACGCGACTTGGCGACCGCTGGCTACCTGCGTCGCGTTGCCGAAGTTGCGTTTCCGAGGTCGCAGGACGCCAAGTCTCGTCGCTCCCAAAGTTCAAATATTTGAACTGGGCTGCGGGATGTATATATGAGGGAGAAAAGGAGGGAGATGGAAGGTAGGAGAAGCGGGTCAGCAGCGACCAGCCGTGTCCTGCGACCGCAGCTTTGGACCCGGTGTGAACACACCAGAGCGCCACGCGACGCGACCTGGTCGCGGCTGCAATTACACCTAATCCGCGGAGCCAAATCCTTGCAGGTACTGACATTAGTCTTGCTGTGCTCAGACTACAATGATAGACGCATTGTGGATTGCGGAGATGAGCCTGTGATGCTTAAATATCGTGATGCCCGGCTGTTTAAATCTCCGACCTTGGCTGAATTCATAGCTTTCAGCGTATTTGTAGATGTCATATGTAAATTGTTTTCAGCACGCAGAACTGAACTGGACACATATCTTGCCATTATTTCTGATTCAGCCATGACATAGGGAGGATCATTATTCTAGGAACATTACAAATCATTTTCAGCAAAGCTGCTAAGTACATTCAAAGATTCAGCCAAAGACTTGATCAGTCCGTAGTCGACCTGGCTCTAATCAGTTAACAATTCACCGAGCATCAAGCTTTTTCCTGCTTAATCTGCGGGTGTTTCTCTCACCTGGAGGTGAAAGTAAGCCATTACGCAGCAGTACGCCATTTCGGGAAGACATAATCAGCTGTTTAAAGTTTTCACCCCTGTCATGTATCTAGGCTTAGTCTGTTGCTGCACATCAGTCTGCACTCTGCGTTATAACCGAAGTAATCCAATAGGACCATGCCGCTTGAGAGTGAGTGGTATTTGCTTACAAATAAACTCCAAGTGGGAGCACCAGTGCGCACTTTTGATTGGACGCTGGTTGCCTAGGTGCAGGGGCCCGCCTTCCGCCTTTTGCGGAAGGAGGGAACTTTTAAAGAGTCAGCTGCTTCAATCTTAATGCAGAAATAAGACAAAATGCAGAGGAAAATAATAATAATAATAATAATAATAATAATAATAATAATAATAATAATTTTATGTTTAAGAGAGAGATACAGCAGATGATGATACTGTGGCATCGGAGTCAGCAACTCGCTTAACTTGGGTGTGCTCCTCTTGTACAAAGTCTACGGGTACAGTACCTGGAGGAACCTTATCCTACCTTGTCCACCCCTGCCCACACCTCTAATCGGTGCCCTAAAACTGTGGCTACAGGCCAACCACCCAAGCCTCTCTAAGCCTACTACTCGGAGAAGCCAAGTTACTCCAGGGACGGGCATCTGAAATCAGCATGCCCATGACGCACCCACCTGGTAAAACGGGAAAAAACAAAGCTGTCTACTCTGTCAAATGTCCTTGAGCCGGGGAAGGCACTGGCAAAGCATCCCAACGGCTGTTCGTGAAGCCATTCATTCAGACTGTGTTAGTCTGAGTGCAGCCTTGCAATCCTTAGTGCTCTCTGTTGACAGCTACTTGAGAGCTGGTTAAGCAAAATCAGCATTAAAGTTTATACGATTCTGCATGGTCTCACTTTACCTCTTTTGTACCACCTTCTCTGTAGCCCCAACGCCCTAAATATATCCATTGTATGTGCTTTAATAGTCCACAGTTTTGAATCTCGCACTTTTTTTTTTTCTAATATTTCCAAAACTAACTCTGTCTTTGTTCTTTATCCTCCATGTCCCGCTGCCTGAGAGGCCGGCCACTGGCCAGCCAGCAAGAGTCTCTCTTTGCCACTGAAGAAGGGAAACCTATATCCAGATTGCAGCTTTCTGCTCACCTCTGCCTGCTCGGCCAATCCTGTTGGCTCCTACCTGAGTACAACTCTACGCATTCACCACGCATAGGCACAGCTACAACTGCATCTTCCATCGTCCCCGTCTCGACGCTCAGGGCCACGGGTCAATGGTCCCGATCAGCCTTTGAATGATACCTCAGGCCCAAGGCTAATATATTATTATTATTAGAATATTCCTATGCTCGATTAGCTACAAAAAAAAAATTGCTGCTGCTCCTTAATTCTTTCCCATATCTATTGCATTACGCATATTCCCAACTATAAATTTGTGTATGGATTAAATTAATCCTGATCCATGATCATGTTGTGAGGGTAACCAATACTATGCAAGCTTTGTAGGTGGGTAGGTTGCTTCATAGTTTCTCGCTGCTGGCTGCCCTCCCTCCCCTGTAGGTGCCTTCATGTAGCTCATGAAAGCTGGGGAGGGTTGCCAGTATGGCTGCTGCTTTTTCTGCCTTGGCTTTTCATATATGCACATGAAAGGGAGGGGAGGGCATTCCCTCTCATTGCCTTGGGATTCTATGCAAGCGCATGAGAGAGCAGGGAACTCTCAGAACAGAGCCATACCGACAATGTTAAAAAATATTTTGCTAGTAATAAATAATTGATTCTAACTAAAGTAGTCCTGACTGAAATTAAGCATGGCTGTAGTTCAGGCAGGACACAAGGTACAGTCAAGCTAAAGGTTAAAGCCAGCTGATCTTAAGCTAGCCCTCAGTCAGATGACAGCTTAGCTGATCGCCCTCCACACATCCTTCAGATCGCTACACGGCTCATTCCTTTCACATAGGTGCAGCTACAACCGCAGCTATGACGGCTCCTGTGTCGACCCTCAAAGCCATGGGCCAATAGTCGTCAGCTGCGTACAAACGCTATCTGCGCCCCGAGGCTCGGGACATTCTCGAAGCCCAAAAACTATGAGTACCCATAACTTTGGCACATAGATGCTAATTAAATGAAATATATAAACAACCTGCAGATAAATATCCATGCTTGGGCAACGGGTCTCTCTAACCCGTCTTTCTTTCAGCAGCGCTCACCTCCCCTGCTAGCTCCTAGACTGCACGGCATGGTTGTTTTGGGGGGGTTCTGTTCATTGCTGCTCTACCCCTGCCTCCTCCGCCTTCATGATGGCACGTGGAGGGCGGGAAGGTGCTCTTCCTGCCGCTGGCCTTTCACCCCTGCCAACGTGGAGAACGGGGGCCCTGAACAGAACCTCGCGTGCGCTCCCTGCTATCGCCTTTCATGATGGCTCGTGAAAGGCAGGAAGGGGCTCTTCCTGCCTTGGGCTTCCACACAAGCGCGTGGAAGGGCAGGGACCCGGAACAGAATCATGCCGCCAAATCTAACTTGCACAATAAAGCTAAAAATTTGGACAAAGTGTACCTGACTGAAATGAAGCATAGCGTTAGTTCTGTCAGGACACAACGTCAAGCGCTGATCCACAGCCAATGGCTAGTAGCCACCTCAACCAGATGATAATCAGCTGATTCACACCTAGATCCTATTGGTTCTTTGCCTATAGAGTGCCTTATTTAAAACTGCACTAACCCAGCCTCTTCCTCTGCTCTGACAGCAAACCAGCAACACACTGCCACACCAGCTCCACCCTCGTGCCAGCTAATTGCTCCGCTGTCCTTAAAGCGCTCCTGTTCCAGGGGAGGTTTGTTCATTGCTGCTCTACCCCCGCCACCTCCGCCTTCATGATGGCTCAAGGAGACGAGTTTAACAATTTCCACAACCTCAAGTTCAAAAAGAACACAAACTCAAGTTCAAACACGCCACGAACTCAAGTTCAACAAACAAACAAACTCAAACTCAAGTTCAAAAACACCACAAACTCAAGTTCAACCAACACCCAATTCTCAAGTTCAACAATTTCCACCAACTCAAGTTCAAAAACACCACCAACTCAAGTTCAAAAACACCACAAAGTCAAGTTCAAACAAGACAAAAACTGAAGTTCAATGAACACCACATACATAAGTTCAATAAATGTCAAAGTTTTAAGTTCAACCAACACCCAAATCTAAAGTTTAACAATTGCCGAAGCCTCAAGTAAGAAAAACAACAAAAATTCAGGTTAAAACACGCCACAAACTCAAGCTCAACACCGCCACAAACTCAAGTTAAAAAGCACCACAAACCAAAGTTCAAACACGACACAAACTCAAGTTCAACCAAATCCCAAATCTCAAGTTTGACAATTGCCACAACCTCAAGTTCAAAAACAACAGAAACTCAAGTCAAAACACGCCACAAACTCAAGTTAAACAAACACACAAACTCAAGTTTAACAATTGCCACAAACTTAAATTCAAAAAACACACAAAAATTCAAACTAAAGTTCAGGGAAAAATACAGACTCAAGTTCAACAATTGCCACAAACTCAAGTTCAACAAACACCACAATCTTAAGTTCAAAAAATGCCAAAATTTCAAATTCAACAAATGACCTAAACTCACATTTAACAATTGCCAAAAACTCAAGTTCAACAAACTCAAGTTCAAAAATTGCAACAACCTCAAGTTCAAAAAACACACAAATTCAAGTTCAAAAACACCACAAACTCAAGTTAAAAAAACACAAAAATTCAAGTTCAAAAACACCACAAACTCAAGTTAAATGAACACCACAAAGTCAAGTTCAACAAATGTCAAAGTTTTAAGTTCAACCAACACCCAAATCTAAAGATTAACAATTGCCAAAACCTCAAGTTAAAAAACAACACAAACTCAAGTTCAAACACGCGACAAACTCAAGTTCAACAAACGCCACCAAATAAAGTTCACTAAAAACCAAAGACTCAAGTTCAAAACTCAAGTTCAAAAATTGCAACAAACTCAAGTTCAAACACAACACTCAAGTTCAAACATGACACAAACTCAAGTTCAAACACGACACAAACTCAAGTTCAAACACGACACAAACTCAAGTTCAAACACGACACAAACTCAAGTTCAAACACGACACAAACTCAAGTTCAAACAACACCCAAATATCAAGTTTAACATTTGCCAAAACCTCAAGTTCAAAAACACCACAAACTCAAGTTCTAAACGACAAAAACTCAAGTTCAACAAACACACGAACTCAAGTTCAACAATTGCCACCAACTAATGTTCAGAGAAAAATACAGACTCAATGTTAACAATTGCCACAAACTCAAGTTCAACAAACACCACAAGCTTAAGTTCAAAAAATGCCAAAATTTCAAATTCAACAAATAACCTATATTAACATTAAAGAATTGCCAAAAACTCAAGTTCAACAAACTCAGGTTCAAAAAACACACAAATTCAAGTTCAAAAACACCACAAACTCAAGTTCAAAAATGCCGAAACTTAATTTCAACCAACACCCAAATCTCAAGTTTAACAAATTGCCACAACCTCATGTTCAAAAACAACAGAAACTCAAATTCAAAAACACCAAAAACTCAAGTTAAAAAAAACCCACACAAATTCAAGATCACAAAACAGCAAAATCTCAAGTTCAAACACGACACAAACTCCGGTTCAACAAACACACAAACTCAAGTTTAACAATTGCCACCAAATAAAGTTCACTAAAAACCAAAGACTCAAGTTCAAAAATTGCAACAAACTCAAGTTCAAACACAACACTCAAGTTCAAACATGACACAAACTCAAGTTCAAACACGACACAAACTCAAGTTCAAACACGACACAAACTCAAGTTCAAACATGACACAAACTCAAGTTCAAACAACACCCAAATATCAAGTTTAACATTTGCCAAAACCTCAAGTTCAAAAACACCACAAACTCAAGTTCTAAACGACAAAAACTCAAGTTCAACAAACACACGAACTCAAGTTCAACAATTGCCACCAACTAATGTTCAGAGAAAAATACAGACTCAATGTTTACAATTGCCACAAACTCAAGTTCAACAAACGCCACAAACTCAAGTTCAACAAACGCCACAAACTCAAGTTCAACAATTGCCACCAACTAAAGTTCACTAAAAACCAAAGACTCAAGTTCAACAATTGCCAAAAAATCAAGCGAAACAAACTCAAGTTCATAAGTTGTCACAAACTTCAAACATGACACAAACTCAAGTACAAAAACAAAACTAACTATTTAGAGTAATTTTGAGGTGTTTGAGAGGTTTTTTGTAGACTTACACTAGTGGTCCTATGTTGTTGTTGATGTGAGGCGTTTCTTTTCCAGTAGTCTAAAATCTGTTGGAGGGGGGAAAAGGTTCCAGCTGTCCAGCCGCGGCGGCAGCGGTGTGTCTGAAGTCCGGGGTCCTCCGCGGCAAGGTTTGCCGAGACTCGGTGCCGTCGGCGGGTCAAAGCTCGGTGGTGGGCGGCTTGGAGTGATGGAGGTGCGGCGTCTTCTTTCAGGTGGCGGCGCGGCGTCTTCCTCGAGGCGGTGGTCGGTCTTCTTGGTACAGTGGTCAGTGCTTTGTCTCAATTACAGCAACAGGAATTGCTCTTTAGTGCACAGCACTTAAATGTGCTTTTGACAGGAGACGACATCCCCAGAGTTGGGCTCGAGTCATGGTTTGTGCTGTTCTTCTCAGACATGGTTGTGTTCTCTTCTCGATGTTTGTATTCCAGAATGGATGTCTCTTGGTTGTATTTTAAACTTTCAAGTTGTTTTAAGTTAATTTTAATGTAGTTTATTTGTTTTAAATTTAGTTTTGCTACATTAAATTTGTATGCAATCGTAAGGGATTGTGGGTATTTTAGTTCTGAGGGATGAGAGCCTAAGGAATCAATCTTCCTGTTACAGCAAAGGATTGTGGGTAAAACCGTGAGTGAGTGAGGTACTTCCTTTCTGCCATGAGAGCCTTGGGAATCAATCTCCCTGTTGCAGCAAAGGATTGTGGGTAAAACCGTGAGTGAGGGAGGTACATTTTTCCTGGCATGAGAACCTCAGGAGTCAGTCCTTCCTAAGAAAAAAGAGGGGAGGGGGAAGACAAACAAAAGCACAGGAACCCTAAAATGAAATAAAATAAAACAAAATAATATAAAACAATGAAAAAATAAAAAATAAAAGAAGAACAAAAGTGGATTGCAAAAGGGAAAGGAGAAGAAAAAAGGAAAAAAAGAAGTGTCAAGAGCAAATAGCAAAAAACAGAAGTGAGCTTAAAAACAGAGAACAGTTCCCTAAAAGACAGACAGAAATGTAAATTTGATCAATGTCCTAAGGGAAAATCTGCACGTGTATGTGTGTTCTTTTTTACTAGCTTAGTCTGGTGTCACTGATGGTCAGTTATCAATAAGTATTTATTATTCAAATTTTTGATGAAGTTGTTTGTAGTGGGGTTAGCTGGCTAATTTTAGAGTGTTAAAAAAGATGTTAGAGGGGGAGGATTTAGGTGGCACGGCGGTTCCCCTTCAGGTCTCTCTTAATCCTCAATATAGGTGACCCAACAGGGGTTACCCCCCGGCTGGGGTAGGCCGAGGCTGAAGATCACCTATTTGTCCTCTGTGAAGGTGAAAATAAAGGGGCAGGGGAGGGAATAAGAAAGAGGGGGGGTGTTAGAGAGAGGGGGAGAGATGAGGGAGAGAGATGAGGGAGAGAGAGAGAGAGAGAGGGGGGGGGGGTGTGAGAGAGAGAGAGAGAGAGAGAGAGAGAGAGGGAAGAGGGAGAGGGGGGTTTAAGGGAGAGGTGGAGATGGTGGAAAATAAAGATTGGTGAGGGGGATTTGGTGGCGGATGAAACATCCCATAGCTCCCCAGCTCTCACCATCCATGTGAGGAGAGTGAGCAAGGGACATAGTCACCCGACCCGACTAGGTCTAGGCTCTGCTCTCCTCACGGTCCTCACAAGATACAAAGAGATATGTAAACGTGGAAGTGAGAGTTCTCTAGGCAGAGTTTTGGGTTTGATTTGAGCTGAGTTGGTCAGTTGATCATTGATTACTATTTTAAGTTCTAAAAGTGGATAGAGTCAAAAAGTCACAGAGGATTGTGGTGGGAGCAGGTGGTCCATCTGGCACCATTCTGCTCATGCAGGGATTCGAGTGATAGAAAGAGAATAGATCTTGCCACCGTGACTCGCCATTGAGACTCTCCTCACCTGCTGGTTTTCATCCTCTGATAGGAGAGAGAGGTACAGATCAGGAGAGAGGGAGAAAAGGAGGGAGGCAGGGTGGGGTCAGGAGTTAATTTGTCTTGAAAAGTATTTATCTTTTCGTCATTGCTGTTAGGGTTTAGATGTTTTTTGTTTAGTCTTCTGAGGAATGTAGTGGTAGTATAGGTTCCAAGGTGGAGGATTCTTTGGAATTCACTCTCACCCTTGAAACTGGAAGATCTTAGATTCTATAAAGGGGGGGGGGGGGAGAGATTGTGTGCACAGAAGGAGCATGGGCTCAGACTATTCTCTGAATGATATTGTGACAAGTCTGTCCGAAGGTAAGTGGCTGGTTAGGTGTGGGAAAGAGATAGAGTGATAGCCCCCGCTTTCGTCAGTTGACTTGGCGGTTTGAGGTAGGCTGATCAAGGGCTTGCACTGGCCGGCGCATGTCGACCTGTCACATGTTCCAGTCGAGTCTCCGAGCTCAATCTGTGTGTAAAAATTATGTGTTGGTAGAAAGTTTAATGACTCAGCTCAGTTGGTATGCTATGCTGTCTATCTTTTAGACTATGTGTTTGTAGAACAATATTATGTATATATTATGTTACAGGGCTAGGAAAAGGTTAAAGGTTTTTGGCGTTAGCGTTAAAATCAATGTCCAAAACCTTTTTAGGAACTCTTTTCCAACGTTTTGGAGGGAGCTAGACTAGAAAAAAAAGAAAAAAGAAAAAAAAAAATTTGGGGTGTTCGGGCTTCCTGAAGGTAATACCCGGGTATTAGGTTATGGGGCTAGGGTAAGGTTTAAGGTTTTTGGCGTATGGGTTAAAATCACTGTCCAAAACCTTTTTAGGAACATGTTTCAGACCTTTTGGAGTTAGTTAGACCAAAAAAAATGAAAAATGAAAAAAATATATTTGGGGTGTTCGGGCTTCCTGAAGGTAATACCCGGGTATTAGGTTAGGGGCTAAGGTAAGGTTTAAGGTTTTTGGCGTGAGGGTTAAAATCACTGTCCAAAACCTTTGTAGGAACTCTTTACCATCCTTTTGGAGTTAGTTAGACCAAAAAAAAAAAAGAAAAATGAAAAAAAAATATTTGGGGTGTTCGGGCTTCCTGAAGGTAATACCCGGGTATTAGGTTATGGGGCTAGGGTAAGGTTTAAAGTTTTTGGCGTATGGGTTAAAATCACTGTCCAAAACCTTTTTAGGAACATGTTTCAGACCTTTTGGAGTTGGTTACAACAAAAAAAATTTAAAATGAAAAAAAAATTTTTTTGGGGTGTTCGGGCTTCCTGAAGGTAATACTAGGTTTCTGGGCTAGGGTAATGTTTAAGGTTTTTGGCGTTAGGGTTAAAATCAATGTCCAAAACCTTTGTAGGAACTCTTTTCCAACCTTTGAGAGCAAGTTAGACCAAAAATAAAGAAAAATAAAAAATATATATTTGGGGTGTTCGGGCTTCCTGAAGGTAATACCCGGGTATTAGGTTTTGGGGCTAGGGTTAGGTTTAAGGTTTTTGGCGTTAGGGTTAAAATAACTGTCCAATATTTTTTAAGGAACATGTTTCAGACCTTTGGGAGTTAGTTAGACAAAAAAAAAGAAAAAGAAAAAAAAATATTTGGGGTGTTCGGGCTTCCTGAAGGTAATACCCGGGTATTAGGTTATGGGGCTAGGGTAAGGTTTAAGGATTTTGGCGTTAGGGTTAAAATAACTGTCCAATATTTTTAAGGAACATGTTTCAGACCTTTGGGAGTTAGTTAGACAAAAAAAAAGAAAAAGAAAAAAAAATATTTGGGGTGTTCGGGCTTCCTGAAGGTATTAGGTTTTGGGGCTAGGGTAAGGTTTAAGGTTTTTGGCGGTAGGGTTAAAATCACTGTCCAAAACCTTTGTAGGAACTCTTTTCCAACCTTTTGGAGTTAGTTAGACCAAAAAAAAGAAAAAAGAAAAAAAATATTTGGGGTGTTCGGGCTTCCTGAAGGTAATACCCGGGTATGAGGTTATGGGGCTAGGGTAAGGTTTAAGGTTTTTGGCGTTAGGGTTAAAATCACTGTCCAAAACCTTTTTAGGAACATGTTTCAGACCTTTTGGAGTTGGTAACACCAAAAAAAAATGTAAAATGAAAAAAAAATATTTGGGGTGTTCAAGCTTCCTGAAGGTAATACCCGGGTATTAGGTTTTGGGGCTAGGGTAAGGTTTAAGGTTTTTGGCGTTAGGGTTAAAATCACTGTCCAAAACCTTTTAAGGAACAAGATTCAGACCTTTTGGAGTTGGTTACACCAAAAAAAATGTAAAATGACAAAAAAAATATTTGGGGTGTTCGGGCTTCCTGAAGGTAATACCCTTCAGGTTTAAGTATTAGGTTATGGGGCTAGGATTAGGTTTAAGGTTTTTGGCGTAAGGGTTAAAATCACTGTCCAAAACCTTTTTAGGAACATGTTTCAGACCTTTTGGAGTTGGTTACACCAAAAAAAAAAAAGAAAAATAAAAAATATATATTTGGGGTGTTCGGGCTTCCTGAAGGTAATACCCGGGTATTAGGTTATGGGGCTAGGTTAAGGTTTAAGGTTTTTGGCGTGAGGGTTAAAATCACTGTCCAAAACCTTTGTAGGAAGTCTTTTCCAACCTTTTGGAGTTAGTAAGACAAAAAAAAAAAGATAAATGAAAAAAAAATTTTTGGGGTGTTCGGGCTTCCTGAAGGTAATACCCGGGTATTAGGTTATGGGGCTAGGGTAAGGTTTAAGGTTTTTGGCGTAAGGGTTAAAATCACTGTCCAAAACCTTTTTAGGAACATGTTTCAGACCTTTTGGAGTTGGTTACACCAAAAAAAATGTAAAATGAAAAAAATTTATTTTGGGGTGTTCGGGCTTCCTGAAGGTAATACTAGGTTTCTGGGCTAGGGTAAGGTTTAAGGTTTTTGGCGTTAGGGTTAAAATCACTGTCCAAAACCTTTGTAGGAACTCTTTTCCAACCTTTTGGTGTTAGTTAGACCAAAACAAAAATAAAAATAAAAAATATATATTTGGGGTGTTCGGGCTTCCTGAAGGTAATACCCGGGTATTAGGTTATGGGGCTAGGGTAAGGTTTAAGGTTTTTGGCGTGAGGGTTAAAATCACTGTCCAAAACCTTTGTAGGAACTCTTTTCCAACCTTTTGGAGTTAGTTAGACAAAAAAAAAAGATAAATGAAAAAAAAATATTTGGGGTGTTCGGGCTTCCTGAAGGTAATACCCGGGTATTAGGTTTTGGGGCTAGGGTAAGGTTTAAGGTTTTTGGCGTTAGGGTTAAAATCACTGTCCAAAACCTTTGTAGGAACTCTTTTCCAACCTTTTGGAGTTAGTTAGACCAAAAAAAAAGAAAAAAGAAAAAAATATATTTGGGGTCTTCGGGCTTCCTGAAGGTAATACCCGGGTATTAGGTTATGGGGCTAGGGTAAGGTTTAAGGTTTTTGGCGTTAGGGTTAAAATCACTGTCCAAAACCTTTTTAGGAACATGTTTCAGACCTTTTGGAGTTAGTTAGACCAAAAAAAATGAAAAATGAAAAAAATATATTTGGGGTGTTCGGGCTTCCTGAAGGTAATACCCGGGTATTAGGTTAGGGGCTAAGGTAAGGTTTAAGGTTTTTGGCGTGAGGGTTAAAATCACTGTCCAAAACCTTTGTAGGAACTCTTTACCATCCTTTTGGAGTTAGTTAGACCAAAAAAAAAAAAAGAAAAAAATATATTTGGGGTCTTCGGGCTTCCTGAAGGTAATACCCGGGTATGAGGTTATGGGGCTAGGGTAAGGTTTAAGGTTTTTGGCGTTAGGGTTAAAATCACTGTCCAAAACCTTTTTAGGAACATGTTTCAGACCTTTTGGAGTTGGTAACACCAAAAAAAAATGTAAAATGAAAAAAAAATATTTGGGGTGTTCGGGCTTCCTGAAGGTAATACCCGGGTATTAGGTTTTGGGGCTAGGGTAAGGTTTAAGGTTTTTGGCGTTAGGGTTAAAATCACTGTCCAAAACCTTTTAAGGAACAAGATTCAGACCTTTTGGAGTTGGTTACACCAAAAAAAATGTAAAATGACAAAAAAAATATTTGGGGTGTTCGGGCTTCCTGAAGGTAATACCCTTCAGGTTTAAGTATTAGGTTATGGGGCTAGGATTAGGTTTAAGGTTTTTGGCGTAAGGGTTAAAATCACTGTCCAATATTTTTTAAGGAACATGTTTCAGACCTTTTGGAGCTAGTTTGACCAAAAAAAAAAGAAAAATAAAAAATATATATTTGGGGTGTTCGGGCTTCCTGAAGGTAATACCCGGGTATTAGGTTATGGGGCTAGGTTAAGGTTTAAGGTTTTTGTCGTGAGGGTTAAAATCACTGTCCAAAACCTTTGTAGGAAGTCTTTTCCAACCTTTTGGAGTTAGTAAGACAAAAAAAAAAAGATAAATGAAAAAAAAATATTTGGGGTGTTCGGGCTTCCTGAAGGTAATACCCGGGTATTAGGTTATGGGGCTAGGGTAAGGTTTAAGGTTTTTGGCGTAAGGGTTAAAATCACTGTCCAAAACCTTTTTAGGAACATGTTTCAGACCTTTTGGAGTTGGTTACACCAAAAAAAATGTAAAATGAAAAAAAATTTTTTTTTGGGTGTTCGGGCTTCCTGAAGGTAATACTAGGTTTCTGGGCTAGGGTAATGTTTAAGGTTTTTGGCGTTAGGGTTAAAATCAGTGTCCAAAACCTTTGTAGGAACTCTTTTCCAACCTTTGAGAGCAAGTTAGACCAAAACAAAAATAAAAATAAAAATATATATTTGGGGTGTTCGGGCTTCCTGAAGGTAATACCCGGGTATTAGGTTATGGGGCTAGGGTAAGGTTTAAGGTTTTTGGCGTGAGGGTTAAAATCACTGTCCAAAACCTTTGTAGGAACTCTTTTCCAACCTTTGGGATTAAGTTAGACAAAAAAAAAAAGATAAATGAAAAAAAAATATTTGGGGTGTTCGGGCTTCCTGAAGGTAATACCCGGGTATTAGGTTTTGGGGCTAGGGTAAGGTTTAAGGTTTTTGGTGGTAGGGTTAAAATCACTGTCCAAAACCTTTGTATGAACTCTTTTCCGGCCTTTTGGAGTTAGTTAGACCAAAAAAAAAAGAAAAAAGAAAAAAATATATTTGGGGTCTTCGGGCTTCCTGAAGGAAATACCCAGGTATTAGGTTATGGGGCTAGGGTAAGGTTTAAGGTTTTTGGCGTTAGGGTTAAAATCACTGTCCAAAACCTTTTTAGGAACATGTTTCAGACCTTTTGGAGTTAGTTAGACCAAAAAAAATGAAAAATGAAAAAAATATATTTGGGGTGTTCGGGCTTCCTGAAGGTACTACCCGGGTATTAGGTTAGGGGCTAAGGTAAGGTTTAAGGTTTTTGGCGTGAGGGTTAAAATCACTGTCCAAAACCTTTGTAGGAACTCTTTACCATCCTTTTGGAGTTAGTTAGACCAAAAAAAAAAAAAGAAAAATGAAAAAAAAATATTTGGGGTGTTCGGGCTTCCTGAAGGTAATACCCGGGTATTAGGTTATGGGGCTAGGGTAAGGTTTAAAGTTTTTGGCGTATGGGTTAAAATCACTGTCCAAAACCTTTTTAGGAACATGTTTCAGACCTTTTGGAGTTGGTTACACCAAAAAAAATGTAAAATGAAAAGAAAATTTTTTTTGGGTGTTCGGGCTTCCTGAAGGTAATACTAGGTTTCTGGGCTAGGGTAATGTTTAAGGTTTTTGGCGTTAGGGTTAAAATCAATGTCCAAAACCTTTGTAGGAACTCTTTTCCAACCTTTGAGAGCAAGTTAGACCAAAAATAAAGAAAAATAAAAAATATATATTTGGGGTGTTCGGGCTTCCTGAAGGTAATACCCGGGTATTAGGTTTTGGGGCTAGGGTTAGGTTTAAGGTTTTTGGCGTTAGGGTTAAAATAACTGTCCAATATTTTTTAAGGAACATGTTTCAGACCTTTGGGAGTTAGTTAGACAAAAAAAAAGAAAAAGAAAAAAAAAATATTTGGGGTGTTCGGGTTTCCTGAAGGTAATACCCGGGTATTAGGTGATGAGGCTAGGGTAAGGTTTAAGGATTTTGGCGTTAGGGTTAAAATAACTGTCCAATATTTTTTAAGGAACATGTTTCAGACCTTTGGGAGTTAGTTAGACAAAAAAAAAGAAAAAGAAAAAAAAAATATTTGGGGTGTTCGGGCTTCCTGAAGGTATTAGGTTTTGGGGCTAGGGTAAGGTTTAAGGTTTTTGGTGGTAGGGTTAAAATCACTGCCCAAAACCTTTGTAGGAACTCTTTTCCGACCTTTTGGAGTTAGTTAGACCAAAAAAAAGAAAAAAGAAAAAAATATATTTGGGGTCTTCGGGCTTCCTGAAGGTAATACCCGGGTATGAGGTTATGGGGCTAGGGTAAGGTTTAAGGTTTTTGGCGTTAGGGTTAAAATCACTGTCCAAAACCTTTTTAGGAACATGTTTCAGACCTTTTGGAGTTGGTAACACCAAAAAAAAATGTAAAATGAAAAAAAAATATTTGGGGTGTTCAAGCTTCCTGAAGGTAATACCCGGGTATTAGGTTTTGGGGCTAGGGTAAGGTTTAAGGTTTTTGGCGTTAGGGTTAAAATCACTGTCCAAAACCTTTTAAGGAACAAGATTCAGACCTTTTGGAGTTGGTTACACCAAAAAAAATGTAAAATGAAAAAAAAAATATTTGGGGTGTTCGGGCTTCCTGAAGGTAATACCCTTCAGGTTTAAGTATTAGGTTATGGGGCTAGGATTAGGTTTAAGGTTTTTGGCGTAAGGGTTAAAATCACTGTCCAATATTTTTTAAGGAACATGTTTCAGACCTTTTGGAGCTAGTTTGACCAAAAAAAAAAAGAAAAATAAAAAATATATATTTGGGGTGTTCGGGCTTCCTGAAGGTAATACCCGGGTATTAGGTTATGGGGCTAGGTTAAGGTTTAAGGTTTTTGTCGTGAGGGTTAAAATCACTGTCCAAAACCTTTGTAGGAAGTCTTTTCCAACCTTTTGGAGTTAGTAAGACAAAAAAAAAAAGATAAATGAAAAAAAATTTTTTGGGGTGTTCGGGCTTCCTGACGGTAATACCCGGGTATTAGGTTATGGGGCTAGGGTAAGGTTTAAGGTTTTTGGCGTAAGGGTTAAAATCACTGTCCAAAACCTTTTTAGGAACATGTTTCAGACCTTTTGGAGTTGGTTACACCAAAAAAAATGTAAAATGAAAAAAATTTTTTTTTGGGTGTTCGGGCTTCCTGAAGGTAATACTAGGTTTCTGGGCTAGGGTAATGTTTAAGGTTTTTGGCGTTAGGGTTAAAATCAATGTCCAAAACCTTTTTAGGAACATGTTTCCAACCTTTGAGTGCAAGTTAGACCAAAACAAAAATAAAAATAAAAAATATATATTTGGGGTGTTCGGGCTTCCTGAAGGTAATACCCGGGTATTAGGTTATGGGGCTAGGGTAAGGTTTAAGGTTTTTGGCGTGAGGGTTAAAATCACTGTCCAAAACCTTTTAAGGAACAAGATTCAGACCTTTTGGAGTTGGTTACACCAAAAAAAATGTAAAATGAAAAAAAAAATATTTGGGGTGTTCGGGCTTCCTGAAGGTAATACCCTTCAGGTTTAAGTATTAGGTTATGGGGCTAGGATTAGGTTTAAGGTTTTTGGCGTTAGGGTTAAAATCACTGTCCAATATTTTTTAAGGAACATGTTTCAGACCTTTTGGAGCTAGTTAGACAAAAAAAAAAGAAAAATAAAAAATATATATTTGGGGTGTTCGGGCTTCCTGAAGGTAATACCCGGGTATTAGGTTATGGGGCTAGGTTAAGGTTTAAGGTTTTTGGCGTTGAGGGTTAAAATCACTGTCCAAAACCTTTGTAGGAACACGTTTCCAACCTTTTGGAGTTAGTAAGACAAAAAAAAAAAGATAAATGAAAAAAAATTTTTTGGGGTGTTCGGGCTTCCTGAAGGTAATACCCGGGTATTAGGTTATGGGGCTAGGGTAAGGTTTAAGGTTTTTGGCGTAAGGGTTAAAATCACTGTCCAAAACCTTTTTAGGAACATGTTTCAGACCTTTTGGAGTTGGTTACACCAAAAAAAATGTAAAATGAAAAAAAAATTTTTTTGGGGTGTTCGGGCTTCCTGAAGGTAATACTAGGTTTCTGGGCTAGGGTAATGTTTAAGGTTTTTGGCGTTAGGGTTAAAATCAATGTCCAAAACCTTTGTAGGAACTCTTTTCCAACCTTTGAGAGCAAGTTAGACCAAAACAAAAATAAAAATAAAAATATATATTTGGGGTGTTCGGGCTTCCTGAAGGTAATACCCGGGTATTAGGTTATGGGGCTAGGGTAAGGTTTAAGGTTTTTCGGCGTGAGGGTAAAAATCACTGTCCAAAACCTTTGTAGGAACTCTTTTCCAACCTTTGGGATTAAGTTAGACATAAAAAAAAAAGATAAATGAAAAAAAAATATTTGGGGTGTTCGGGCTTCCTGAAGGTAATACCCGGGTATTAGGTTTTGGGGCTAGGGTAAGGTTTAAGGTTTTTGGTGGTAGGGTTAAAATCACTGTCCAAAACCTTTGTAGGAACTCTTTTCCAACCTTTTGGAGTTAGTTAGACCAAAAAAAAAAGAAAAAAGAAAAAAATATATTTGGGGTCTTCGGGCTTCCTGAAGGAAATACCCAGGTATTAGGTTATGGGGCTAGGGTAAGGTTTAAGGTTTTTGGCGTTAGGGTTAAAATCACTGTCCAAAACCTTTTTAGGAACATGTTTCAGACCTTTTGGAGTTGGTTACACCAAAAAAAATGTAAAATGAAAAAAAAACATATTTGGGGTGTTCAAGCTTCCTGAAGGTAATACCCGGGTATTAGGTTTTGGGGCTAGGGTAAGGTTTAAGGTTTTTGGCGTTAGGGTTAAAATCACTGTCCAAAACCTTTTTAGGAACATGTTTCAGACCTTTTGGAGTTGGAAACACCAAAAAAAAATGTAAAATGAAAAAAAATATTTGGGGTGTTCAAGCTTCCTGAAGGTAATACCCGGGTATTAGGTTTTGGGGCTAGGGTAAGGTTTAAGGTTTTTGGCGTTAGGGTTAAAATCACTGTCCAAAACCTTTTAAGGAACAAGATTCAGACCTTTTGGAGTTGGTTACACCAAAAAAAATGTAAAATGAAAAAAAAAATATTTGGGGTGTTCGGGCTTCCTGAAGGTAATACCCTTCAGGTTTAAGTATTAGGTTATGGGGCTAGGATTAGGTTTAAGGTTTTTGGCGTAAGGGTTAAAATCACTGTCCAATATTTTTTAAGGAACATGTTTCAGACCTTTTGGAGCTAGTTTGACCAAAAAAAAAAGAAAAAGAAAAAATATATATTTGGGGTGTTCGGGCTTCCTGAAGGTAATACCCGGGTATTAGGTTATGGGGCTAGGTTAAGGTTTAAGGTTTTTGGCGTGAGGGTTAAAATCACTGTCCAAAACCTTTGTAGGACCTCTTTTCAAACCTTTTGGTGTTAGTTAGACAAAAAAAAAAAACGAAAAATGAAAAAAAAATATTTGGGGTGTTCGGGCTTCCGGAAGGTAATACCCGGGTATTAGGTTATGGGGCTTTGGAAAGGTTTAAGGTTTTTGGCGTGAGAGTTAAAATCACTGTCCAAAACCTTTGTAGGAAGTCTTTTCCAACCTTTTGGAGTTAGTTAGTCCAATAAAAAAATGAAAAATGAAAAAAAAAAAATTTGGGGTGTTCGGGCTTCCTGAAGGTAATACCCGGGTATTAGGTTTTGGGGCTAGGATAAGGTTTAAGGTTTTTGGCGTTAGGGTTAAAATCACTGTCCAATATTTTTTAAGGAACATGTTTCAGACCTTTTGGAGTTAGTTCGACCAAAAAAAAAGAAAAAAGAAAAAAAAATATTTTGGGTTTTCGGGCTTCCTGAAGGTATTAGGTTTTGGGGCTAGTGTAAGGTTTAAGGTTTTTGGCGTTAGGGTTAAAATCACTGTCCAAAACCTTTTAAGGAACAAGATTCAGACCTTTTGGAGTTGGTTACACCAAAAAAAATGTAAAATGAAAAAAAATTTTTTTTGGGTGTTCGGGCTTCCTGAAGGTAATACTAGGTTTCTGGGCTAGGGTAAGGTTTAAGGTTTTTGGCGTTAGGGTTAAAATCAATGTCCAAAACCTTTGTAGGAACTCTTTTCCAACCTTTGAGAGCAAGTTAGACCAAAACAAAAATAAAAATAAAAATATATATTTGGGGTGTTCGGGCTTCCTGAAGGTAATACCCGGGTATTAGGTTTTGGGGCTAGGGTTAGGTTTAAGGTTTTTGGCGTTAGGGTCAAAATAACTGTCCAATATTTTTTAAGGAACATGTTTCAGAACTTTGGGAGTTAGTTAGACAAAAAAAAAAAAAGAAAAAGAAAAAAAAAATATTTGGGGTGTTCGGGCTTCCTGAAGGTAATACCCGGGTATTAGGTTATGGGGCTAGGGTAAGGTTTAAGGTTTTTGGCGTTAGAGTTAAAATCAGTGTCCAAAACCTTTTTAGGAACATGTTTAAGACCTTTTGGAGTTGGTTACACCAAAAAAAAATGTAAAATGAAAAAAAATATATTTGGGGTGTTCGGGCTTCCTGAAGGTAATACCCGGGTATTAGGTTTTGGGGCTAGGGTAAGGTTTAAGGTTTTTGGTGGTAGGGTTAAAATCACTGTCCAAAACCTTTGTAGGAACTCTTTTCCAACCTTTTGGAGTTAGTTAGACCAAAAAAAAAGAAAAAAGAAAAAAATATATTTGGGGTCTTCGGGCTTCCTGAAGGAAATACCCAGGTATTAGGTTATGGGGCTAGGGTAAGGTTTAAGGTTTTTGGCGTTAGGGTTAAAATCACTGTCCAAAACCTTTTTAGGAACATGTTTCAGATCTTTTGGAGTTGGTTACACCAAAAAAAAATGTAAAATGAAAAAAAAAGTATTTGGGGTCTTCGGGCTTCCTGAAGGAAATACCCAGGTATTAGGTTATGGGGCTATAGTAAGGTTAAAGGTTTTTGGCGTTAGGGTTAAAATCACTGTCCAAAACCTTTGTAGGAACTATTTTCCAGCCTTTTGGAGTTAGTTAGACCAAAAAAAAAACGAAAAATGAAAAAAAATATTTGGGGTTTTTGGGCTTCCTGAAGGTAATACCCGGGTATGAGGTTATGGGGCTAGGGTAAGGTTTAAGGTTTTTGGCGTTAGAGTTAAAATCAGTGTCCAACACCTTTTTAGGAACATGTTTAAGACCTTTTGGAGTTGGTTACACCAAAAAAAATGTAAAATGAAAAAAAAAATATTTGGCGTCTTCGGGCTTCCTGAAGGAAATACCCAGGTATTAGGTTATGGGGCTATAGTAAGGTTAAAGGTTTTTGGCGTTAGGGTTAAAATCACCGTCCAAAACCTTTGTAGGAACATGTTTCAGACCTTTTGGAGTTGGTAACACCAAAAAAAAATGTAAAATGAAAAAAAAATATTTGGGGTGTTCAAGCTTCCTGAAGGTAATACCCGGGTATTAGGTTTTGGGGCTAGGGTAAGGTTTAAGGTTTTTGGCGTTAGGGTTAAAATCACTGTCCAAAACCTTTTAAGGAACAAGATTCAGACCTTTTGGAGTTGGTTACACCAAAAAAAATGTAAAATGAAAAAAAAAATATTTGGGGTGTTCGGGCTTCCTGAAGGTAATACCCTTCAGGTTTAAGTATTAGGTTATGGGGCTAGGATTAGGTTTAAGGTTTTTGGCGTAAGGGTTAAAATCACTGTCCAATATTTTTTAAGGAACATGTTTCAGACCTTTTGGAGCTAGTTAGACCAAAAAAAAAGAAAAAGAAAAAATATATATTTGGGGTGTTCGGGCTTCCTGAAGGTAATACCCGGGTATTAGGTTTTGGGGCTAGGATTAGGTTTAAGGTTTTTGGCGTTAGGGTTAAAATCACTGTCCAATATTTTTTAAGGAACATGTTTCAGACCTTTTGGAGTTAGTTCGACCAAAAAAAAAGAAAAAAGAAAAAAAATATTTTGGGTTTTCGGGCTTCCTGAAGGTATTAGGTTTTGGGGCTAGTGTAAGGTTTAAGGTTTTTGGCGTTAGGGTTAAAATCACTGTCCAAAACCTTTTAAGGAACAAGATTCAGACCTTTTGGAGTTGGTTACACCAAAAAAAATGTAAAATGAAAAAAAATTTTTTTTGGGTGTTCGGGCTTCCTGAAGGTAATACTAGGTTTCTGGGCTAGGGTAAGGTTTAAGGTTTTTGGCGTTAGGGTTAAAATCAATGTCCAAAACCTTTGTAGGAACTCTTTTCCAACCTTTGAGAGCAAGTTAGACCAAAACAAAAATAAAAATAAAAATATATATTTGGGGTGTTCGGGCTTCCTGAAGGTAATACCCGGGTATTAGGTTTTGGGGCTAGGGTTAGGTTTAAGGTTTTTGGCGTTAGGGTCAAAATAACTGTCCAATATTTTTTAAGGAACATGTTTCAGAACTTTGGGAGTTAGTTAGACAAAAAAAAAAAAAAGAAAAAGAAAAAAAAAATATTTGGGGTGTTCGGGCTTCCTGAAGGTAATACCCGGGTATTAGGTTATGGGGCTAGGGTAAGGTTTAAGGTTTTTGGCGTTAGAGTTAAAATCAGTGTCCAAAACGTTTTTAGGAACATGTTTAAGACCTTTTGGAGTTGGTTACACCAAAAAAAAATGTAAAATGAAAAAAAATATATTTGGGGTGTTCGGGCTTCCTGAAGGAAATACCCAGGTATTAGGTTATGGGGCTATAGTAAGGTTAAAGGTTTTTGGCGTTAGGGTTAAAATCACTGTCCAAAACCTTTGTAGGAACTATTTTCCAACCTTTTGGAGTTAGTTAGACCAAAAAAAAGAAAAAAGAAAAAAAAATATTTGGGGTTTTTGGGCTTCCTGAAGGTAATACCCGGGTATGAGGTTATGGGGCTAGGGTAAGGTTTAAGGTTTTTGGCGTTAGAGTTAAAATCAGTGTCCAACACCTTTTTAGGAACATGTTTAAGACCTTTTGGAGTTGGTTACACCAAAAAAAATGTAAAATGAAAAAAAAAATATTTGGCGTCTTCGGGCTTCCTGAAGGAAATACCCAGGTATTAGGTTATGGGGCTATAGTAAGGTTAAAGGTTTTTGGCGTTAGGGTTAAAATCACCGTCCAAAACCTTTGTAGGAACATGTTTCAGACCTTTTGGAGTTGGTAACACCAAAAAAAAAGTAAAATGAAAAAAAAAATATTTGGGGTGTTCAAGCTTCCTGAAGGTAATACCCGGGTATTAGGTTTTGGGGCTAGGGTAAGGTTTAAGGTTTTTGGTGTTAGGGTTAAAATCACTGTCCAAAACCTTTTAAGGAACAAGATTCAGACCTTTTGGAGTTGGTTACACCAAAAAAAATGTAAAATGAAAAAAAAAATATTTGGGGTGTTCGGGCTTCCTGAAGGTAATACCCTTCAGGTTTAAGTATTAGGTTATGGGGCTAGGATTAGGTTTAAGGTTTTTGGCGTAAGGGTTAAAATCACTGTCCAATATTTTTTAAGGAACATGTTTCAGACCTTTTGGAGCTAGTTTGACCAAAAAAAAAGAAAAAGAAAAAATATTTATTTGGGGTGTTCGGGCTTCCTGAAGGTAATACCCGGGTATTAGGTTATGGGGCTAGGTTAAGGTTTAAGGTTTTTGTAGTGAGGGTTAAAATCACTGTCCAAAACCTTTGTAGGACCTCTTTTCAAACCTTTTTGTGTTAGTTAGACAAAAAAAAAAACGAAAAATTAAAAAAAAATATTTGGGGTGTTCGGGCTTCCGGAAGGTAATACCCGGGTATTAGGTTATGGGGCTTTGGAAAGGTTTAAGGCTTTTGGCGTGAGAGTTAAAATCACTGTCCAAAACCTTTGTAGGAAGTCTTTTCCAACCTTTTGGAGTTAGTTAGACCAATAAAAAAATGAAAAATGAAAAAAAAAAATTTGGGGTGTTCGGGCTTCCTGAAGGTAATACCCGGGTATTAGGTTTTGGGGCTAGGATTAGGTTTAAGGTTTTTGGCGTTAGGGTTAAAATCACTGTCCAATATTTTTTAAGGAACATGTTTCAGACCTTTTGGAGTTAGTTCGACCAAAAAAAAAGAAAAAAGAAAAAAAAATATTTGGGGTTTTCGGGCTTCCTGAAGGTATTAGGTTTTGGGGCTAGTGTAAGGTTTAAGGTTTTTGGCGTTAGGGTTAAAATCACCGTCCAAAACCTTTGTAGGAACATGTTTCAGACCTTTTGGAGTTGGTTACACCAAAAAAAAATGTAAAATGAAAAAAAAATATTTGGGGTGTTCAAGCTTCTTGAAGGTAATACCCGGGTATTAGGTTTTGGGGCTAGGGTAAGGTTTAAGGTTTTTGGCGTTAGGGTTAAAATCACTGTCCAAAACCTTTTAAGGAACAAGATTCAGACCTTTTGGAGTTGGTTACACCAAAAAAAATGTAAAATGAAAAAAAAAATATTTGGGGTGTTCGGGCTTCCTGAAGGTAATACCCTTCAGGTTTAAGTATTAGGTTATGGGGCTAGGATTAGGTTTAAGGTTTTTGGCGTAAGGGTTAAAATCACTGTCCAATATTTTTTAAGGAACATGTTTCAGACCTTTTGGAGCTAGTTAGACCAAAAAAAAAAAGAAAAAGAAAAAATATATATTTGGGGTGTTCGGGCTTCCTGAAGGTAATACCCGGGTATTAGGTTTTGGGGCTAGGATTAGGTTTAAGGTTTTTGGCGTTAGGGTTAAAATCACTGTCCAATATTTTTTAAGGAACATGTTTCAGACCTTTTGGAGTTAGTTCGACCAAAAAAAAAAGAAAAAAGAAAAAAAATATTTTGGGTTTTCGGGCTTCCTGAAGGTATTAGGTTTTGGGGCTAGTGTAAGGTTTAAGGTTTTTGGCGTTAGGGTTAAAATCACTGTCCAAAACCTTTTAAGGAACAAGATTCAGACCTTTTGGAGTTGGTTACACCAAAAAAAATGTAAAATGAAAAAAAATTATTTTTGGGTGTTCGGGCTTCCTGAAGGTAATACTAGGTTTCTGGGCTAGGGTAAGGTTTAAGGTTTTTGGCGTTAGGGTTAAAATCAATGTCCAATACCTTTGTAGGAACTCTTTTCCAACCTTTGAGAGCAAGTTAGACCAAAACAAAAATAAAAATAAAAATATATATTTGGGGTGTTCGGGCTTCCTGAAGGTAATACCCGGGTATTAGGTTTTGGGGCTAGGGTTAGGTTTAAGGTTTTTGGCGTTAGGGTCAAAATAACTGTCCAATATTTTTTAAGGAACATGTTTCAGAACTTTGGGAGTTAGTTAGACAAAAAAAAAAAAAAGAAAAAGAAAAAAAAAATATTTGGGGTGTTCAGGCTTCCTGAAGGTAATACCCGGGTATTAGGTTATGGGGCTAGGGTAAGGTTTAAGGTTTTTGGCGTTAGAGTTAAAATCAGTGTCCAAAACGTTTTTAGGAACATGTTTAAGACCTTTTGGAGTTGGTTACACCAAAAAAAAATGTAAAATGAAAAAAAATATATTTGGGGTGTTCGGGCTTCCTGAAGGAAATACCCAGGTATTAGGTTATGGGGCTATAGTAAGGTTAAAGGTTTTTGGCGTTAGGGTTAAAATCACTGTCCAAAACCTTTGTAGGAACTATTTTCCAACCTTTTGGAGTTAGTTAGACCAAAAAAAAAACGAAAAATGAAAAAAAATATTTGGGGTTTTTGGGCTTCCTGAAGGTAATACCCGGGTATGAGGTTATGGGGCTAGGGTAAGGTTTAAGGTTTTTGGCGTTAGAGTTAAAATCAGTGTCCAACACCTTTTTAGGAACATGTTTAAGACCTTTTGGAGTTGGTTACACCAAAAAAAATGTAAAATGAAAAAAAAAATATTTGGCGTCTTCGGGCTTCCTGAAGGAAATACCCAGGTATTAGGTTATGGGGCTATAGTAAGGTTAAAGGTTTTTGGCGTTAGGGTTAAAATCACCGTCCAAAACCTTTGTAGGAACATGTTTCAGACCTTTTGGAGTTGGTAACACCAAAAAAAAATGTAAAATGAAAAAAATAAAAATTTGGGGTGTTCAAGCTTCCTGAAGGTAATACCCGGGTATTAGGTTTTGGGGCTAGGGTAAGGTTTAAGGTTTTTGGCGTTAGGGTTAAAATCACTGTCCAAAACCTTTTAAGGAACAAGATTCAGACCTTTTGGAGTTGGTTACACCAAAAAAAATGTAAAATGAAAAAAAAATATTTGGGGTGTTCGGGCTTCCTGAAGGTAATACCCTTCAGGTTTGAGTATTAGGTTATGGGGCTAGGATTAGGTTTAAGGTTTTTGGCGTAAGGGTTAAAATCACTGTCCAATATTTTTTAAGGAACATGTTTCAGACCTTTTGGAGCTAGTTTGACCAAAAAAAAAGAAAAAGAAAAAATATTTATTTGGGGTGTTCGGGCTTCCTGAAGGTAATACCCGGGTATTAGGTTATGGGGCTAGGTTAAGGTTTAAGGTTTTTGTAGTGAGGGTTAAAATCACTGTCCAAAACCTTTGTAGGACCTCTTTTCAAACCTTTTTGTGTTAGTTAGACAAAAAAAAAACGAAAAATTAAAAAAAAATATTTGGGGTGTTCGGGCTTCCGGAAGGTAATACCCGGGTATTAGGTTATGGGGCTTTGGAAAGGTTTAAGGCTTTTGGCGTGAGAGTTAAAATCACTGTCCAAAACCTTTGTAGGAAGTCTTTTCCAACCTTTTGGAGTTAGTTAGACCAATAAAAAAATGAAAAATGAAAAAAAAAATTTGGGGTGTTCGGGCTTCCTGAAGGTAATACCCGGGTATTAGGTTTTGGGGCTAGGATTAGGTTTAAGGTTTTTGGCGTTAGGGTTAAAATCACTGTCCAATATTTTTTAAGGAACATGTTTCAGACCTTTTGGAGTTAGTTCGACCAAAAAAAAAGAAAAAAGAAAAAAAAATATTTGGGGTTTTCGGGCTTCCTGAAGGTATTAGGTTTTGGGGCTAGTGTAAGGTTTAAGGTTTTTGGCGTTAGGGTTAAAATCACTGTCCAAAACCTTTTAAGGAACAAGATTCAGACCTTTTGGAGTTGGTTACACCAAAAAAAATGTAAAATGACAAAAAAAATATTTGGGGTGTTCGGGCTTCCTGAAGGTAATACCCTTCAGGTTTAAGTATTAGGTTATGGGGCTAGGATTAGGTTTAAGGTTTTTGGCGTAAGGGTTAAAATTACTGTCCAATATTTTTTAAGGAACATGTTTCAGACCTTTTGGAGTTAATTAGACAAAAAAAAAAGATAAATGAAAAAAAAATATTTGGGGTTTTCGGGCTTCCTGAAGGTAATACCCGGGTATTAGGTTATGGGGCTAGGGTAAGGTTTAAGGTTTTTGGCGTTAGAGTTAAAATCAGTGTCCAACACCTTTTTAGGAACATGTTTCAGACCTTTTGGAGTTGGTTACACCAAAAAAAAAATGTAAAATGAAAAAAAAATATTTGGGGTGTTCAAGCTTCCTGAAGGTATTACCTGGGTATTAGGTTTTTGGGCTAGGGTAAGGTTTAAGGTTTTTGGCGTTAGGGTCAAAATCACTGTCCAAAACCTTTTAAAGGAACAAGATTCAGACCTTTTGGAGTTGGTTACACCAAAAAAAATGTAAAATGAAAAAAAAAATATTTGGGGTGTTCGGGATTCCTGAAGGTAATACCCTTCAGGTTTAAGTATTAGGTTAGGGGGCTAGGATTAGGTTTAAGGTTTTTGGCGTAAGGGTTAAAATCACTATCCAATATTTTTTAAGGAACATGTTTCAGACCTTTTGGAGCTAGTTTGACCAAAAAAAAAGAAAAAGAAAAAATATATATTTGGGGTGTTCGGGCTTCCTGAAGGTAATACCCGGGTATTAGGTTATGGGGCTAGGTTAAGGTTTAAGGTTTTTGGCATAAGGGTTAAAATCACTGTCCAATATTTTTTAAGGAACATGTTTCAGACCTTTTGGAGTTAATTAGACAAAAAAAAAAGATAAATGAAAAAAAAATATTTGGGGTGTTCAGGCTTCCTGAAGGTAATACCCGGGTATTAGGTTATGGGGCTAGGGTAAGGTTTAAGGTTTTGGCGTTAGAGTTAAAATCAGTGTCCAACACCTTTTTAGGAACATGTTTCAGACCTTTTGGAGTTGGTTACACCAAAAAAAAAATGTAAAATGAAAAAAAAATATTTGGGGTGTTCAAGCTTCCTGAAGGTAATACCTGGGTATTAGGTTTTTGGGCTAGGGTAAGGTTTAAGGTTTTTGGCGTTAGGGTCAAAATCACTGTCCAAAACCTTTTAAAGGAACAAGATTCAGACCTTTTGGAGTTGGTTACACCAAAAAAAATGTAAAATGAAAAAAAAAATATTTGGGGTGTTCGGGATTCCTGAAGGTAATACCCTTCAGGTTTAAGTATTAGGTTAGGGGGCTAGGATTACGTTTAAGGTTTTTGGCGTAAGGGTGAAAATAACTATCCAATATTTTTTAAGGAACATGTTTCAGACCTTTTGGAGCTAGTTTGACCAAAAAAAAAGAAAAAGAAAAAATATATATTTGGGGTGTTCGGGCTTCCTGAAGGTAATACCCGGGTATTAGGTTATGGGGCTAGGGTAAGGTTTAAGGTTTTTGGCGTTAGAGTTAAAATCAATGTCCAAAACCTTTTTAGGAACATGTTTAAGACCTTTTGGAGCTCGTTAGACAAAAAAAAAAAGATAAATGAAAAAAAAATATTTGGGGTGTTCGGGCTTCCTGAAGGTAATAACCGGGTATTAGGTTATGGGGCTAGGGTAAGGTTTAAGGTTTTTGGCGTAAGGGTTAAAATCACTGTCCAAAACCTTTTTAGGAACATGTTTCAGACCTTTTGGAGTTGGTTACACCAAAAAAAATGTAAAATGAAAAAAAAATTTTTTTTGGGTTTTCGGGCTTCCTGAAGGTAATACTAGGTTAATGGGCTAGGGTAATGTTTAAGGTTTTTGGCGTTAGGGTTAAAATCAATGTCCAAAACCTTTGTAGGAACTCTTTTCCAACCTTTGAGAGCAAGTTAGACCAAAACAAAAAGAAAAATAAAAAATATATAAGGGGTGTTCGGGCTTCCTGAAGGTAATACCCGGGTATTAGGTTATGGGGCTAGGGTAAGGTTTAAGGTTTTTCAGCGTGAGGATAAAAATCACCGTCCAAAACCTTTGTAGGAACTCTTTTCCAACCTTTGGGAATTAGTTAGACAAAAAAAAAAAGGTATATGCGTTAGGGTTAAAATAACTATCCAATATTTTTTAAGGAACATGTTTCAGACCTTTTGGAGCTAGTTTGACCAAAAAAAAAGAAAAAGAAAAAATATATATTTGGGGTGTTCGGGCTTCGTGAAGGTAATACCCGGGTATTAGGTTTTGGGGCTAGGGTTAGGTTTAAGGTTTTTGGCGTTAGGGTTAAAATAACTGTCCAATATTTTTTAAGGAACATGTTTCAGACCTTTGGGAGTTAGTTAAACAAAAAAAAAAGAAAAAGAAAACAAAAATATTTGGGGTGTTCGGGCTTCCTGAAGGTAATACCCGGGTATTAGGTTATGGGGCTAGGGTAAGGTTTAAGGTTTTTGGCGTTAGAGTTAAAATCAATGTCCAAAACCTTTTTAGGAACATGTTTAAGACCTTTTGGAGCTCGTTAGACAAAAAAAAAAAGATAAATGAAAAAAAAATATTTGGGGTGTTCGGGCTTCCTGAAGGTAATAACCGGGTATTAGGTTATGGGGCTAGGGTAAGGTTTAAGGTTTTTGGCGTAAGGGTTAAAATCACTGTCCAAAACCTTTTTAGGAACATGTTTCAGACCTTTTGGAGTTGGTTACACCAAAAAAAATGTAAAATGAAAAGAAAATTTTTGGGGTGTTCGGGCTTCCTGAAGGTAATACTAGGTTAATGGGCTAGGGTAATGTTTAAGGTTTTTGGCGTTAGGGTTAAAATCAATGTCCAAAACCTTTGTAGGAACTCTTTTCCAACCTTTGAGAGCAAGTTAGACCAAAACAAAAAGAAAAATAAAAAATATATAAGGGGTGTTCGGGCTTCCTGAAGGTAATACCCGGGTATTAGGTTATGGGGCTAGGGTAAGGTTTAAGGTTTTTCAGCTTGAGGATAAAAATCACGGTCCAAAACCTTTGTAGGAACTCTTTTCCAACCTTTGGGAATTAGTTAGACAAAAAAAAAAAGGTAAATGCGTTAGGGTTAAAATAACTATCCAATATTTTTTAAGGAACATGTTTCAGACCTTTTGGAGCTAGTTTGACCAAAAAAAAAAGAAAAAGAAAAAATATATATTTGGGGTGTTCGGGCTTCGTGAAGGTAATACCCGGGTATTAGGTTTTGGGGCTAGGGTTAGGTTTAAGGTTTTTGGCGTTAGGGTTAAAATAACTGTCCAATATTTTTTAAGGAACATGTTTCAGACCTTTGGGAGTTAGTTAGACAAAAAAAAAAGAAAAAGAAAACAAAAATATTTGGGGTGTTCGGGCTTCCTGAAGGTAATACCTGGGTATTAGGTTTTGGGGCTAGGGTAAGGTTTAAGGTTTTTGGTGTTAGGGTTAGAATCACTGTCCAAAACCTTTGTAGGAACTCTTTTCCGACCTTTTGGAGTTAGTTAGACCAAAAAAAAAGAAAAAAGAAAAAAATATATTTGGGGTCTTCGGGCTTCCTGAAGGTAATACCCGGGTATGAGGTTATGGGGCTAGGGATAGGTTTAAGGTTTTTGGCGTTAGGGTTAAAATCACTGTCCAAAACCTTTTTAGGAACATGTTTCAGACCTTTTGGAGTTGGTAACACCAAAAAAAAATTTAAAATGCAAAAAAAAAAAAAATTTGGGGTGTTCAAGCTTCCTGAAGGTAATACCCGGGTATTAGGTTTTGGGCCTAGGGTAAGGTTTCAAGGTTTTTGGCGTTAGGGTTAAAATCACTGTCCAAAACCTTTTAAGGAACAAGATTCAGACCTTTTGGAGTTGGTTACACCAAAAAAAAATGTAAAATGAAAAAAAAAATATTTGGGGTGTTCAGGCTTCCTTAAGGTAATACCCTTCAGGTTTAAGTATTAGGTTATGGGGCTAGGATTAGGTTTAAGGTTTTTGGCGTAAGGGTTAAAATCACTGTCCAATATTTTTTAAGGAACATGTTTCAGACCTTTTGGAGCTAGTTTGACCAAAAAAAAAAAGAAAAAGAAAAAATATATATTTGGGGTGTTCGGGCTTCCTGAAGGTAATACCCGGGTATTAGGTTATGGGGCTAGGTTAAGGTTTAAGGTTTTTGGCGTGAGGGTTAAAATCACTGTCCAAAACCTTTGTAGGAAGTCTTTTCCAACCTTTTGGAGTTAGTTAGACAAAAAAAAAGATAAATGAAAAAAAAATATTTGGGGTGTTCGGGCTTCCTGAAGGTAATACCCGGGTATTAGGTTATGGGGCTAGGGTAAGGTTTAAGGTTTTTGGCGTAAGGGTTAAAATCACTGTCCAAAACCTTTTTAGGAACATGTTTCAGACCTTTTGGAGTTGGTTACACCAAAAAAAATGTAAAATGAAAAAAAATTTTTTTGGGTGTTCGGGCTTCCTGAAGGTAATACTAGGTTTCTGGGCTAGGGTAATGTTTAAGGTTTTTGGCGTTAGGGTTAAAATCAATGTCCAAAACCTTTGTAGGAACTCTTTTCCAACCTTTGAGAGCAAGTTAGACCAGAACAAAAAGAACTAGGGCCCCGGTGGGGCACTGTCGGGCCCGAGCCGCGTCGTGCCGCCCCCAGCGTGACCGCCTCCCCCTCCCGATCGCGTCACACTCAAGGTCCAAAGATGGTGTACGCACTTGTCTGTGGTCATTTCCCATTATAATGAATGGGAGGCGCAGTTTCTACCAAAACACTCGCTGCAGACAAACTTCATGTCCTATTTGAAAAAAGTCTGGACCATGAGTGAGGGCACAAACACAGCTGGGATATATCCAAATGGCAGGTTGCTCCTCGTTACGGTGTTGCCTGGAGAGCGATGCGATTGAGCCATTGAGCGATGGGCAGGAAAAACTTGACTTTTTCTCCTGCCATGGGGGGGGGGGAGAATGTGGATTCTTTTAAGAATGTGGATTTTTTGGTCATCTTTGGCGCCCCCTAGAACGTAAACCGTGGGGTGCAGCGTCATGATTTTTACAACTTTGAATGGCCATGGGGTGTAGATTGGCCTGAGCAAATTTGGTTTCAGTGGGACGAAAGCCTTAGGAGGAGTTAGCCACATTCCAATGTGTGCGAATCGGCAAAAAATGCAAAATAGCCCTCTAACCGTACATTTGACAGATACGCACCCATTGACTTTTTCGTAGATCTTATTGAGATACACGTGATTGTCAAATTTTGTGTCAATATGACAAAGCGTACAGGTGTCACACTCAACAATGTGAATTTTCACCTTACGGGACAAGAAAAAATTGACTTTTTTCTCCTGCCATGGGGGGGCGCTCTTTTGGGGAGTAAAAATTCCTTCACAAATGTGTTGATGGCTGGACATTGCATCATCCTAGAAAACTTGGAGGCCAGTGAGGGCAAAAATAAAAAGTTATAAGACTTTGAAATATGTGGATTTTAGGGTTATCTTTGGCGCCCCCTAGAACCTAAACCGTGGGGTGCAGCGTCATGATTTGAATAACTTTTAATGGCCATGGGGTGTAGATTGGCCTGAGCAAATGTGGTGCCGGTGGAAAGAAAGCCTTCGGAGGAGTTAGCGAAATTCCAATGTGTGCGGATCGGCAAAAAATGCGGAATAACCCTTTAACCGTACATTTGACAGATACGCCCGCACTGACTTTTTTGTAGATCTTATTGAGATACATATGTGTGTCAATTTTTGTGTCATTTTGACAAAGCGTAAAGGCGTGACAGTCAATAGTGTGAATTTTCACCTTAGGGGGCGCTATGGAGTCATTTTGCATTTTCTTGTTTGGGCGACTTCGGAATATCAAATTTTTCACCAGGCCCGGTCATCCTGCCAAATTTCATGAGTTTTCGCCAGTGGGAAGTGGGCCATTTTCCAGTTCAAAGGGGAGGAAAAAGAAGAAAGAAAGAAAGAAAGAAACAAGAACTAGGGCCCCGTTGGGGCACTGGCGGGCCCGAGCCGTGTCACGCCGCCCCAGCGCGACCACCTCCCCCACCCGATCGCGTCACACTCAAGGTCCAAAGATGGTGTGCGCACTTGTTTGTGGTCATTTACCATTATAATGAACGGGAGGCGCAGTTTCTACCAAAAAGCTCGCTGCAGAAAAACTCCATGTCCTATTTGAAAAAAGTCTGGACCATGAGTGAGGGCACAGACACAGCTAAGATATATCCAAATGGCAAGTTGCTCCTCCTTTCGCTTTTGCCGAGAGAGCAGTGCGTTTGAGCCATTGAATGATGAACAGGAAAAACTTGACTTTATTCTCCTGCCATGGGGCGCTCTTTTAACGAGAAAAAACTCCTTCACAAATGTGTTGATGGCTGGACATTGCATCATCCTAGAAAACATGGAGGCCAGTGAGGACAAAAATAAAAAGTTATAAGACTTTTAAATATGTGGATTTTAGGGTTATCTTTGGCGCCCCCTAGAACCTAAACCGTGGGGTGCAGCGTCATGATTTGAATAACTTTTAATGGCCATGGGGTGTAGATTGGCCTGAGCAAATGTGGTGCCGGTGGAACGAAAGCCTTCGAAGGAGTTAGCGAAATTCCAATGTGTGCGAATCTGCAAAAAATGCGAAATAACCCTTTAACCGTACATTTGACAGATACGCACCCATTGACTTTTTCGAAGATCTTATTGAAATACACGTGTATGTAAAATCTTGTGTCAATACGACAAAACATACAGGCGTAGCACTCAACAATGTGTATTTTCACCTTAGTGGACAAGAAAAAATGGACTTTTTTCTCCTGCCATGGGGGGGCGCTCTTTTGGCGAGTAAAAATTCCTTCACAAATGTGTTGATGGCTGGACATTGCATCATCCTAGAAAACTTGGAGGCCAGTGGGGACAAAAATAAAAAGTTATAAGACTTTTAAATATGTGGATTTTACGGTTATCTTTGGCGCCCCCTAGAACCTAAACCGTGGGGTGCAGCGTCATGATTTGAATAACTTTTAATGGCCATGGGGTGTAGATTGGCCTGAGCAAATGTGGTGCCGGTGGAACGAAAGCCTTCGGAGGAGTTAGCGAAATTCCAATGTGTGCGGATCGGCAAAAAATGCGGAATAACCCTTTAACTGTACATTTGACAGATACGCGCGCATTGACTTTTTCGTAGATCTTATTGAGATACATGTGTGTGTCAATTTTTGTGTCATTTTGCCAAAGCGTACAGGTGTTACACTCAACAATGTGTATTTTCACCTTAGGGGACAAGAAAAAATTGACTTTTTTCTCCTGCCATGGGGGGGCGCTCTTTTGGGGAGTAAAAATTCCTTCACAAATGTGTTGATGGCTGGACATTGCATCATCCTAGAAAACTTGGAGGCCAGTGAGGGCAAAAATAAAAAGCTATAAGACTTTTAAATATGTGGATCTTAGGGTTATCTTTGGCGCCCCCTAGAACCTAAACCGTGGGGTGCAGCGTCATGATTTGAATAACTTTTAATGGCCATGGGGTGTAGATTGGCCTGAGCAAATGTGGTGCCGGTGGAACGAAAGCCTTCGGAGGAGTTAGCGAAATTCCAATGTGTGCGGATCGGCAAAAAATGCAAAATAACCCTTTAACCGTACATTTGACAGATACGCCCGCACTGACTTTTTTGTAGATCTTATTGAGATACATGTGTGTGTCAATTTTTGTGTCATTTGTACAAAGCGTACAGGCGTGACAGTCAATAGTGTGAATTTTCACCTTAGGGGGCGCTATGGAGCCATTTTGCATTTTCTTGTTTGGGCGACTTCGGAATATAAAATTTTTCACCAGGCCCGGTCGTCCTGCCAAATTTCATGAGTTTTCGCCAGTGGGAAGTGGGCCATTTTCCAGTTCAAAGGGGAGGAAAAATAACTAGGGCCCCGGTGGGGCACTGTCGGGCCCGAGCCGCGTTGCGCCGCCCCCAGCGCGACCGCCTCCCCCTCCCGATCGCGTCACACTCAAGGTCCAAAGATGGTGTGCGCACTTGTCTGTGGTCATTTCCCATTAAAATGAATGGGAGGCGCAGTTTCTACCAAAACACTTGCTGCAGACAAACTACATGTCCTATTTGAAAAAAGTCTGGACCATGAGTGAGGGCACAAACACAGCTAGGATATATCCAAACGGCAAGTTGTTCCTCGTTACGGTATTGTTGACAAATATGACAGTCAACAATGTGTATTTTCACCTTATGGGACAAGAAAAAATGGACTTTTTTCTCCTGCCATGGGGGGGCGCTCTTTTGGGGAGTAAAAATTCCTTCACAAATGTGTTGATGGCTGGACATTGCATCATCCTAGAAAACTTGGAGGCCAGTGAGGACAAAAATAAAAAGTTATAAGACTTTATAAATATGTGGATTTTAGGGTTATCTTTGGCGCCCCCTAGAACCTAAACCGTGGGGTGCAGCGTCATGATTTGAATAGCTTTTAATGGCCATGGGGTGTAGATTGGCCTGAGCAAATGTGGTGCTAGTGGAACGAAAGCCTTAGGAGGAGTTAGCCACATTCCAATGTGTGCGGATCGGCAAAAAATGCGGAATAACCCTTTAACCGTACATTTGACAGATACGCGCGCATTGACTTTTTCGTAGATCTTATTGAGTTACATGTGTGTGTCAATTTTTGTGTCATTTTGACAAAGCGTATAGGCGTGACACTCAACAATGTGTATTTTCACCTTAGGGGACAAGAAAAAATGGACTTTTTTCTCCTGCCATGGGGGGGCGCTCTTTTGGGGAGCAAAAATTCCTTCACAAATGTGTTGATGGCTGGACATTGCATCATCCTAGAAAACTTGGAGGCCAGTGAGGACAAAAATAAAAAGTTATAAGACTTTTAAATATGTGGATTTTAGTGTTATCTTTGGCGCCCCCTAGAACCTAAACCTTGGGGTGCAGCGTCATGATTTTGATAACTTTTAATGGCCACGGGGTGTAGATTGGCCTGAGCAAATGTGGTGCCGGTGGAATGAAAGCCTTCGGAGGAGTTAGCGAAATTCCAATGTGTGCGGATCGGCAAAAAATGCGAAATAACCCTTTAACCGTACATTTGACAGATACGCCCGCACTGACTTTTTTGTAGATCTTATTGAGATACATATGTGTGTCAATTTTTGTGTCAATATGACAAAGCGTACAGGCGTGACAGTCAATAGTGTGAATTTCCACCTTAGGGGGCGCTATGGAGCCATTTTGCATTTTCTTGTTTGGGCGACTTCGGAATATCAAATTTTTCACCAGGCCCGGTCATCCTGCCAAATTTCATGAGTTTTCGCCAGTGGGAAGTGGGCCATTTTCCAGTTCAAAGGGGAGGAAAAAGAAGAAAGAAAGAAAGAAACAAAGAAACAAAGAAAAACCACTTGGGGAATAATAGGGCCTACGCCCGGCTGCTCTGCAGCTGGCTCGGGACCTAATAACAAAAGAAGGAAACATGCAGGAACAAGAGGGCTCTCGCAGCTGCTTAGCAGCTACGCTCGGGCCCTAAAAACCACTTGGGGAATAATAGGGCTCTCGCAGCTGCTTAGCAGCTACGCTCGGGCCCTAAAAATAAAAATATATATTTGGGGTGTTCGGGCTTCCTGAAGGTAATACCCAGGTATTAGGTTATGGGGCTAGGGTAAGGTTTAAGGTTTTTGGCGTGAGGGTAAAAATCACTGTCCAAAACCTTTGTAGGAACTCTTTTCCAACCTTTGGGATTAAGTTAGACAAAAAAAAAAAAGATAAATGAAAAAAAAATATTTGGGGTGTTCGGGCTTCCTGAAGGTAATACCCAGGTATTAGGTTTTGGGGCTAGGGTTAGGTTTAAGGTTTTTGGCGTTAGGGTCAAAATAACTGTCCAATATTTTTTAAGGAACATGTTTAAGACCTTTGGGAGTTGGTTACACCAAAAAAAAAAGTAAAATTAAAAAAAAATATATTTGGGGTGTTCGGGCTTCCTGAAGGTAATACCTGGGTATTAGGTTTTGGGGCTAGGGTAAGGTTTAAGGTTTTTGGTGTTAGGGTTAAAATCACTGTCCAAAACCTTTGTAGGAACTCTCTCCAACCTTTTGGAGTTAGTTAGACCAAAAAAAACAAAAGAAAAAAATATATATTTGGGGTCTTCGGGCTTCCTGAAGGAAATACCCAGGTATTAGGTTATGGGGCTAGGGTAAGGTTTAAGGTTTTTGGCGTTAGGGTTAAAATCACTGTCCAAAACCTTTTTAGGAACATGTTTCAGACCTTTTGGAGTTGGTTACACCAAAAAAAAAATGTAAAATGAAAAAAAAAATATTTGGGGTCTTCGGGCTTCCTGAAGGAAATACCCAGGTATTAGGTTATGCCGGGTATTAGGTTTTGGGGCTAGGGTTAGGTTTAAGGTTTTTGGCGTTAGGGTTAAAATCACTGTCCAATATTTTTTAAGGAACATGTTTCAGACCTTTGGGAGTTAGTTAGACAAAAAAAAAAAAGAAAAAGAAAAAAAAATTTGGGGTGTTCGGGCTTCCTGAAGGTAATACCCTGGTATTAGGTTAAGGGGCTAGGGTAAGGTTTAAGGTTTTTGGTGTTAGGGTTAAAATCACCGTCCAAAACCTTTGTAGGAACTCTTTTCCGACCTTTTGGAGTTAGTTAGACCAAAAAAAAAGAAAAAAGAAAAAACTAGGGCCCCGTTGGGGCACTGGCGGGCCCGAGCTGTGTCGCGCCGCCCCCAACACGACCGCCTCTCCCTCCCGATCGCATCACACTCAAGGTCCAAAGATGGTGTTCGCACTTGTCTGTGGTCATTTACCATTATAATGAATGGGAGGCGCAGTTTCTGCCAAAACGCTCGCTGCAGACAAACTACATGTCCTATTTGAAAAAAGTCTGGATCATGAGTGAGGGCACAAACACAGCTAGGATATATCCAAATGGCAAGTTGCTCCTCCTTTCGGAGGAGTTTGAACACATGACATGTGTTTGAGCCATTGAGCGATGGGCAGGAAAAACTTGACTTTTTCTCCTGCCATGGGGGGGCGCTCTTTTGGGGAGTAAAAATTCCTTCACAAATGTGTTGATGGCTAGACAATGCATCATCCTAGAAAACTTGGAAGCCAGTGAGGACAAAAATGAAAAGTTATAAGACTTTTAAGAATGTGGATTTTTGGGTTATCTTTGGCGCCCGCTAGAATGTAAACCGTGGGGTGCAGCGTCATGATTTGTACAACTTTTAATGGCCATGGGGTGTAGATTGGCCTGAGCAAATGTGGTGCCGGTGGAACGAAAGCCTTCGGAGGAGTTAGCGAAATTCCAATGTGTGCGGATCTGCAAAAAATGCGAAATAGCCCTTTAACCGTACATTTGACAGATACGTGCGCATAGAATTTTTGTAGATCTTATTGAGATACACGTGTGTGTCAAATTTTGTGTCAATATGACAAAGCGTATAGGCGTGACACTCAACAATATGTATTTTCACCTTAGGGGACAAGAAAAAATGGACTTCTTTCTCCTGCCATGGGGGGGCGCTCTTTTGGGGAGTAAAAATTCCTTCACAAATGTATTGATGGCTGGACATTGCATCATCCTAGAAAACTTGGAGGCCAGTGAGGGCAAAAATAAAAAGTTATTAGACTTTTAAGAATGTGGATTTTTGGGTTTTCTTTGGCGCCCCCTAGAACCTAAACCGTGGGGTGCAGCGTCATGATTTGAACAACTTTTAATGGCCATGGGGTGTAGATTGGCCTGAGCAAATGTGGTGCCGGTGGAACGAAAGCCTTCGGAGGAGTTAGCGAAATTCCACTGTGTGCGGATCGGCAAAAAATGCAAAATAGCCCTTTAACCGTACATTTGACAGATACGCCCGCACTGACTTTTTTGTAGATCTTATTGAGATACACGTGTGTGTCAAATTTTGTGTCATTTTGACAAAGCGTACAGGTGTGACACTCAACAATGTGTATTTTCACCTTAGGGGACAAGAAAAAATGGACTTTTTTCTCCTGCCATGGGGGGGCGCTCTTTTGGGGAGTAAAAATTCCTTCACAAATGTGTTGATGGCTGGACATTGCATCATCCTAGAAAACTTGGAGGCCAGTGAGGACAAAAATAAAAAGTTATAAGACTTTTAAATATTTGGATTTTAGTGTTATCTTTGGCGCCCCCTAGAACCTAAACCTTGGGGTGCAGCGTCATGATTTTGATAACTTTTAATGGCCACGGGGTGTAGATTGGCCTGAGCAAATGTGGTGCCGGTGGAACGAAAGCCTTCGGAGGAGTTAGCGAAATTCCAATGTGTGCGGATCGGCAAAAAATGCGAAATAACCCTTTAACCGTAATTTTGACAGATACGGCCGCACTGACTTTTTTGTAGATCTTATTGAGATACATATGTGTGTCAATTTTTGTGTCAATATGACAAAGCGTACAGGCGTGACAGTCAATAGTGTGAATTTCCACCTTAGGGGGCGCTATGGAGCTATTTTGCATTTTATTGTTTGGGCGACTTCAGAATATCGAATTTTTCACCAGGCCCGGTCGTCCTGCCAAATTTCATGAGTTTTCGCCAGTGGGAAGTGGGCCATTTTCCAGTTCAAAGGGGAGGAAAAAGAAGAAAGAAAGAAAGAACTAGGGCCCCGTTGGGGCACTGTCGGGCCCGAGCCGTGTCGCACCCCCCCCCCCCCCTCCCCCTCCCCCCAACGTGCTGCCTCCCCGTCCCATTTGTGTCCTCTGGCCATCGCCCTCTCTGGAAACGCCCATCACTGCAAAGACCCTTTTCCTTCATCGGCGTTTGCTGTTCTTCCTGCCAGTGCGTGTTGCTTTCACTTACACTTGCCACAGACAGCCTCGTGAGTGCCTAGCCTATTCGATATCACTGTCACCTACACAGGACAGTCATTACCTTTCTATTAATACTTTGTGTTTTAATTTCACATTAATTTCCATATTGTATAAACGACTGGAAAAAACTTGAGCCCCTGCCCCTGTATAATCATGTGCATGTCTCTGTTCTAGCTCCAAGGTGAATCTTCACTGCTCATGTTCTCCTCAGAAGCACTCACCTCACTCCCCTCAGGTTACTGTACACATGCACCAACTGCCTGCTTCAGGTTTGGATGGAGCTTCATGGTTGTCTTTTGGAGAAATGACCAGTCAAGTTGTGTTTGAAATTTGATTTTTTTCAGGGGCAAAAGGAGCCTCTGCATTCTTGTCAAATATGTAAATAGCATGTTTTTGCAGGTGCTAAAAACCAGACTCTGAGTGTGTGTGTGTGTGTGTGTGTGTGTGCGTGTGTGTGTGTCTGTGTGTGCGTTCAAGTCACATGACATATTTAACCGGATGTAGCTGCAAGACGGAGCCTCGTTGACTCTCCGTTTCAACTTATCTCAAAAGTGAGGACCTCAACCTATATACCAGTTTTTAAATTGTGTTGATAGGCCAAATAAAACCAGAGTTATGATAAATTATGTCCGCGATACTTGTTTTCTGCTTATTTTGATCACGTTCGGCGCTCGATCGCGCTGTATGAGACAGGAAAACATAGCATGCAGACATTAGCGACAGGTCTTACAGGCGGAAAAGGCTTGCCAAAAGAAAAAAAAAACACACCACAACATCTCTCCTATTGGTGGAAAACTTCACCACAACAACCAATCCAAAATTATATGGTGACTGATTGACAAGGGGCGGGCGCTTACGTTCTTCCTGCAACATGAGAAGGGAGGGAGGGACTCTCAGCAGGGATGCAGTCTGGGACACGTAGTTGCAAACCTAGCGACTTTGTTGTTAGATTCAATGACTTTTCAGACCCCCTAACGACTTTTTTTTTAGAAAGAAAGGGACTTTTATCGACTTCTTCTGGAGTTTAGAGACTCTGACATGAAGCAGGCTTTCCTTACTGAGGAGTTAGCAACGCTGCTAAGGGTGCAGAGCCACACATGCGCTCAGAGCTCTGCATGGGAGACTGAAGCTGACAGAGCTGCAGCAGTTAGCAGGTTTCACCCTCAGAGACCACCAGGGGTTCATGTTGAGGCATTTTAAATTTTTTTTTTTTTTGTGCCATAGACACTGTCAGCACAATCTGCAGTAACACTAACAAAAATGCTGCAAAAAACAAAGAATTATGGAAAAATTACACATGGACTGACATAGAGGAGGATCTACACAAGTTTTTTACATCATGTTTTACATCATGCATCATTTACATCATGTTTTTTTGTAGTGGTATAAATAAAAAGTGACATTTGTGAGACTATACAGTGTTTTGTAAATAATTTTACAAAGAACGCCTGGGCCATTGCCTGCATTTTGATGTAAATAGAGGTAAATCACTATGTTCTTTGTTAAAAATTTGCATATGTTTTGAAGTTTACAATTTTTATTTGAAGTTTAAGTTTTAAAAACAGTTCATCACACATATTTGTGGTTTAATTTCACATTAATTTCCATATTGTATAAATGACTGGAAAAAACTTGAGCCCCTGCCCCTGTATAATCATGTGCACGTCCCTGTTCTAGCTCCAAGGTGAATCTTCACTGCTCATGTTCTCCTCAGAAATAGTCACCTCACTCCCCTCAGGTTACTGTACACATGCACCAACTATCTGCTTCAGGTTTGAAATGGAGCTTCATGGTTGTCTTTTGGAGAAATGAACAGTCAAGTTGTGTTTGAAATTTGATTTTTTTCAGGGGCAAAAGGAAGCCTCTGCATTCTTGTCAAATATGTAAACAGCATGTTTTTGCAGGTGCTAAAAAACAGACTCTGAGTGTGTGTGTGTGTCTGTGTGTGTGTGTGTGTGTGTGTGTGTGTGTATGTTGGCGTGTGTGTATATGTGTGTGTATCCTGCAGTACTCTGTACTCCTGCAGTGGCCAAAAAGACTTTTAAGAATGTGGATTTTTGGGTCATCTTTGGCGCCCCCTAGAACTGCAGTACTCTGTACTCCTGCAGTGGCCAAAATGACTTTTAAGAATGTGGATTTTTGGGTCATTTTTGGCGCCCCCTAGAACGTAAACCGTGGGGTGCAGCGTCATGATTTTTACAACTTTGAATGGGCATGGGGTGTAGATTGCCCTGAGCAAATTTGGTATCGGTGGGACGAAAGCCTTAGGAGGAGATAGCCACATTCCAATGTGTGCGAATCGGCAAAAAATGCAAAATAGCCCTTTAACCGTACATTATACAGATACGCGCTCTTTGACTTTTTCGTAGATCTAATTGAGATACACATGATTGTCAATTTTTGTGTCAATATGACAAAGCGTTCAGGCGTGACACTCAACAATGTGTATTTTTATGTAAGGGGACAAGAAAAAATTGACTTTTTTCTCCTACCATGGGGGGGCGCTCTTTTGGGGAGTAAAAATTCCTTCACAAATGTGTTGATGGCTGGACATTGCATCATCCTAGAAAACTTGGAGGCCAGTGAGGACAAAAATAAAAAGTTATAAAACATTTAAGAATGTGGATTTTTGGGTTATTTTTGGCGCCCCCTAGAACCTAAACCATGGGGTGCAGCATCATGATTTGAATAACTTTTAATGGCCATGGGGTGTAGATTGGCCTGAGCAAATGTGGTGCCGGTGGAACGAAAGCCTTCGGAGGAGTTAGCGAAATTCCAATGTGTGCGTATCGGCAAAAAATGCGGAATAACCCTTTAACTGTACATTTGACAGATACGCGCGCACTGACTTTTTTGTAGATCTTATTGAGTTACATGTGTGTGTCAATTTTTGTGTCATTTTGACAAAGCGTATAGGCGTGACACTCAACAATGTGTATTTTCACCTTAGGGGACAAGAAAAAATGGACTTTTTTCTCCTGCCATGGGGGGGCGCTCTTTTGGGGAGTAAAAATTCCTTCACAAATGTGTTGATGGCTGGACATTGCATCATCCTAGAAAACTTGGAGGCCAGTGAGGACAAAAATAAAAAGTTATAAGACTTTTAAATATGTGGATTTTAGTGTTATCTTTGGCGCCCCCTAGAACCTAAACCTTGGGGTGCAGCGTCATGATTTTGATAACTTTTAATGGCCACGGGGTGTAGATTGGCCTGAGCAAATGTGGTGCCGGTGGAACGAAAGCCTTCGGAGGAGTTAGCGAAATTCCAATGTGTGCGGATCGGCAAAAAATGCGAAATAACCCTTTATCCGTAATTTTGACAGATACGGCCGCACTGACTTTTTTGTAGATCTTATTGAGATACATATGTGTGTCAATTTTTGTGTCAATATGACAAAGCGTACAGACGTGACAGTCAATAGTGTGAATTTCCACCTTAGGGGGCGCTATGGAGCCATTTTGCATTTTATTGTTTGGGCGACTTCAGAATATCGAATTTTTCACCAGGCCCGGTCGTCCTGCCAAATTTCATGAGTTTTCGCCAGTGGGAAGTGGGCCATTTTCCAGTTCAAAGGGGAGGAAAAAGAAGAAAGAAAGAAAGAAAGAAAGAAACAAAGAAAAACCTCTTGGGGAATAATAGGGCCTACGCCCGGCTGCTCTGCAGCTGGCTCGGGCCCTAACTAGGGCCCCGGTGGGGCACTGTCGGGCCCGAGCCGCGTCGCGCCGCCCCCAGTGCGACCGCCTCCCCGTCCCGATCGAGTCACACTCAAGAACCAAAGATGGTGTGCGCACTTGTCTGTGGTCATTTCCCATTATAATGAATGGGAGGCGCAGTTTCTACCAAAACACTCGCTGCAGACAAACTTCATGTCCTATTTGAAAAAAGTCTGGACCATGAGTGAGGGCACAAACACAGCTATGATATATCGAAATGCCAGGTTGCTCCTCCTTACGGTGTTGCCTGGAGAGCGATGCGATTGAGCCATTGAGCGATGGGCAGGAAAAACTTGACTTTTTCTCCTGCCATAGGGGGGGGGATGTGGATTCTTTTAAGAATGTGGATTTTTGGGTCATCTTTGGCGCCCCCTAGAACGTAAACCGTGGGGTGCAGCGTCATGATTTTTACAACTTTGAATGGCAATGGGGTGTAGATTGGCCTGAGCAAATTTGGTGTCAGTGGGTCGAAAGCCTTAGGAGGAGTTAGCCACATTCCAATGTGTGCGAATCGGCAAAAAATGCAAAATAGCCCTTTAACCGTACATTTGACAGATACGCGCGAATTGACTTTTTTGTAGATCTTATTGAGATACATATGTGTGTCAATTTTTGTGTCAATATGATAAAGCGTACAGGCGTGACAGTCAATAGTGTGAATTTCCACCTTAGGGGACAAGAAAAAATTGACTTTTTTCTCCTGCCATGGGGGGGCGCTCTTTTGGGGAGTAAAAATTCCTTCACAAATGTGTTTATGGCTGGACATTGCATCATCCTAGAAAACTTGGAGGCCAGTGAGGACAAAAATAAAAAGTTATAAGACTTTTAAATATGTGGATTTTAGGGTTATCTTTGGCGCCCCCTAGAACCTAAACCGTGGGATGCAGCGTCATGATTTGAATAACTTTTAATGGCCATGGGGTGTAGATTGGCCTGAGCAAATGTGGTGCCGGTGGAACGAAAGCCTTCGGAGGAGTTAGCGAAATTCCAATGTGTGCGGATCGGCAAAAAATGCGGAATAACCCTTTAACCGTACATTTGACAGATACGCGCGCATTGACTTTTTCGTAGATCTTATTGAGATACATGTGTGTGTCAATTTTTGTGTCATTTTGCCAAAGCGTACAGGTGTTACACTCAACAATGTGTATTTTCACCTTAGGGGACAAGAAAAAATTGACTTTTTTCTCCTGCCATGGGGGGGCGCTCTTTTGGGGAGTAAAAATTCCTTCACAAATGTGTTGATGGCTGGACATTGCATCATCCTAGAAAACTTGGAGGCCAGTGAGGGCAAAAATAAAAAGTTATAAGACTTTTAAATATGTGGATCTTAGGGTTATCTTTGGCGCCCCCTAGAACCTAAACCTTGGGGTGCAGCGTCATGATTTGAATAACTTTTAATGGCCATGGGGTGTAGATTGGCCTGAGTAAATGTGGTGCCGGTGGAACGAAAGCCTTCGGAGGAGTTAGCGAAATTCCAATGTGTGCGGATCGGCAAAAAATGCGAAATAACCCTTTAACCGTACATTTGACAGATACGCCCGCACTGACTTTTTTGTAGATCTTATTGAGATACATGTGTGTGTCAAATTTTGTGTCATTTTGACCAAGCGTATAGGCGTGACAGTCAACAATGTGTTTTTTCACCTTAGGGGACAAGAAAAAATGGACTTTTTTCTCCTGCCATGGGGGGGCGCTCTTTTCGGGAGTAAAAATTCCTTTACAAATGTGTGGATGGCTGGACATTGCATCATCCTAGAGAACTTGGAGGCCAGTGAGGACAAAAATAAAAAGTTATAAGACTTTTAAGACTGTGGATTTTTGGGTTATCTTTGGCGCCCCCTAGAACGTAAACCGTGGGGTGCAGCGTCATGATTTGTACAACTTTTAATGGCCATGGGGTGTAGATTGGCCTGAGCAAATGTGGTGCCGGTGGAACGAATGCCTTCGGAGGAGTTAGCGAAATTTCAATGTGTGCAGATCGGCAAAAAATGCAAAATAACCCTCTAACCGTACATTTCACAGATGCGCCCGCGCTGACTTTTTCGTAGACCGTATTGAGATACACGTGTGTGTCAATTTTTGTGTCAATATGACAAAGCGTACAGGCGTGACAGTCAATAGTGTGAATTTTCGCCTTAGGGGGCGCTATGGAGCCATTTTGCATTTTATTGTTTGGGCGACTTCAGAATATCGAATTTTTCACCAGGCCCGGTCGTCCTGCCAAATTTCATGAGTTTTCGCCAGTGGGAAGTGGGCCATTTTCCCCTTCAAAGGGGAGGAAAAATAAGAAGAAAGAAAGAAAGAAAGAAAGAAGAAAGAAAAACCTATACAGGAATAATAGGGCTCTACGCCCGGCTGCTCTGCAGCTGGCTCGGGCCCTAAAGAAAGAAAGAAAGAAAGAAAGAAACAAAGAAAAACCACTTGGGGAATAATAGGGCTCTCGCAGCTGCTTAGCAGCTACGCTCGGGCCCTAAATATATTTGGGGTCTTCGGGCTTCCTGAAGGAAATACCCGGGTATGAGGTTATGGGGCTAGGGTAAGGTTTAAGGTTTTTGGCGTCAGGGTTAAAATCACTGTCCAAAACCTTTTTAGGAACATGTTTCAGACCTTTTGGAGTTGGTAACACCAAAAAAAAATGTAAAATGAAAAAAAAAATATTTGGGGTGTTCAAGCTTCCTGAAGGTAATACCCAGGTATTAGGTTTTGGGGCTAGGGTAAGGTTTAAGGTTTTTGGTGTTAGGGTTAAAATCACCGTCCAAAACCTTTGTAGGAACTCTTTTCCAACCTTTTGGAGTTAGTTAGACAAAAAAAAAAAGATAAATGAAAAAAAAATATTTGGGGTGTTCGGGCTTCCTGAAGGTAATACCCGGGTATTAGGTTATGGATCTAGGGTAAGGTTTAAGGTTATGGGGCTAGGGTTAAAATCACTGTCCAAAACCTTTGTAGGAACTCTTTTCCAACCTTTGAGAGCAAGTTCGACCAAAAAAAAAGATAAATAAAAAATATATATTTGGGGTGTTCGGGCTTCCTGAAGGTATTAGGTTATGGGGCTAGGTTAAGGTTTTAAGGTTTTTTGGAGTTGGTTACACCAAAAAAAAATATAAAATGAAAAAAAATATATATTTGGGGTGTTCGGGCTTCCTGAAGGTAATACCCGGGTATTAGGTTTAGGGGCTAGGGTAAGGTTTAAGGTTTTTGGTGTTAGGGTTAGTTCACTGTCCAAATCCTTTGTAGGAACTCTTTTCCAACCTATTGGAGTTAGTTAGACCAAAAAAAAAAGAAAAAAGAAAAAATATATTTGGGGTGTTCGGGTTTCCTGAAGGTAATACCCGGGTATTAGGTTATGGGGCGAGGGTAAGGTTTAAGGTTTTTGGTGTTAGGGTTAAAATCACTGTCCAAAACCTTTTTAGGAACATGTTTCAGACCTTTTGGAGTTGGTAACACCAAAAAAAAATGTAAAATGAAAAAAAAATATTTGGGGTGTTCAAGCTTCCTAAAGGTAATACCCGGGTATTAGGTTTTGGGGCTAGGGTAAGGTTTAAGGTTTTTGGTGTTAGGGTTTAAATCACTGTCCAAAACCTTTGTAGGAACTATTTTCCAACCTTTTGGAGTTAGTTAGACCAAAGAAAAATGTAAAATTAAAAAAACTTTTTTTGGGTGTTCGGGCTTCCTGAAGGTAATACTAAGTTTTTGGGCTAGGGTAATGTTTAAGGTTTTTGGTGTTAGGGTTAAAATCAATGTCCAAAACCTTTGTAGGAACTCTTTTCCAACCTTTGAGAGCAAGTTAGACCAAAACAAAAAGAAAAATAAAAAATATATATTTGGGGTGTTCGGGCTTCCTGAAGGTAATACCCGGGTATTAGGTTATGGGGCTAGGGTAAGGTTTAAGGTTTTTCGGCGTGAGGGTAAAAATCACTGTCCAAAACCTTTGTAGGAACTATTTTCCAACCTTTGGGAATAAGTTAGACAAAAAAAAATAAGATAAATGAAAAAAAAATATTTGGGGTGTTCGGGCTTCCTGAAGGTAATACCCGGGTATTAGGTTTTGGGGCTAGGGTAAGGTTTAAGGTTTTTGGTGTTAGGGTTAAAATCACTGTCCAAAACCTTTTTAGGAACATGTTTCAGACCTTTTGGAGTAGGTTACACCAAAAAAAAATGTAAAATGAAAAAAAAATATTTGGGGTGTTCAAGCTTCCTGAAGGTAATACCCGGGTATTAGGTTTTGGGGCTAGGGTTAGGTTTAAGGTTTTTGGCATTAGGGTTAAAATAACTGTCCAATATTTTTTAAGGAACATGTCTCAGACCTTTGGGAGTTAGTTAGACAAAAAATAAAAGAAAAAGAAAAAAATATATATTTGGGGTGTTCGGGTTTCCTGAAGGTAATACCCGGGTATTAGGTTTTGGGGCTAGGGTAAGGTTTAAGGTTTTTGGTGTTAGAGTTAAAATCAGTGTCCAAAACCTTTTTAGGAACATGTTTAAGACCTTTTAGAGTTGGTTACACCAAAAAAAAATGTAAAATGAAAAAAAAATATTTGGGGTGTTCGGGCTTACTGAAGGTAATACCCAGGTATTAGGTTTTGGGGCTAGGGTAAGGTTTAAGGTTTTTGGTGTTAGGGTTAAAATCACTGTCCAAAACCTTTGTAGGAACTCTTTTCCAACCTTTTGGAGTTAGTTAGACCAAAAAAAAAGAAAAAATGAAAAAAATATATTTGGGGTCTTCGGGCTTCCTGAAGGAAATACCCAGGTATTAGGTTATGGGGCTAGGGTAAGGTTTAAGGTTTTTGGCGTTAGGGTTAAAATCACTGTCCAAAACCTTTTTAGGAACATGTTTCAGACCTTTTGGAGTTGGTTACACCAAAAAAAATGTAAAATGAAAAGAAAATATTTGGGGTGTTCAAGCTTCCTGAAGGTAATACCCGGGTATTAGTTCATGGGGCTATAGTAAGGTTTAAGGTTTTTGGCGTTAGGGTTAAAATCACTGTCCAAAACCTTTGTAGGAACTATTTTCCAACCTTTTGGAGTTAGTTAGACCAAAAAAAAAACGAAAAATGAAAAAAAAATATTTGGGGTTTTCGGGCTTACTGAAGGTAATACCCGGGTATTAGGTTTTGGGGCTAGGGTTAGGTTTAAGGTTTTTGGCGTTAGGGTTAAAATAACTGTCCAAAACCTTTGTAGGAACTCTTTTCCAACCTTTGAGAGCAAGTTAGACCAAAAAAAAAAAGATAAATGAAAAAAAGAATATTTGGGGTGTTCGGGCTTCCTGAAGGAAATACCCGGGTATTAGGTTTTTATGCTAGGGTTAGGTTTAAGGTTTTTGGCGTTAGGGTTAAAATAACTGTCCAATATTTTTTAAGGAACATGTTTCAGACCTTTGGGAGTTAGTTAGACAAAAAACAAAGAAAAAGAAAAAAAAAATATTTGGGGTGTTCGGGTTTCCTGAAGGTAATACCCGGGTATTAGGTTATGGGGCGAGGGTAAGGTTTAAGGTTTTTGGCGTTAGGGTTAAAATCACTGTCCAAAACCTTTTTAGGAACATGTTTCAGACCTTTTGGAGTTGGTAACACCAAAAAAAAATGTAAAATGAAAAAAAAATATTTGGGGTGTTCAAGCTTCCTAAAGGTAATACCCGGGTATTAGGTTTTGGGGCTAGGGTAAGGTTTAAGGTTTTTGGCGCAAGGGTTAAAATCACTGTCCAAAACCTTTTTAGGAACATGTTTCAGACCTTTTGGAGTTGGTTACACCAAAAAAAATGTAAAATGAAAAAAAAATTTTTTTGGGTGTTCGGGCTTCCTGAAGGTAATACTTTGTATTACCTTTGTAGGAAGTCTTTTCCAACCTTTTGGAGTTAGTCTTTTGTAGGAAGTCTTTTCCAACCTTTTGGAGTTAGTTAGACAAAAAAAAAAAGATAAATGAAAAAAAAATATTTGGGGTGTTCGGGCTTCCTGAAGGCAATACCCGGGTATTAGGTTTTTGGGCTAGGGTAAGGTTTAAGGTTTTTGGTGTTAGGGTTAAAATCACTGTCCAAAACCTTTTTAGGAACTCTTTTCCGACCTTTTGGAGTTAGTTAGACCAAAAAAAAATGTAAAATGAAAAAGAATTTTTTTGAGTGTTCGGGCTTCCTGAAGGTAATACTAGGTTTCTGGGCTAGGGTAATGTTTTAGGTTTTTGGCGTAAGGGTTAAAATCACTGTCCAAAACCTTTTTAGGAACTATTTTCCAACCTTTTGGAGTTAGTTAGACCAAAAAAAAACGAAAAATGAAAAAAAATATTTGGGGTGTTCGGGCTTCCTGAAGGTAATACTAGGTTTCTGGGCTAGGGTAATGTTTTAGGTTTTTGGCGTTAGGGTTAAAATCAATGTCCAAAACCTTTGTAGGAACTCTTTTCCAACCTTTGAGAGCAAGTTAGACCAAAACAAAAAGAAAAATGAAAAAAAAATATTTGGGGTGTTCAAGCTTCCTAAAGGTAATACCCGGGTATTAGGTTTTGGGGCTAGGGTAAGGTTTAAGGTTTTTGGTGTTAGGGTTTAAATCACTGTCCAAAACCTTTGTAGGAAGTCTTTTCCAACCTTTTGGAGTTAGTTAGACAAAAAAAAAACAAATGAAAAAAAAATGTTTAGGGTGTTCGGGCTTCCTGAAGGTAATACCCGGGTATTAGGTTATGGGGCTAGGGTAAGGTTTAAGGTTTTTGGCGTAAGGGTTAAAATCACTGTCCAAAACCTTTTTAGGAACATGTTCAGACCTTTAGGAGTTGGTTACACCAAAAAAAATGTAAAATGAAAAAAAATTTTTTGGGGGTGTTCGGGCTTCCTGAAGGTAATACTTTGTATTACCTTTGTAGGAAGTCTTTTCCAACCTTTTGGAGTTAGTCTTTTGTAGGAAGTCTTTTCCAACCTTTTGGAGTTAGTTAGACAAAAAAAAAAAGATAAATGAAAAAAAAATATTTGGGGTGTTCGGGCTTCCTGAAGGTAATACCCGAGTATTAGGTTATGGGGCTAGGGTAAGGTTTAAGGTTTTTGGCGTAAGGGTTAAAATCACTGTCCAAAACCTTTTTAGGAACATGTTTCAGACCTTTTGGAGTAGGTTACACCAAAAAAAAATGTAAAATGAAAAAAAAATATTTGGGGTGTTCGGGCTTCCTGAAGGTAATACCCGGGTATTAGGTTTTTGGGCTAGGGTAAGGTTTAAGGTTTTTGGTGTTAGGGTTAAAATCACTGTCCAAAACCTTTGTAGGAACTCTTTTCCGACCTTTTGGAGTTAGTTAGACCAAAAAAAAAATGTAAAATGAAAAAGAATTTTTTTGAGTGTTCGGGCTTCCTGAAGGTAATACTAGGTTTCTGGGCTAGGGTAATGTTTTAGGTTTTTGGCGTAAGGGTTAAAATCACTGTCCAAAACCTTTTTAGGAACTATTTTCCAACCTTTTGGAGTTAGTTAGACCAAAAAAAAACGAAAAATGAAAAAAAATATTTGGGGTGTTCGGGCTTCCTGAAGGTAATACTAGGTTTCTGGGCTAGGGTAATGTTTTAGGTTTTTGGCGTAAGGGTTAAAATCACTGTCCAAAACCTTTTTAGGAACTATTTTCCAACCTTTTGGAGTTAGTTCGACCAAAAAAAAACGAAAAATGAAAAAAAAATATTTGGGGTGTTCGGGCTTCCTGAAGGTAATACTAGGTTTCTGGGCTAGGGTAATGTTTTAGGTTTTTGGCGTTAGGGTTAAAATCAATGTCCAAAACCTTTGTAGGAACTCTTTTCCAACCTTTGAGAGCAAGTTAGACCAAAACAAAAATAAAAATAAAAATATATATATTTGGGGTGTTCGGGCTTCCTGAAGGAAATACCCGGGTATTAGGTTATGGGGCTAGGGTAAGGTTTAAGGTTTTTCGGCGTGAGGGTAAAAATCACTGTCCAAAACCTTTGTAGGAACTCTTTTCCAACCTTTGGGAATAAGTTAGACAAAAAAAATAAGATAAAAGAAAAAAATATATATTTGGGGTGTTCGGGTTTCCTGAAGGTAATACCCGGGTATTAGGTTATGGGGCTAGGGTAAGGTTTAAGGTTTTTGGCGTTAGAGTTAAAATCAGTGTCCAAAACCTTTTTAGGAACATGTTTAAGACCTTTTAGAGTTGGTTACACCAAAAAAAAATGTAAAATGAAAAAAAATTATTTGGGGTGTTCGGGCTTCCTGAAGGAAATACCCAGGTATTAGGTTATGGGGCTAGGGTAAGGTTGAAGGTTTTTGGCGTTAGGGTTAAAATCACTGTCCAAAACCTTTTTAGGAACATGTTTCAGACTTTTTGGAGTTGGTTACACCAAAAAAAAATGTAAAATGAAAAAAACTTTTTTTGGGTGTTCGGGCTTCCTGAAGGTAATACTAAGTTTTTGGGCTAGGGTAATGTTTAAGGTTTTTGGTGTTAGGGTTAAAATCAATGTCCAAAACCTTTGTAGGAACTCTTTTCCAACCTTTGAGAGCAAGTTAGACCAAAACAAAAAGAAAAATAAAAAATATATATTTGGGGTGTTCGGGCTTCCTGAAGGTAATACCCGGGTATTAGGTTATGGGGCTAGGGTAAGGTTTAAGGTTTTTCGGCGTGAGGGTAAAAATCACTGTCCAAAACCTTTGTAGGAACTCTTTTCCAACCTTTGGGAATAAGTTAGACAAAAAAAATAAGATAAATGAAAAAAAAATATTTGGGGTGTTCGGGCTTCCTGAAGGTAATACCCGGGTATTAGGTTTTGGGGCTAGGGTAAGGTTTAAGGTTTTTGGTGTTAGGGTTAAAATCACTGTCCAAAACCTTTTTAGGAACATGTTTCAGACCTTTTGGAGTAGGTTACACCAAAAAAAAAAATGTAAAATGAAAAAAAAATATTTGGGGTGTTCAAGCTTCCTGAAGGTAATACCCGGGTATTAGGTTTTGGGGCGAGGGTTAGGTTTAAGGTTTTTGGCATTAGGGTTAAAATAACTGTCCAATATTTTTTAAGGAACATGTCTCAGACCTTTGGGAGTTAGACAAAAAAAAAAGAAAAAGAAAAAAATATATATTTGGGGTGTTCGGGTTTCCTGAAGGTAATACCCGGGTATTAGGTTTTGGGGCTAGGGTAAGGTTTAAGGTTTTTGGTGTTAGGGTTAAAATCACTGTCCAAAACCTTTGTAGGAACTCTTCTCCAACCTTTTGGAGTTAGTTAGACCAAAAAAAAAGAAAAAATGAAAAAAATATATTTGGGGTCTTCGGGCTTCCTGAAGGAAATACCCAGGTATTAGGTTATGGGGCTAGGGTAAGGTTGAAGGTTTTTGGCGTTAGGGTTAAAATCACTGTCCAAAACCTTTTTAGGAACATGTTTCAGACCTTTTGGAGATGGTTACACCAAAAAAAATGTAAAATGAAAAGAAAATATTTGGGGTGTTCAAGCTTCCTGAAGGTAATACCCGGGTATTAGTTTATGGGGCTATAGTAAGGTTTAAGGTTTTTGGCGTTAGGGTTAAAATCACTGTCCAAAACCTTTGTAGGAACTATTTTCCAACCTTTTGGAGTTAGTTAGACCAAAAAAAAAACGAAAAATGAAAAAAAATATTTGGGGTTTTCGGGCTTACTGAAGGTAATACCCGGGTATTAGGTTTTGGGGCTAGGGTTAGGTTTAAGGTTTTTGGCGTTAGGGTTAAAATAACTGTCCAAAACCTTTGTAGGAACTCTTTTCCAACCTTTGGGAATTAGTTAGACAAAAAAAAAAAAGATAAATGAAAAAAAGAATATTTGGGGTGTTCGGGCTTCCTGAAGGAAATACCCGGGTATTAGGTTTTGGGGCTAGGGTTAGGTTTAAGGTTTTTGGCGTTAGGGTTAAAATAACTGTCCAATATTTTTTAAGGAACATGTTTCAGACCTTTGGGAGTTAGTTAGACAAAAAACAAAGAAAAAGAAAAAAAAAATATTTGGGGTGTTCGGGTTTCCTGAAGGTAATACCCGGGTATTAGGTTATGGGGCGAGGGTAAGGTTTAAGGTTTTTGGCGTTAGGGTGAAAATCACTGTCCAAAACCTTTTTAGGAACATGTTTCAGACCTTTTGGAGTTGGTAACACCAAAAAAAAAATGTAAAATGAAAAAAAAATATTTGGGGTGTTCAAGCTTCCTAAAGGTAATACCCGGGTATTAGGTTTTGGGGCTAGGGTAAGGTTTAAGGTTTTTGGTGTTAGGGTTTAAATCACTGTCCAAAACCTTTGAAGGAAGTCTTTTCCAACCTTTTGGAGTCAGTTAGACAAAAAAAAAAACAAATGAAAAAAAAATGTTTAGGGTGTTCGGGCTTCCTGAAGGTAATACCCGGGTATTAGGTTATGGGGCTAGGGTAAGGTTTAAGGTTTTTGGCGTAAGGGTTAAAATCACTGTCCAAAACCTTTTTAGGAACATGTTTCAGACCTTTAGGAGTTGGTTACACCAAAAAAAATGTAAAATAAAAAAAAAATTTTTTGGGGTGTTCGGGCTTCCTGAAGGTAATACTTTGTATTACCTTTGTAGGAAGTCTTTTCCAACCTTTTGGAGTTAGTCTTTTGTAGGAAGTCTTTTCCAACCTTTTGGAGTTAGTTAGACAAAAAAAAAAAAAGATAAATGAAAAAAAAGTATTTGGGTGTTCGGGCTTCCTGAAGGTAATACCCGGGTATTAGGTTATGGGGCTAGGGTAAGGTTTAAGGTTTTTGGCGTAAGGGTTAAAATCACTGTCCAAAACCTTTTTAGGAACTCTTTTCCAACCTTTGAGAGCAAGTTAGACCAAAACAAAAAGAAAAATAAAAAATATATATTTGGGGTGTTCGGGCTTCCTGAAGGTAATACCCGGGTATTAGGTTATGGGGCTAGGGTAAGGTTTAAGGTTTTTCGGCGTGAGGGTAAAAATCACTGTCCAAAACCTTTGTAGGAACTCTTTTCCAACCTTTGGGAATAAGTTAGACAAAAAAAATAAGATAAATGAAAAAAAAATATTTGGGGTGTTCGGGCTTCCTGAAGGTAATACCCGGGTATTAGGTTTTGGGGCTAGGGTAAGGTTTAAGGTTTTTGGTGTTAGGGTTAAAATCACTGTCCAAAACCTTTTTAGGAACATGTTTCAGACCTTTTGGAGTAGGTTACACCAAAAAAAAAAATGTAAAATGAAAAAAAAATATTTGGGGTGTTCAAGCTTCCTGAAGGTAATACCCGGGTATTAGGTTTTGGGGCGAGGGTTAGGTTTAAGGTTTTTGGCATTAGGGTTAAAATAACTGTCCAATATTTTTTAAGGAACAAGTCTCAGACCTTTGGGAGTTAGACAAAAAAAAAAGAAAAAGAAAAAAATATATATTTGGGGTGTTCGGGTTTCCTGAAGGTAATACCCGGGTATTAGGTTTTGGGGCTAGGGTAAGGTTTAAGGTTTTTGGCATTAGGGTTAAAATAACTGTCCAAAACCTTTTTAGGAACATGTTTAAGACCCTTTAGAGTTGGTTACACCAAAAAAAAATGTAAAATGAAAAAAAAATATTTGGGGTGTTCGGGTTTCCTGAAGGTAATACCCGGGTATTAGGTTTTGGGGCTAGGGTAAGGTTTAAGGTTTTTGGTGTTAGGGTTAAAATCACTGTCCAAAACCTTTGTAGGAACTCTTTTCCAACCTTTTGGAGTTAGTTAGACCAAAAAAAAAGAAAAAAATGAAAAAAATATATTTGGGGTCTTCGGGCTTCCTGAAGGAAATACCCAGGTATTAGGTTATGGGGCTAGGGTAAGGTTTAAGGTTTTTGGCGTTAGGGTTAAAATCACTGTCCAAAACCTTTTTAGGAACATGTTTCAGACCTTTTGGAGATGGTTACACCAAAAAAAATGTGAAATGAAAAGAAAATATTTGGGGTGTTCAAGCTTCCTGAAGGTAATACCCGGGTATTAGTTTATGGGGCTATAGTAAGGTTTAAGGTTTTTGGCGTTAGGGTTAAAATCACTGTCCAAAACCTTTGTAGGAACTATTTTCCAACCTTTTGGAGTTAGGTAGACCAAAAAAAAAACGAAAAATGAAAAAAAATATTTGGGGTTTTCGGGCTTACTGAAGGTAATACCCGGGTATTAGGTTTTGGGGCTAGGGTTAGGTTTAAGGTTTTTGGCGTTAGGGTTAAAATAACTGTCCAAAACCTTTGTAGGAACTCTTTTCCAACCTTTGGGAATTAGTTAGACAAAAAAAAAAAGATAAATGAAAAAAAGAATATTTGGGGTGTTCGGGCTTCCTGAAGGAAATACCCGGGTATTAGGTTTTGGGGCTAGGGTTAGGTTTAAGGTTTTTGGCGTTAGGGTTAAAATAACTGTCCAATATTTTTTATGGAACATGTTTCAGACCTTTGGGAGTTAGTTAGACAAAAAACAAAGAAAAAGAAAAAAAAATATTTGGGGTGTTCGGGTTTCCTGAAGGTAATACCCGGGTATTAGGTTATGGGGCGAGGGTAAGGTTTAAGGTTTTTGGCGTTAGGGTGAAAATCACTGTCCAAAACCTTTTTAGGAACATGTTTCAGACCTTTTGGAGTTGGTAACACCAAAAAAAAAATGAAAAATGAAAAAAAAATATTTGGGGTGTTCAAGCTTCCTAAAGGTAATACCCAGGTATTAGGTTTTGGGGCTAGGGTAAGGTTTAAGGTTTTTGGTGTTAGGGTTAAAATCACTGTCCAAAACCTTTGTAGGAACTCTTTTCCAACCTTTTGGAGTTAGTTAGACCAAAAAAAAAGAAAAAATGAAAAAAATATATTTGGGGTCTTCGGGCTTCCTGAAGGAAATACCCAGGTATTAGGTTATGGGGCTAGGGTAAGGTTTAAGGTTTTTGGCGTTAGGGTTAAAATCACTGTCCAAAACCTTTGTAGGAACTCTTTTCCAACCTTTGGGAATAAGTTAGACAAAAAAGTAAGATAAATGAAAAAAATATATTTGGGGTGTTCGGGCTTCCTGAAGGTAATACCCGGGTATTAGGTTTTGGGGCTAGGGTAAGGTTTAAGGTTTTTGGTGTTAGGGTTAAAATCACTGTCCAAAACCTTTTTAGGAACATGTTTCAGACCTTTTGGAGTAGGTTACACCAAAAAAAAATGTAAAATGAAAAAAAAATATTTGGGGTGTTCAAGTTTCCTGAAGGTAATACCCGGGTATTAGGTTTTGGGGCTAGGGTTAGGTTTAAGGTTTTTGGCATTAGGGTTAAAATAACTGTCCAATATTTTTTAAGGAACATGTCTCAGACCTTTGGGAGTTAGTTAGACAAAAAAAAAAAGAAAAAGAAAAAAATATATATTTGGGGTGTTCGGGTTTCCTGAAGGTAATACCCGGGTATTAGGTTTTGGGGCTAGGGTAAGGTTTAAGGTTTTTGGTGTTAGAGTTAAAATCAGTGTCCAAAACCTTTTTAGGAACATGTTTAAGACCTTTTAGAGTTGGTTACACCAAAAAAAATGTAAAATGAAAAAAAAATATTTGGGGTGTTCGGGCATCCTGAAGGTAATACCCGGGTATTAGGTTTTGGGGCTAGGGTAAGGTTTAAGGTTTTTGGTGTTAGGGTTAAAATAACTGTCCAAAACCTTTGTAGGAACTCTTTTCCAACCTTTTGGAGTTAGTTATACCAAAAAAAAAGAAAAAATGAAAAAAATATATTTGGGGTCTTCGGGCTTCCTGAAGGAAATACCCAGGTATTAGGTTATGGGGCTAGGGTAAGGTTTAAGGTTTTTGGCGTTAGGGTTAAAATCACTGTCCAAAACCTTTTTAGGAATATGTTTCAGACCTTTTGGAGTTGGTAACACCAAAAAAAAATGTAAAACGAAAAAAAAATAGTTGGGGTGTTCAAGCTTCCTAAAGGTAATACCCGGGTATTAGGTTTTGGGGCTAGGGTAAGGTTTACGGTTTTTGGTGTTAGGGTTTAAATCACTGTCCAAAACCTTTTTAGGAACATGTTTCAGACCTTTAGGAGTTGGTTACACCAAAAAAAATGTAAAATGAAAAAAAATTTTTTGGGGGTGTTCGGGCTTCCTGAAGGTAATACTTTGTATTACCTTTGTAGGAAGTCTTTTCCAACCTTTTGGAGTTAGTCTTTTGTAGGAAGTCTTTTCCAACCTTTTGGAGTTATACAAAAAAAAAAGATAAATGAAAAAAAAGTATTTGGGGTGTTCGGGCTTCCTGAAGGTAATACCCGGGTATTAGGTTATGGGGCTAGGGTAAGGTTTAAGGTTTTTGGCGTAAGGGTTAAAATCACTGTCCAAAACCTTTTTAGGAACATGTTTCAGACCTTTTGGAGTTGGTTACACCAAAAAAAATGTAAAATGAAAAAAAATTTTTTTTGGGTGTTCGGGCTTCCTGAAGGTAATACTAGGTTTCTGGGCTAGGGTAATGTTTTAGGTTTTTGGCGTTAGGGTTAAAATCAATGACCAAAACCTTTGTAGGAACTCTTTTCCAACCTTTGAGAGCAAGTTAGACCAAAACAAAAAGAAAAATAAAAAATATATATTTGGGGTGTTCTGGCTTCCTGAAGGTAATACCCGGGTATTAGGTTATGGGGCTAGGGTAAGGTTTAAGGTTTTTCGGCGTGAGGGTAAAAATCACTGTCCAAAACCTTTGTAGGAACTCTTTTCCAACCTTTGGGAATAAGTTAGACAAAAAAAATAAGATAAATGAAAAAAAAATATTTGGGGTGTTCGGGCTTCCTGAAGGTAATACCCGGGTATTATGTTTTGGGGCTAGGGTTAGGTTTCAGGTTTTTGGCATTAGGGTTAAAATAACTGTCCAATATTTTTTAAGGAACATGTTTCAGACCTTTGGGAGTTAGTTAGACAAAAAAAAAAAAAAAGAAAAAAATATATATTTGGGGTGTTCGGGTTTCCTGAAGGTAATACCCGGGTATTAGGTTTTGGGGCTAGGGTAAGGTTTAAGGTTTTTGGTGTTAGGGTTAAAATCACTGTCCAAAACCTTTGTAGGAACTCTTTTCCAACCTTTTGGAGTTAGTTAGACCAAAAAAAAGAAAAAAGAAAAAAATATATTTGGGGTCTTCGGGCTTCCTGAAGGAAATACCCAGGTATTAGGTTATGGGGCTAGGGTAAGGTTTAAGGTTTTTGGTGTTAGGGTTAAAATCACTGTCCAAAACCTTTTTAGGAACATGTTTCAGACCTTTTGGAGTAGGTTACACCAAAAAAAAATGTAAACTGAAAAAAAAATATTTCGGGTGTTCAAGCTTCCTGAAGGTAATACCCGGGTATTAGGTTATGGGGCTATAGTAAGGTTTAAGGTTTTTGGCGTGAGGGTTAAAATCACTGTCCAAAACCTTTGTAGGAACTATTTTCCAACCTTTTGGAGTTAGTTAGACCAAAAAAGAAACGAAAAATGAAAACAAATATTTGGGGTTTTCGGGCTTACTGAAGGTAATACTAGGTTTCTGGGCTAGGGTAATGTTTTAGGTTTTTGGCGTTAGGGTTAAAATCAATGTCCAAAACCTTTGTAGGAACTCTTTTCCAACCTTTGAGAGCAAGTTAGACCAAAACAAAAAGAAAAAGAAAAAATATATATTTGGGGTGTTCGGGCTTCCTGAAGGTAATAGGTTATGGGGCTAGGGTAAGGTTTAAGGTTTTTCGGCGTTAGGGTAAAAATCACTGTCCAAAACCTTTGTAGGAACTCTTTTCCAACCTTTGGGAATAAGTTAGACAAAAAAAATAAGATAAATGAAAAAAAAATATTTGGGGTGTTCGGGCTTCCTGAAGGTAATACCCGGGTATTATGTTTTGGGGCTAGGGTTAGGTTTAAGGTTTTTGGCATTAGGGTTAAAATAACTGTCCAATATTTTTTAAGGAACATGTTTCAGACCTTTGGGAGTTAGTTAGACAAAAAAAAAGAAAAAGAAAAAAATATATATTTGGGGTGTTCGGGTTTCCTGAAGGTAATACCCGGGTATTAGGTTATGGGGCTAGGGTAAGGTTTAAGGTTTTTGGCGTTAGAGTTAAAATCAGTGTCCAAAACCTTTTTAGGAACATGTTTAAGACCTTTTAGAGTGGGTTACACCAAAAAAAATGTAAAATGAAAAAAAAATATTTGGGGTGTTCGGGCTTCCTGAAGGTAATACCCGGGTATTAGGTTTTGGGGCTAGGGTAAGGTTTAAGGTTTTTGGTGTTAGGGTTAAAATCACTGTCCAAAACCTTTGTAGGAACTCTTTTCCAACCTTTTGGAGTTAGTTAGACAAAAAAAAAAAAAATGAAAAAAATATATTTGGGGTCTTCGGGCTTCCTGAAGGAAATACCCAGGTATTAGGTTATGGGGCTAGGGTAAGGTTTAAGGTTTTTGGCGTTAGGGTTAAAATCACTGTCCAAAACCTTTTTAGGAACATGTTTCAGACTTTTTGGAGTTGGTTACACCAAAAAAAAATGTAAAATGAAAAGAAAATATTTGGGGTGTTCAAGCTTCCTGAAGGTAATACCCGGGTATTAGGTTATGGGGCTATAGTAAGGTTTAAGGTTTTTGGCGTGAGGGTTAAAATCACTGTCCAAAACCTTTGTAGGAACTATTTTCCAACCTTTTGGAGTTAGTTAGACCAAAAAAAAAACGAAAAATGAAAAAAAATATTTGGGGTTTTCGGGCTTACTGAAGGTAATACCCGGGTATTAGGTTTTGGGGCTAGGGTTAGGTTTAAGGTTTTTGGCATTAGGGTTAAAATAACTGTCCAATATTTTTTAAGGAACATGTCTCAGACCTTTGGGAGTTAGTTAGACAAAAAAAAAAAGAAAAAGAAAAAATATATATTTGGGGTGTTCGGGTTTCCTGAAGGTAATACCCGGGTATTAGGTTTTGGGGCTAGGGTAAGGTTTAAGGTTTTTGGTGTTAGAGTTAAAATCAGTGTCCAAAACCTTTTTAGGAACATGTTTAAGACCTTTTAGAGTTGGTTACACCAAAAAAAAATGTAAAAAGAAAAAAAAAATTTGGGGTGTTCGGGCTTCCTGAAGGTAATACCCGGGTATTAGGTTTTGGGGCTAGGGTAAGGTTTAAGGTTTTTGGTGTTAGAGTTAAAATCAGTGTCCAAAACCTTTTTAGGAACATGTTTAAGACCTTTTAGAGTTGGTTACACCAAAAAAAAATGTAAAATGAAAAAAAAATATTTGGGGTGTTCGGGCATCCTGAAGGTAATACCCGGGTATTAGGTTTTGGGGCTAGGGTAAGGTTTAAGGTTTTTGGTGTTAGGGTTAAAATCACTGTCCAAAACCTTTGTAGGAACTCTTTTCCAACCTTTTGGAGTTAGTTAGACCAAAAAAAAAGAAAAAATGAAAAAAATATATTTGGGGTCTTCGGGCTTCCTGAAGGAAATACCCAGGTATTAGGTTATGGGGCTAGGGCAAGGTTTAAGGTTTTTGGCGTTAGGGTTAAAATCACTGTCCAAAACCTTTTTAGGAACATGTTTCAGACCTTTTGGAGTTGGTAACACAAAAAAAAAATGTAAAATGAAAAAAAAATATTTGGGGTGTTCAAGCTTCCTAAAGGTAATACCCGGGTATTAGGTTATGGGGATAGGGTAAGGTTTAAGGTTTTTGGTGTTAGGGTTAAAATCACTGTCCAAAACCTTTTTAGGAACATGTTTCAGACCTTTTGGAGTTGGTTACACCAAAAAAAATGTAAAATGAAAAAAAATTTTTTTTGGGTGTTCGGGCTTCCTGAAGGTAATACTAGGTTTCTGGGCTAGGGTAATGTTTAAGGTTTTTGGTGTTAGGGTTAAAATCAATGTCCAAAACCTTTGTAGGAACTCTTTTCCAACCTTTGAGAGCAAGTTAGACCAAAAAAAAAAATAAATAAAAAATATATATTTGGGGTGTTCGGGCTTCCTGAAGGTAATACCCGGGTATTAGGTTTTGGGGCTATTGTTAGGTTTAAGGTTTTTGGCGTTAGGGTTAAAATAACTGTCCAAAACCTTTGTAGGAACTCTTTTCCAACCTTTGGGAATTAGTTAGACAAAAAAAAAAAGATAAATGAAAAAAAAAATATTTGGGGTGTACGGGCTTCCTGAAGGAAATATTAGGTTTTGGGGCTAGGGTTAGGTTTAAGGTTTTTGGCGTTAGGGTTAAAATGACTGTCCAATATTTTTTAAGGAACATCTTTCAGACCTTTGGGAGTTAGTTAGACAAAAAAAAAAGAAAAAGAAAAAAAATATATTTGGGGTGTTCGGGTTTCCTGAAGGTAATACCCGGGTATTAGGTTTTGGGGCTAGGGTAAGGTTTAAGGTTTTTGGCGTTTGAGTTAAAATCAGTGTCCAAAACCTTTTTAGGAACATGTTTAAGACCTTTTGGAGTTGGTTACACCAAAAAAAAATGTAAAATGAAAAAAAAAATATTTGGGGTGTTCGGGCTTCCTGAAGGTAATACCCGGGTATTAGGTTTTGGGGCTAGGGTAAGGTTTAAGGTTTTTGGTGTTAGGGTTAAAATCACTGTCCAAAACCTTTGTAGGAACTCTTTTCCAACCTTTTGGAGTTAGTTAGACCAAAAAAAAAGAAAAAAGAAAAAAATATATTTGGGGTCTTCGGGCTTCCTGAAGGAAATACCCAGGTATTAGGTTATGGGGCTAGGGTAAGGTTTAAGGTTTTTGGCGTTAGGGTTAAAATCACTGTCCAAAACCTTTTAAGGAACATGTTTCAGACCTTTTGGAGTAGGTTACACCAAAAAAAAAATGTAAAATGAAAAAAAAAATATTTGGGGTGTTCAAGCTTCCTGAAGGTAATACCCGGGTATTAGGTTTTGGGGCTAGGGTTAGGTTTAAGGTTTTTGGCGTTTGGGTAAAAATCACTGTCTAATATTTTTTAAGGAACATCTTTCAGACCTCTGGGAGTTAGTTAGACCAAAAAAAAAACGAAAAATGAAAAAAAATATTTGGGCTGTTCAGGCTTCCTGAAGGTAATACTAGGTTTCTGGGCTAGGGTAATGTTTTAGGTTTTTGGCGTTAGGGTTAAAATCAATGTCCAAAACCTTTGTAGGAACTCTTTTCCAACCTTTGAGAGCAAGTTAGACCAAAACAAAAAGAAAAATAAAAAATATATATTTGGGGTGTTCGGGCTTCCTGAAGGTAATAGGTTATGGGGCTAGGGTAAGGTTTAAGGTTTTTCGGCGTGAGGGTAAAAATCACTGTCCAAAACCTTTGTAGGAACTCTTTTCCAACCTTTGGGAATAAGTTAGACAAAAAAAATAAGATAATTGAAAAAAAAATATTTGGGGTGTTCGGGCTTCCTGAAGGAAATACCCGGGTATAAGGTTTTGGGGCTACGGTAAGGTTTAAGGTTTTTGGCGTTAGAGTTAAAATCAGTGTCCAAAACCTTTTTTAGGAACATGTTTAAGACCTTTTAGAGTTGGTTACACCAAAAAAAAATGTAAAATGAAAAAAAAATATTTGGGGTGTTCGGGCTTCCTGAAGGTAATACCCGGGTATTAGGTTTTGGGGCTAGGGTAAGGTTTAAGGTTTTTGGTGTTAGGGTTAAAATCACTGTCCAAAACCTTTGTAGGAACTCTTTTCCAACCTTTTGGAGTTAGTTAGACAAAAAAAAAAAAAATGAAAAAAATATATTTGGGGTCTTCGGGCTTCCTGAAGGAAATACCCAGGTATTAGGTTATGGGGCTAGGGTAAGGTTTAAAGTTTTTGGCGTTAGGGTTAAAATCACTGTCCAAAACCTTTTTAGGAACATGTTTCAGACTTTTTGGAGTTGGTTACACCAAAAAAAAATGTAAAATGAAAAGAAAATATTTGGGGTGTTCAAGCTTCCTGAAGGTAATACCCGGGTATTAGGTTTTGGGGCTAGGGTAAGGTTTAAGGTTTTTGGTGTTAGGGTTAAAATCACTGTCCAAAACCTTTTTAGGAACATGTTTCAGACCTTTTGGAGTAGGTTACACCAAAAAAAAAAGTAAAATGAAAAGAAAATATTTGGGGTGTTCAAGCTTCCTGAAGGTAATACCCGGGTATTAGGTTATGGGGCTATAGTAAGGTTTAAGGTTTTTGGCGTTAGGGTTAAAATCACTGACCAAAACCTTTGTAGGAACTATTTTCCAACCTTTTGGAGTTAGTTAGACCAAAAAAAAAACGAAAAATGAAAAAAAATATTTGGGGTTTTCAGGCTTACTGAAGGTAATACCCGGGTATTAGGTTTTGGGGCTAGGGTTAGGTTTAAGGTTTTTGGCGTTAGGGTTAAAATCACTGTCCAATATTTTTTAAGCAACATGTCTCAGACCTCTGGGAGTTAGTTAGACAAAAAAAAAAAAGAAAAAGAAAAAAAAAATTGGGGTGTTCGGGCTTCCTGAAGGTAATACCCGGGTATTAGGTTTTGGGGCTAGGATTAGGTTTAAAGGTTTTTGGCGTTAGGGTTAAAATCACCGTCCAAAACCTTTGTAGGAACTCTTTTCCGACCTTTTGGAGTTAGTTAGACCAAAAAAAAAAAATGAAAAAAATATATTTGGGGTGTTCGGGCTTCCTGAAGGAAATACCCGGGTATTAGGTTTTGGGGCTAGGGTTAGGTTTAAGGTTTTTGGCGTGAGGGTTAAAATAACTGTCCAATATTTTTTAAGGAACATGTTTCAGACCTTTGGGAGTTAGTTAGACAAAAAAAAAAGAAAAAGAAAAAAAATATTTGGGGTGTTCGGGTTTCCTGAAGGTAATATTAGGTAGGTATTAGGATATGGGGCTAGGGTAAGGTTTAAGGTTTTTGGCGTTAGAGTTAAAATCAGTGTCCAAAACCTTTTTAGGAACATGTTTAAGACCTTTTGGAGTTGGTTACACCAAAAAAAATGTACAATGAAAAGAAAATATTTGGGGTGTTCAAGCTTCCTGAAGGTAATACACGGGTATTAGGTTATGGGGCTATAGTAAGGTTTAAGGTTTTTGGCATTAGGGTTAAAATAACTGTCCAATATTTTTTAAGGAACATGTTTCAGACCTTTGGGAGTTAGTTAGACAAAAAAAAAAGAAAAAGAAAAAAATATATATTTGGGGTGTTCGGGTTTCCTGAAGGTAATACCCGGGTATTAGGTTATGGGGCTAGGGTAAGGTTAAAGGTTTTTGGTGTTAGAGTTAAAATCAGTGTCCAAAACCTTTTTAGGAACATGTTTAAGACCTTTTAGAGTTGGTTACACCAAAAAAAAATGTAAAATGAAAAAAAATATTTGGGGTGTTCGGGCTTACTGAAGGTAATACCCGGGTATTAGGTTTTGGGGCTAGGGTAAGGTTTAAGGTTTTTGGTGTTAGGGTTAAAATCACTGTCCAAAACCTGTGTAGGAACATGTTTCAGACCTTTTGGAGTAGGTTACACCAAAAAAAAATGTAAAATGAAAAGAAAATATTTGGGGTGTTCAAGCTTCCTGAAGGTAATACCCGGGTATTAGGTTATGGGGCTATAGTAAGGTTTAAGGTTTTTGGCGTTAGGGTTAAAATCACTGTCCAAAACCTTTGTAGGAACTATTTTCCAACCTTTTGGAGTTAGTTAGACCAAAAAAAAAACGAAAAATGAAAAAAAATATTTTGGGTTTTCAGGCTTACTGAAGGTAATACCCGGGTATTAGGTTTTGGGGCTAGGGTTAGGTTTAAGGTTTTTGGCGTTAGGGTTAAAATCACTGTCCAATATTTTTTAAGGAACATCTTTCAGACCTCTGGGAGTTAGTTAGACAAAAAAAAAAAAGAAAAAGAAAAAAAAAAATTGGGGTGTTCGGGCTTCCTGAAGGTAATACCCGGGTATTAGGTTTTGGGGCTAGGATTAGGTTTAAAGGTTTTTGGCGTTAGGGTTAAAATCACCGTCCAAAACCTTTGTAGGAACTCTTTTCCGACCTTTTGGAGTTAGTTAGACCAAAAAAAAAACGAAAAATGAAAAAAAATATTTGGGGTTTTCGGGCTTACTGAAGGTAATACCCGGGTATTAGGTTTTGGGGCTAGGGTTAGGTTTAAGGTTTTTGGCGTTAGGGTTAAAATCACTGTCCAATATTTTTTAAGGAACATCTTTCAGACCTCTGGTAGTTAGTTAGACAAAAAAAAAAAAGAAAAAGAAAAAAAAAATTGGGGTGTTCGGGCTTCCTGAAGGTAATACCCGGGTATTAGGTTTTGGGGCTAGGATTAGGTTTAAAGGTTTTTGGCGTTAGGGTTAAAATCACCGTCCAAAACCTTTGTAGGAACTCTTTTCCGACCTTTTGGAGTTAGTTAGACCAAAAAAAAAAATGAAAAAAATATATTTGGGGTGTTCGGGCTTCCTGAAGGAAATACCCGGGTATTAGGTTTTGGGGCTAGAGTTAGGTTTAAGGTTTTTGGCGTTAGGGTTAAAATAACTGTCCAATATTTTTTAAGGAACATGTTTCAGACCTTTGGGAGTTAGTTAGACAAAAGAAAAAAGAAAAAGAAAAAACTAGGACCCCGTTGGGGCACTGGCGGGCCCGAGCTGTGTCGCGTCCCCCCCCCCCAACGCGCTGCCTCCCCGTCCTATTCGCGTCCTCTGGCCATCGCCCTCTCTGGTAACGCCCATCACTGCAAAGACCCTTTTCCTTCATCGGCGTTTGCTGTTCTTCCTGCCAGTGCATGTTGCTTTCACTTACACTTGCCACAGCCAGCCACGTGAGTGCCTAGCCTATTGGATATCACTGTCACCTACACAGGACATTCATTACCTTTCTATTAATACTTTGTTTTTTAATTTCACATTAATTTCCATATTGTATAAACAACTGGAAAAAACTTGAGCCCCTGCCCCTGTATAATCATGTGCACGTCTCTGTTCTAGCTCTAAGGTGAATCTTCACTGCTCATGTTCTCCTCAGAAGCAGTCACCTCACTCCCCTCAGGTTACTGTACACATGCACCAACTGCCTGCTTCAGGTTTGGATGGAGCTTCATGGTTGTCTTTTGGAGAAATGACCAGTCAAGTTGTGTTTGAAATTTGATTTTTTTCAGGGGCAAAAGGAGCCTCTGCATTCTTGTCAAATATGTAAATAGCATGTTTTTGCAGGTGCTAAAAACCAGACTCTGAGTGTGTGTGTGTGCGTGTGCGTGTGTGTGTGTGTGTGTGTGTGTGTGTGTGTGTGTGCGTTCAAGTCACATGACATATTTAACCGGATGTAGCTGCAAGACGGAGACTCGTTGACTCTCCGTTTCAACTTATCTCAAAAGTGAGGACCTCAACCTATATACCAGTTTTTAAATTGTGTTGATAGGCCAAATAAAACCAGAGTTATGATAAATTATGTCCGCGATACTTTTTTTCTGCTTATTTTGATCACGTTCGGCGCTCGATCGCGCTGTATGAGACAGGAAAACATAGCATGCAGACATTAGCGACAGGTCTTACAGGCGGAAAAGGCTTGCCAAAGGAAAAAAAAAACACACCACAACATCTCTCCTATTGGTGGAAAACTTCACCACAACAACCAATCCAAAATTATATGGTGACTGATTGACAAGGGGCGGGCGCTTACGTTCTTCCTGCAATATGAGAAGGGAGGGAGGGACTCTCAGCAGGGATGCAGTCTGGGACACGTAGTTGCAAACCTAGCGACTTTGTTGTTAGATTCAATGACTTTTCAGACCCCCTAACGACTTTTTTTTAGAAAGAAAGTGACTTTTATCGACTTCTTCTGGAGTTTAGAGACTCTGACATGAAGCAGGCTTTCCTTACTGAGGAGTTAGCAACGCTGCTAAGGGTGCAGAGCCACACATGCGCTCCGAGCTCTGCATGGGAGACTGAAGCTGACAGAGCTGCAGCAGTTAGCAGGTTTCACCCTCAGAGACCACCAGGGGTTCATGTTGAGGCATTTTCATTTTTTTTTTTTTTTTTGCCATAGACACTGTCAGCACAATCTGCAGTTACACTAACAAAAATGCTGCAAAAAACAAAGAATTATGGAAAAATTACACATGGACTAACATAGAGGAGGATCTACACAAGTTTTTTACATCATGTTTTACATCATGCATCATTTACATCATGTTTTTTTGTAGTGGCATAAATAAAAAGTGACATTTGTGAGACTATACAGTGTTTTGTAAATAATTTTACAAAGAACACCTGGGCCATTGCCTGCATTTTGATGTAAATAGAGGTAAATTACTATGTTCTTTGTTAAAAATTTGCATATGTTTTGAAGTTTACAATTTTTATTTGAAGTTTAAGTTTTAAAAACAGTTCATCACACATATTTGTGGTTTTCACAGTAAAAACGTTACTTTTTTCCACTCGGATTTTATGTTTTGTGTGTGAATTTGGGTCCAATGTGTAAATATAGTATGTCAAAATGATAAAATAACTGTAAATTGACACAGGTGAGGTTGTGCTGAAAAAAATGATACCAGGCAAGGCAAGGTAAAAATTTTGTAAGAGGAAATATAAAGGAAAAATCTAAAGTAGTCAAAAACGGCCAATAGTGACTCACAGACTCCACAGACAAGTCCCTTTGGCGCCACTCAGTGGGCAAAACTACTTTGTCTACTGTAATGTATATTTGGGTCATCTTTGGCGCCCCCTAAAACGTAAACCGTGGGGTGCAGCGTCATGATTTTTACAACTTTGAATGGCCATGGAGTGTAGATTGGCCTGAGCAAATTTGGTGTCAGTGGGACGAAAGCCTTAGGAGGAGTTAGCGAAATTCCAATGTGTGCGAATCGGCAAAAAATGCAAAATAGCCCTTTTACCGTACATTATACAGATACGCGCTCTTTGACTTTTTCGTAGATCTAATTGAGATACACATGATTGTCAATTTTTGTGTCATTTTGCCAAAGCGTACAGGCGTGACACTCAACAATGTGTATTTTCACCTTAGGGGACAAGAAAAAATGGACTTTTTTCTCCTGCCATGGGGGGGCGCTCTTTTGGGGAGTAAAAATTCCTTCACAGATGTGTTGATGGCTGGACATTGCATCATACTAGAAAACTTGGAGGCCAGTGAGGGCAAAAATAAAAAGTTATAAGACTTTTGAATATGTGGATTTTAGTGTTATCTTTGGCGCCCCCTAGAACCTAAACCGTGGGGTGCAGCGTCATGATTTGAATAACTTTTAATGGCCATGGGGTGTAGATTGGCCTGAGCAAATGTGGTGTCAGTGGGACGAAAGCCTTAGGAGGAGTTAGCCACATTCCAATGTGTGCGAATCGGCATAAAATGCAAAATAGCCCTCTAACCGTACATTTGACAGATACGCACCCATTGACTTTTTCGTAGATCTTATTGAGATACACGTGATTGTCAAATTTTGTGTCAATATGACAAAGCGTACAGGTGTCACACTCAACAATGTGAATTTTCACCTTACGGGACAAGAAAAAATGGACTTTTTTCTCCTGCCATGGGGGGGCGCTCTTTTGGGGAGTAAAAATTCCTTCACAAATGTGTTGATGGCTGGACATTGCATTATCCTAGAAAACTTGGAGGCCAGTGAGGACAAAAATAAAAAGTTATAAGACTTTGAAATATGTGGATTTTAGGGTTATCTTTGGCGCCCCCTAGAACCTAAACCGTGGGGTGCAGCGTCATGATTTGAATAACTTTTAATGGCCATGGGGTGTAGATTGGCCTGAGCAAATGTGGTGCCGGTGGAACGCCAGCCTTAGGAGGAGTTAGCGAAATTCCAATGTGTGCGGATCAGCAAAAAATGCGGAATAACCCTTTAACCGTACATTTGACAGATACGCGCGCATTGACTTTTTCGTAGATCTTATTGAGATACACGTGATTGTCAAATTTTGTGTCAATATGACAAAGCGTACAGGCGTGACACTCAACAATGTGTATTTTCACCTTAGAGGACAAGAAAAAATGGACTTTTTTCTCCGGCCATGGGGGGGCGCTCTTTTGGGGAGTAAAAATTCCTTCACAAATGTGTTGATGGCTGGACATTGCATCATCCTAGAAAACTTGGAGGCCAGTGAGGGCAAAAATAAAAAGTTATAAGACTTTGAAATATGTGGATTTTAGGGTTATCTTTGGCGCCCCCTAGAACCTAAACCGTGGGGTGCAGCGTCATGATTTGAATAACTTTTAATGGCCATGGGGTGTAGATTGGCCTGAGCAAATGTGGTGCCGTTCGAAAGAAAGCCTTCGGAGGAGTTAGCGAAATTCCAATGTGTGCGGATCGGCAAAAAATGCGGAATAACCCTTTAACCGTACATTTGACAGATACGCCCGCACTGACTTTTTTGTAGATCTTATTGAGATACATATGTGTGTCAATTTTTGTGTCATTTTGACAAAGCGTAAAGGCGTGACAGTCAATAGTGTGAATTTTCACCTTAGGGGGCGCTATGGAGCCATTTTGCATTTTCTTGTTTGGGCGACTTCGGAATATCAAATTTTTCACCAGGCCCGGTCATCCTGCCAAATTTCATGAGTTTTCGCCAGTGGGAAGTGGGCCATTTTCCAGTTCAAAGGGGAGGAAAAAGAAGAAAGAAAGAAACAAAGAAAAACCTCTTGGGGAATAATAGGGCTCTCGCAGCTGCTTAGCAGCTACGCTCGGGCCCTAAAAATATTTGGGGTGTTCGGGTTTCCTGAAGGTAATATTAGGTAGGTATTAGGTTATGGGGCTAGGGTAAGGTTTAAGGTTTTTGGCGTTAGAGTTAAAATCAGTGTCCAAAACCTTTTTAGGAACATGTTTAAGACCTTTTAGAGTTGGTTACACCAAAAAAAAATGTAAAATGAAAAAAAAAATATTTGGGGTGTTCGGGCTTCCTGAAGGTAATACCCCTATATTAGGTTTTGGGGCTAGGGCAAGGTTTAAGGTTTTTGGCGTTAGAGTTAAAATCACTGTCCAAAACCTTTGTAGGAACTCTTTTCCAACCTTTTGGAGTTAGTTAGACAAAAAAAATGTAAAATGAAAAAAATATATTTGGGGTGTTCAAGCTTCCTGAAGGTAATACCCGGGTATTAGGTTTTGGGGCTAGGGTAAGGTTTAAGGTTTTTGGCGTTAGGGTTAAAATCAATGTCCAAAACCTTTTTAGGAACATGTTTCAGACGTTTTGGAGTAGGTTACACCAAAAAAAAATGTAAAATGAAAAAAATTTTTTGGGGTGTTCAAGATTCCTGAAGGTAATACTAGGTTTCTGGGCTAGGGTAATGTTTAAGGTTTTTGGCGTAAGGGTTAAAATCAATGTCCAAAACCGTTGTAGGAACTCTTTTCCAACCTTTTGGAGTTAGTTAGACCAAAAAAAAAACGAAAAATGAAAAAAAATATTTGGGGTGTTCGGGCTTCCTGAAGGTAATACCCCTATATTAGGTTTTGGGGCTAGGGTAAGGTTTAAGGTTTTTGGCGTTAGAGTTAAAATCACTGTCCAAAACCTTTGTAGGAACTCTTTTCCAACCTTTTGGAGTTAGTTAGACCAAAAAAAAACGAAAAATGAAAAAAAATATTTGGGGTGTTCGGGCTTCCTGAAGGTAATACCCGGGTATTAGGTTATGGGGCTAGGGTAAGATTTAAGGTTTTTGGCGTAAGGGTTAAAATCACTGTCCAAAACCTTTTTAGGAACATGTTTCAGACCTTTTGGAGTTGGTTACACCAAAAAAAATGTAAAATGAAAAAGAATTTTTTTTGGGTGTTCGGGCTTCCTGAAGGTAATACTAGGTTTCTGGGCTAGGGTAATGTTTAAGGTTTTTGGCGTTAGGGTTAAAATCAATGTCCAAAACCGTTGTAGGAACTCTTTTCCAACCTTTGAGAGCAAGTTAGACCAAAACAAAAAGAAAAATAAAAAATATATATTTGGGGTGTTCGGGCTTCCTGAAGGTAATACCCGGGTATTAGGTTATGGGGCTAGGGTAAGGTTTAAGGTTTTTCGGCGTGAGGGTAAAAATCACTGTCCAAAACCTTTGTAGGAACTCTTTTCCAACCTTTGGGAATAAGTTAGACAAAAAAAATAAGATAAATGAAAAAAAAATATTTGGGGTGTTCGGGCTTCCTGAAGGTAATACACGGGTATTAGGTTTTGGGGCTAGGGTAAGGTTTAAGGTTTTTGGTGTTAGGGTTAAAATCACTGTCCAAAACCTTTTTAGGAACATGTTTTCAGACCTTTTGGAGTAGGTTACACCAAAAAAAAATGTAAAATGAAAAGAAAATATTTGGGGTGTTCAAGCTTCCTGAAGCTTCCTGAAGGTTTAAGGTTTTTCGGCGTGAGGGTAAAAATCACTGTCCAAAACCTTTGTAGGAACTCTTTTCCAACCTTTGGGAATAAGTTAGACAAAAAAAATAAGATAAATGAAAAAAAAATATTTGGGGTGTTCGGGCTTCCTGAAGGTAATACACGGGTATTAGGTTTTGGGGCTAGGGTAAGGTTTAAGGTTTTTGGTGTTAGGGTTAAAATCACTGTCCAAAACCTTTTTAGGAACATGTTTTCAGACCTTTTGGAGTAGGTTACACCAAAAAAAAATGTAAAATGAAAAGAAAATATTTGGGGTGTTCAAGCTTCCTGAAGGTAATACCCGGGTATTAGGTTATGGGGCTATAGTAAGGTTTAAGGTTTTTGGCGTTAGGGTTAAAATCACTGTCCAAAACCTTTGTAGGAACTATTTTCCAACCTTTTGGAGTTAGTTAGACCAAAAAAAAAACGAAAAATGAAAAAAAATATTTGGGGTGTTCGGGCTTCCTGAAGGTAATACCCGGGTATTAGGTTTTGGGGCTAGGGTAAGGTTTAAGGTTTTTGGCGTTAGGATTAAAATCACTGTCCAATATTTTTTAAGGAACATCTTTCAGACCTCTGGTAGTTAGTTAGACAAAAAAAAAAGAAAAAGAAAAAAAAAATTTGGGGTGTTCGGGCTTCCTGAAGGTAATACCCGGGTATTAGGTTTTGGGGCTAGGATTAGGTTTAAGGTTTTTGGCGTTAGGGTTAAAATCACCGTCCAAAACCTTTGTAGGAACTCTTTTCCGACCTTTTGGAGTTAGTTAGACCAAAAAAAAAAAAAAACTAGGACCCCGTTGGGGCACTGGCGGGCCCGAGCCGTGTCGCGTCCCCCCCTCCCCCCCCCAACGTGCTGCCTTCCCGTCCCATTTGTGTCCTCTGGCCATCGCCCTCTCTGGTAACGCCCATCACTGCAAAGACCCTTTTCCTTCATCTGCGTTTGCTGTTCTTCCTGCCAGTGTGTGTTGCTTTCACTTACACTTGCCACAGCCAGCCTCGTGAGTGCCTAGCCTATTGGATATCACTGTCACCTACACAGGACAGTCATTACCTTTCTATTAATACTTTGTGTTTTAATTTCACATTAATTTCCATATTGTATAAACGACTGGAAAAAACTTGAGCCCCTGCCCCTGTATAATCATGTGCATGTCTCTGTTCTAGCTCCAAGGTGAATCTTCACTGCTCATGTTCTCCTCAGAAGCACTCACCTCACTCCCCTCAGGTTACTGTACACATGCACCAACTGCCTGCTTCAGGTTTGGATGGAGCTTCATGGTTGTCTTTTGGAGAAATGACCAGTCAAGTTGTGTTTGAAATTTGATTTTTTTCAGGGGCAAAAGGAGCCTCTGCATTCTTGTCAAATATGTAAATAGCATGTTTTTGCAGGTGCTAAAAACCAGACTCTGAGTGTGTGTGTGTGTGTGTGTGTGTGTGTGTGCGTGTGTGTGTGTGTCTGTGTGTGCGTTCAAGTCACATGACATATTTAACCGGATGTAGCTGCAAGACGGAGCCTCGTTGACTCTCCGTTTCAACTTATCTCAAAAGTGAGGACCTCAACCTATATACCAGTTTTTAAATTGTGTTGATAGGCCAAATAAAACCAGAGTTATGATAAATTATGTCCGCGATACTTTTTTTCTGCTTATTTTGATCACGTTCGGCGCTCGATCGCGCTGTATGAGACAGGAAAACATAGCATGCAGACATTAGCGACAGGTCTTACAGGCGGAAAAGGCTTGCCAAAAGAAAAAAAAAACACACCACAACATCTCTCCTATTGGTGGAAAACTTCACCACAACAACCAATCCAAAATTATATGGTGACTGATTGACAAGGGGCGGGCGCTTACGTTCTTCCTGCAACATGAGAAGGGAGGGAGGGACTCTCAGCAGGGATGCAGTCTGGGACACGTAGTTGCAAACCTAGCGACTTTGTTGTTAGATTCAATGACTTTTCAGACCCCCTAACGACTTTTTTTTAGAAAGAAAGGGACTTTTATCGACTTCTTCTGGAGTTTAGAGACTCTGACATGAAGCAGGCTTTCCTTACTGAGGAGTTAGCAACGCTGCTAAGGGTGCAGAGCCACACATGCGCTCAGAGCTCTGCATGGGAGACTGAAGCTGACAGAGCTGCAGCAGTTAGCAGGTTTCACCCTCAGAGACCACCAGGGGTTCATGTTGAGGCATTTTAATTTTTTTTTTTTTGTGCCATAGACACTGTCAGCACAATCTGCAGTTACACTAACAAAAATGCTGCAAAAAACAAAGAATTATGGAAAAATTACACATGGACTGACATAGAGGAGGATCTACACAAGTTTTTTACATCATGTTTTACATCATGCATCATTTACATCATGTTTTTTTGTAGTGGCATAAATAAAAAGTGACATTTGTGAGACTATACAGTGTTTTGTAAATAATTTTACAAAGAACGCCTGGGCCATTGCCTGCATTTTGATGTAAATAGAGGTAAATCAGTATGTTCTTTGTTAAAAATTTGCATATGTTTTGAAGTTTACAATTTTTATTTGAAGTTTAAGTTTTAAAAACAGTTCATCACACATATTTGTGGTTTTCACAGTAAAAATGTTACTTTTTTCCACTCGGATTTTATGTTTTGTGTGTGAATTTGGGTCCATTGTGTAAATTCAGTATGTCAACATGATAAAATAACTGTAAATTCGCACAGGTGAGGTTGTGCTGAAAAAAATGATACCAGGCAAGGCACGTGATTGTCAAATTTTGTGTCAATATGACAAAGCGTATAGGCGTGAATCTCAACAATATGTATTTTCACCTTAGGGGACAAGAAAAAATGGACTTTTTTCTCCTGCCATGGGGGGGCGCTCTTTTGGGGAGTAAAAATTCCTTCACAAATGTGTTGATGGCTGGACATTGCATCATCCTAGAAAACTTGGAGGCCAGTGAGGACAAAAATAAAAAGTTATAAGACTTTTAAATATGTGGATTTTAGGGTTATCTTTGGCGCCCCCTAGAACCTAAACCGTGGGGTGCAGCGTCATGATTTGAATTACTTTTAATGGCCATGGGGTGTAGATTGGCCTGAGCAAATGTGGTGCCGGTGGAACGAAAGCCTTAGGAGTAGTTAGCCACATTCCAATGTGTGCGGATCGGCAAAAAATGCGGAATAACCCTTTAACCGTACATTTGACAGATACGCGCGCATTGACTTTTTCGTAGATCTTATTGAGTTACATGTGTGTGTCAATTTTTGTGTCATTTTGACAAAGCGTATAGGCGTGACACTCAACAATGTGTATTTTCACCTTATGGGACAAGAAAAAATGGACTTTTTTCTCCTGCCATGGGGGGGCGCTCTTTTGGGGAGTAAAAATTCCTTCACAAATGTGTTGATGGCTGGACATTGCATCATCCTAGAAAACTTGGAGGCCAGTGAGGACAAAAATAAAAAGTTATAAGACTTTTAAATATGTGGATTTTAGTGTTATCTTTGGCGCCCCCTAGAACCTAAACCTTGGGGTGCAGCGTCATGATTTTGATAACTTTTAATGGCCACGGGGTGTAGATTGGCCTGAGCAAATGTGGTGCCGGTGGAACGAAAGCCTTCGGAGGAGTTAGCGAAATTCCAATGTGTGCGGATCGGCAAAAAATGCAAAATAACCCTTTAACCGTAATTTTGACAGATACGGCCGCACTGACTTTTTTGTAGATCTTATTGAGATACATATGTGTGTCAATTTTTGTGTCAATATGACAAAGTGTACAGGCGTGACAGTCAATAGTGTGAATTTCCACCTTAGGGGGCGCTATGGAGCCATTTTGCATTTTATTGTTTAGGCGACTTCAGAATATCGAATTTTTCACCAGGCCCGGTCGTCCTGCCAAATTTCATGAGTTTTCGCCAGTGGGAAGTGGGCCATTTTCCAGTTCAAAGGGGAGGAAAAAGAAGAAAGAAAGAAAGAAAGAAAGAAACAAAGACTAGGGCCCCGGTGGGGCACTGTCGGGCCCGAGCCGCGTCGCGCCGCCCCCAGCGCGACCGCCTCCCCCTCCCGATCGCGTCACACTCAAGGTCCAAAGATGGTGTGCGCACTTGTCTGTGGTCATTTCCCATTATAATGAATGGGAGGCGCAGTTTCTACCAAAACACTCGCTGCAGACAAACTACATGTCCTATTTGAAAAAAGTCTGGACCATGAGTGAGGGCACAAACACAGCTAGGATATATCCAAATGGCAAGTTGCTCCTCCTTACGGTGTTGCCGGGAGAGCGATGCGATTGAGCCATTGACCGATGGGCATGGTTAACTTGACTTTTTCTCCTGCCTTGGGGGGGGGGGGATGTGGATTCTTTTAAGAATGTGGATATTTGGGTCATCTTTGGCGCCCCCTAGAACGTAAACCGTGGGGCGCAGCGTCATGATTTCTACAACTTTGAATGGCCATGGGATGTAGATCGGCTTGAGCAAATTTGGTGTTGGTGGGACGAAAGCCTTAGGAGGAGTTAGCCACATTCCAATGTGTGCGAATCGGCAAAAAATGCGAAATAGCCCTTTAACCGTACATTTTACAGATACGTGCCCATTGATATTTTCGTAAATCTTATTGAGATACACGTGTGTGTCAAATTTTGTGTCATTTTGACAAAGCGTATAGGCGTGACAGTCAACAATGTGTTTTTTCACCTTAGGGGACAAGAAAAAATTGACTTTTTTCTCCTGCCATGGGGGGGCGCTCTTTTTCGGGAGTAAAAATTCCTTTACAAATGTGTTGATGGCTGGACATTACATCATCCTAGAGAACTTGGAGGCCAGTGAGGAAAAAAATAAAAAGTTATAAGACTTTTAAGAATGTGGACTTTTTGGTTATCTTTGGCGCCCCCTAGAACCTAAACCGTGGGGTGCAGCGTCATGATTTGTACAACTTTCGATGGCCATGGGGTGTAGATTGGCCTGAGCAAATGTGGTGCCGGTGGAACGAAAGCCTTCGGAGGAGTTAGCGAAATTTCAATGTGTGCGGATCGGCAAAAAATGCGAAATAACCCTTTAACCGTACATTTGACAGATACGCCCGCACTGACTTTTTTGTAGATCTTATTGAGATACATGTGTGTGTCAATTTTTGTGTCAATATGACAAAGCGTACAGGCGTGACAGTCAACAGTGTGAATTTCCACCTTAGGGGGCGCTATGGAGCCATTTTGCATTTTATTGTTTGGGCGACTTCAGAATATCGAATTTTTCACCAGGCCCGGTCGTCCTGCCAAATTTCATGAGTTTTCGCCAGTGGGAAGTGGGCCATTTTCCAGTTTAAAGCGGAGGAAAAATAATAATAATAATAATAACAAAAGAAGAATCCATCAGGAACAAGAGGGCTCTCGCAGCTGCTTAGCAGCTACGCTCGGGCCCTAAAGAAGAATCCATCAGGAACAAGAGGGCTCTCGCAGCTGCTTAGCAGCTACGCTCGGGCCCTAACTAGGGCCCCGGTGGGGCACTGGCGGGCCCGAGCCGTGTCACGCCGCCCCCAGCGCGACCGCCTACCCCTCCCGATCGCATCACACTCAAGGTCCAAAGATGGTGTGCGCACTTGTCTGTGGTCATTTACCATTATAATGAATGGGAGGCGCAGTTTCTACCAAAACGCTCGCTGCAGACAAACTCCATGTCCTTTTTGAAAAAAGTCTGGACCATGAGTGAGGGCACAAACACAGCTAGTATATATCCAAATGGCAAGTTGCTCCTCCTTTCGGTTTTGCCGAGAGAGCGATGCGTTTGAGCCATTGAGCGATGGGCAGGAAAAACTTGACTTTTTCTCCTGCCATGGGGGGGCGCTCTTTTGGGGAGAAAAAATTCCTTCACAAATGTGTTGATGGCTGGACATTGCATCATCCTAGAAAACTTGGAGGCCAGTGAGGACAAAAATAAAAAGTTATAAGACTTTAAAAATGTGGATATTTGGGTCCTCTTTGGCGCCCCCTAGAACGTAGACCATGGGGTGCAGCGTCATGATTTTTACAACTTTGAATGGCCATGGGGTGTAGATTGGCCTGAGCAAATTTGGTGTCAGTGGGACGAAAACCTTAGGAGGAGTTAGCCACATTCCAATGTGTGCGAATCGCAAAAAAAGGGAAATAGCCCTTTAACCGTACATTTTACAGATACGCGCGCATTGACTTTTTAGTAGATCTTATTGAGATACACGTGATTGTCAAATTTTGTGTCAATATGACAAAGCGTACAGGCGTGGCATTCAACAATGTGTATTTTCACCTTAGGGGACAAGAAAAAATTGACTTTTTTGTCCTGCCATGGGGGGGCGCTCTTTTGGGGAGTAAAAATTCCTTCACAAATGTGTTGATGGCTGGACATTGCATCATCCTAGAAAACTTGGAGGCCAGTGAGGGCAAAAATAAAAAGTTATAAAACTTTTAAGAATGTGGATTTTAGGGTTATTTTTGGCGCCCCCTAGAACCTAAACCATGGGGTGCAGCATCATGATTTGTACAACTTTGAATGGCCATGGAGTGTAGATTGGCCTGAGCAAATGTGGTGCCGGTGGACAGAAAGCCTTAGGAGGAGTTAGCGAAATTCCAATGTGTGCGGATCTGCAAAAAATGCGAAATAACCCTTTAACCGTACATTTGACAGATACGCCCGCACTGACTTTTTTGTAGATCTTATTGAGATACATGTGTGTGTCAATTTTTGTGTCAATATGACAAAGCGTACAGGCGTGACAGTCAATAGTGTGAATTTTCACCTTAGGGGGCGCTATGGAGCCATTTTGTATTTTATTGTTTGGGCGACTTCAGAATATCGAATTTTTCACCAGGCCCGGTCGTCCTGCCAAATTTCCTGAGTTTTCGCCAGTGGGAAGTGGGCCATTTTCCAGTTTAAAGCGGAGGAAAAATAATAATAACTAGGACCCCGTTGGGGCACTGGCGGGCCCGAGCCGTGTCGTGTCCCCCCCCCAACGTGCTGCCTCCCCGTCCCATTTGTGTCCTCTGGCCATCGCCCTCTCTGGTAACGCCCATCACTGCAAAGACCCTTTTCCTTCATCGGCGTTTGCTGTTCTTCCTGCCAGTGCGTGTTGCTTTCACTTACACTTGCCACAGCCAGCCTCGTGAGTGCCTAGCCTATTGGATATCACTGTCACCTACACAGGACAGTCATTACCTTTCTATTAATACTTTGTGTTTTAATTTCACATTAATTTCCATATTGTATAAACGACTGGAAAAAACTTGAGCCCCTGCCCCTGTATAATCATGTGCATGTCTCTGTTCTAGCTCCAAGGTGAATCTTCACTGCTCATGTTCTCCTCAGAAGCACTCACCTCACTCCCCTCAGGTTACTGTACACATGCACCAACTGCCTGCTTCAGGTTTGGATGGAGCTTCATGGTTGTCTTTTGGAGAAATGACCAGTCAAGTTGTGTTTGAAATTTGATTTTTTTCAGGGGCAAAAGGAGCCTCTGCATTCTTGTCAAATATGTAAATAGCATGTTTTTGCAGGTGCTAAAAACCAGACTCTGAGTGTGTGTGTGTGTGTGTGTGTGCGTGTGTGTGTGTCTGTGTGTGCGTTCAAGTCACATGACATATTTAACCGGATGTAGCTGCAAGACGGAGCCTCGTTGACTCTCCGTTTCAACTTATCTCAAAAGTGAGGACCTCAACCTATATACCAGTTTTTAAATTGTGTTGATAGGCCAAATAAAACCAGAGTTATGATAAATTATGTCCGCGATACTTTTTTTCTGCTTATTTTGATCACGTTCGGCGCTCGATCGCGCTGTATGAGACAGGAAAACATAGCATGCAGACATTAGCGACAGGTCTTACAGGCGGAAAAGGCTTGCCAAAAGAAAAAAAAAACACACCACAACATCTCTCCTATTGGTGGAAAACTTCACCACAACAACCAATCCAAAATTATATGGTGACTGATTGACAAGGGGCGGGTGCTTACGTTCTTCCTGCAACATGAGAAGCGAGGGAGGGACTCTCAGCAGGGATGCAGTCTGGGACACGTAGTTGCAAACCTAGCGACTTTGTTGTTAGATTCAATGACTTTTCAGACCCCCTAACGACTTTTTTTTAGAAAGAAAGGGACTTTTATCGACTTCTTCTGGAGTTTAGAGACTCTGACATGAAGCAGGCTTTCCTTACTGAGGAGTTAGCAACGCTGCTAAGGGTGCAGAGCCACACATGCGCTCAGAGCTCTGCATGGGAGACTGAAGCTGACAGAGCTGCAGCAGTTAGCAGGTTTCACCCTCAGAGACCACCAGGGGTTCATGTTGAGGCATTTTAAATTTTTTTTTTTTTGTGCCATAGACACTGTCAGCACAATCTGCAGTTACACTAACAAAAATGCTGCAAAAAACAAAGAATTATGGAAAAATTACACATGGACTGACATAGAGGAGGATCTACACAAGTTTTTTACATCATGTTTTACATCATGCATCATTTACATCATGTTTTTTTGTAGTGGCATAAATAAAAAGTGACATTTGTGAGACTATACAGTGTTTTGTAAATAATTTTACAAAGAACGCCTGGGCCATTGCCTGCATTTTGATGTAAATAGAGGTAAATCACAATGTTCTTTGTTAAAAATTTGCATATGTTTTGAAGTTTACAATTTTTATTTGAAGTTTAAGTTTTAAAAACAGTTCATCACACATATTTGTGGTTTTCACAGTAAAAATGTTACTTTTTTCCACTCGGATTTTATGTTTTGTGTGTGAATTTGGGTCCATTGTGTAAATTCAGTATGTCAACATGATAAAATAACTGTAAATTCGCACAGGTGAGGTTGTGCTGAAAAAAATGATACCAGGCAAGGCACGTGATTGTCAAATTTTGTGTCATTTTGACAAAGCGTATAGGCGTGAATCTCAACAATATGTATTTTCACCTTAGGGGACAAGAAAAAATGGACTTTTTTCTCCTGCCATGGGGGGGCGCTCTTTTGGGGAGTAAAAATTCCTTCACAAATGTGTTGATGGCTGGACATTGCATCATCCTAGAAAACTTGGAGGCCAGTGAGGACAAAAATAAAAAGTTATAAGACTTTGAAATATGTGGATTTTAGGGTTATCTTTGGCGCCCCCTAGAACCTAAACCGTGGGGTGCAGCGTCATGATTTGAATAACTTTTAATGGCCATGGGGTGTAGATTGGCCTGAGCAAATGTGGTGCCGGTGGAACGAAAGCCTTAGGAGGAGTTAGCCACATTCCAATGTGTGCGGATCGGCAAAAAATGCGAAATAACCCTTTAACCGTACATTTGACAGATACGCGTGCATTGACTTTTTCATAGATCTTATTGAGTTACATGTGTGTGTCAATTTTTGTGTCATTTTGACAAAGCGTATAGGCGTGACACTCAACAATGTGTATTTTCACCTTAGGGGACAAGAAAAAATGGACTTTTTTCTCCTGCCATGGGGGGGCGCTCTTTTGGGGAGTAAAAATTCCTTCACAAATGTGTTGATGGCTGGACATTGCATCATCCTAGAAAACTTGGAGGCCAGTGAGGGCAAAAATAAAAAGTTATAAGACTTTTAAATATGTGGATTTTAGTGTTATCTTTGGCGCCCCCTAGAACCTAAACCTTGGGGTGCAGCGTCATGATTTTGATAACTTTTAATGGCCACGGGGTGTAGATTGGCCTGAGCAAATGTGGTGCCGGTGGAACGAAAGCCTTCGGAGGAGTTAGCGAAATTCCGATGTGTGTGGATCGGCAAAAAATGCGAAATAACCCTTTAACCGTAAATTTGACAGATACGCGCACATTGACTTTTTCGTAGATCTTATTGAGTTACATGTGTGTGTCAATTTTTGTGTCATTTTGATAAAGCGTATAGGCGTGACACTCAACAATGTGTATTTTCACCTTAGGGGACAAGAAAAAATGGACTTTTTTCTTCTGCCATGGGGGGGCGCTCTTTTGGGGAGTAAAAATTCCTTCACAAATGTGTTGATGGCTGGACATTGCATCATCCTAGAAAACTTGGAGGCCAGTGAGGACAAAAATAAAAAGTTATAAGACTTTTAAATATGTGGATTTTAGTGTTATCTTTGGCGCCCCCTAGAACCTAAACCTTGGGGTGCAGCGTCATGATTTTGATAACTTTTAATGGCCACGGGGTGTAGATTGGCCTGAGCAAATGTGGTGCCGGTGGAACGAAAGCCTTCGGAGGAGTTAGCGAAATTCCAATGTGTGCGGATCGGCAAAAAATGCGAAATAACCCTTTGACCGTACATTTGACAGATACGGCCGCACTGACTTTTTTGTAGATCTTATTGAGATACATATGTGTGTCAATTTTTGTGTCAATATGACAAAGCGTACAGGCGTGACAGTCAATAGTGTGAATTTCCACCTTAGGGGGCGCTATGGAGCCATTTTGCATTTTATTGTTTGGGCGACTTCAGAATATCGAATTTTTCACCAGGCCCGGTCGTCCTGCCAAATTTCATGAGTTTTCGCCAGTGGGAAGTGGGCCATTTTCCAGTTCAAAGGGGAGGAAAAAGAAGAACTAGGACCCCGTTGGGGCACTGGCGGGCCCGAGCCGTGTCACGCCGCCCCCAGCGCGACCGCCTCCCCCACCCGATCGCGTCACACTCAAGGTCCAAAGATGGTGTGCGCACTTGTTTGTGGTCATTTACCATTATAATGAACGGGAGGCGCAGTTTCTACCAAAACGCTCGCTGCAGAAAAACTCCATGTCCTATTTGAAAAAAGTCTGGACCATGAGTGAGGGCACAAACACAGCTAAGATATATCCAAATGGCAAGTTGCTCCTCCTTTCGCTTTTGCCGAGAGAGCAGTGCGTTTGAGCCATTGAATGATGAACAGGAAAAACTTGACTTTATTCTCCTGCCATGGGGGGGCGCTCTTTTAAAGAGAAAAAACTCCTTCACAAATGTGTTGATGGCTGGACATTGCATCATCCTAGAAAACATGGAGGCCAGTGAGGACAAAAATAAAAAGTTATAAGACTTTTAAATATGTGGATTTTAGGGTTATCTTTGGCGCCCCCTAGAACCTAAACCGTGGGGTGCAGCGTCATGATTTGAATAACTTTTAATGGCCATGGGGTGTAGATTGGCCTGAGCAAATGTGGTGCCGGTGGAACGAAAGCCTTCGGAGGAATTAGCGAAATTCCAATGTGTGCGAATCTGCAAAAAATGCGAAATGACCCTTTAACCGTACATTTTACAGATACGTGGCCATTGACTTTTTCGAAGATCTTATTGAAATACACGTGTATGTAAAATTTTGTGTCAATACGACAAAACATACAGGCGTAGCACTCAACAATGTGTATTTTCACCTTAGTGGACAAGAAAAAATTGACTTTTTTCTCCTGCCATGGGGGGGCGCTCTTTTGCCGAGTAAAAATTCCTTCACAAATGTGTTGATGGCTGGACATTGCATCATCCTAGAAAACTTGGAGGCCAGTGGGGACAAAAATAAAAAGTTAAAAGACTTTTAAATATGTGGATTTTACGGTTATCTTTGGCTCCCCCTAGAACCTAAACCGTGGGGTGCAGCGTCATGATTTGAATAACTTTTAATGGCCATGGGGTGTAGATTGGCCTGAGCAAATGTGGTGCCGGTGGAACGAAAGCCTTCGGAGGAGTTAGCGAAATTCCAATGTGTGCGGATCGGCAAAAAATGCGGAATAACCCTTTAACCGTACATTTGACAGATACGCGCGCATTGACTTTTTCGTAGATCTTATTGAGATACATGTGTGTGTCAATTTTTGTGTCATTTTGCCAAAGCGTACAGGTGTTACACTCAACAATGTGTATTTTCACCTTAGGGGACAAGAAAAAATGGACTTTTTTCTCCTGCCATGGGGGGGCGCTCTTTTGGGGAGTAAAAATTCCTTCACAAATGTGTTGATGGCTGGACATTGCATCATCCTAGAAAACTTGGAGGCCAGTGAGGGCAAAAATAAAAAGTTATAATACTTTTAAATATGTGGATCTTAGGGTTATCTTTGGCGCCCCCTAGAACCTAAACCGTGGGGTGCAGCGTCATGATTTGAATAACTTTTAATGGCCATGGGGTGTAGATTGGCCTGAGCAAATGTGGTGCCGGTGGAACGAAAGCCTTCGGAGGAGTTAGCGAAATTCCAATGTGTGCGGATCGGCAAAAAATGCGAAATAACCCTTTAACCGTACATTTGACAGATACGCCCGCACTGACTTTTTTGTAGATCTTATTGAGATACATGTGTGTGTCAATTTTTGTGTCATTTTGACAAAGCGTACAGGCGTGACAGTCAATAGTGTGAATTTTCACCTTAGGGGGCGCTATGGAGCCATTTTGCATTTTCTTGTTTGGGCGACTTCGGAATATCAAATTTTTCACCAGGCCCGGTCGTCCTGCCAAATTTCCTGAGTTTTCGCCAGTGGGAAGTGGGCCATTTTCCAGTTCAAAGGGGAGGAAAAAGAAGAAAGAAAGAACTAGGGCCCCGTTGGGGCACTGGCGGGCCCGAGCCGTGTCGCACCCCCCCCCCCCAACGCGCTGCCTCCCCGTCCCATTCGTGTCCTCTGGCCATCGCCCTCTCTGGTAACGCCCATCACTGCAAAGACCCTTTTCCTTCATCGGCGTTTGCTGTTCTTCCTGCCAGTGCGTGTTGCTTTCACTTACACTTGCCACAGCCAGCCTCGTGAGTGCCTAGCCTATTGGATATCACTGTCACCTACACAGGACAGTCATACTTTGTTTTTTAATTTCACATTAATTTCCATATTGTATAAACGACTGGAAAAAACTTGAGCCCCTGCCCCTGTATTATCATGTGCACGTCCCTGTTCTAGCTCCAAGGTGAATCTTCAGTGCTCATGTTCTCCTCAGAAGCAGTCACCTCACTCCCCTCAGGTTACTGTACACATGCACCAACTGCCTGCTTCAGGTTTGGATGGAGCTTCATGGTTGTCTTTTGGAGAAATGACCAGTCAAGTTGTGTTTGAAATCTGATTTTTTTCAGGGGCAAAAGGAAGCCTCCGCATTCTTGTCAAATATGTAAATAGCATGTTTTTGCAGGTGCTAAAAAACAGACTCTGAGTGTGTGTGTGTGTGTGTGTGTGTGTGTGTGTGTGTGTGTGTGTGTGTGTGTGTGTGTGTGTGCGTGTGTGTGTGTGTGTGTCTGTGTGAGTGTGTGTGTGTGTGTGTATCCTGCAGTACTCTGAGAAGAATAATAAGCATATTTCTGAGGTGAATTTTGAAGATTCATCTGAGAGTTAGGTTTGATTCGATTCGATTGACGCTCCCCAGCGTTCAAGTCACATGACATATTTAACCGGATGTAGCTGCAAGACGGAGCCTCGTTAACTCTCCGTTTCAACTTATCTCAAAAGTGAGGACCTCAACCTATATACCAGTTTTTAAATTGTGTTGATAGGCCAAATAAAACCAGAGTTATGATAAATTATGTCCGCGATACTTTTTTTCTGCTTATTTTGATCACGTTCGGCGCTCGATCGCGCTGTATGAGACAGGAAAACATAGCATGCAGACATTAGCGACAGGTCTTACAGGCGGAAAAGGCTTGCCAAAAGAAAAAAAAAACACACCACAACATCTCTCCTATTGGTGGAAAACTTCACCACAACAACCAATCCAACATTATATGGTGACTGATTGACAAGGGGCGGGCGCTTACGTTCTTCCTGCGACATGAGAAGGGAGGGAGGGACTCTCAGCAGGGATGCAGTCTGGGACACGTAGTTGCAAACCTAGCGACTTTGTTGTTAGATTCAATGACTTTTCAGACCCCCTAACGACTTTTTTTTAGAAAGAAAGGGACTTTTATCGACTTCTTCTGGAGTTTAGAGACTCTGACATGAAGCAGGCTTTCCTTACTGAGGAGTTAGCAACGCTGCTAAGGGTGCAGAGCCACACATGCGCTCAGAGCTCTGCATGGGAGACTGAAGCTGACAGAGCTGCAGCAGTTAGCAGGTTTCACCCTCAGAGACCACCAGGGGTTCATGTTGAGGCATTTTAATTTTTTTTTTTTTTTTGTGCCATAGACACTGTCAGCACAATCTGCAGTTACACTAACAAAAATGCTGCAAAAAACAAAGAATTATGGAAAAATTACACATGGACTGACATAGAGGAGGATCTACACAAGTTTTTTACATCATGTTTTACATCATGCATCATTTACATCATGTTTTTTTGTAGTGGCATAAATAAAAAGTGACATTTGTGAGACTATACAGTGTTTTGTAAATAATTTTACAAAGAACGCCTGGGCCATTGCCTGCATTTTGATGTAAATAGAGGTAAATTACTATGTTCTTTGTTAAAAATTTGCATATGTTCTGAAGTTTACAATTTTTATTTGAAGTTTAAGTTTTAAAAACAGTTCATCACACATATTTGTGGTTTTCACAGTAAAAACGTTACTTTTTTCCACTCGGATTTTATGTTTTGTGTGTGAATTTGGGTCCAATGTGTAAATATAGTATGTCAAAATGATAAAATAACTGTAAATTGACACAGGTGAGGTTGTGCTGAAAAAAATGATACCAGGCAAGGCAAGGTAAAAATTTTGTAAGAGGAAATATAAAGGTAAAATCTAAAGTAGTCAAAAACGGCCAATAGTGACTCACAGACTCCATAGACAAGTCCCTTTGGCGCCACTCAGTGGGCAAAACTACTTTGTCTACTGTAATGTATATTTGGGTCATCTTTGGCGCCCCCTAAAACGTAAACCGTGGGGTGCAGCGTCATGATTTTTACAACTTTGAATGGCCATGGAGTGTAGATTGGCCTGAGCAAATTTGGTGTCAGTGGGACGAAAGCCTTAGGAGGAGTTAGCGAAATTCCAATGTGTGCGAATCGGCAAAAAATGCAAAATAGCCCTTTTACCGTACATTATACAGATACGCGCTCTTTGACTTTTTCGTAGATCTAATTGAGATACACATGATTGTCAATTTTTGTGTCATTTTGCCAAAGCGTACAGGCGTGACAGTCAACAATGTGTATTTTCACCTTAGGGGACAAGAAAAAATGGACTTTTTTCTCCTGCCATGGGGGGGCGCTCTTTTAGGAAGTAAAAATTCCTTCACAAATGTGTTGATGGCTGGACATTGCATCATCCTAGAAAACTTGGAGGCCAGTGAGGACAAAAATAAAAAGTTATAACACTTTTAAAAATGTGGATTTTTGGGTAATCTTTGGCGCCCCCTAGAACGTAAACCGTAGGGTGCAGCGTCATGATTTGAATAACTTTTAATGGCCATGGGGTGTAATTTGGCCTGAGCAAATGTGGTGCCGGTGGAACGAAAGCCTTCGGAGGAGTTAGCGAAATTCCAATGTGTGCGAATCGGCAAAAAATGCGGAATAACCCTTTAACCGTACATTAGACAGATACGCGCGCATGGACTTTTTTGTAGATCTTATTGAGATACATGTGTGTGTCAATTTTTGTGTCATTTTGACAAAGCGTACAGGCGTGACACTCAACAATGTGTATTTTCACCTTAGGGGACAAGAAAAAATGGACTTTTTTCTCCTGCCATGGGGGGGCGCTCTTTTGGGGAGTAAAAATTCCTTCACAAATGTGTTGATGGCTGGACATTGCATCATCCTAGAAAACTTGGAGGCCAGTGAGGGCAAAAATAAAAAGTTATAAGACTTTTAAAAATGTGGATTTTAGGGTTATCTTTGGCGCCCCCTAGAACCTAAACCGTGGGGTGCAGCGTCATGATTTGAATAACTTTTAATGGCCATGGGGTGTAGATTGGCCTGAGCAAATGTGGTGCCGGTGGAACGAAAGCCTTCGGAGGAGTTAGCGAAATTCCAATGTGTGCGGATCGGCAAAAAATGCGAAATAACCCTTTAACCGTACATTTGACAGATACGCCCGCACTGACTTTTTTGTAGATCTTATTGAGATACATATGTGTGTCAATTTTTGTGTCATTTTGACAAAGCGTACAGGCGTGACAGTCAATAGTGTGAATTTTCACCTTAGGGGGCGCTATGGAGCCATTTTGCATTTTCTTGTTTGGGCGACTTCGGAATATCGAATTTTTCACCAGGCCCGGTCGTCCTGCCAAATTTCATGAGTTTTCGCCAGTGGGAAGTGGGCCATTTTCCAGTTCAAAGGGGAGGAAAAAGAAGAAAGAAAGAAAGAAAGAAACAAAGAAAAACCCCTTGGGGAATAATAGGGCTCTCGCAGCTGCTTAGCAGCTACGCTCGGGCCCTAAAGAAACAAAGAAAAACCCCTTGGGGAATAATAGGGCTCTCGCAGCTGCTTAGCAGCTACGCTCGGGCCCTAATAACAAAAGAAGGAAACATGCAGGAACAAGAGGGCTCTCGCAGCTGCTTAGCAGCTACGCTCGGGCCCTAAAGAAAGAAAGAAAGAAAGAAAGAAAGAAACAAAGAAAAACCACTTGGGGAATAATAGGGCCTACGCCCGGCTGCTCTGCAGCTGGCTCGGGCCCTAAAAAACCACTTGGGGAATAATAGGGCTCTCGCAGCTGCTTAGCAGCTACGCTCGGGCCCTAATGAAAAAAATATATTTGGGGTGTTCGGGCTTCCTGAAGGAAATACCCGGGTATTAGGTTTTGGGGCTAGGGTTAGGTTTAAGGTTTTTGGCGTGAGGGTTAAAATAACTGTCCAATATTTTTTAAGGAACATGTTTCAGACCTTTGGGAGTTAGTTAGACAAAAAAAAAAAAAAAAAGAAAAAAAAATATTTGGGGTGTTCGGGTTTCCTGAAGGTAATATTAGGTAGGTATTAGGATATGGGGCTAGGGTAAGGTTTAAGGTTTTTGGCGTTAGAGTTAAAATCAGTGTCCAAAACCTTTTTAGGAACATGTTTAAGACCTTTTGGAGTTGGTTACACCAAAAAAAAATGTAAAATGAAAAGAAAATATTTGGGGTGTTCAAGCTTCCTGAAGGTAATACCCGGGTATTAGGTTATGGGGCTATAGTAAGGTTTAAGGTTTTTGGCGTTAGGGTTAAAATAACTGTCCAATATTTTTTAAGGAACATGTTTCAGACCTTTGGGAGTTAGTTAGACAAAAAAAAAAAGAAAAAGAAAAAAATATATATTTGGGGTGTTCGGGTTTCCTGAAGGTAATACCCGGGTATTAGGTTATGGGGCTAGGGTAAGGTTAAAGGTTTTTGGTGTTAGAGTTAAAATCAGTGTCCAAAACCTTTTTAGGAACATGTTTAAGACCTTTTAGAGTTGGTTACACCAAAAAAAAATGTAAAATGAAAAAAAAATATTTGGGGTGTTCGGGCTTACTGAAGGTAATACCCGGGTATTAGGTTTTGGGGCTAGGGTAAGGTTTAAGGTTTTTGGTGTTAGGGTTAAAATCACTGTCCAAAACCTGTGTAGGAACTCTTTTCCAACCTTTTGGAGTTAGTTAGACAAAAAAAAATGTAAAATGAAAAGAAAATATTTGGGGTGTTCAAGCTTCCTGAAGGTAATACCCGGGTATTAGGTTTTGGGGCTAGGGTAAGGTTTAAGGTTTTTGGTGTTAGGGTTAAAATCACTGTCCAAAACCTTTTTAGGAACATGTTTCAGACCTTTTGGAGTAGGTTACACCAAAAAAAAAATGTAAAATGAAAAGAAAATATTTGGGGTGTTCAAGCTTCCTGAAGGTAATACCCGGGTATTAGGTTATGGGGCTATAGTAAGGTTTAAGGTTTTTGGCGTTAGGGTTAAAATCACTGTCCAAAACCTTTGTAGGAACTATTTTCCAACCTTTTGGAGTTAGTTAGACCAAAAAAAAACCGAAAAATGAAAAAAAATATTTGGGGTTTTCAGGCTTACTGAAGGTAATACTAGGTTTCTGGGCTAGGGTAATGTTTTAGGTTTTTGGCGTTAGGGTTAAAATCACTGTCCAATATTTTTTAAGGAACATCTTTCAGACCTCTGGGAGTTAGTTAGACAAAAAAAAAAAAAGAAAGAGAAAAAAAAATTTTGGGGTGTTCGGGCTTCCTGAAGGTAATACCCGGGTATTAGGTTTTGGGGCAAGGATTAGGTTTAAAGGTTTTTGGCGTTAGGGTTAAAATCACCGTCCAAAACCTTTGTAGGAACTCTTTTCCGACCTTTTGGAGTTAGTTAGACCAAAAAAAAAAATGAAAAAAATATATTTGGGGTGTTAGGGCTTCCTGAAGGAAATACCCGGGTATTAGGTTTTGGGGCTAGGGTTAGGTTTAAGGTTTTTGGCGTGAGGGTTAAAATAACTGTCCAATATTTTTTAAGGAACATGTTTCAGACCTTTGGGAGTTAGTTAGACAAAAAAAAAAAGAAAAAGAAAAAAAAATATTTGGGGTGTTCGGGTTTCCTGAAGGTAATATTAGGTAGGTATTCGGATATGGGGCTAGGGTAAGGTTTAAGGTTTTTGGCGTTAGAGTTAAAATCAGTGTCCAAAACCTTTTTAGGAACATGTTTAAGACCTTTTGGAGTTGGTTACACCAAAAAAAAATGTAAAATGAAAAGAAAATATTTGGGGTGTTCAAGCTTCCTGAAGGTAATACCCGGGTATTAGGTTATGGGGCTATAGTAAGGTTTAAGGTTTTTGGCGTTAGGGTTAAAATCACTGTCCAAAACCTTTTTAGGAACATGTTTCAGACCTTTTGGAGTTGGTTACACCAAAAATAAATGTAAAATGAAAAGAAAATATTTGGGGTGTTCAAGCTTCCTGAAGGTAATACCCGGGTATTAGGTTATGGGGCTAGGGTTAGGTTTAAGGTTTTTGGCGTTAGGGTTAAAATAACTGTCCAAAACCTTTGTAGGGACTCTTTTCCAACCTTTGGGAATTAGTTAGACAAAAAAAAAAAGATAAATGAAAAAAAGAATATTTGGGGTGTTCGGGCTTCCTGAAGGAAATACCCGGGTATTAGGTTTTGGGGCTAGGGTTAGGTTTAAGGTTTTTGGCGTTAGGGTTAAAATAACTGTCCAATATTTTTTAAGGAACATGTTTCAGACCTTTGGGAGTTAGTTAGACAAAAAACAAAGAAAAAGAAAAAAAAAATATTTGGGGTGTTCGGGTTTCCTGAAGGTAATACCCGGGTATTAGGTTATGGGGCGAGGGTAAGGTTTAAGGTTTTTGGCGTTAGGGTTAAAATCACTGTCCAAAACCTTTTTAGGAACATGTTTCAGACCTTTTGGAGTTGGTAACACCAAAAAAAAATGTAAAATGAAAAAAAAATATTTGGGGTGTTCAAGCTTCCTAAAGGTAATACCCGGGTATTAGGTTTTGGGGCTAGGGTAAGGTTTAAGGTTTTTGGTGTTAGGGTTTAAATCACTGTCCAAAACCTTTGTAGGAAGTCTTTTCCAACCTTTTGGAGTTAGTTAGACAAAAAAAGAAACAAATGAAAAAAAAATGTTTAGGGTGTTCGGGCTTCCTGAAGGTAATACCCGGGTATTAGGTTTTGGGGCTAGGGTTAGGTTTAAGGTTTTTGGCGTTAGGGTTAAAATAACTGTCCAAAACCTTTGTAGGAACTCTTTTCCAACCTTTGGGAATTAGTTAGACAAAAAAAAAAAGATAAATGAAAAAAAAAAATATTTGGGGTGTACGGGCTTCCTGAAGGAAATATTAGGTTTTGGGGCTAAGGTTAGGTTTAAGGTTTTTGGCGTTAGGGTTAAAATGACTGTCCAATATTTTTTAAGGAACATCTTTCAGACCTTTGGGAGTTAGTTAGACAAAAAAAAAGTTTTTTTTAAGGTTTTTGGCGTTAGGGTTAAAATAACTGTCCAAAACCTTTGTAGGAACTCTTTTCCAACCTTTGGGAATTAGTTAGACAGAAAAAAAAAGATAAATGAAAAAAAGAATATTTGGGGTGTTCGGGCTTCCTGAAGGAAATACCCGGGTATTAGGTTTTGGGGCTAGGGTTAGGTTTAAGGTTTTTGGCGTTAGGGTTAAAATAACTGTCCAATATTTTTTAAGGAACATGTTTCAGACCTTTGGGAGTTAGTTAGACAAAAAACAAAGAAAAAGAAAAAAAAAATATTTGGGGTGTTCGGGTTTCCTGAAGGTAATACCCGGGTATTAGGTTATGGGGCGAGGGTAAGGTTTAAGGTTTTTGGCGTTAGGGTTAAAATCACTGTCCAAAACCTTTTTAGGAACATGTTTCAGACCTTTTGGAGCTGGTAACACCAAAAAAAAATGTAAAATGAAAAAAAAATATTTGGGGTTTTCAAGCTTCCTAAAGGTAATACCCGGGTATTAGGTTTTGGGGCTAGGGTAAGGTTTAAGGTTTTTGGTGTTAGGGTTTAAATCACTGTCCAAAACCTTTGTAGGAAGTCTTTTCCAACCTTTTGGAGTTAGTTAGACAAAAAAAAAAACAAATGAAAAAAAAATGTTTAGGGTGTTCGGGCTTCCTGAAGGTAATACCCGGGTATTAGGTTATGGGGCTAGGGTAAGGTTTAAGGTTTTTGGCGTAAGGGTTAAAATCACTGTCCAAAACCTTTTTAGGAACATGTTTCAGACCTTTAGGAGTTGGTTACACCAAAAAAAATGTAAAATGAAAAAAAATTTTTTGGGGGTGTTCGGGCTTCCTGAAGGTAATACTTTGTATTACCTTTGTAGGAAGTCTTTTCCAACCTTTTGGAGTTAGTCTTTTGTAGGAAGTCTTTTCCAACCTTTTGGAGTTAGTTAGACAAAAAAAAAAAAGATAAATGAAAAAAAAGTATTTGGGGTGTTCGGGCTTCCTGAAGGTAATACCCGGGTATTAGGTTATGGGGCTAGGGTAAGGTTTAAGGTTTTTGGCGTAAGGGTTAAAATCACTGTCCAAAACCTTTTTAGGAACGTGTTTCAGACCTTTTGGAGTTGGTTACACCAAAAAAAATGTAAAATGAAAAAAAAATTTTTTTGGGTGTTCGGGCTTCCTGAAGGTAATACTTTGTATTACCTTTGTAGGAAGTCTTTTCCAACCTTTTGGAGTTAGTCTTTTGTAGGAAGTCTTTTCCAACCTTTTGGAGTTAGTTCGACTAAAAAAAAAGATAAATGAAAAAAAAATATTTGGGGTGTTCGGGCTTCCTGAAGGTAATACCCGGGTATTAGGTTATGGGGCTAGGGTAAGGTTTAAGGTTTTTGGCGTAAGGGTTAAAATCACTGTCCAAAACCTTTTTAGGAACATGTTTAAGACCTTTTGGAGTAGGTTACACCAAAAAAAAATGTAAAATGAAAAAAAAATATTTGGGGTGTTCGGGCTTCCTGAAGGTAATACCCGGGTATTAGGTTTTTGGGCTGGGGTAAGGTTTAAGGTTTTTGGTGTTAGGGTTAAAATCACTGTCCAAAACCTTTTTAGGAACTCTTTTCCAACCTTTTGGAGTTAGTTAGACCAAAAAAAAAATGTAAAATGAAAAAGAATTTTTTTGAGTGTTCGGGCTTCCTGAAGGTAATACTAGGTTTCTGGGCTAGGGTAATGTTTTAGGTTTTTGGCGTAAGGGTTAAAATCACTGTCCAAAACCTTTTTAGGAACTATTTTCCAACCTTTTGGAGTTAGTTAGACCAAAAAAAAACGAAAAATGAAAAAAAATATTTGGGGTGTTCGGGCTTCCTGAAGGTAATACTAGGTTTCTGGGCTAGGGTAATGTTTTAGGTTTTTGGCGTAAGGGTTAAAATCACTGTCCAAAAACTTTTTAGGAACTATTTTCCAACCTTTTGGAGTTAGTTAGACCAAAAAAAAAAGAAAAATGAAAAAAAAATATTTGGGGTGTTCGGGCTTCCTGAAGGTAATACTAGGTTTCTGGGCTAGGGTAATGTTTTAGGTTTTTGGCGTTAGGGTTAAAATCAATGTCCAAAACCTTTGTAGGAACTCTTTTCCAACCTTTGAGAGCAAGTTAGACCAAAACAAAAAGAAAAATAAAAAATATATATTTGGGGTGTTCGGGCTTCCTGAAGGAAATACCCGGGTATTAGGTTATGGGGCTAGGGTAAGGTTTAAGGTTTTTCGGCGTGAGGGTAAAAATCACTGTCCAAAACCTTTGTAGGAACTCTTTTCCAACCTTTGGGAATAAGTTAGACAAAAAAAATAAGATAAAAGAAAAAAATATATATTTGGGGTGTTCGGGTTTCCTGAAGGTAATACCCGGGTATTAGGTTTTGGGGCTAGGGTAAGGTTTAAGGTTTTTTGTGTTAGGGTTAAAATCACTGTCCAAAACCTTTGTAGGAACTCTTTTCCAACCTTTTGGAGTTAGACCAAAAAAAAAAAAAATGAAAAAAATATATTTGGGGTCTTCGGGCTTCCTGAAGGAAATACCCAGGTATTAGGTTATGGGGCTAGGGTAAGGTTGAAGGTTTTTGGCGTTAGGGTTAAAATCACTGTCCAAAACCTTTTTAGGAACATGTTTCAGACTTTTTGGAGTTGGTTACACCAAAAAAAAATGTAAAATGAAAAAAACTTTTTTTGGGTGTTCGGGCTTCCTGAAGGTAATACTAAGTTTTTGGGCTAGGGTAATGTTTAAGGTTTTTGGTGTTAGGGTTAAAATCAATGTCCAAAACCTTTGTAGGAACTCTTTTCCAACCTTTGAGAGCAAGTTAGACCAAAAAAAAAAGAAAAATAAAAAATATATATTTGGGGTGTTCGGGCTTCCTGAAGGTAATACCCAGGTATTAGGTTATGGGGCTAGGGTAAGGTTTAAGGTTTTTCGGTGTGAGGGTAAAAATCACTGTCCAAAACCTTTGTAGGAACTCTTTTCCAACCTTTGGGAATAAGTTAGACAAAAAAAATAAGATAAATGAAAAAAATATATTTGGGGTGTTCGGGCTTCCTGAAGGTAATACCCGGGTATTAGGTTTTGGGGCTAGGGTAAGGTTTAAGGTTTTTGGTGTTAGGGTTAAAATCACTGTCCAAAACCTTTTTAGGAACATGTTTCAGACCTTTTGGAGTAGGTTACACCAAAAAAAAAATGTAAAATGAAAAAAAAATATTTGGGGTGTTCAAGCTTCCTGAAGGTAATACCCGGGTATTAGGTTTTGGGGCTAGGGTTAGGTTTAAGGTTTTTGGCATTAGGGTTAAAATAACTGTCCAATATTTTTTAAGGAACATGTCTCAGACCTTTGGGAGTTAGTTAGACAAAAAACAAAGAAAAAGAAAAAAATATATATTTGGGGTGTTCGGGTTTCCTGAAGGTAATACCCGGGTATTAGGTTCTGGGGCTAGGGTTAGGTTTAAGGTTTTTGGCGTTAGGGTTAAAATCACTGTCCAAAACCTTTTTAGGAACATGTTTCAGACCTTTTGGAGTTGGTAACACAAAAAAAAAAATGTAAAATGAAAAAAAAATATTTGTGGTGTTCAAGCTTCCTAAAGGTAATACCCGGGTATTAGGTTTTGGGGCTAGGGTAAGGTTTAAGGTTTTTGGTGTTAGGGTTTAAATCACTGTCCAAAACCTTTGTAGGAAGTCTTTTCCAACCTTTTGGAGTTAGTTAGACAAAAAAAAAAAAAAAAATGAAAAAAAAATGTTTAGGGTGTTCGGGCTTCCTGAAGGTAATACCCGGGTATTAGGTTATGGGGCTAGGGTAAGGTTTAAGGTTTTTGGCGTAAGGGTTAAAATCACTGTCCAAAACCTTTTTAGGAACATGTTTCAGACCTTTAGGAGTTGGTTACACCAAAAAAAATGTAAAATGAAAAAAAATTTTTGGGGGGTGTTCGGGCTTCCTGAAGGTAATACTTTGTATTACCTTTGTAGGAAGTCTTTTCCAACCTTTTGGAGTTAGTCTTTTGTAGGAAGTCTTTTCCAACCTTTTGGAGTTAGTTAGACAAAAAAAAAAAAGATAAATGAAAAAAAAGTATTTGGGGTGTTCGGGCTTCCTGAAGGTAATACCCGGGTATTAGGTTTTGGGGCTAGGGTAAGGTTTAAGGTTTTTGGCGTAAGGGTTAAAATCACTGTCCAAAACCTTTTTAGGAACATGTTTCAGACCTTTTGGAGTTGGTTACACCAAAAAAAATGTAAAATGAAAAAAAATTTTTTTTGGGTGTTCGGGCTTCCTGAAGGTAATACTTTGTATTACCTTTGTAGGACGTCTTTTCCAACCTTTTGTAGTTAGTCTTTTGTAGGAAGTCTTTTCCAACCTTTTGGAGTTAGTTAGACAAAAAAAAAAAGATAAATGAAAAAAAAATATTTGGGGTGTTCGGGCTTCCTGAAGGTAATACCCGGGAATTAGGTTATGGGGCTAGGGTAAGGTTTAAGGTTTTTTGGCGTAAGGGTTAAAATCACTGTCCAAAACCTTTTTAGGAACATGTTTCAGACCTTTCGGAGTAGGTTACACCAAAAAAAATGTAAAATGAAAAAAAAATATTTGGGGTGTTCGGGCTTCCTGAAGGTAATACCCGGGTATTAGGTTTTTGGGCTAGGGTAAGGTTTAAGGTTTTTGGTGTTAGGGTTAAAATCACTGTCCAAAACCTTTGTAGGAACTCTTTTCCGACCTTTTGGAGTTAGTTAGACCAAAAAAAAAAAAGTAAAATGAAAAAGAATTTTTTTGAGTGTTCGGGCTTCCTGAAGGTAATACTAGGTTTCTGGGCTAGGGTAATGTTTTAGGTTTTTGGCGTAAGGGTTAAAATCACTGTCCAAAACCTTTTTAGGAACTATTTTCCAACCTTTTGGAGTTAGTTAGACCAAAAAAAAACGAAAAATGAAAAAAAATATTTGGGGTGTTCGGGCTTCCTGAAGGTAATACTAGGTTTCTGGGCTAGGGTAATGTTTTAGGTTTTTGGCGTAAGGGTTAAAATCACTGTCCAAAACCTTTTTAGGAACTATTTTCCAACCTTTTGGAGTTAGTTAGACCAAAAAAAAATGTAAAATGAAAAAAAATATTTGGGGTGTTCGGGCTTCCTGAAGGTAATACTAGGTTTCTGGGCTAGGGTAATGTTTTAGGTTTTTGGCGTTAGGGTTAAAATCAATGTCCAAAACCTTTGTAGGAACTCTTTTCCAACCTTTGAGAGCAAGTTAGACCAAAACAAAAAGAAAAATAAAAAATATATATTTGGGGTGTTCGGGCTTCCTGAAGGAAATACCCGGGTATTAGGTTTTGGGGCTAGGGTAAGGTTTAAGGTTTTTGGTGTTAGGGTTAAAATCACTGTCCAAAACCTTTTTAGGAACATGTTTCAGACCTTTTGGAGTAGGTTACACCAAAAAAAAAAATGTAAAATGAAAAAAAGATATTTGGGGTGTTCAAGCTTCCTGAAGGAAATACCCGGGTATTAGGTTTTGGGGCTAGGGTTAGGTTTAAGGTTTTTGGCATTAGGGTTAAAATAACTGTCCAATATTTTTTAAGGAACATGTTTCAGACCTTTGGGAGTTAGTTAGACAAAAAAAAATAAGATAAAAGAAAAAAATATATATTTGGGGTGTTCGGGCTTCCTGAAGGTAATACCCGGGTATTAGGTTATGGGGCTAGGGTAAGGTTTAAGGTTTTTGGCGTTAGAGTTAAAATCAGTGTCCAAAACCTTTTTAGGAACATGTTTAAGACCTTTTAGAGTTGGTTACACCAAAAAAAAAATGTAAAATGAAAAAAAAGATATTTGGGGTGTTCGGGCTTCCTGAAGGTAATACCCGGGTATTCGGTTTTGGGGCTAGGGTAAGGTTTAAGGTTTTTTGTGTTAGGGTTAAAATCACTGTCCAAAACCTTTTTAGGAACTCTTTTCCAACCTTTTGGAGTTAGACCAAAAAAAAAAAAAAAATGAAAAAAATATATTTGGGGTCTTCGGGCTTCCTGTAGGAAATACCCAGGTATTAGGTTATGGGGCTAGGGTAAGGTTTAAGGTTTTTGGCGTTAGGGTTAAAATCACTGTCCAAAACCTTTTTAGGAACATGTTTCAGACCTTTTGGAGTAGGTTACACCAAAAAAAAAATGTAAAATGAAAAAAAAATATTTGCGGTGTTCAAGCTTACTGAAGGTAATACCCGGGTATTAGGTTATGGGGCTAGGGTTAGGTTTAAGGTTTTTGGCATTAGGGTTAAAATAACTGTCCAATATTTTTTAAGGAACATGTTTCAGACCTTTGGGAATAAGTTAGACAAAAAAAAAGAAAAAGAAAAAAATATATATTTGGGGTGTTCGGATTTCCTGAAGGTAATACCCGGGTATTAGGTTTTGGGGCTAGGGTAAGGTTTAAGGCTTTTGGTGTTAGAGTTAAAATCAGTGTCCAAAACCTTTTTAGGAACATGTTTAAGACCTTTTAGAGTTGGTTACACCAAAAAAAAAATGTAAAATGAAAAAAAAATATTTGGGGTGTTCGGGCTTACTGAAGGTAATACCCGGGTATTAGGTTTTGGGGCTAGGGTAAGGTTTAAGGTTTTTGGTGTTAGGGTTAAAATCACTGTCCAAAACCTTTGTAGGAACTCTTTTCCAACCTTTTGGAGTTAGTTAGACCAAAAAAAAAGAAAAAATGAAAAAAATATATTTGGGGTCTTCGGGCTTCCTGAAGGAAATACCCAGGTATTAGGTTATGGGGCTAGGGTAAAGTTTAAGGTTTTTGGCGTTAGGGTTAAAATCAATGTCCAAAACCTTTTTAGGAACATGTTTCAGACCTTTTGGAGTTGGTTACACCAAAAAAAAATGTAAAATGAAAAGAAAATATTTGGGGTGTTCAAGCTTCCTGATGGTAATACCCGGGTATTAGTTTATGGGGCTATAGTAAGGTTTAAGGTTTTTGGCGTTAGGGTTAAAATCACTGTCCAAAACCTTTGTAGGAACTATTTTCCAACCTTTTGGAGTTAGTTAGACAAAAAAAAAAACGAAAAATGAAAAAAAATATTTGGGGTTTTCGGGCTCACTGAAGGTAATACCCGGGTATTAGGTTTTGGGGCTAGGGTTAGGTTTAAGGTTTTTGGCGTTAGGGTTAAAATAACTGTCCAAAACCTTTGTAGGAACTCTTTTCCAACCTTTGGGAATTAGTTAGACAAAAAAAAAAAGATAAATGAAAAAAAGAATATTTGGGGTGTTCGGGCTTCCTGAAGGTAATACCCGGGTATTAGGTTCTGGGGCTAGGGTTAGGTTTAAGGTTTTTGGCGTTAGGGTTAAAATAACTGTCCAATATTTTTTAAGGAACATGTTTCAGACCTTCGGGAGTTAGACAAAAAACAAAGAAAAAGAAAAAAAAAATATTTGGGGTGTTCGGGTTTCCTGAAGGTAATACCCGGGTATTAGGTTATGGGGCTAGGGTAAGGTTTAAGGTTTTTGGCGTTAGGGTTAAAATCACTGTCCAAAACCTTTTTAGGAACATGTTTCAGACCTTTTGGAGTTGGTAACACCAAAAAAAAATGTAAAATGAAAAAAAAATATTTGGGGTGTTCAAGCTTCCTAAAGGTAATACCCGGGTATTAGGTTTTGGGGCTAGGGTAAGGTTTAAGGTTTTTGGTGTTAGGGTTTAAATCACTGTCCAAAACCTTTGTAGGAAGTCTTTTCCAACCTTTTGGAGTTAGTTAGACAAAAAAAAAACAAATGAAAAAAAAATGTTTAGGGTGTTCGGGCTTCCTGAAGGTAATACCCGGGTATTAGGTTATGGGGCTAGGGTAAGGTTTAAGGTTTTTGGCGTAAGGGTTAAAATCACTGTCCAAAACCTTTTTAGGAACATGTTTCAGACCTTTTGGAGTCGGTTACACCAAAAAAAATGTAAAATGAAAAAAAAATTTTTTTGGGTGTTCGGGCTTCCTGAAGGTAATACTTTGTATTACCTTTGTAGGAAGTCTTTTCCAACCTTTTGGAGTTAGTCATTTATAGGAAGTCTTTTCCAACCTTTTGGAGTTAGTTAGACAAAAAAAAAAAAGATAAATGAAAAAAAAAATATTTGGGGTGTTCGGGCTTCCTGAAGGTAATACCCGGGTATTAGGTTATGGGGCTAGGGTAAGGTTTAAGGTTTTTGGCGTAAGGGTTAAAATCACTGTCCAAAACCTTTTTAGGAACATGTTTCAGACCTTTTGGAGTAGGTTACACCAAAAAAAAATGTAAAATGAAAAAAAAAATATTTGGGGTGTTCGGGCTTCCTGAAGGTAATACCCGGGTATTAGGTTTTTGGGCTAGGGTAAGGTTTAAGGTTTTTGGTGTTAGGGTTAAAATCACTGTCCAAAACCTTTGTAGGAACTCTTTTCCGACCTTTTGGAGTTAGTTAGACCAAAAAAAAAAAGTAAAATGAAAAAGAATTTTTTTGAGTGTTCGGGCTTCCTGAAGGTAATACTAGGTTTCTGGGATAGGGTAATGTTTTAAGGTTTTTGGCGTTAGGGTTAAAATCAATGTCCAAAACCTTTTTAGGAACATGTTTCAGACCTTTTGGAGTTGGTTACACCAAAAAAAATGTAAAATGAAAAAAAGTTTTTTTGGGTGTTCGGGCTTCCTGAAGGTAATACTAGGTATCTGGGCTAGGGTAATGTTTAAGGTTTTTGGTGTTAGGGTTAAAATCAATGTCCAAAACCTTTGTAGGAACTCTTTTCAAACCTTTGAGAAAAAGTTAGACCAAAAAAAAAGAAAAATAAAAAATATATTCTTGGGGTGTTCGGGCTTCCTGAAGGTAATACCCGGGTATTAGGTTTTGGGGCTAGGGTTAGGTTTAAGGTTTTTGGCGTTAGGGTTAAAATAACTGTCCAAAACCTTTGTAGGAACTATTTTCCAACCTTTGGGAATAAGTTAGACAAAAAAAAAGATAAATGAAAAAAAAAATATTTGGGGTGTACGGGCTTCCTGAAGGAAATATTAGGTTTTGGGGCTAGGGTTAGGTTTAAGGTTTTTGGTGTTAGGGTTAAAATGACTGTCCAATATTTTTTAAGGAACATCTTTCAGACCTTTGGGAGTTAGTTAGAAAAAAAAAAAAGAGTTTTTTTTAAGGTTTTTGGCGTTAGGGTTAAAATCAATGTCCAAAACCTTTGTAGGAACTCTTTTCCAACCTTTGGGAATAAGTTAGACAAAAAAAATAAGATAAATGAAAAAAAAATATTTGGGGTGTTCGGGCTTCCTGAAGGTAATACCCGGGTATTAGGTTATGGGGCTAGGGTTAGGTTTAAGGTTTTTGGCGTTAGGGTTAAAATAACTGTCCAATATTTTTTAAGGAACATGTTTCAGACCTTTGGGAGTTAGTTAGACAAAAAAAAAAAATATATTTGGGGTGTTCGGGTTTCCTGAAGGTAATATTAGGTAGGTATTAGGTTATGGGGCTAGGGTAAGGTTTAAGGTTTTTGGCGTTAGAGTTAAAATCAGTGTCCAAAACCTTTTTAGGAACATGTTTAAGACCTTTTGGAGTTGGTTACACCCAAAAAAAATGTAAAATGAAAAAAAAAATATTTGGGGTGTTCGGGCTTCCTGAAGGTAATACCCGGGTATTAGGCTTTGGGGCTAGGGTAAGGTTTAAGGTTTTTTGCGTTAGGGTTAAAATCACTGTCCAAAACATTTGTAGGAACTATTTTCCAACCTTTTGAAGTTAGTTAGACCAAAAAAAAACGAAAAATGAAAAAAAATATTTGGGGTGTTAGGGCTTCCTGAAGGTAATACCCATGTATTAGGTTATGGGGCTAGGGTAAGGTTTAAGGTTTTTGGCGTTAGGGTTAAAATCACTGTCCAAAACCTTTTTAGGAACATGTTTCAGACTTTTTGGAGTTGGTTACACCAAAAAAAATGTAAAATGAAAAGAAAATATTTGGGGTGTTCAAGCTTCCTGAAGGTAATACCCGGGTATTAGGTTATGGGGCTATAGTAAGGTTTAAGGTTTTTGGCGTTAGGGTTAAAATCACTGTCCAAAACCTTTGTAGGAACTATTTTCCAACCTTTTGGAGTTCGTTAGACCAAAAAAGAAACGAAAAATGAAAAAAAAAATTTGGGGTTTTCGGGCTTACTGAAGGTAATACCCGGGTATTAGGTTTTGGGGCTAGGGTTAGGTTTAAGGTTTTTGGCGTTAGGGTTAAAATCACTGTCCAATATTTTTAAGGAACATGTTTCAGACCTTTTGGAGTTAGTTAGATAAAAAAAAAACGAAAAATGAAAAAAAATATTTGGGGTGTTCGGGCTTCCTGAAGGTAATACTAGGTTTCTGGGCTAGGGTAATGTTTTAGGTTTTTGGCGTTAGGGTTAAAATCAATGTCAAAAACCTTTGTAGGAACTCTTTTCCAACCTTTGAGAGCAAGTTAGACCAAAACAAAAAGAAAAATAAAAAATATATATTTGGGGTGTTCGGGCTTCCTGAAGGTAATAGGTTATGGGGCTAGGGTAAGGTTTAAGGTTTTTCGGCGTTAGGGTAAAAATCACTGTCCAAAACCTTTGTAGGAACTCTTTTCCAACCTTTGGGAATAAGTTAGACAAAAAAAATAAGATAAATGAAAAAAAAATATTTGGGGTGTTCGGGCTTCCTGAAGGTAATACGGGTATTAGGTTTCGGGGCTAGGGTTAGGTTTAAGGTTTTTGGCGTTAGGGTTAAAATAACTGTCCAATATTTTTCAAGGAACATGTTTCAGACCTTTGGGAGTTAGTTAGACAAAAAAAAAAGAAAAAGAAAAAAAATATATATTTGGGGTGTTTGGGTTTCCTGAAGGTAATACCCGGGTATTAGGTTATGGGGCTAGGGTAAGGTTTAAGGTTTTTGGCGTCAGAGTTAAAATCAGTGTCCAAAACCTTTTTAGGAACATGTTTAAGACCTTTTAGAGTTGGTTACACCAAAAAAAATGTAAAATGAAAAAAAAAATATTTGGGGTGTTCGGGCTTCCTGAAGGTAATACCCGGGTATTAGGCTTTGGGGCTAGGGTAAGGTTTAAGGTTTTTGGTGTTAGGGTTAAAATCACTGTCCAAAACCTTTGTAGGAACTCTTTTCCAACCTTTTGGAGTTAGTTAGACCAAAAAAAAAGAAAAAAGAAAAGAATATATTTGGGGTCTTCGGGCTTCCTGAAGGAAATACCCAGGTATTAGGTTATGGGGCTAGGGTAAGGTTTAAGGTTTTTGGCGTTAGGGTTAAAATCACTGTCCAAAACCTTTGTAGGAATGCTTTTCCGACCTTTTGGAGTTAATTAGACCAAAAAAAAAAAAAATGAAAAAAATATATTTGGGGTCTTCGGGCTTCCTGAAGGAAATACCCAGGTATTAGGTTATGGGGCTAGGGAAAGGTTTAAGGTTTTTGGCGTTAGGGTTAAAATCACTGTCCAAAACCTTTTTAGGAACATGTTTCAGACCTTTTGGAGTTGGTAACACCAAAAAAAATGTAAAATGAAAAAAAAATATTTGTGGTGTTCAAGCTTGCCGAAGGTAATACCCGGGTATTAGGTTATGGGGCTAGGGTAAGGTTTAAGGTTTTTGGCGTCAGAGTTAAAATCAGTGTCCAAAACCTTTTTAGGAACATGTTTAAGACCTTTTAGAGTTGGTTACACCAAAAAAAATGTAAAATGAAAAAAAATATATTTGGGGTGTTCGGGCTTCCTGAAGGTAATACCCGGGTATTAGGCTTTGGGGCTAGGGTAAGGTTTAAGGTTTTTGGTGTTAGGGTTAAAATCACTGTCCAAAACCTTTGTAGGAACTCTTTTCCAACCTTTTGGAGTTAGTTAGACCAAAAAAAAAGAAAAAAGAAAAGAATATATTTGGGGTCTTCGGGCTTCCTGAAGGAAATACCCAGGTATTAGGTTATGGGGCTAGGGTAAGGTTTAAGGTTTTTGGCGTTAGGGTTAAAATCACCGTCCAAAACCTTTGTAGGAATGCTTTTCCGACCTTTTGGAGTTAATTAGACCAAAAAAAAAAAAATGAAAAAAATATATTTGGGGTCTTCGGGCTTCCTGAAGGAAATACCCAGGTATTAGGTTATGGGGCTAGGGAAAGGTTTAAGGTTTTTGGCGTTAGGGTTAAAATCACTGTCCAAAACCTTTTTAGGAACATGTTTCAGACCATTTGGAGTTGGTAACACCAAAAAAAAATGTAAAATGAAAAAAAAATATTTGTGGTGTTCAAGCTTGCCGAAGGTAATACCCGGGTATTAGGCTTTGGGGCTAGGGTAAGGTTTAAGGTTTTTGGTGTTAGGGTTAAAATCACTGTCCAAAACCTTTGTAGGAACTCTTTTCCAACCTTTTGGAGTTAGTTAGACCAAAAAAAAGAAAAAAGAAAAAAATATATTTGGGGTCTTCGGGCTTCCTGAAGGAAATACCCAGGTATTAGGTTATGGGGCTAGGGTAAAGTTTAAGGTTTTTGGCGTTAGGGTTAAAATCAATGTCCAAAACCTTTTTAGGAACATGTTTCAGACCTTTTGGAGTAGGTTACACCAAAAAAGAAATATAAAATGAAAAAAAAATATTTGGGGTGTTCAAGCTTCCTGAAGGTAATACCCGGCGATTAGGTTATGGGGCTATAGTAAGGTTTAAGGTTTTTGGCGTTAGGGTTAAAATCACTGTCCAAAACCTTTGTAGGAACTATTTTCCAACCTTTTGGAGTTAGTTAGACCAAAAAAAAACGATAAATGAAAAAAATATATTTGGGGTGTTCGGGCTTCCTGAAGGTAATACCCGGGTATTAGGTTTTGGGGCTAGGGTTTGGTTTAAGGTTTTTGGCGTTACAGTTAAAATAACTGTCCAATATTTTTTAAGGAACATGTTTCAGACCTTTGGGAGTTAGTTAGACAAAGAAAAAAGAAAAAGAAAAAAATATATATTTGGGGTGTTCGGGTTTCCTGAAGGTAATACCCGGGTATTAGGTTATGGGGCTAGGGTAAGGTTTAAGGTTTTTGGCGTTAGGGTTAAAATCACTGTCCAAAACCTTTGTAGGAACTCTTTTCAAACCTTTTGGAGTTAGTTAGACCAAAAAAAAAAAAAATGAAAAAAATATATTTGGGCTCTTCGGGCTTCCTGAAGGAAATACCCAGGTATTAGGTTATGGGGCTAGGGTAAGGTTTAAGGTTTTTGGCGAAAGGGTTAAAATCACTGTCCAAAACCTTTGTAGGAACATGTTTCAGACCTTTTGGAGTTGGTTACACCAAAAAAGAATGTAAAATGAAAAGAAAATATTTGGGGTGTTCAAGCTTCCTGAAGGTAATACCCGGGTATTAGGTTATGGGGCTATAGTAAGGTTTAAGGTTTTTGGCGTTAGGGTTAAAATCACTGTCCAAAACCTTTGTAGGAACTATTTTCCAACCTTTTGGAGTTAGTTAGACAAAAAAAAAGAAAAAGAAAAAAAAAAATTTGGGGTGTTCGGGCTTCCTGAAGGTAATACCCGGGTATTAGGTTTTGGGGCTAGGATTAGGTTTAAGGTTTTTGGTGTTAGGGTTAAAATCACTGTCCAAAACCTTTGTAGGAACTCTTTTCCAACCTTTTGGAGTAAGTTAGACCAAAAAAAAACGAAAAATGAATAAAAATATTTGGGGTGTTCGGGCTTCCTGAAGGTAATACCAAGGTATTAGGTTATGGGGCTAGGGTAAGGTTTAAGGTTTTTGGCGTGAGGGTTAAAATCACTGTCCAAAACCTTTTTAGGAACATGTTTCAGACCTTTTGGAGTTGGTTACACCAAAAAAAAAGTAAAATAAAAAAAAGAATTTTTTTGGGGTGTTCGGGCTTCCTGAAGGTAATACTAGGCTTCTGGGCTAGGGTAATGTTTTAGGTTTTTGGCGTTAGGGTTAAAATCAATGTCCAAAACCTTTGTAGGAACTCTTTTCCAACCTTTGAGAGCAAGTTAGACCAAAACAAAAAGAAAAATAAAAATTATATATTTGGGGTGTTCGGTCTTCCTGAAGGTAATACCCGGGTATTAGGTTATGGGGCTAGGGTAAGGTTTAAGGTTTTTCAGCGTGAGGGTAAAAATCACTGTCCAAAACCTTTGTAGGAACTCTTTTCCAACCTTTGGGAATAAGTTAGACAAAAAAAATAAGATAAATGAAAAAAATATAATTGGGGTGTTCGGGCTTCCTGAAGGTAATACCCGGGTATTAGGTTTTGGGGCTAGGGTTTGGTTTAAGGTTTTTGGCGTTAGGGTTAAAATAACTGTCCAATATTTTTAAAGGAACATGTTTCAGACCTTTGGGAGTTAGTTAGACAAAGAAAAAAGAAAAAGAAAAAAATATATATTTGGGGTGTTCGGGTTTCCTGAAGGTAATACCCGGGTATTAGGTTATGGGGCTAGGGTAAGGTTTAAGGTTTTTGGCGTTAGAGTTAAAATCAGTGTCCAAAACCTTTTTAGGAACATGTTTAAGACCGTTTAGAGTTGGTTACACCAAAAAAAAAATGTAAAATGATAAAAAAATATTTGGGGTGTTCGGGCTTCCTTAAGGTAATACCCGGGTATTAGGTTTTGGGGCTAGGGTAAGGTTTAAGGTTTTTGGTGTTCGGGTTAAAATCACTGTCCAAAACCTTTGTAGGAACTCTTTTCCAACCTTTTGGAGTTAGTTAGACCAAAAAAAAAAAAATGAAAAAAATATATTTGGGCTCTTCGGGCTTCCTGAAGGAAATACCCAGGTATTAGGTTATGGGGCTAGGGTAAGGTTTAAGGTTTTTGGCGTTAGGGTTAAAATCACTGTCCAAAACCTTTTTAGGAACATGTTTCAGACCTTTTGGAGTTGGTTACACCAAAAAAAAATGTAAAATGAAAAGAAAATATTTGGGGTGTTCAAGCTTCCTGAAGGTAATACCCGGGTATTAGGTTATGGGGCTATAGTAAGGTTTAAGGTTTTTGGCGTTAGGGTTAAAATCACTGTCCAAAACCTTTGTAGGAACTATTTTCAGACCTTTTGGAGTTGGTAACACCAAAAAAAAATGTAAAATGAAAAAAGAATATTTGGGGTGTTCAAGGCTTCCTGAAGGTAATACCCGGGTATTAGGTTATGGGGCTATAGTAAGGTTTAAGGTTTTTGGCGTTAGGGTTAAAATCACTGTCCAAAACCTTTGTAGGAACTATTTTCCAACCTTTTGGAGTTAGTTAGACCAAAAAAAAACGAAAAATGAAAAAAAATATTTGGGGTGTTCGGGCTTCCTGAAGGTAATACCAAGGTATTAGGTTATGGGGCTAGGGTAAGGTTTAAGGTTTTTGGCGTAAGGGTTAAAATCACTGTCCAAAACCTTTGTAGGAACTCTTTTCCAACCTTTGGGAATAAGTTAGACAAAAAAAAAAGATAAATGAAAAAAATATATTTGGGGTGTTCGGGCTTCCTGAAGGTAATACCCGGGTATTAGGTTTTGGGGCTAGGGTTTGGTTTAAGGTTTTTGGCGTTACGGTTAAAATAACTGTCCAATATTTTTTAAGGAACATATTTCAGACCTTTGGGAGTTAGTTAGACAAAGAAAAAAGAAAAAGAAAAAAATATATATTTGGGGTGTTCGGGCTTCCTGAAGGTAATACCCGGGTATTAGGTTATGGGGCTAGGGTAAGGTTTAAGGTTTTTGGCGTTAGAGTTAAAATCAGTGTCCAAAACCTTTTTAGGAACATGTTTAAGACCGTTTAGAGTTGGTTACACCAAAAAAAAATGTAAAATGATAAAAAAATATTTGGGGTGTTCGGGCTTCCTTAAGGTAATACCCGGGTATTCGGTTTTGGGGCTAGGGTAAGGTTTAAGGTTTTTGGTGTTCGGGTTAAAATCACTGTCCAAAACCTTTGTAGGAACTCTTTTCCAACCTTTTGGAGTTAGTTAGACCAAAAAAAAAAAAATGAAAAAAATATATTTGGGCTCTTCGGGCTTCCTGAAGGAAATACCCAGGTATTAGGTTATGGGGCTAGGGTAAGGTTTAAGGTTTTTGGCGAAAGGGTTAAAATCACTGTCCAAAACCATTTTAGGAACATGTTTCAGACCTTTTGGAGTTGGTTACACCAAAAAAAAAATGTAAAATGAAAAGAAAATATTTGGGGTGTTCAAGCTTCCTGAAGGTAATACCCGGGTATTAGGTTATGGGGCTATAGTAAGGTTTAAGGTTTTTGGCGTTAGGGTTAAAATCACTGTCCAAAACCTTTGTAGGAACTATTTTCCAACCTTTTGGAGTTAGTTAGACAAAAAAAAAAGAAAAAGAAAAAAAAAAAATTTGGGGTGTTCGGGCTTCCTGAAGGTAATACCCGGGTATTAGGTTTTGGGGCTAGGATTAGGTTTAAGGTTTTTGGTGTTAGGGTTAAAATCACTGTCCAAAACCTTTGTAGGAACTCTTTTCCAACCTTTTGGAGTAAGTTAGACCAAAAAAAAACGAAAAATGAATAAAAATATTTGGGGTGTTCGGGCTTCCTGAAGGTAATACCCGGGTATTAGGTTTTGGGGCTAGGGTAAGGTTTAAGGTTTTTGGTGTTAGGGTTAAAATCACTGTCCAAAACCTTTTTAGGAACATGTTTCAGACCTTTTGGAGTAGGTTACACCAAAAAAAAAATGTAAAATGAAAAAAAAATATTTGGGGTGTTCAAGCTTCCTGAAGGTAATACCCGGGTATTAGGTTTTGGGGCTAGGGTTAGGTTTAAGGTTTTTGGCATTAGGGTTAAAATAACTGTCCAATATTTTTTAAGGAACATGTCTCAGACCTTTGGGAGTTAGTTAGACAAAAAACAAAGAAAAAGAAAAAAATATATATTTGGGGTGTTCGGGTTTCCTGAAGGTAATACCCGGGTATTAGGTTCTGGGGCTAGGGTTAGGTTTAAGGTTTTTGGCGTTAGGGTTAAAATCACTGTCCAAAACCTTTTTAGGAACATGTTTCAGACCTTTTGGAGTTGGTAACACAAAAAAAAAAATGTAAAATGAAAAAAAAATATTTGTGGTGTTCAAGCTTCCTAAAGGATATACCCGGGTATTAGGTTTTGGGGCTAGGGTAAGGTTTAAGGTTTTTGGTGTTAGGGTTTAAATCACTGTCCAAAACCTTTGTAGGAAGTCTTTTCCAACCTTTTGGAGTTAGTTAGACAAAAAAAAAAAAAAATGAAAAAAAAATGTTTAGGGTGTTCGGGCTTCCTGAAGGTAATACCCGGGTATTAGGTTATGGGGCTAGGGTAAGGTTTAAGGTTTTTGGCGTAAGGGTTAAAATCACTGTCCAAAACCTTTTTAGGAACATGTTTCAGACCTTTTGGAGTTGGTTACACCAAAAAAAATGTAAAATGAAAAAAAAATTTGGGGGGGTGTTCGGGCTTCCTGAAGGTAATACTTTGTATTACCTTTGTAGGAAGTCTTTTCCAACCTTTTGGAGTTAGTCTTTTGTAGGAAGTCTTTTCCAACCTTTTGGAGTTAGTTAGACAAAAAAAAAAAGATAAATGAAAAAAAAGTATTTGGGGTGTTCGGGCTTCCTGAAGGTAATACCCGGGTATTAGGTTTTGGGGCTAGGGTAAGGTTTAAGGTTTTTGGCGTAAGGGTTAAAATCACTGTCCAAAACCTTTTTAGGAACATGTTTCAGACCTTTTGGAGTTGGTTACACCAAAAAAATGTAAAATGAAAAAAAAATATTTGGGGTGTTCGGGCTTCCTGAAGGTAATACATTGTATTACCTTTGTAGGACGTCTTTTCCAACCTTTTGTAGTTAGTCTTTTGTAGGAAGTCTTTTCCAACCTTTTGGAGTTAGTTAGACAAAAAAAAAAGATAAAATGAAAAAAAAATATTTGGGGTGTTCGGGCTTCCTGAAGGTAATACCCGGGAATTAGGTTATGGGGCTAGGGTAAGGTTTAAGGTTTTTTGGCGTAAGGGTTAAAATCACTGTCCAAAACCTTTTTAGGAACATGTTTCAGACCTTTCGGAGTAGGTTACACCAAAAAAAATGTAAAATGAAAAAAAAATATTTGGGGTGTTCGGGCTTCCTGAAGGTAATACCCGGGTATTAGGTTTTTGGGCTAGGGTAAGGTTTAAGGTTTTTGGCGTTAGGGTTAAAATCACTGTCCAAAACCTTTGTAGGAACTCTTTTCCGACCTTTTGGAGTTAGTTAGACCAAAAAAAAAAAAGTAAAATGAAAAAGAATTTTTTTGAGTGTTCGGGCTTCCTGAAGGTAATACTAGGTTTCTGGGCTAGGGTAATGTTTTAGGTTTTTGGCGTAAGGGTTAAAATCACTGTCCAAAACCTTTTTAGGAACTATTTTCCAACCTTTTGGAGTTAGTTAGACCAAAAAAAAATGTAAAATGAAAAAAAATATTTGGGGTGTTCGGGCTTCCTGAAGGTAATACTAGGTTTCTGGGCTAGGGTAATGTTTTAGGTTTTTGGCGTTAGGGTTAAAATCAATGTCCAAAACCTTTGTAGGAACTCTTTTCCAACCTTTGAGAGCAAGTTAGACCAAAACAAAAAGAAAAATAAAAAATATATATTTGGGGTGTTCGGGCTTCCTGAAGGAAATACCCGGGTATTAGGTTTTGGGGCTAGGGTAAGGTTTAAGGTTTTTGGTGTTAGGGTTAAAATCACTGTCCAAAACCTTTTTAGGAACATGTTTCAGACCTTTTGGAGTAGGTTACACCAAAAAAAAAAATGTAAAATGAAAAAAAGATATTTGGGGTGTTCAAGCTTCCTGAAGGAAATACCCGGGTATTAGGTTTTGGGGCTAGGGTTAGGTTTAAGGTTTTTGGCATTAGGGTTAAAATAACTGTCCAATATTTTTTAAGGAACATGTTTCAGACCTTTGGGAGTTAGTTAGACAAAAAAAAATAAGATAAAAGAAAAAAATATATATTTGGGGTGTTCGGGTTTCCTGAAGGTAATACCCGGGTATTAGGTTATGGGGCTAGGGTAAGGTTTAAGGTTTTTGGCGTTAGAGTTAAAATCAGTGTCCAAAACCTTTTTAGGAACATGTTTAAGACCTTTTAGAGTTGGTTACACCAAAAAAAAAATGTAAAATGAAAAAAAAGATATTTGGGGTGTTCGGGCTTCCTGAAGGTAATACCCGGGTATTCGGTTTTGGGGCTAGGGTAAGGTTTAAGGTTTTTTGTGTTAGGGTTAAAATCACTGTCCAAAACCTTTTTAGGAACTCTTTTCCAACCTTTTGGAGTTAGACCAAAAAAAAAAAAAAAATGAAAAAAATATATTTGGGGTCTTCGGGCTTCCTGTAGGAAATACCCAGGTATTAGGTTATGGGGCTAGGGTAAAGTTGAAGGTTTTTGGCGTTAGGGTTAAAATCACTGTCCAAAACCTTTTTAGGAACATGTTTCAGACCTTTTGGAGTAGGTTACACCAAAAAAAAAATGTAAAATGAAAAAAAAATATTTGCGGTGTTCAAGCTTACTGAAGGTAATACCCGGGTATTAGGTTATGGGGCTAGGGTTAGGTTTAAGGTTTTTGGCATTAGGGTTAAAATAACTGTCCAATATTTTTTAAGGAACATGTTTCAGACCTTTGGGAGTTAGTTAGACAAAAAAAAAGAAAAAGAAAAAAATATATATTTGGGGTGTTCGGATTTCCTGAAGGTAATACCCGGGTATTAGGTTTTGGGGCTAGGGTAAGGTTTAAGGCTTTTGGTGTTAGAGTTAAAATCAGTGTCCAAAACCTTTTTAGGAACATGTTTAAGACCTTTTAGAGTTGGTTACACCAAAAAAAAAATGTAAAATGAAAAAAAAATATTTGGGGTGTTCGGGCTTACTGAAGGTAATACCCGGGTATTAGGTTTTGGGGCTAGGGTAAGGTTTAAGGTTTTTGGTGTTAGGGTTAAAATCACTGTCCAAAACCTTTGTAGGAACTCTTTTCCAACCTTTTGGAGTTAGTTAGACCAAAAAAAAAGAAAAAATGAAAAAAATATATTTGGGGTCTTCGGGCTTCCTGAAGGAAATACCCAGGTATTAGGTTATGGGGCTAGGGTAAAGTTTAAGGTTTTTGGCGTTAGGGTTAAAATCAATGTCCAAAACCTTTTTAGGAACATGTTTCAGACCTTTTGGAGTTGGTTACACCAAAAAAAAATGTAAAATGAAAAGAAAATATTTGGGGTGTTCAAGCTTCCTGATGGTAATACCCGGGTATTAGTTTATGGGGCTATAGTAAGGTTTAAGGTTTTTGGCGTTAGGGTTAAAATCACTGTCCAAAACCTTTGTAGGAACTATTTTCCAACCTTTTGGAGTTAGTTAGACAAAAAAAAAAACGAAAAATGAAAAAAAATATTTGGGGTTTTCGGGCTCACTGAAGGTAATACCCGGGTATTAGGTTTTGGGGCTAGGGTTAGGTTTAAGGTTTTTGGCGTTAGGGTTAAAATAACTGTCCAAAACCTTTGTAGGAACTCTTTTCCAACCTTTGGGAATTAGTTAGACAAAAAAAAAAAGATAAATGAAAAAAAGAATATTTGGGGTGTTCGGGCTTCCTGAAGGAAATACCCGGGTATTAGGTTCTGGGGCTAGGGTTAGGTTTAAGGTTTTTGGCGTTAGGGTTAAAATAACTGTCCAATATTTTTTAAGGAACATGTTTCAGACCTTCGGGAGTTAGACAAAAAACAAAGAAAAAGAAAAAAAAAATATTTGGGGTGTTCGGGTTTCCTGAAGGTAATACCCGGGTATTAGGTTATGGGGCGAGGGTAAGGTTTAAGGTTTTTGGCGTTAGGGTTAAAATCACTGTCCAAAACCTTTTTAGGAACATGTTTCAGACCTTTTGGAGTTGGTAACACCAAAAAAAAATGTAAAATGAAAAAAAAATATTTGGGGTGTTCAAGCTTCCTAAAGGTAATACCCGGGTATTAGGTTTTGGGGCTAGGGTAAGGTTTAAGGTTTTTGGTGTTAGGGTTTAAATCACTGTCCAAAACCTTTGTAGGAAGTCTTTTCCAACCTTTTGGAGTTAGTTAGACAAAAAAAAAACAAATGAAAAAAAAATGTTTAGGGTGTTCGGGCTTCCTGAAGGTAATACCCGGGTATTAGGTTATGGGGCTAGGGTAAGGTTTAAGGTTTTTGGCGTAAGGGTTAAAATCACTGTCCAAAACCTTTTTAGGAACATGTTTCAGACCTTTTGGAGTCGGTTACACCAAAAAAAATGTAAAATGAAAAAAAAATTTTTTTGGGTGTTCGGGCTTCCTGAAGGTAATACTTTGTATTACCTTTGTAGGAAGTCTTTTCCAACCTTTTGGAGTTAGTCTTTTGTAGGAAGTCTTTTCCAACCTTTTGGAGTTAGTTAGACAAAAAAAAAAAGATAAATGAAAAAAAAAATATTTGGGGTGTTCGGGCTTCCTGAAGGTAATACCCGGGTATTAGGTTATGGGGCTAGGGTAAGGTTTAAGGTTTTTGGCGTAAGGGTTAAAATCACTGTCCAAAACCTTTTTAGGAACATGTTTCAGACCTTTTGGAGTAGGTTACACCAAAAAAAAATGTAAAATGAAAAAAAAAATATTTGGGGTGTTCGGGCTTCCTGAAGGTAATACCCGGGTATTAGGTTTTTGGGCTAGGGTAAGGTTTAAGGTTTTTGGTGTTAGGGTTAAAATCACTGTCCAAAACCTTTGTAGGAACTCTTTTCCGACCTTTTGGAGTTAGTTAGACCAAAAAAAAAAAGTAAAATGAAAAAGAATTTTTTTGAGTGTTCGGGCTTCCTGAAGGTAATACTAGGTTTCTGGGATAGGGTAATGTTTTAGGTTTTTGGCGTAAGGGTTAAAATCACTGTCCAAAACCTTTTTAGGAACATGTTTCAGACCTTTTGGAGTTGGTTACACCAAAAAAAATGTAAAATGAAAAAAAGTTTTTTTGGGTGTTCGGGCTTCCTGAAGGTAATACTAGGTATCTGGGCTAGGGTAATGTTTAAGGTTTTTGGTGTTAGGGTTAAAATCAATGTCCAAAACCTTTGTAGGAACTCTTTTCAAACCTTTGAGAAAAAGTTAGACCAAAAAAAAAGAAAAATAAAAAATATATTCTTGGGGTGTTCGGGCTTCCTGAAGGTAATACCCGGGTATTAGGTTTTGGGGCTAGGGTTAGGTTTAAGGTTTTTGGCGTTAGGGTTAAAATAACTGTCCAAAACCTTTGTAGGAACTCTTTTCCAACCTTTGGGAATTAGTTAGACAAAAAAAAAAAGATAAATGAAAAAAAAAATATTTGGGGTGTACGGGCTTCCTGAAGGAAATATTAGGTTTTGGGGCTAGGGTTAGGTTTAAGGTTTTTGGTGTTAGGGTTAAAATGACTGTCCAATATTTTTTAAGGAACATCTTTCAGACCTTTGGGAGTTAGTTAGAAAAAAAAAAAAGAGTTTTTTTTAAGGTTTTTGGCGTTAGGGTTAAAATCAATGTCCAAAACCTTTGTAGGAACTCTTTTCCAACCTTTGGGAATAAGTTAGACAAAAAAAATAAGATAAATGAAAAAAAAATATTTGGGGTGTTCGGGCTTCCTGAAGGTAATACCCGGGTATTAGGTTTTGGGGCTAGGGTTAGGTTTAAGGTTTTTGGCGTTAGGGTTAAAATAACTGTCCAATATTTTTTAAGGAACATGTTTCAGACCTTTGGGAGTTAGTTAGACAAAAAAAAAAAATATATTTGGGGTGTTCGGGTTTCCTGAAGGTAATATTAGGTAGGTATTAGGTTATGGGGCTAGGGTAAGGTTTAAGGTTTTTGGCGTTAGAGTTAAAATCAGTGTCCAAAACCTTTTTAGGAACATGTTTAAGACCTTTTGGAGTTGGTTACACCCAAAAAAAATGTAAAATGAAAAAAAAAATATTTGGGGTGTTCGGGCTTCCTGAAGGTAATACCCGGGTATTAGGCTTTGGGGCTAGGGTAAGGTTTAAGGTTTTTTGCGTTAGGGTTAAAATCACTGTCCAAAACATTTGTAGGAACTATTTTCCAACCTTTTGAAGTTAGTTAGACCAAAAAAAAACGAAAAATGAAAAAAAATATTTGGGGTGTTAGGGCTTCCTGAAGGTAATACCCATGTATTAGGTTATGGGGCTAGGGTAAGGTTTAAGGTTTTTGGCGTTAGGGTTAAAATCACTGTCCAAAACCTTTTTAGGAACATGTTTCAGACTTTTTGGAGTTGGTTACACCAAAAAAAATGTAAAATGAAAAGAAAATATTTGGGGTGTTCAAGCTTCCTGAAGGTAATACCCGGGTATTAGGTTATGGGGCTATAGTAAGGTTTAAGGTTTTTGGCGTTAGGGTTAAAATCACTGTCCAAAACCTTTGTAGGAACTATTTTCCAACCTTTTGGAGTTCGTTAGACCAAAAAAGAAACGAAAAATGAAAAAAAAAATTTGGGGTTTTCGGGCTTACTGAAGGTAATACCCGGGTATTAGGTTTTGGGGCTAGGGTTAGGTTTAAGGTTTTTGGCGTTAGGGTTAAAATCACTGTCCAATATTTTTAAGGAACATGTTTCAGACCTTTTGGAGTTAGTTAGATAAAAAAAAAACGAAAAATGAAAAAAAATATTTGGGGTGTTCGGGCTTCCTGAAGGTAATACTAGGTTTCTGGGCTAGGGTAATGTTTTAGGTTTTTGGCGTTAGGGTTAAAATCAATGTCAAAAACCTTTGTAGGAACTCTTTTCCAACCTTTGAGAGCAAGTTAGACCAAAACAAAAAGAAAAATAAAAAATATATATTTGGGGTGTTCGGGCTTCCTGAAGGTAATAGGTTATGGGGCTAGGGTAAGGTTTAAGGTTTTTCGGCGTTAGGGTAAAAATCACTGTCCAAAACCTTTGTAGGAACTCTTTTCCAACCTTTGGGAATAAGTTAGACAAAAAAAATAAGATAAATGAAAAAAAAATATTTGGGGTGTTCGGGCTTCCTGAAGGTAATACGGGTATTAGGTTTCGGGGCTAGGGTTAGGTTTAAGGTTTTTGGCGTTAGGGTTAAAATAACTGTCCAATATTTTTCAAGGAACATGTTTCAGACCTTTGGGAGTTAGTTAGACAAAAAAAAAAGAAAAAGAAAAAAATATATATTTGGGGTGTTTGGGTTTCCTGAAGGTAATACCCGGGTATTAGGTTATGGGGCTAGGGTAAGGTTTAAGGTTTTTGGCGTCAGAGTTAAAATCAGTGTCCAAAACCTTTTTAGGAACATGTTTAAGACCTTTTAGAGTTGGTTACACCAAAAAAAATGTAAAATGAAAAAAAAAATATTTGGGGTGTTCGGGCTTCCTGAAGGTAATACCCGGGTATTAGGCTTTGGGGCTAGGGTAAGGTTTAAGGTTTTTGGTGTTAGGGTTAAAATCACTGTCCAAAACCTTTGTAGGAACTCTTTTCCAACCTTTTGGAGTTAGTTAGACCAAAAAAAAAGAAAAAAGAAAAGAATATATTTGGGGTCTTCGGGCTTCCTGAAGGAAATACCCAGGTATTAGGTTATGGGGCTAGGGTAAGGTTTAAGGTTTTTGGCGTTAGGGTTAAAATCACCGTCCAAAACCTTTGTAGGAATGCTTTTCCGACCTTTTGGAGTTAATTAGACCAAAAAAAAAAAAAATGAAAAAAATATATTTGGGGTCTTCGGGCTTCCTGAAGGAAATACCCAGGTATTAGGTTATGGGGCTAGGGAAAGGTTTAAGGTTTTTGGCGTTAGGGTTAAAATCACTGTCCAAAACCTTTTTAGGAACATGTTTCAGACCTTTTGGAGTTGGTAACACCAAAAAAAATGTAAAATGAAAAAAAAATATTTGTGGTGTTCAAGCTTGCCGAAGGTAATACCCGGGTATTAGGTTATGGGGCTAGGGTAAGGTTTAAGGTTTTTGGCGTCAGAGTTAAAATCAGTGTCCAAAACCTTTTTAGGAACATGTTTAAGACCTTTTAGAGTTGGTTACACCAAAAAAAATGTAAAATGAAAAAAAATATATTTGGGGTGTTCGGGCTTCCTGAAGGTAATACCCGGGTATTAGGCTTTGGGGCTAGGGTAAGGTTTAAGGTTTTTGGTGTTAGGGTTAAAATCACTGTCCAAAACCTTTGTAGGAACTCTTTTCCAACCTTTTGGAGTTAGTTAGACCAAAAAAAAAGAAAAAAGAAAAGAATATATTTGGGGTCTTCGGGCTTCCTGAAGGAAATACCCAGGTATTAGGTTATGGGGCTAGGGTAAGGTTTAAGGTTTTTGGCGTTAGGGTTAAAATCACCGTCCAAAACCTTTGTAGGAATGCTTTTCCGACCTTTTGGAGTTAATTAGACCAAAAAAAAAAAAATGAAAAAAATATATTTGGGGTCTTCGGGCTTCCTGAAGGAAATACCCAGGTATTAGGTTATGGGGCTAGGGAAAGGTTTAAGGTTTTTGGCGTTAGGGTTAAAATCACTGTCCAAAACCTTTTTAGGAACATGTTTCAGACCATTTGGAGTTGGTAACACCAAAAAAAAATGTAAAATGAAAAAAAAATATTTGTGGTGTTCAAGCTTGCCGAAGGTAATACCCGGGTATTAGGCTTTGGGGCTAGGGTAAGGTTTAAGGTTTTTGGTGTTAGGGTTAAAATCACTGTCCAAAACCTTTGTAGGAACTCTTTTCCAACCTTTTGGAGTTAGTTAGACCAAAAAAAAGAAAAAAGAAAAAAATATATTTGGGGTCTTCGGGCTTCCTGAAGGAAATACCCAGGTATTAGGTTATGGGGCTAGGGTAAAGTTTAAGGTTTTTGGCGTTAGGGTTAAAATCAATGTCCAAAACCTTTTTAGGAACATGTTTCAGACCTTTTGGAGTAGGTTACACCAAAAAAGAAATATAAAATGAAAAAAAAATATTTGGGGTGTTCAAGCTTCCTGAAGGTAATACCCGGCGATTAGGTTATGGGGCTATAGTAAGGTTTAAGGTTTTTGGCGTTAGGGTTAAAATCACTGTCCAAAACCTTTGTAGGAACTATTTTCCAACCTTTTGGAGTTAGTTAGACCAAAAAAAAACGATAAATGAAAAAAATATATTTGGGGTGTTCGGGCTTCCTGAAGGTAATACCCGGGTATTAGGTTTTGGGGCTAGGGTTTGGTTTAAGGTTTTTGGCGTTACAGTTAAAATAACTGTCCAATATTTTTTAAGGAACATGTTTCAGACCTTTGGGAGTTAGTTAGACAAAGAAAAAAGAAAAAGAAAAAAATATATATTTGGGGTGTTCGGGTTTCCTGAAGGTAATACCCGGGTATTAGGTTATGGGGCTAGGGTAAGGTTTAAGGTTTTTGGCGTTAGAGTTAAAATCACTGTCCAAAACCTTTGTAGGAACTCTTTTCAAACCTTTTGGAGTTAGTTAGACCAAAAAAAAAAAAAATGAAAAAAATATATTTGGGCTCTTCGGGCTTCCTGAAGGAAATACCCAGGTATTAGGTTATGGGGCTAGGGTAAGGTTTAAGGTTTTTGGCGAAAGGGTTAAAATCACTGTCCAAAACCTTTTTAGGAACATGTTTCAGACCTTTTGGAGTTGGTTACACCAAAAAAGAATGTAAAATGAAAAGAAAATATTTGGGGTGTTCAAGCTTCCTGAAGGTAATACCCGGGTATTAGGTTATGGGGCTATAGTAAGGTTTAAGGTTTTTGGCGTTAGGGTTAAAATCACTGTCCAAAACCTTTGTAGGAACTATTTTCCAACCTTTTGGAGTTAGTTAGACAAAAAAAAAAGAAAAAGAAAAAAAAAAAATTTGGGGTGTTCGGGCTTCCTGAAGGTAATACCCGGGTATTAGGTTTTGGGGCTAGGATTAGGTTTAAGGTTTTTGGTGTTAGGGTTAAAATCACTGTCCAAAACCTTTGTAGGAACTCTTTTCCAACCTTTTGGAGTAAGTTAGACCAAAAAAAAACGAAAAATGAATAAAAATATTTGGGGTGTTCGGGCTTCCTGAAGGTAATACCAAGGTATTAGGTTATGGGGCTAGGGTAAGGTTTAAGGTTTTTGGCGTGAGGGTTAAAATCACTGTCCAAAACCTTTTTAGGAACATGTTTCAGACCTTTTGGAGTTGGTTACACCAAAAAAAAAGTAAAATAAAAAAAAGAATTTTTTTGGGGTGTTCGGGCTTCCTGAAGGTAATACTAGGCTTCTGGGCTAGGGTAATGTTTTAGGTTTTTGGCGTTAGGGTTAAAATCAATGTCCAAAACCTTTGTAGGAACTCTTTTCCAACCTTTGAGAGCAAGTTAGACCAAAACAAAAAGAAAAATAAAAATTATATATTTGGGGTGTTCGGTCTTCCTGAAGGTAATACCCGGGTATTAGGTTATGGGGCTAGGGTAAGGTTTAAGGTTTTTCAGCGTGAGGGTAAAAATCACTGTCCAAAACCTTTGTAGGAACTCTTTTCCAACCTTTGGGAATAAGTTAGACAAAAAAAATAAGATAAGTGAAAAAAATATAATTGGGGTGTTCGGGCTTCCTGAAGGTAATACCCGGGTATTAGGTTTTGGGGCTAGGGTTTGGTTTAAGGTTTTTGGCGTTAGGGTTAAAATAACTGTCCAATATTTTTAAAGGAACATGTTTCAGACCTTTGGGAGTTAGTTAGACAAAGAAAAAAGAAAAAGAAAAAAATATATATTTGGGGTGTTCGGGTTTCCTGAAGGTAATACCCGGGTATTAGGTTATGGGGCTAGGGTAAGGTTTAAGGTTTTTGGCGTTAGAGTTAAAATCAGTGTCCAAAACCTTTTTAGGAACATGTTTAAGACCGTTTAGAGTTGGTTACACCAAAAAAAAAATGTAAAATGATAAAAAAATATTTGGGGTGTTCGGGCTTCCTTAAGGTAATACCCGGGTATTAGGTTTTGGGGCTAGGGTAAGGTTTAAGGTTTTTGGTGTTCGGGTTAAAATCACTGTCCAAAACCTTTGTAGGAACTCTTTTCCAACCTTTTGGAGTTAGTTAGACCAAAAAAAAAAAAAATGAAAAAAATATATTTGGGCTCTTCGGGCTTCCTGAAGGAAATACCCAGGTATTAGGTTATGGGGCTAGGGTAAGGTTTAAGGTTTTTGGCGAAAGGGTTAAAATCACTGTCCAAAACCTTTTTAGGAACATGTTTCAGACCTTTTGGAGTTGGTTACACCAAAAAAAAATGTAAAATGAAAAGAAAATATTTGGGGTGTTCAAGCTTCCTGAAGGTAATACCCGGGTATTAGGTTATGGGGCTATAGTAAGGTTTAAGGTTTTTGGCGTTAGGGTTAAAATCACTGTCCAAAACCTTTGTAGGAACTATTTTCAGACCTTTTGGAGTTGGTAACACCAAAAAAAAATGTAAAATGAAAAAAGAATATTTGGGGTGTTCAAGCTTCCTGAAGGTAATACCCGGGTATTAGGTTATGGGGCTATAGTAAGGTTTAAGGTTTTTGGCGTAAGGGTTAAAATCACTGTCCAAAACCTTTGTAGGAACTCTTTTCCAACCTTTGGGAATAAGTTAGACAAAAAAAAAAAGATAAATGAAAAAAATATTTTTGGGGTGTTCGGGCTTCCTGAAGGTAATACCCGGGTATTAGGTTTTGGGGCTAGGGTTTGGTTTAAGGTTTTTGGCGTTACGGTTAAAATAACTGTCCAATATTTTTTAAGGAACATATTTCAGACCTTTGGGAGTTAGTTAGACAAAGAAAAAAGAAAAAGAAAAAAATATATATTTGGGGTGTTCGGGTTTCCTGAAGGTAATACCCGGGTATTAGGTTATGGGGCTAGGGTAAGGTTTAAGGTTTTTGGCGTTAGAGTTAAAATCAGTGTCCAAAACCTTTTTAGGAACATGTTTAAGACCGTTTAGAGTTGGTTACACCAAAAAAAAATGTAAAATGATAAAAAAATATTTGGGGTGTTCGGGCTTCCTTAAGGTAATACCCGGGTATTCGGTTTTGGGGCTAGGGTAAGGTTTAAGGTTTTTGGTGTTCGGGTTAAAATCACTGTCCAAAACCTTTGTAGGAACTCTTTTCCAACCTTTTGGAGTTAGTTAGACCAAAAAAAAAAAAATGAAAAAAATATATTTGGGCTCTTCGGGCTTCCTGAAGGAAATACCCAGGTATTAGGTTATGGGGCTAGGGTAAGGTTTAAGGTTTTTGGCGAAAGGGTTAAAATCACTGTCCAAAACCATTTTAGGAACATGTTTCAGACCTTTTGGAGTTGGTTACACCAAAAAAAAAATGTAAAATGAAAAGAAAATATTTGGGGTGTTCAAGCTTCCTGAAGGTAATACCCGGGTATTAGGTTATGGGGCTATAGTAAGGTTTAAGGTTTTTGGCGTTAGGGTTAAAATCACTGTCCAAAACCTTTGTAGGAACTATTTTCCAACCTTTTGGAGTTAGTTAGACAAAAAAAAAAGAAAAAGAAAAAAAAAAAATTTGGGGTGTTCGGGCTTCCTGAAGGTAATACCCGGGTATTAGGTTTTGGGGCTAGGATTAGGTTTAAGGTTTTTGGTGTTAGGGTTAAAATCACTGTCCAAAACCTTTGTAGGAACTCTTTTCCAACCTTTTGGAGTAAGTTAGACCAAAAAAAAACGAAAAATGAATAAAAATATTTGGGGTGTTCGGGCTTCCTGAAGGTAATACCAAGGTATTAGGTTTTGGGGCTAGGGTTTGGTTTAAGGTTTTTGGCGTTAGGGTTAAAATAACTGTCCAATATTTTTAAAGGAACATGTTTCAGACCTTTGGGAGTTAGTTAGACAAAGAAAAAAGAAAAAGAAAAAAATATATATTTGGGGTGTTCGGGTTTCCTGAAGGTAATACCCGGGTATTAGGTTATGGGGCTATAGTAAGGTTTAAGGTTTTTGGCGTTAGGGTTAAAATCACTGTCCAAAACCTTTGTAGGAACTATTTTCCAACCTTTTGGAGTTAGTTAGACCAAAAAAAAAACGAAAAATGAAAAAAAATATTTGGGGTTTTCGGGCTTACTGAAGGTAATACCCGGGTATTAGGTTATGGGGCTAGGGAAAGGTTTAAGGTTTTTGGCGTTAGGGTTAAAATCACTGTCCAAAACCTTTGTAGGAACTCTTTTCCAACCTTTTGGAGTTAGTTAGACCAAAAAAAAAAAAAATGAAAAAAATATATTTGGGCTCTTCCGGCTTCCTGAAGGAAATACCCAGGTATTAGGTTATGGGGCTAGGGTAAGGTTTAAGGTTTTTGGCGAAAGGGTTAAAATCACTGTCCAAAACCTTTTTAGGAACATGTTTCAGACCTTTTGGAGTTGGTTACACCAAAAAAGAATGTAAAATGAAAAGAAAATATTTGGGGTGTTCAAGCTTCCTGAAGGTAATACCCGGGTATTAGGTTATGGGGCTATAGTAAGGTTTAAGGTTTTTGGCGTTAGGGTTAAAATCACTGTCCAAAACCTTTGTAGGAACAATTTTCCAACCTTTTGGAGTTAGTTAGACAAAAAAGAAAGAAAAAGAAAAAAAAAAAATTTGGGGTGTTCGGGCTTCCTTAAGGTAATACCGGGGTATTAGGTTTTGGGGCTAGGGTAAGGTTTAAGGTTTTTGGTGTTCGGGTTAAAATCACTGTCCAAAACCTTTGTAGGAACTCTTTTCCAACCTTTTGGAGTTAGTTAGACCAAAAAAAAAAATGAAAAAAATATATTTGGGCTCTTCGGGCTTCCTGATGGAAATACCCAGGTATTAGGTTATGGGGCTAGGGTAAGGTTTAAGGTTTTTGGCGTTAGGGTTAAAATCACTGTCCAAAACCTTTTTAGGAACATGTTTCAGACCTTTTGGAGTTGGTAACACCAAAAAAAAATGTAAAATGAAAAAAGAATATTTGGGGTGTTCAAGCTTCCTGAAGGTAATACCCGGGTATTAGGTTATGGGGCTATAGTAAGGTTTAAGGTTTTTGGCGTTAGGGTTAAAATCACTGTCCAAAACCTTTGTAGGAATTCTTTTCCAACCTTTTGGAGTTAGTTAGACCAAAAAAAAAACGAAAAATGAATAAAAATATTTGGGGTGTTCGGGCTTCCTGAAGGTAATACCAAGGTATTAGGTTATGGGGCTAGGGTAAGGTTTAAGGTTTTTGGCGTGAGGGTTAAAATCACTGTCCAAAACCTTTTTAGGAACATGTTTCAGACCTTTTGGAGTTGGTTACACCAAAAAAAATGTAAAATAAAAAAAAGAATTTTTTTGGGGTGTTCGGGCTTCCTGAAGGTAATACTAGGTTTCTGGGCTAGGGTAATGTTTTAGGTTTTTGGCGTTAGGGTTAAAATCAATGTCCAAAACCTTTGTAGGAACTCTTTTCCAACCTTTGAGAGCAAGTTAGACCAAAACAAAAAGAAAAATAAAAAATATATATTTGGGGTGTCCGGGCTTCCTGAAGGTAATACCCGGGTATTAGGTTATGGGGCTAGGGTAAGGTTTAAGGTTTTTGGCGTTAGGGTTAAAATCACTGTCCAAAACCTTTGTAGGAACTCTTTTCCAACCTTTTGGAGTTAGTTAGACCAAAAAAAAAAAAAATGAAAAAAATATATTTGGGCTCTTCGGGCTTCCTGAAGGAAATACCCAGGTATTAGGTTATGGGGCTAGGGTAAGGTTTAAGGTTTTTGGCGAAAGGGTTAAAATCACTGTCCAAAACCTTTTTAGGAACATGTTTCAGACCTTTTGGAGTTGGTTACACCAAAAAAGAATGTAAAATGAAAAGAAAATATTTGGGGTGTTCAAGCTTCCTGAAGGTAATACCCGGGTATTAGGTTATGGGGCTATAGTAAGGTTTAAGGTTTTTGGCGTTAGGGTTAAAATCACTGTCCAAAACCTTTGTAGGAACAATTTTCCAACCTTTTGGAGTTAGTTAGACAAAAAAGAAAGAAAAAGAAAAAAAAAAAATTTGGGGTGTTCGGGCTTCCTTAAGGTAATACCGGGGTATTAGGTTTTGGGGCTAGGGTAAGGTTTAAGGTTTTTGGTGTTCGGGTTAAAATCACTGTCCAAAACCTTTGTAGGAACTCTTTTCCAACCTTTTGGAGTTAGTTAGACCAAAAAAAAAAATGAAAAAAATATATTTGGGCTCTTCGGGCTTCCTGATGGAAATACCCAGGTATTAGGTTATGGGGCTAGGGTAAGGTTTACGGTTTTTGGCGTTAGGGTTAAAATCACTGTCCAAAACCTTTTTAGGAACATGTTTCAGACCTTTTGGAGTTGGTAACACCAAAAAAAAATGTAAAATGAAAAAAGAATATTTGGGGTGTTCAAGCTTCCTGAAGGTAATACCCGGGTATTAGGTTATGGGGCTATAGTAAGGTTTAAGGTTTTTGGCGTTAGGGTTAAAATCACTGTCCAAAACCTTTGTAGGAATTCTTTTCCAACCTTTTGGAGTTAGTTAGACCAAAAAAAAAACGAAAAATGAATAAAAATATTTGGGGTGTTCGGGCTTCCTGAAGGTAATACCAAGGTATTAGGTTATGGGGCTAGGGTAAGGTTTAAGGTTTTTGGCGTGAGGGTTAAAATCACTGTCCAAAACCTTTTTAGGAACATGTTTCAGACCTTTTGGAGTTGGTTACACCAAAAAAAATGTAAAATAAAAAAAAGAATTTTTTTGGGGTGTTCGGGCTTCCTGAAGGTAATACTAGGTTTCTGGGCTAGGGTAATGTTTTAGGTTTTTGGCGTTAGGGTTAAAATCAATGTCCAAAACCTTTGTAGGAACTCTTTTCCAACCTTTGAGAGCAAGTTAGACCAAAACAAAAAGAAAAATAAAAAATATATATTTGGGGTGTCCGGGCTTCCTGAAGGTAATACCCGGGTATTAGGTTATGGGGCTAGGGTAAGGTTTAAGGTTTTTGGCGTTAGGGTTAAAATCACTGTCCAAAACCTTTGTAGGAACTCTTTTCCAACCTTTTGGAGTTAGTTAGACCAAAAAAAAAAAAATGAAAAAAATATATTTGGGCTCTTCGGGCTTCCTGAAGGAAATACCCAGGTATTAGGTTATGGGGCTAGGGTAAGGTTTAAGGTTTTTGGCGAAAGGGTTAAAATCACTGTCCAAAACCTTTTTAGGAACATGTTTCAGACCTTTTGGAGTTGGTTACACCAAAAAAGAATGTAAAATGAAAAGAAAATATTTGGGGTGTTCAAGCTTCCTGAAGGTAATACCCGGGTATTAGGTTATGGGGCTATAGTAAGGTTTAAGGTTTTTGGCGTTAGGGTTAAAATCACTGTCCAAAACCTTTGTAGGAACAATTTTCCAACCTTTTGGAGTTAGTTAGACAAAAAAGAAAGAAAAAGAAAAAAAAAAAATTTGGGGTGTTCGGGCTTCCTTAAGGTAATACCGGGGTATTAGGTTTTGGGGCTAGGGTAAGGTTTAAGGTTTTTGGTGTTCGGGTTAAAATCACTGTCCAAAACCTTTGTAGGAACTCTTTTCCAACCTTTTGGAGTTAGTTAGACCAAAAAAAAAAAAAAATGAAAAAAATATATTTGGGCTCTTCGGGCTTCCTGATGGAAATACCCAGGTATTAGGTTATGGGGCTAGGGTAAGGTTTAAGGTTTTTGGCGTTAGGGTTAAAATCACTGTCCAAAACCTTTTTAGGAACATGTTTCAGACCTTTTGGAGTTGGTAACACCAAAAAAAAATGTAAAATGAAAAAAGAATATTTGGGGTGTTCAAGCTTCCTGAAGGTAATACCCGGGTATTAGGTTATGGGGCTATAGTAAGGTTTAAGGTTTTTGGCGTTAGGGTTAAAATCACTGTCCAAAACCTTTGTAGGAACTCTTTTCCAACCTTTTGGAGTTAGTTAGACCAAAAAAAAAAACGAAAAATGAATAAAAATATTTGGGGTGTTCGGGCTTCCTGAAGGTAATACCAAGGTATTAGGTTATGGGGCTAGGGTAAGGTTTAAGGTTTTTGGCGTGAGGGTTAAAATCACTGTCCAAAACCTTTTTAGGAACATGTTTCAGACCTTTTGGAGTTGGTTACACCAAAAAAAATGTAAAATAAAAAAAAGAATTTTTTTGGGGTGTTCGGGCTTCCTGAAGGTAATACTAGGTTTCTGGGCTAGGGTAATGTTTTAGGTTTTTGGCGTTAGGGTTAAAATCAATGTCCAAAACCTTTGTAGGAACTCTTTTCCAACCTTTGAGAGCAAGTTAGACCAAAACAAAAAGAAAAATAAAAAATATATATTTGGGGTGTCCGGGCTTCCTGAAGGTAATACCCGGGTATTAGGTTATGGGGCTAGGGTAAGGTTTAAGGTTTTTCAGCGTGAGGGTAAAAATCACTGTCCAAAACCTTTGTAGGAACTCTTTTCCAACCTTTGGGAATAAGTTAGACAAAAAAAATAAGATAAATGAAAAAAATATATTTGGGGTGTTCGGGTTTCCTGAAGGTAATACCCGGGTATTAGGTTTTGGGGCTAGGGTTTGGTTTAAGGTTTTTGGCGTTAGGGTTAAAATAACTGTCCAATATTTTTAAAGGAACATGTTTCAGACCTTTGGGAGTTAGTTAGACAAAGAAAAAAGAAAAAGAAAAAATATATATTTGGGGTGTTCGGGTTTCCTGAAGGTAATACCCGGGTATTAGGTTATGGGGCTAGGGTAAGGTTTAAGGTTTTTGGCGTTAGAGTTAAAATCAGTGTCCAAAACCTTTTTAGGAACATGTTTAAGACCGTTTAGAGTTGGTTACACCAAAAAAAAAAGTAAAATGATAAAAAAATATTTGGGGTGTTCGGGCTTCCTTAAGGTAATACCGGGGTATTAGGTTTTGGGGCTAGGGTAAGGTTTAAGGTTTTTGGTGTTAGGGTTAAAATCACTGTCCAAAACCTTTTAAGGAACATGTTTCAGACCTTTTGGAGTAGGTTACACCAAAAAAAAATGTAAAATGAAAAGAAAATATTTGGGGTGTTCAAGCTTCCTGAAGGTAATACCCGGGTATTAGGTTTTGGGGCTATAGTAAGGTTTAAGGTTTTTGGCGTTAGGGTTAAAATCACTGTCCAAAACCTTTGTAGGAACTATTTTCCAACCTTTTGGAGTTAGTTAGACCAAAAAAAAAAAGAAAAATGAAAAAAATATATTTGGGGTCTTCGGGCTTCCTGAAGGAAATACCCAGGTATTAGGTTATGGGGCTAGGGTAAGGTTTAAGGTTTTTGGCGTAAGGGTAAAAATCACTGTCCAAAACCTTTGTAGGAACATGTTTCAGACCTTTTGGAGTTGGTTACACCAAAAAAAATGTAAAATGAAAAAGAATTTTTTTTGGGTGTTCGGGCTTCCTGAAGGTAATACTAGGTTTCTGGGCTAGGGTAATGTTTTAGGTTTTTGGCGTTAGGGTTAAAATCAATGTCCAAAACCTTTGTAGGAACTCTTTTCCAACCTTTGAGAGCAAGTTAGACCAAAACAAAAAGAAAAATAAAAAATATATATTTGGGGTGTTCGGGCTTCCTGAAGGTAATACCCGGGTATTAGGTTATGGGGCTAGGGTAAGGTTTAAGGTTTTTCGGCGTGAGGGTAAAAATCACTGTCCAAAACCTTTGTAGGAACTCTTTTCCAACCTTTGGGAATAAGTTCGACAAAAAAAATAAGATAAATGAAAAAAATATATTTGGGGTGTTCCGGCTTCCTGATGTTAATACCCGGGTATTAGGTTTTGGGGCTAGGGTTAGGTTTAAGGTTTTTGGCGTTAGGGTTAAAATAACTGTCCAATATTTTTTAAGGAACATGATTCAGACCTTTGGGAGTTAGACAAAAAAAAAAGAAAAAGAAAAAAATATATATTTGGGGTGTTCGGGTTTCCTGAAGGTAATACCCGGGTATTAGGCTTTGGGGCTAGGGTAAGGTTTAAGGTTTTTGGTTTTAGGGTTAAATTCACTGTCCAAAACCTTTGTAGGAACTCTTTTCCAACCTTTTGGAGTTAGTTAGACCAAAAAAAAAAAAAAAAAAAAAAATATTTGGGGTGTTCAGGCCTCCTGAAGGAAATACCCAGGTATTAGGTTATGGGGCTAGGGTTAGGTTTAAGGTTTTTGGCATTAGGGTTAAAATCACTGTCCAATATTTTTTAAGGAACATCTTTCAGACCTCTGGTAGTTAGTTAGACAAAAAAAAAAGAAAAAAAAAAAAAAAATTGGGGTGTTCGGGCTTCCTGAAGGTAATACCCGGGTATTAGGTTTTGGGGCTAGGATTAGGTTTAAGGTTTTTGGCGTTAGGGTTAAAATCACCGTCCAAAACCTTTGTAGGAACTCTTTTCCGACCTTTTGGAGTTAGTTAGACCAAAAAAAAAAAAAAAAAAAAATATATTTGGGGTGTTCGGGCTTCCTGAAGGAAATACCCGGGTATTAGGTTTTGGGGCTAGGGTTAGGTTGAAGGTTTTTGGCGTGAGGGTTAAAATAACTGTCCAATATTTTTTAAGGAACATGTTTCAGACCTTTGGGAGTTAGTTAGACAAAAAAAAAAAAGAAAAAGAAAAAAAATATTTGGGGTGTTCGGGTTTCCTGAAGGTAATATTAGGTAGGTATTAGGATATGGGGCTAGGGTAAGGTTTAAGGTTTTTGGCGTTAGAGTTAAAATCAGTGTCCAAAACCTTTTTGGGAACATGTTTAAGACCTTTTGGAGTTGGTTACACCAAAAAAAATGTAAAATGAAAAGAAAATATTTGGGGTGTTCAAGCTTCCTGAAGGTAATACCCGGGTATTAGGTTATGGGGCTATAGTAAGGTTTAAGGTTTTTGGCGTTAGGGTTAAAATAACTGTCCAATATTTTTTAAGGAACATGTTTCAGACCTTTGGGAGTTAGTTAGACAAAAAAAAAAGAAAAAGAAAAAAATATATATTTGGGGTGTTCGGGTTTCCTGAAGGTAATACCCGGGTATTAGGTTATGGGGCTAGGGTAAGGTTAAAGGTTTTTGGTGTTAGAGTTAAAATCAGTGTCCAAAACCTTTTTAGGAACATGTTTAAGACCTTTTAGAGTTGGTTACACCAAAAAAAATGTAAAATGAAAAAAAAATATTTGGGGTGTTCAAGCTTCCTGAAGGTAATACCCGGGTATTAGGTTATGGGGCTATAGTAAGGTTTAAGGTTTTTGGCGTTAGGGTTAAAATCACTGTCCAAAACCTTTTTAGGAACATGTTTCAGACCTTTTGGAGTTGGTTACACCAAAAAAAATGTAAAATGAAAAAGAATTTTTTTTGGGTGTTCGGGCTTCCTGAAGGTAATACTAGGTTTCTGGGCTAGGGTAATGTTTTAGGTTTTTGGCGTTAGGGTTAAAATCAATGTCCAAAACCTTTGTAGGAACTCTTTTCCAACCTTTGAGAGCAAGTTAGACCAAAACAAAAAGAAAAATAAAAAATATATATTTGGGGTGTTCGGGCTTCCTGAAGGTAATACCCGGGTATTAGGTTATGGGGCTAGGGTAAGGTTTAAGGTTTTTCGGCGTGAGGGTAAAAATCACTGTCCAAAACCTTTGTAGGAACTCTTTTCCAACCTTTGGGAATAAGTTCGACAAAAAAAATAAGATAAATGAAAAAAATATATTTGGGGTGTTCCGGCTTCCTGATGTTAATACCCGGGTATTAGGTTTTGGGGCTAGGGTTAGGTTTAAGGTTTTTGGCGTTAGGGTTAAAATAACTGTCCAATATTTTTTAAGGAACATGATTCAGACCTTTGGGAGTTAGACAAAAAAAAAAGAAAAAGAAAAAAATATATATTTGGGGTGTTCGGGTTTCCTGAAGGTAATACCCGGGTATTAGGCTTTGGGGCTAGGGTAAGGTTTAAGGTTTTTGGTTTTAGGGTTAAATTCACTGTCCAAAACCTTTGTAGGAACTCTTTTCCAACCTTTTGGAGTTAGTTAGACCAAAAAAAAAGAAAAAAGAAAAAAAAATATTTGGGGTGTTCAGGCCTCCTGAAGGAAATACCCAGGTATTAGGTTATGGGGCTAGGGTTAGGTTTAAGGTTTTTGGCATTAGGGTTAAAATCACTGTCCAATATTTTTTAAGGAACATCTTTCAGACCTCTGGTAGTTAGTTAGACAAAAAAAAAAAGAAAAAGAAAAAAAAAATTGGGGTGTTCGGGCTTCCTGAAGGTAATACCCGGGTATTAGGTTTTGGGGCTAGGATTAGGTTTAAGGTTTTTGGCGTTAGGGTTAAAATCACCGTCCAAAACCTTTGTAGGAACTCTTTTCCGACCTTTTGGAGTTAGTTAGACCAAAAAAAAAAAAAATGAAAAAAATATATTTGGGGTGTTCGGGCTTCCTGAAGGAAATACCCGGGTATTAGGTTTTGGGGCTAGGGTTAGGTTGAAGGTTTTTGGCGTGAGGGTTAAAATAACTGTCCAATATTTTTTAAGGAACATGTTTCAGACCTTTGGGAGTTAGTTAGACAAAAAAAAAAAAGAAAAAGAAAAAAAAATATTTGGGGTGTTCGGGTTTCCTGAAGGTAATATTAGGTAGGTATTAGGATATGGGGCTAGGGTAAGGTTTAAGGTTTTTGGCGTTAGAGTTAAAATCAGTGTCCAAAACCTTTTTGGGAACATGTTTAAGACCTTTTGGAGTTGGTTACACCAAAAAAAATGTAAAATGAAAAGAAAATATTTGGGGTGTTCAAGCTTCCTGAAGGTAATACCCGGGTATTAGGTTATGGGGCTATAGTAAGGTTTAAGGTTTTTGGCGTTAGGGTTAAAATAACTGTCCAATATTTTTTAAGGAACATGTTTCAGACCTTTGGGAGTTAGTTAGACAAAAAAAAAAGAAAAAGAAAAAAATATATATTTGGGGTGTTCGGGTTTCCTGAAGGTAATACCCGGGTATTAGGTTATGGGGCTAGGGTAAGGTTAAAGGTTTTTGGTGTTAGAGTTAAAATCAGTGTCCAAAACCTTTTTAGGAACATGTTTAAGACCTTTTAGAGTTGGTTACACCAAAAAAAATGTAAAATGAAAAAAAAATATTTGGGGTGTTCGGGCTTACTGAAGGTAATACCCGGGTATTAGGTTTTGGGGCTAGGGTAAGGTTTAAGGTTTTTGGTGTTAGGGTTTAAATCACTGTCCAAAACCTTTGTAGGAACTCTTTTCCAACCTTTTGGAGTTAGTTAGACAAAAAAAAATGTAAAATGAAAAAAATATATTTGGGGTGTTCAAGCTTCCTGAAGGTAATACCCGGGTATTAGGTTTTGGGGCTAGGGTAAGGTTTAAGGTTATTGGTGTTAGGGTTAAAATCACTGTCCAAAACCTTTTTAGGAACATGTTTCAGACCTTTTGGAGTAGGTTACACCAAAAAAAAATGTAAAATGAAAAGAAAATATTTGGGGTGTTCAAGCTTCCTGAAGGTAATACCCGGGTATTAGGTTATGGGGCTATAGTAAGGTTTAAGGTTTTTGGCGTTAGGGTTAAAATCACTGTCCAAAACCTTTGTAGGAACTATTTTCCAGACCTTTGGGAGTTAGTTAGACCAAAAAAAAACGAAAAATGAAAAAAAATATTTGGGGTGTTCGGGCTTCCATAAGGTAATACCAAGGTATTAGGTTATGGGGCTAGGGTAAGATTTAAGGTTTTTGGCGTAAGGGTTAAAATCACTGTCCAAAACCTTTTAAGGAACATGTTTCAGACCTTTTGGAGTTGGTTACGCCAAAAAAAATGTAAAATGAAAAAGAATTTTTTTTGGGTGTTCGGGCATCCTGAAGGTAATACTAGATTTCTGGGCTAGGGTAATGTTTAAGGTTTTTGGCGTTAGGGTTAAAATCAATGTCCAAAACCTTTGTAGGAACTCTTTTCCAACCTTTGAGAGCAAGTTAGACCAAAACAAAAAGAAAAATAAAAAATATATATTTGGGGTGTTCGGGCTTCCTGAAGGTAATACCCGGGTATTAGGTTATGGGGCTAGGGTAAGGTTTAAGGTTTTTCGGCGTGAGGGTAAAAATCACTGTCCAAAACCTTTGTAGGAACTCTTTTCCAACCTTTGGGAATAAGTTAGACAAAAAAAATAAAATAAATGAAAAAAAAATATTTGGGGTGTTCGGGCTTCCTGAAGGTAATACACGGGTATTAGGTTTTGGGGCTAGGGTTAGGTTTAAGGTTTTTGGCGTTAGGGTTAAAATAACTGTCCAATATTTTTTAAGGAACATGTTTCAGACCTTTGGGAGTTAGTTAGACAAAAAAAAAGAAAAAGAAAAAAATATATATTTGGGGTGTTCGGGTTTCCTGAAGGTAATACCCGGGTATTAGGTTATGGGGCTAGGGTAAGGTTTAAGGTTTTTGGTGTTAGAGTTAAAATCAGTGTCCAAAACCTTTTTAGGAACATGTTTAAGACCTTTTAGAGTTGGTTACACCAAAAAAAAATGTAAAATGAAAAAAAAATATTTGGGGTGTTCGGGCTTACTGAAGGTAATACCCGGGTATTAGGTTTTGGGGCTAGGGTAAGGTTTAAGGTTTTTGGTGTTAGGGTTTAAATCACTGTCCAAAACCTTTGTAGGAACTCTTTTCCAACCTTTTGGAGTTAGTTAGACAAAAAAAAATGTAAAATGAAAAAAATATATTTGGGGTGTTCAAGCTTCCTGAAGGTAATACCCGGGTATTAGGTTTTGGGGCTAGGGTAAGGTTTAAGGTTTTTGGTGTTAGGGTTAAAATCACTGTCCAAAACCTTTTTAGGAACATGTTTCAGACCTTTTGGAGTAGGTTACACCAAAAAAAAATGTAAAATGAAAAGAAAATATTTGGGGTGTTCAAGCTTCCTGAAGGTAATACCCGGGTATTAGGTTTTGGGGCTAGGATTAGGTTTAAGGTTTTTGGCGTTAGGGTTAAATTCACCGTCCAAAACCTTTTGCAGGAACTCTTTTCCGACCTTTTGGAGTTAGTTAGACCAAAAAAAAAAAAAAATGAAAAAAATATATTTGGGGTGTTCGGGCTTCCTGAAGGAAATACCCGGGTATTAGGTTTTGGGGCTAGGGTTAGGTTTAAGGTTTTTGGCGTTAGGGTTAAAATAACTGTCCAATATTTTTTAAGGAACATGTTTCAGATCTTTGGGAGTTAGTTAGACAAAAAAAAAAGAAAAAGAAAAAAAAAATATTTGGGGTGTTCGGGTTTCCTGAAGGTAATATTAGGTAGGTATTAGGTTATGGGGCTAGGGTAAGGTTTAAGGTTTTTGGCGTTAGAGTTAAAATCAGTGTCCAAAACCTTTTTAGGAACATGTTTAAGACCTTTTGGAGTTGGTTACACCAAAAAAAATGTAAAATGAAAAAAAAAAATATTTGGGGTGTTCGGGCTTCCTGAAGGTAATACCCGTATATTAGGTTTTGGAGCTAGGGTAAGGTTTAAGGTTTTTGGTGTTAGGGTTAAAATCACTGTCCAAAACCTTTGTAGGAACTCTTTTCCAACCTTTTGGTGTTAATTAGACCAAAAAAAAAAGAAAAAAGAAAAAAATATATTTGGGGTCTTCGGGCTTCCTGAAGGAAATACCCAGGTATTAGGTTATGGGGCTAGGGTAAGGTTTAAGGTTTTTGGCGTTAGGGTTAAAATCAATGTCCAAAACCTTTTTAGGAACACGTTTCAGACCTTTTGGAGTTAGTTAGACCAAAAAAAAATGTAAAATTAAAAAAAATTTTTGGGGTGTTCAAGCTTCCTGAAGGTAATGCCCGAGTATTAGATTATGTGGCTATAGTAAGGTTTAAGGTTTTTGGGGTTAGGGTTAAAATCACTGTCCAAAACCTTTTTAGGAACATGTTTCAGACCTTTTGGAGTAGGTTACACCAAAAAAAAATGTAAAATGAAAAGAAAATATTTGGGGTGTTCAAGCTTCCTGAAGGTAATACCCGGGTATTAGGTTATGGGGCTATAGTAAGGTTTAAGGTTTTTGGCGTTAGGGTTAAAATCACTGTCCAAAACCTTTGTAGGAACTATTTTCCAACCTTTTGGAGTTAGTTAGACCAAAAAAAAAACGAAAAATGAAAAAAAATATTTGGGGTTTTCGGGCTTACTGAAGGTAATACCCGGGTATTAGGTTTTTGGGCTAGGGTTAGGTTTAAGGTTTTTGGCGTTAGGGTTAAAATCACTGTCCAACATTTTTTAAGGAACATCTTTCAGACCTCTGGGAGTTAGTTAGACAAAAAAAAAAGAAAAAGAAAAAAAAAATTGGGGTGTTCGGGCTTCCTGAAGGTAATACCCGGGTATTAGGTTTTGGGGCTAGGATTAGGTTTAAGTTTTTTGGCGTTAGGGTTAAAATCACCGTCCAAAACCTTTGTAGGAACTCTTTTCCGACCTTTTGGAGTTGGTTACACCAAAAGAAATGTAAAATGAAAAAAATATATTTGGGGTGTTCGGGCTTCCTGAAGGAAATACCCGGGTATTAGGTTTTGGGGCTAGGGTTAGGTTTAAGGTTTTTGGCGTTAGGGTTAAAATAACTGTCCAATATTTTTTAAGGAACATGTTTCAGACCTTTGGGAGTTAGTTAGACAAAAAAAAAAGAAAAAGAAAAAAATATATTTGGGGTCTTTGGGCTTCCTGAAGGAAATACCCAGGTATTAGGTTATGGGGCTAGGGTAAGGTGTAAGGTTTTTTGCGTTAGGGTTAAAATCACTGTCCAAAACCTTTTTAGGAACATGTTTCAGACCTTTTGGAGTTGGTAACACCAAAAAAAAATGTAAAATGAAAAAAAAATATTTGGGGTGTTCAAGCTTCCTGAAGGTAATACCCGGGTATTAGGTTTTGGGGCTAGGGTAAGGTTTAAGGTTTTTGGTGTTAGGGTTTAAATCACTGTCCAAAACCTTTGTAGGAAGTCTTTTCCAACCTTTTGGAGTTAGTTAGACAAAAAAAAAAAGATAAATGAAAAAAAAATATTTGGGGTGTTCGGGCTTCCTGAAGGTAATACCCGGGTATTAGGTTATGGGGCTAGGGTAAGGTTTAAGGTTTTTGGCGTTAGGGTTAAAATAACTGTCCAAAACCTTTTTAGGAACATGTTTCAGACCTTTTGGAGTTGGTTACACCAAAAAAAATGTAAAATGAAAAAAAAAATTTTTTGGGTGTTCGGGCTTCCTGAAGGTAATACTTTGTATTACCTTTGTAGGAAGTCTTTTCCAACCTTTTGGAGTTAGTCTTTTGTAGGAAGTCTTTTCCAACCTTTTGGAGTTAGTTAGACAAAAAAAAAAAGATAAATGAAAAAAAAATATTTGGGGTGTTCGGGCTTCCTGAAGGTAATACCCGGGTATTAGGTTATGGGGCTAGGGTAAGGTTTAAGGTTTTTGGCGTAAGGGTTAAAATCACTGTCCAAAACCTTTTTAGGAACATGTTTCAGACCTTTTGGAGTTGGTTACACCAAAAAAAATGTAAAATGAAAAAAAAAATTTTTTGGGTGTTCGGGCTTCCTGAAGGTAATACTAGGTTATGGGGCTAGGGTAATGTTTAAGGTTTTTGGTGTTAGGGTTAAAATCAATGTCCAAAACCTTTGTAGGAACTCTTTTTCAACCTTTGAGAGCAAGTTAGACAAAAACAAAAAGAAAAATAAAAAATATATATTTGGGGTGTTCGGGCTTCCTGAAGGTAATACCCGGGTATTAGGTTTTGGGGCTAGGGTTAGGTTTAAGGTTTTTGGCGTTAGGGTTAAAATAACTGTCCAATATTTTTTAAGGAACATGTTTCAGACCTTTGGGAGTTAGTTAGACAAAAAAAAAGAAAAAGAAAAAAATATATATTTGGGGTGTTCGGGTTTCCTGAAGGTAATACCCGGGTATTAGGTTATGGGGCTAGGGTAAGGTTTAAGGTTTTTGGTGTTAGAGTTAAAATCAGTGTCCAAAACCTTTTTAGGAACATGTTTAAGACCTTTTAGAGTTGGTTACACCAAAAAAAAATGTAAAATGAAAAAAAAATATTTGGGGTGTTCGGGCTTACTGAAGGTAATACCCGGGTATTAGGTTTTGGGGCTAGGGTAAGGTTTAAGGTTTTTGGTGTTAGGGTTTAAATCACTGTCCAAAACCTTTGTAGGAACTCTTTTCCAACCTTTTGGAGTTAGTTAGACAAAAAAAAATGTAAAATGAAAAAAATATATTTGGGGTGTTCAAGCTTCCTGAAGGTAATACCCGGGTATTAGGTTTTGGGGCTAGGGTAAGGTTTAAGGTTTTTGGTGTTAGGGTTAAAATCACTGTCCAAAACCTTTTTAGGAACATGTTTCAGACCTTTTGGAGTAGGTTACACCAAAAAAAAATGTAAAATGAAAAGAAAATATTTGGGGTGTTCAAGCTTCCTGAAGGTAATACCCGGGTATTAGGTTTTGGGGCTAGGATTAGGTTTAAGGTTTTTGGCGTTAGGGTTAAATTCACCGTCCAAAACCTTTTGCAGGAACTCTTTTCCGACCTTTTGGAGTTAGTTAGACCAAAAAAAAAAAAAAATGAAAAAAATATATTTGGGGTGTTCGGGCTTCCTGAAGGAAATACCCGGGTATTAGGTTTTGGGGCTATGGTTAGGTTTAAGGTTTTTGGCGTTAGGGTTAAAATAACTGTCCAATATTTTTTAAGGAACATGTTTCAGATCTTTGGGAGTTAGTTAGACAAAAAAAAAAGAAAAAGAAAAAAAAAATATTTGGGGTGTTCGGGTTTCCTGAAGGTAATATTAGGTAGGTATTAGGTTATGGGGCTAGGGTAAGGTTTAAGGTTTTTGGCGTTAGAGTTAAAATCAGTGTCCAAAACCTTTTTAGGAACATGTTTAAGACCTTTTGGAGTTGGTTACACCAAAAAAAATGTAAAATGAAAAAAAAAAATATTTGGGGTGTTCGGGCTTCCTGAAGGTAATACCCGTATATTAGGTTTTGGAGCTAGGGTAAGGTTTAAGGTTTTTGGTGTTAGGGTTAAAATCACTGTCCAAAACCTTTGTAGGAACTCTTTTCCAACCTTTTGGTGTTAGTTAGACCAAAAAAAAAGGAAAAAGGAAAAAATATATTTGGGGTCTTCGGGCTTCCTGAAGGAAATACCCAGGTATTAGGTTATGGGGCTAGGGTAAGGTTTAAGGTTTTTGGCGTTAGGGTTAAAATCAATGTCCAAAACCTTTTTAGGAACACGTTTCAGACCTTTTGGAGTTAGTTAGACCAAAAAAAAATGTAAAATTAAAAAAAATTTTTGGGGTGTTCAAGCTTCCTGAAGGTAATGCCCGAGTATTAGATTATGTGGCTATAGTAAGGTTTAAGGTTTTTGGGGTTAGGGTTAAAATCACTGTCCAAAACCTTTTTAGGAACATGTTTCAGACCTTTTGGAGTAGGTTACACCAAAAAAAAATGTAAAATGAAAAGAAAATATTTGGGGTGTTCAAGCTTCCTGAAGGTAATACCCGGGTATTAGGTTATGGGGCTATAGTAAGGTTTAAGGTTTTTGGCGTTAGGGTTAAAATCACTGTCCAAAACCTTTGTAGGAACTATTTTCCAACCTTTTGGAGTTAGTTAGACCAAAAAAAAAACGAAAAATGAAAAAAAATATTTGGGGTTTTCGGGCTTACTGAAGGTAATACCCGGGTATTAGGTTTTTGGGCTAGGGTTAGGTTTAAGGTTTTTGGCGTTAGGGTTAAAATCACTGTCCAACATTTTTTAAGGAACATCTTTCAGACCTCTGGGAGTTAGTTAGACAAAAAAAAAAGAAAAAGAAAAAAAAATTTGGGGTGTTCGGGCTTCCTGAAGGTAATACCCGGGTATTAGGTTTTGGGGCTAGGATTAGGTTTAAGTTTTTTGGCGTTAGGGTTAAAATCACCGTCCAAAACCTTTGTAGGAACTCTTTTCCGACCTTTTGGAGTTGGTTACACCAAAAGAAATGTAAAATGAAAAAAATATATTTGGGGTGTTCGGGCTTCCTGAAGGAAATACCCGGGTATTAGGTTTTGGGGCTAGGGTTAGGTTTAAGGTTTTTGGCGTTAGGGTTAAAATAACTGTCCAATATTTTTTAAGGAACATGTTTCAGACCTTTGGGAGTTAGTTAGACAAAAAAAAAAGAAAAAGAAAAAAATATATTTGGGGTCTTTGGGCTTCCTGAAGGAAATACCCAGGTATTAGGTTATGGGGCTAGGGTAAGGTGTAAGGTTTTTTGCGTTAGGGTTAAAATCACTGTCCAAAACCTTTTTAGGAACATGTTTCAGACCTTTTGGAGTTGGTAACACCAAAAAAAAATGTAAAATGAAAAAAAAATATTTGGGGTGTTCAAGCTTCCTGAAGGTAATACCCGGGTATTAGGTTTTGGGGCTAGGGTAAGGTTTAAGGTTTTTGGTGTTAGGGTTTAAATCACTGTCCAAAACCTTTGTAGGAAGTCTTTTCCAACCTTTTGGAGTTAGTTAGACAAAAAAAAAAAAGATAAATGAAAAAAAAATATTTGGGGTGTTCGGGCTTCCTGAAGGTAATACCCGGGTATTAGGTTATGGGGCTAGGGTAAGGTTTAAGGTTTTTGGCTTTAGGGTTAAAATAACTGTCCAAAACCTTTTTAGGAACATGTTTCAGACCTTTTGGAGTTGGTTACACCAAAAGAAATGTAAAATGAAAAAAAAAATTTTTTGGGTGTTCGGGCTTCCTGAAGGTAATACTTTGTATTACCTTTGTAGGAAGTCTTTTCCAACCTTTTGGAGTTAGTCTTTTGTAGGAAGTCTTTTCCAACCTTTTGGAGTTAGTTAGACAAAAAAAAAAAGATAAATGAAAAAAAAATATTTGGGGTGTTCGGGCTTCCTGAAGGTAATACCCGGGTATTAGGTTATGGGGCTAGGGTAAGGTTTAAGGTTTTTGGCGTAAGGGTTAAAATCACTGTCCAAAACCTTTTTAGGAACATGTTTCAGACCTTTTGGAGTTGGTTACACCAAAAAAAATGTAAAATGAAAAAAAAAATTTTTTGGGTGTTCGGGCTTCCTGAAGGTAATACTAGGTTATGGGGCTAGGGTAATGTTTAAGGTTTTTGGTGTTAGGGTTAAAATCAATGTCCAAAACCTTTGTAGGAACTCTTTTTCAACCTTTGAGAGCAAGTTAGACAAAAACAAAAAGAAAAATAAAAAATATATATTTGGGGTGTTCGGGCTTCCTGAAGGTAATACCCGGGTATTAGGTTTTGGGGCTAGGGTTAGGTTTAAGGTTTTTGGCGTGAGGGTTAAAATAACTGTCCAATATTTTTTAAGGAACATGTTTCAGACCTTTGGGAGTTAGTTAGACAAAAAAAAGAAAAAGAAAAAAATATATATTTGGGGTGTTCGGGTTTCCTGAAGGTAATACCCGGGTATTAGGTTTTGGGGCTAGGGTAAGGTTTAAGGTTTTTGGTGTTAGGGTTAAAATCACTGTCCAAAACCTTTGTAGGAACTCTTTTCCAACCTTTTGGAGTTAGTTAGACCAAAAAAAAAAAAAAAATGAAAGAAATTTATTTGGGGTCTTCGGGCTTCCTGAAAGAAATACCCAGGTATTAGGTTATGGGGCTAGGGTAAGGTTTAAGGTTTTTGGCGTTAGGGTTAAAATCACTGTCCAAAACCTTTTTAGGAACATGTTTCAGACCTTTTGGAGTTGGTTACACCAAAAAAAAATGTAAAATGAAAAGAAAATATTTGGGGTGTTCAAGCTTCCTGAAGGTAATACCCGAGTATTAGGTTATGGGGCTATAGTAAGGTTTAAGGTTTTTGGCGTTAGGGTTAAAATCACTGTCCAAAACCTTTTTAGGAACTATTTTCCAACCTTTTGGAGTTAGCTAGACCAAAAAAAAAAATGAAAAATGAAAAAAAATATATTTGGGGTTTTTGGGTTACTGAAGGTTATACCCGGGTATTAGGTTTTGGGGCTAGGGTTAGGTTTAAGGTTTTTGGCGTAAGGGTTAAAATCACTGTCCAATATTTTTTAAGGAACATCTTTCAGACCTCTGCGAGTTAGTTAGACAAAAAAAAAAAGAAAAAGAAAAAAAAAATTTGGGGTGTTCGGGCTTCCTGAAGGTAATACCCGGGTATTAGGTTTTGGGGCTAGGATTAGGTTTAAGGTTTTTGGCGTTAGTGTTAAAATCACCGTCTAAAACCTTTGTAGGAACTCTTTTCAGACCTTTTGGAGTTAGTTAGACCAAAAAAAAAAAAAAAATGAAAAAAAAATATTTGGGGTCTTCGGGCTTCCTGAAGGAAATACCCAGGTATTAGGTTATGGGGCTAGGGTAAGGTTTAAGGTTTTTGGCGTTAGGGTTAAAATCACTGTCCAAAACCTTTGTAGGAACTCTTTTCCAACCTTTTGGAGTTAGTTAGACAAAAAAAATGTAAAATGAAAAAAATATATTTGGGGTGTTCAAGCTTCCTGAAGGTAATACCCGGGTATTAGGTTTTGGGGCTAGGGTAAGGTTTAAGGTTTTTGGTGTTAGGGTTAAAATCACTGTCCAAAACCTTTTTAGGAACATGTTTCAGACCTTTTGGAGTAGGTTACACCAAAAAAAAATGTAAAATGAAAAGAAAATATTTGGGGTGTTCAAGCTTCCTGAAGGTAATACCCGGGTATTAGGTTATGGGGCTATAGTAAGGTTTAAGGTTTTTGGCGTTAGGGTTAAAATCACTGTCCAAAACCTTTGTAGGAACTATTTTCCAACCTTTTGGAGTTAGTTAGACCAAAAAAAAACGAAAAATGAAAAAAAATATTTGGGGTTTTCGGGCTTACTGAAGGTAATACCCGGGTATTAGGTTTTGGGGCTAGGGTTAGGTTTAAGGTTTTTGGCGTCAGGGTTAAAATCACTGTCCAATATTTTTTAAGGAACATCTTTCAGACCTCTGGGAGTTAGACAAAAAAAAAGAAAAAGAAAAAAAAAATTGGGGTGTTCGGGCTTCCTGAAGGTAATACCCGGGTATTAGGTTTTGGGGCTAGGGTTAGGTTTAAGGTTTTTGGCGTTAGGGTTAAAATCACTGTCCAAAACCTTTGTAGGAACTCTTTTCCAACCTTTGGGAATTAGTTAGACAAAAAAAAAAAGATAAATGAAAAAAAAATATTTGGGGTGTTCGGGCTTCCTGAAGGTAATACTTTGTATTACCTTTGTAGGAAGTCTTTTCCAACCTTTTGGAGTTAGTCTTTTGTAGGAAGTCTTTTCCAACCTTTTGGAGTTAGTTAGACAAAAAAAAAAAAGATAAATGAAAAAAAAATATTTGGGGTGTTCGGGCTTCCTGAAGGTAATACCCGGGTATTAGGTTATGGGGCTAGGGTAAGGTTCAAGGTTTTTGGCGTAAGGGTTAAAATCACTGTCCAAAACCTTTTTAGGAACATGTTTCAGACCTTTTGGAGTTGGTTACACCAAAAGAAATGTAAAATGAAAAAAAAATTTTTTTGGGTGTTCGGGCTTCCTGAAGGTAATACTTTGTATTACCTTTGTAGGAAGTCTTTTCCAACCTTTTGGAGTTAGTCTTTTGTAGGAAGTCTTTTCCAACCTTTTGGAGTTAGTTAGACAAAAAAAAAAAGATAAATGAAAAAAAAATATTTGGGGTGTTCGGGCTTCCTGAAGGTAATACCCGGGTATTAGGTTATGGGGCTAGGGTAAGGTTTAAGGTTTTTGGCGTAAGGGTTAAAATCACTGTCCAAAACCTTTTTAGGAACATGTTTCAGACCTTTTGGAGTTGGTTACACCAAAAAAAATGTAAAATGAAAAAAAAAATTTTTTGGGTGTTCGGGCTTCCTGAAGGTAATACTAGGTTTCTGGGCTAGGGTAATGTTTAAGGTTTTTGGTGTTAGGGTTAAAATCAATGTCCAAAACCTTTGTAGGAACTCTTTTCCAACCTTTGAGAGCAAGTTAGACCAAAAAAAAAAGAAAAATAAAAAATATATATTTGGGGTGTTCGGGCTTCCTGAAGGTAATACCCGGGTATTAGGTTTTGGGGCTAGAGTTAGGTTTAAGGTTTTTGGCGTTAGGGTTAAAGTAACTGTCCAATATTTTTTAAGGAACATGTTTCAGACCTTTGGGAGTTAGTTAGACAAAAAAAAAAGAAAAAGAAAAAAAAATATTTGGGGTGTTCGGGTTTCATGAAGGTAATACCCGGGTATTAGGTTATGGGGCTAGGGTAAGGTTTAAGGTTTTTGGCGTTAGAGTTAAAATCAGTGTCCAAAACCTTTTAAGGAACATGTTTAAGACCTTTTGGAGTTGGTTACACCAAAAAAAATGTAAAATGAAAAAAAAAATATGTGGGGTGTTCGGGCTTCCTGAAGGTAATACCCGGGTATTAGGTTTTGGGGCTAGGGTAAGGTTTAAGGTTTTTGGTGTTAGGGTTAAAATCACTGTCCAAAACCTTTGTAGGAACTCTTTTCCAACCTTTTGGAGTTAGTTAGACCAAAAAAAAAAAAAAAATGAAAAAAATATATTTGGGGTCTTCGGGCTTCCTGAAGGTAATACCCGGGTATTAGGTTATGGGGCTAGGGTAAGGTTTAAGGTTTTTCAGCGTGAGGGTAAAAATCACTGTCCAAAACCTTTGTAGGAACTCTTTTCCAACCTTTGGGAATTAGTTAGACAAAAAAAATAAGATAAATGAAAAAAAAATTTTTGGGGTGTTCGGGCTTCCTGAACGTAATACCCGGGTATTAGGTTTTGGGGCTAGGGTAAGGTTTAAGGTTTTTGGTGTTAGGGTTAAAATAACTGTCCAAAACCTTTTTAGGAACATGTTTCAGACCTTTTGGAGTTGATAACACCAAAAAAAAATGTAAAATAAAAAAAAAATATTTGGGGTGTTCAAGCTTGCTGAAGGTAATACCCGGGTATTAGGTTTTGGGGCTAGGGTAAGGTTTAAGGTTTTTGGCGTTAGGGTTAAAATCACTGTCCAAAACCTTTTTAGGAACATGTTTCAGACCTTTTGGAGTAGGTTACACCAAAAAAAAATGTGCAATGAAAAAAAAATATTTGGGGTGTTCAAGCTTCCTGAAGGTAATACCAAGGTATTAGGTTATGGGGCTATAGTAAGGTTTCAGGTTTTTGGCGTTAGGGTTAAAATCACTGTCCAAAACCTTTGTAGAAACTATTTTCCAACCTTTTGGAGCAAGTTAGACCAAAAAAAAAACGAAAAATGAAAAAAAATATTTGGGGTGTTCGGGCTTCCTGAAGGTAATACCCGGGTATTAGGTTATGGGGCTAGGGTAAGGTTTAAGGTTTTTTGGCGTGAGGGTAAAAATCACTGTCCAAAACCTTTGTAGGAACTCTTTTCCAACCTTTGGGAATAAGTTAGACAAAAAAAATAAGATAAATGAAAAAAAAATATTTGGGGTGTTCGGGCTTCCTGAAGGTAATACCCGGGTATTAGGTTTTGGGGCTAGGGTTAGGTTTAAGGTTTTTGGCGTTAAGGTTAAAATAACTGTCCAATATTTTTTAAGGAACATGTTTCAGACCTTTGGGAGTTAGTTAGACAAAACAAAAAGAAAAAGAAAAAAATATATATTTGGGGTGTTCGGGTTTCCTGAAGGTAATACCCGGGTATTAGGTTATGGGGCTATAGTAAGGTTTAAGGTTTTTGGCGTTAGAGTTAAAATCAGTGTCCAAAACCTTTTTAGGAACATGTTAAAGACCTTTTGGAGTTGGTTACACCAAAAAAAAATGTAAAATGAAAAAAAAAAAATATTTGGGGTGTTCGGGCTTCCTGAAGGTAATACCCGTATATTAGGTTTTGGAGCTAGGGTAAGGTTTAAGGTTTTTGGTGTTAGGGTTAAAATAACTGTCCAAAACCTTTGTAGGAACTCTTTTCCAACCTTTTGGAGTTGGTTGCACCAAAAAAAAATGTAAAATAAAAAAAAAATATTTGGGGTGTTCAAGCTTGCTGAAGGTAATACCCGGGTATTAGGTTTTGGGGCTAGGGTAAGGTTTAAGGTTTTTGGCGTTAGGGTTAAAATCACTGTCCAAAACCTTTTTAGGAACATGTTTCAGACCTTTTGGAGTAGGTTACACCAAAAAAAAATGTGCAATGAAAAAAAAATATTTGGGGTGTTCAAGCTTCCTGAAGGTAATACCAAGGTATTAGGTTATGGGGCTATAGTAAGGTTTCAGGTTTTTGGCGTTAGGGTTAAAATCACTGTCCAAAACCTTTGTAGAAACTATTTTCCAACCTTTTGGAGCAAGTTAGACCAAAAAAAAAACGAAAAATGAAAAAAAATATTTGGGGTGTTCGGGCTTCCTGAAGGTAATACCCGGGTATTAGGTTATGGGGCTAGGGTAAGGTTTAAGGTTTTTTGGCGTGAGGGTAAAAATCACTGTCCAAAACCTTTGTAGGAACTCTTTTCCAACCTTTGGGAATAAGTTAGACAAAAAAAATAAGATAAATGAAAAAAAAATATTTGGGGTGTTCGGGCTTCCTGAAGGTAATACCCGGGTATTAGGTTTTGGGGCTAGGGTTAGGTTTAAGGTTTTTGGCGTTAAGGTTAAAATAACTGTCCAATATTTTTTAAGGAACATGTTTCAGACCTTTGGGAGTTAGTTAGACAAAACAAAAAGAAAAAGAAAAAAATATATATTTGGGGTGTTCGGGTTTCCTGAAGGTAATACCCGGGTATTAGGTTATGGGGCTATAGTAAGGTTTAAGGTTTTTGGCGTTAGAGTTAAAATCAGTGTCCAAAACCTTTTTAGGAACATGTTAAAGACCTTTTGGAGTTGGTTACACCAAAAAAAAATGTAAAATGAAAAAAAAAAAATATTTGGGGTGTTCGGGCTTCCTGAAGGTAATACCCGTATATTAGGTTTTGGAGCTAGGGTAAGGTTTAAGGTTTTTGGTGTTAGGGTTAAAATCACTGTCCAAAACCTTTGTAGGAACTCTTTTCCAACCTTTTGGAGTTGGTTGCACCAAAAAAAATGTAAAATGAAAAAGAATTTTTTTTGGGTGTTCGGGCTTCCTGAAGGTAATACTAGGTTTCTGGGCTAGGGTAATGTTTTAGGTTTTTGGCGTTAGGGTTAAAATCAATGTCCAAAACCTTTGTAGGAACTCTTTTCCAACCTTTGAGAGCAAGTTAGACCAAAACAAAAAGAAAAATAAAAAATATATATTTGGGGTGTTCGGGCTTCCTGAAGGTAATACCCGGGTATTAGGTTATGGGGCTAGGGTAAGGTTTAAGGTTTTTTGGCGTGAGGGTAAAAATCACTGTCCAAAACCTTTGTAGGAACTCTTTTCCAACCTTTGGGAATAAGTTAGACAAAAAAAATAAGATAAATGAAAAAAAACATATTTGGGGTGTTCGGGCTTCCTGAAGGTAATACCCGGGTATTAGGTTTTGGGGCTAGGGTTAGGTTTAAGGTTTTTGGCGTTAGGGTTAAAATAACTGTCCAATATTTTTTAAGGAACATGTTTCAGACCTTTGGGAGTTAGTTAGACAAAAAAAAAGAAAAAGAAAAAAATATTTATTTGGGGTGTTCGGGTTTCCTGAAGGTAATACCCGGGTATTAGGTTATGGGGCTATAGTAAGGTTTAAGGTTTTTGGCGTTAGGGTTAAAATCACTGTCCAAAACCTTTGTAGGAACTATTTTCCAACCTTTTGGAGTTAGTTAGACCAAAAAAAAACGAAAAATGAAAAAAAATATTTGGGGTGTTCGGGCTTCCTGAAGGTAATACCAAGGTATTAGGTTATGGGGCTAGGGTAAGGTTTAAGGTTTTTGGCGTGAGGGTTAAAATCACTGTCCAAAACCTTTTTAGGAACATGTTTCAGACCTTTTGGAGTTGGTTACACCAAAAAAAATGTAAAATGAAAAAGAATTTTTTTTGGGTGTTCGGGCTTCCTGAAGGTAATACTAGGTTTCTGGGCTAGGGTAATGTTTTAGGTTTTTGGCATTAGGGTTAAAATCAATGTCCAAAACCTTTGTAGGAACTCTTTTCCAACCTTTGAGAGCAAGTTAGACCAAAACAAAAAGAAAAATAAAAAATAAAAAATATATATTTGGGGTGTTCGGGCTTCCTGAAGGTAATACCCGGGTATTAGGTTATGGGGCTAGGGTAAGGTTTAAGGTTTTTTGGCGTGAGGGTAAAAATCACTGTCCAAAACCTTTGTAGGAACTCTTTTCCAACCTTTGGGAATAAGTTAGACAAAAAAAATAAGATAAATGAAAAAAAAATATTTGGGGTGTTCGGGCTTCCTGAAGGTAATACCCGGGTATTAGGTTATGGGGCTAGGGTAAGGTTTAAGGTTTTTCGGCGTGAGGGTAAAAATCACTGTCCAAAACCTTTGTAGGAACTCTTTTCCAACCTTTGGGAATAAGTTAGACAAAAAAAATAAGTTAATGAAAAAAAAATATTTGGGGTGTTCGGGCTTCCTGAAGGTAATACCCGGGTATTAGGTTTTGGGGCTAGGAATAGGTTTAAGGTTTTTGGCGTTAGGGTTAAAATAACTGTCCAATATTTTTTAAGGAACATGTTTCAGACCTTTGGGAGTTAGTTAGACAAAAAAAAAGAAAAAGAAAAAAATATATATTTGGGGTGTTCGGGTTTCCTGAAGGTAATACCCGGGTATTAGGTTTTGGGGCTAGGGTAAGGTTTAAGGTTTTTGGTGTTAGGGTTAAAATCAATGTCCAAAACCTTTGTAGGAACTCTTTTCCAACCTTTGAGAGCAAGTTAGACCAAAACAAAAAGAAAAATAAAAAATATATATTTGGGGTGTTCGGGCTTCCTGAAGGTAATACCCGGGTATTGGGTTATGGGGCTAGGGTAAGGTTTAAGGTTTTTGGCGTTAGGGTTAAAATCACTGTCCAAAACCTTTTTAGGAACATGTTTCAGACCTTTTGGAGTTGGTTACACCAAAAAAAAATGTAAAATGAAAAGAAAATATTTGGGGTGTTCAAGCTTCCTGAAGGTAATACCCGAGTATTAGGTTATGGGGCTATAGTAAGGTTTAAGTTTTTTGGCGTTAGGGTTAAAATCACTGTCCAAAACCTTTTTAGGAACTATTTTCCAACCTTTTGGAGTTAGTTAGACCAAAAAAAAAATGAAAAATGAAAAAAAATATTTGGGGTTTTTGGGTTACTGAAGGTAATACCCGGGTATTAGGTTTTGGGGCTAGGGTTAGGTTTAAGGTTTTTGGCGTTAGGGTTAAAATAACTGTCCAATATTTTTTAAGGAACATGTTTCAGACCTTTGGGAGTTAGTTAGACAAAAAAAAAAGAAAAAGAAAAAAAAATATTTGGGGTGTTCGGGTTTCCTGAAGGTAATAACCGGGTATTAGGTTATGGGGCTAGGGTAAGGTTTAAGGTTTTTGGCGTTAGAGTTAAAATCAGTGTCCAAAACCTTTTAAGGAACATGTTTAAGACCTTTTGGAGTTGGTTGCACCCAAAAAAAAATGTAAAATGAAAAAAAAAATATGTGGGGTGTTCGGGCTTCCTGAAGGTAATACCCGGGTATTAGGTTTTGGGGCTAGGGTAAGGTTTAAGGTTTTTGGTGTTAGGGTTAAAATCACTGTCCAAAACCTTTGTAGGAACTCTTTTCCAACCTTTTGGAGTTAGTTAGACCAAAAAAAAAAAAAAATGAAAAAAATATATTTGGGGTCTTCGGGCTTCCTGAAGGAAATACTCAGGTATTAGGTTATGGGGCTAGGGTAAGGTTTAAGGTTTTTGGCGTTAGGGTTAAAATCAATGTCCAAAACCTTTGTAGGAACTCTTTTCCAACCTTTGAGAGCAAGTTAGACCAAAACAAAAAGAAAAATAAAAAATATATATTTGGGGTGTTCGGGCTTCCTGAAGGTAATACCCGGGTATTAGGTTATGGGGCTAGGGTAAGGTTTAAGGTTTTTCAGCGTGAGGGTAAAAATCACTGTCCAAAACCTTTGTAGGAACTCTTTTCCAACCTTTGGGAATTAGTTAGACAAAAAAATTAAGATAAATGAAAAAAAAATTTTTGGGGTGTTCGGGCTTCCTGAAGGTAATACCCGGGTATTAGGTTTTTGGGCTAGGGTAAGGTTTAAGGTTTTTGGTGTTAGGGTTAAAATAACTGTCCAAAACCTTTGTAGGAACTCTTTTCCAACCTTTTGGAGTTAGTTAGACCAAAAAGAAAAAAAAAAGAAAAAAATATATTTGGGGTCTTCGGGCTTCCTGAAGGAAATACCCAGGTATTAGGTTTTGGGGTTAGGGTAAGGTTTAAGGTTTTTGGCGTTAGGGTTAAAATCACTGTCCAAAACCTTTTTAGGAACATGTTTCAGACCTTTTGGAGTTGGTAACACCAAAAAAAAATGTAAAATAAAAAAAAATATTTGGGGTGTTCAAGCTTGCTGAAGGTAATACCAAGGTATTAGGTTATGGGGCTATAGTAAGGTTTAAGGTTTTTGGCGTTAGGGTTAAAATCACTGTCCAAAACCTTTGTAGGAACTATTTTCCAACCTTTTGGAGTTAGTTAGACCAAAAAAAAACGAAAAATGAAAAAAAATATTTGGGGTGTTCGGGCTTCCTGAAGGTAATACCAAGGTATTAGGTTATGGGGCTAGGGTAAGGTTTAAGGTTTTTGGCGTTAGGGTTAAAATCACTGTCCAAAACCTTTTTAGGAACATGTTTCAGACCTTTTGGAGTTGGTTACACCAAAAAAAATGTAAAATGAAAAAGAATTTTTTTTGGGTGTTCGGGCTTCCTGAAGGTAATACTAGGTTTCTGGGCTAGGGTAATGTTTTAGGTTTTTGGCGTTAAGGTTAAAATCAATGTCCAAAACCTTTGTAGGAACTCTTTTCCAACCTTTGAGAGCAAGTTAGACCAAAACAAAAAGAAAAATAAAAAATATATATTTGGGGTGTTCGGGCTTCCTGAAGGTAATACCCGGGTATTAGGTTATGGGGCTAGGGTAAGGTTTAAGGTTTTTTGGCGTGAGGGTAAAAATCACTGTCCAAAACCTTTGTAGGAACTCTTTTCCAACATTTGGGAATAAGTTAGACAAAAAAAATAAGATAAATGAAAAAAAACATATTTGGGGTGTTCGGGCTTCCTGAAGGTAATACCCGGGTATTAGGTTTTGGGGCTAGGGTTAGGTTTAAGGTTTTTGGCGTTAGGGTTAAAATAACTGTCCAATATTTTTTAAGGAACATGTTTCAGACCTTTGGGAGTTAGTTAGACAAAAAAAAAAGAAAAAGAAAAAAATATTTATTTGGGGTGTTCGGGTTTCCTGAAGGTAATACCCGGGTATTAGGTTATGGGGCTATAGTAAGGTTTAAGGTTTTTGGCGTTAGGGTTAAAATCACTGTCCAAAACCTTTGTAGGAACTATTTTCCAACCTTTTGGAGTTAGTTAGACCAAAAAAAAACGAAAAATGAAAAAAAATATTTGGGGTGTTCGGGCTTCCTGAAGGTAATACCAAGGTATTAGGTTATGGGGCTAGGGTAAGGTTTAAGGTTTTTGGCGTGAGGGTTAAAATCACTGTCCAAAACCTTTTTAGGAACATGTTTCAGACCTTTTGGAGTTGGTTACACCAAAAAAAATGTAAAATGAAAAAGAATTTTTTTTGGGTGTTCGGGCTTCCTGAAGGTAATACTAGGTTTCTGGGCTAGGGTAATGTTTTAGGTTTTTGGCATTAGGGTTAAAATCAATGTCCAAAACCTTTGTAGGAACTCTTTTCCAACCTTTGAGAGCAAGTTAAACCAAAACAAAAAGAAAAATAAAAAATAAAAAATATATATTTGGGGTGTTCGGGCTTCCTGAAGGTAATACCCGGGTATTGGGTAATGGGGCTAGGGTAAGGTTTAAGGTTTTTTGGCGTGAGGGTAAAAATCACTGTCCAAAACCTTTGTAGGAACTCTTTTCCAACCTTTGGGAATAAGTTAGACAAAAAAAATAAGATAAATGAAAAAAAAATATTTGGGGTGTTCGGGCTTCCTGAAGGTAATACCCGGGTATTAGGTTATGGGGCTAGGGTAAGGTTTAAGGTTTTTCGGCGTGAGGGTAAAAATCACTGTCCAAAACCTTTGTAGGAACTATTTTCCAACCTTTGGGAATAAGTTAGACAAAAAAAATAAGTTAATGAAAAAAAAATATTTGGGGTGTTCGGGCTTCCTGAAGGTAATACCCGGGTATTAGGTTTTGGGGCTAGGAATAGGTTTAAGGTTTTTGGCGTTAGGGTTAAAATCACTGTCCAAAACCTTTTTAGGAACATGTTTCAGACCTTTTGGAGTTGGTTACACCAAAAAAAAATGTAAAATGAAAAGAAAATATTTGGGGTGTTCAAGCTTCCTGAAGGTAATACCCGAGTATTAGGTTATGGGGCTATAGTAAGGTTTAAGTTTTTTGGCGTTAGGGTTAAAATCACTGTCCAAAACCTTTTTAGGAACTATTTTCCAACCTTTTGGAGTTAGTTAGACCAAAAAAAAAATGAAAAATGAAAAAAAATATTTGGGGTTTTTGGGTTACTGAAGGTAATACCCGGGTATTAGGTTTTGGGGCTAGGGTTAGGTTTAAGGTTTTTGGCGTTAGGGTTAAAATAACTGTCCAATATTTTTTAAGGAACATGTTTCAGACCTTTGGGAGTTAGTTAGACAAAAAAAAAAGAAAAAGAAAAAAAAATATTTGGGGTGTTCGGGTTTCCTGAAGGTAATACCCGGGTATTAGGTTATGGGGCTAGGGTAAGGTTTAAGGTTTTTGGCGTTAGAGTTAAAATCAGTGTCCAAAACCTTTTAAGGAACATGTTTAAGACCTTTTGGAGTTGGTTGCACCCAAAAAAAAATGTAAAATGAAAAAAAAAATATGTGGGGTGTTCGGGCTTCCTGAAGGTAATACCCGGGTATTAGGTTTTGTGGCTAGGGTAAGGTTTAAAGTTTTTGGTGTTAGGGTTAAAATCACTGTCCAAAACCTTTGTAGGAACTCTTTTCCAACCTTTTGGAGTTAGTTAGACCAAAAAAAAAAAAAATGAAAAAAATATATTTGGGGTCTTCGGGCTTCCTGAAGGAAATACCCAGGTATTAGGTTATGGGGCTAGGGTAAGGTTTAAGGTTTTTGGCGTTAGGGTTAAAATCAATGTCCAAAACCTTTGTAGGAACTCTTTTCCAACCTTTGAGAGCAAGTTAGACCAAAACAAAAAGAAAAATAAAAAATATATATTTGGGGTGTTCGGGCTTCCTGAAGGTAATACCCGGGTATTAGGTTATGGGGCTAGGGTAAGGTTTAAGGTTTTTCAGCGTGAGGGTAAAAATCACTGTCCAAAACCTTTGTAGGAACTCTTTTCCAACCTTTGGGAATTAGTTAGACAAAAAAAATAAGATAAATGAAAAAAAAATTTTTGGGGTGTTCGGGCTTCCTGAAGGTAATACCCGGGTATTAGGTTTTGGGGCTAGGGTAAGGTTTAAGGTTTTTGGTGTTAGGGTTAAAATAACTGTCCAAAACCTTTGTAGGAACTATTTTCCAACCTTTTGGAGTTAGTTAGACCAAAAAAAAAAAAAAAAGAAAAAAATATATTTGGGGTCTTCGGGCTTCCTGAAGGAAATACCCAGGTATTAGGTTTTGGGGTTAGGGTAAGGTTTAAGGTTTTTGGCGTTAGGGTTAAAATCACTGTCCAAAACCTTTTTAGGAACATGTTTCAGACCTTTTGGAGTTGGTAACACCAAAAAAAAATGTAAAATAAAAAAAAATATTTGGGGTGTTCAAGCTTGCTGAAGGTAATACCCGGGTATTAGGTTTTGGGGCTAGGGTAAGGTTTAAGGTTTTTGGTGTTAGGGTTAAAATCACTGTCCAAAACCTTTTTAGAAACATGTTTCAGACCTTTTGGAGTAGGTTACACCAAAAAAAAATGTAAAATGAAAAAAAAATATTTGGGGTGTTCAAGCTTCCTGAAGGTAATACCAAGGTATTAGGTTATGGGGCTATAGTAAGGTTTAAGGTTTTTGGCGTTAGGGTTAAAATCACTGTCCAAAACCTTTGTAGGAACTATTTTCCAACCTTTTGGAGTTAGTTAGACCAAAAAAAAAACGAAAAATGAAAAAAAATATTTGGGGTGTTCGGGCTTCCTGAAGGTAATACCAAGGTATTAGGTTATGGGGCTAGGGTAAGGTTTAAGGTTTTTGGCGTTAGGGTTAAAATCACTGTCCAAAACCTTTTTAGGAACATGTTTCAGACCTTTTGGAGTTGGTTACACCAAAAAAAATGTAAAATGAAAAAGAATTTTTTTTGGGTGTTCGGGCTTCCTGAAGGTAATACTAGGTTTCTGGGCTAGGGTAATGTTTTAGGTTTTTGGCATTAGGGTTAAAATCAATGTCCAAAACCTTTGTAGGAACTCTTTTCCAACCTTTGAGAGCAAGTTAGACCAAAACAAAAAGAAAAATAAAAAATAAAAAATATATATTTGGGGTGTTCGGGCTTCCTGAAGGTAATACCCGGGTATTATGTAATGGGGCTAGGGTAAGGTTTAAGGTTTTTTGGCGTGAGGGTAAAAATCACTGTCCAAAACCTTTGTAGGAACTCTTTTCCAACCTTTGGGAATAAGTTAGACAAAAAAAATAAGATAAATGAAAAAAAAATATTTGGGGTGTTCGGGCTTCCTGAAGGTAATACCCGGGTATTAGGTTATGGGGCTAGGGTAAGGTTTAAGGTTTTTCGGCGTGAGGGTAAAAATCACTGTCCAAAACCTTTGTAGGAACTCTTTTCCAACCTTTGGGAATAAGTTAGACAAAAAAAATAAGTTAATGAAAAAAAAATATTTGGGGTGTTCGGGCTTCCTGAAGGTAATACCCGGGTATTAGGTTTTGAGGCTAGGATTAGGTTTAAGGTTTTTGGCGTTAGTGTTAAAATCACCGTCCAAAACCTTTGTAGGAACTCTTTTCAGACCTTTTGGAGTTAGTTAGACCAAAAAAAAAAAAAAATGAAAAAAATATATTTGGGGTCTCCGGGCTTCCTGAAGGAAATACCCAGGTATTAGGTTATGGGGCTAGGGTAAGGTTTAAGGTTTTTGGTGTTAGGGTTAAAATCACTGTCCAAAACCTTTGTAGGAACTCTTTTCCAACCTTTTGGAGTTAGTTAGACCAAAAAAAAAAAAAAAATGAAAGAAATATATTTGGGGTCTTCGGGCTTCCTGAAGGAAATACCCAGGTATTAGGTTATGGGGTGTGGGAACTCATATATCATACCAATCATTTAGTCATTGTTTCAGGTAATTAACTGTTTTCTTATTGTGTTTACATTATTTTGTGTGCTCATTGCGGACATGTACTGATGAGTCAGATTAGAAGGTTTAATGCTAACACGGGGGCAATTGACCACTGTGTCACAATGTATAGAACAGAGACTTTCAGTATAGAAGGATTTTAGCTTATGCCTAGAAGTGCCAAGGGTTGGTAAGTATGGTTTTAAACTGTTCTGCCTTAACAGTCATTTATTAAAAAGTGTGCTTTATAATCATCACAGCCATTCACTAAAAGTGTTCCTTATAAAAGTGCTCTAGGGCCCTGACATATGCCTTAGATAATGATGTGCCTTTCATAAACAGATGTGCAGGTGCTAGTCAGAGATGTGGACAACAGGACGAGGGAGGAAGATCACTCTGTCCTGGGAAGATGGGGAGGTGTAAAGGGGGGTTTGCATGCCCAGCAGTCTGCCCAGTGGGAACTCAGTGAAAGCTTGGAATACATGACGCAAATATGATAAAGGGAGACGGGCGCTGGATGCATCCAAGGTCAACTTCCCTGAAACCACGGTTTCGGTCAGGTATAAAAAAATAGAACAATACGTGCTTGTTTGTCCATAGAGAAACACTGGGGGCTGCTGGTTAGGTAAACTCTCCGCCCAAAAAGATGATGAGACGCCTCCTAGGGTATAAATATTAACTACTGAAAAATAGTAATCAGACCACCTCAGAGATACCATTGGGTTGATGTTGTGCTCTCCAAGATATCTTGTGTTATTTGATGTGCCGAAATAAAAGGTTTGTTGAAGACACCTTTTTGCCTCAGTGAATCCTCTGTTCCAGTCTCCATCAACGGACTCGGGGAAGTTTGAATTAACTTCAACAATTTTGGGGGCTCGTCCGGGATGGAGTTCTGACAGAGCTTTTGAATTGGAGAAAACTGTTCAGTGCATCAGAGGAAAAGAGATCTGGTCGACCACAAAATAAGGTAAGCAGAAAACCTTTTTAACAGAATTTCTGCCTATTTGTGTTACTCTAAATCAAAGATCTCTTGAACTCTGTATATACTGAATCCTAAATTTATTACGAGGCTCATGATATTGTACTGGTACATCTTGTGATATTCTGTGTTCTGACAAAGAGAGTAACTATGTGTGAAATGAAAAGTTAAACTTAAGAGAAGCCTGTGTGAAGGCCGCGTAAAGAGTCATAAGGACCACCGCTCTGGGTTGTGGCGGACCCCCCTAGTGGCTCGAGGGCGCTAGTTGAGCTGGGTTGCAAACCCCGGGGACTTGGAGCCCCCGAAAAGAAGTGTGTGTTATTGTTGAATTCTGTGCGAGGTGATATGCCGCACAGAAAAATTCAGTAGAGACTGAGTTTCTCTCTGCTGTGTGATTGTTGAATTCTGTGCGAGGTGATATGCCGCACAGAAAAATTCAGTAGAGACTGAGTTTCTCTCTGCTGTGTGATTGTTGAATTCTGTGCGAGGTGATATGCCGCACAGAAAAATTCAGTAGAGACTGAGTTTCTCTCTGCTGTGTGATTGTTGAATTCTGTGCGAGGTGATATGCCGCACAGAAAAATTCAGTAGAGACTGAGTTTCTCTCTGCTGTGTGATTGTTGAATTCTGTGCGAGGTGATATGCCGCACAGAAAAATTCAGTAGAGACTGAGTTTCTCTCTGCTGTGTGATTGTTGAATTCTGTGCGAGGTGATATGCCGCACAGAAAAATTCAGTAGAGACTGAGTTTCTCTCTGCTGTGTGATTGTTGAATTCTGTGCGAGGTGATATGCCGCACAGAAAAATTCAGTGGAGACTGAGTTTCTCTCTGCTGCGTTATTGTTGAATTCTGTGCGAGGTGATATGCCGCACAGAAAGATTCAGTGGAGACTGACTTTCTCTCTGCTGCGTGATTGTTAAAATTAGTGCGAGGTGATATGCCGCACAGAAAGATTCAGTGGAGACTGACTTTCTCTCTGCTGCGTGATTGTTAAAATTAGTGCGAGGAGCTGTGCCGTACAGAAAAAGTTCAGTGGAGAATAACTTTCTCTCTGCTGTGTGACATTATTGAAGCCTGTGCGTGAATTGTGACTGTTTTGACCACATATATGCTGAAAATTGAACTTGTCTCAAAGTGGTGTCTTGGAGAAAACCTCACACAAAGTGTCTCAGTACTGCACTGAAAGGGTCAGTTGCTCGGAACGAACGTGTCATACAAACTGACCGGCTTTGTGAAGGCCTCCAATAAGGCTGGTTGCCCGAAACGGAAGTGTCATACAAACCAGCCGGCCATTAAAGAGACGTTGCTGTTGTTGGGATGGATGGTGAATTTGATCGTGAGGTAGATGATGATGGGTGGGGCCCGTTATCTCTACAGGCAGAGTGGATCTTAAAGGGCATAGGGAAAGAAGATGGAGTTGTGGTGACAGCGAAAGGGAGGGAAAAGTATGCTGATATGCTGCAAGAGCTTATCGAAGGGAGAGAAAATGAAAGATCCTCACTAGGAGATCTCATCTGGGCACGTGGGAAAGAAGAGCTAGCAAAAGGAGATGCAGCAAGGAAGAAAGCAGCGCTAGGCAGCATTTTGCTCCGCAGAAAATATAAACAGGCCGTAAAAAAGCATTTTAGAAGACTTGCTAGGTGGCAGACGTTGGGAGTAGCCCACAGAGGGACAGAGCATCTTACTAATGTAAAAAAGGCAGCTGAGAAAGGTTTGACAGGGATTACCCCCACCCCAAATACAGACATGAGATTATTCAAATCAGCACACACACACAGTAAGACACAGAAGGACACACCCACCAACACAAAGGGTGCCACCCCAGCTCCGCCTCCACCAGCTACCCCTCCCTCTATCCTGCCTCCTCCCACCGCTGAACGAACGAATCCTTTCTCAGGTCTCCACCCCTCAGCTCCGCCTCCCACAGCTCCGCCTCCCAAAGCTCCGCCTCGACCCCCACCTTACCACTCCGCTCAGTCTGGTTTTCACAGAAAAAAACTCTCACCCACTAATCCTTTTGTGAGCACTTCTCTCTACCCAGTGATCAACATCAATGAAGGACATCTGAAGATTGACATACCCCCCACCATGATGCCTCAACAGCCGGACCCCTCCCTGACTTCTCACATTCCTGGACACAAGGCACCATCCATGGCCTCTAGGACTTCTGGTACCACCACCATCGACCTCTCAGACTACGAGGACAGAGAAGGCAACAATACCTACAGAGACATGGATGAAGACAGCGACTCTGAAGCCGAGGACAGCGAGGAGGAGGAAGAGGAGGACCAGCTCGATGCACCATTCGGAGACCGTCAGGCCCGCTTTTTGAGTGAGTTTAAAAAAGAATTACAATTTAAATCTTTGCCCACACCAGATTCACTGCCCGCTCCTGAGCCACAGCAGAGATCCACCCCCAGGGGACAGGTTAAGACGGTGATACCGTCCCCGAACAGAGGCTCACAGAGTCCACAGAGTTTGCCCTGCACAGCCCAACTCACGGTAAGAGGTACATATGACCCCAATCCTACCAAGAGCACTCTCAATAAAATACTGCAAGACACCCTAGATTTTACAGGTGCAGAGCTCATGCGCAGCAGAGTGGAGGAGGAACTCAGACAGGAAGTGAGAGACGAAATGCTCAGCACCATGAGAGATGAGATGCAGAAGACCACCAGAGGCTCCACCGTCAACTATACGGATAACACGGACGCCAGTGAAGCCATGGCCCGACCCACTGCCACCCTGGAGGAACAGCAGCGTATGACGAACGAAAAAAGGGTGAGTGCACCTCTCAGCCACCATCACTTCACACGCTCAAAAGCCATGTTACCTCCAGCATATCCAAACGCAGCTACAGCACACCACAGCTCCTCCGCTTTCCCTCTGGTTGAATCCAGTGGTGGACACAAAATCTATAAACCATTCGCTGTTAGCGATACACAAACCATCAGTGATAAGCTGCCCCCCATCTCTGAGGGAGGCAACTTATGGCTGGACAAATTGGACTGCCTGACTAAAGGCCAAGATCTAGCCCTCGGCGATTTCAGGGCTATTCTCGCGCTCTGTGTCACCCCTACCGAACTCAGGGACATCGAAACCTGTGCAGGCACCATTTCCTGCAATGATGACAGGCAGCTAGTCACAGTAATTAGGGCTCTGCGTAACGAGCTCCGTTCCAAATACCCGCTTCCCAACGGTCCAATGATCCCCAAGTTCTCATGGGACAAAAGTCTCTCTCCTAGCGAGTATCTAGCCCAGTGCAAGGAACAATGGTCCAAATACACGGGGGTTCACCCCAGTAAGGGCCAGGAACATTGGTTTAGAGATGCTGTAATTAAAGGTGTTCCAGCAGACGTTAGAGAACACTTGGAAAACAGCCCAGACCTTCCGGGCTCAACCTGCCTGGTGTGGGAATGACATCTCAAACACCACCTACAGAGAGCGAAAGACAGAGCTGACAAAGAAGGTGATGATGACAAAGACATGCAGAGACAACTTATGAAGCTGCAGCTCACCCAGGCTCGGAGAAATATCACTGAGGGTAAGAAAGATCGTAATACAGATAAAATTATGATTGCCGCTGCCTCTAACGACCCACAGATTTCACCTGACATGTACCCAGTGCCCCAGCGGGCAGATTGTTCTCCCTATTCTCCTCCCACAGATCAATCTCAGGGTTCGTGTGGCGGAGGACGTGGAGCGAGGTCTGGTGGACCCTACAGGGGAGGAGGTTTCCAGGGCAGCAGGAGATTTCGTAACAATGGCCCTCCCCGCCAGGGCGGTTACTGGAATCAGGCACAAACAGCACCTACACGCAACAACGCCTGCCACTCCTGCGGCATGAATGGACACTGGTGGCGTGAATGTCCGAACTATCCACCAAACCCTCCGCAGCAACACAGCTACCCGATGCGTGGCATGGCCCGTGGACCACCTCCGCTGAGACAGGGAGGACCACCCCCACAACAGCAGCAGCAGGCCCACCAGTTTCCAGTCGCAGTCACTGCCTGGGACCAGACCTGGGAGGCTCAGGACGCCTACCAGTATCCTCAATGACACGCCCCACAGAGCGACTCGGACAGCGGGGTAACGGCAGAGCCCATGCTGTCCATGACGGTCCGGGACCACGCTCTGCCCTTTCTCGTTGACACAGGGGCTACCAGATCTACGGTTAATCAGGACATTGGGCCTCTGTCTGGACGGACGATGAGCGTGGTGGGTTTCTCTGGGGTAAGTCAGATTCTGTCATTTACCATCCCCCTCCCCACACACGTAGCGGGACAGAAATTACAACACCCCTATCTAGTGTCTCCCAGTGTTCCAGTCAATCTCCTGGGTAGGGACCTACTCTCGAGACTCAATGCACAGATCCTCTGCGGTCAGCAGGGCCTCACTGTCACGTTCCCGGATGGGACTGAAGTTCTATGTGCACAAGGGATTGGGGACACACACCAGTACCTCCTCAGAGACACTGAACCTAGATTTGCAGACATTTTCTGGGCCCTGTTGGAGCCATCACAAACTGGGCTCTACTCATGTTATCTCCATTGGAAACCCTGGATCCTCAGCGTCCACCCCTACATGGCTCCACCTGACCCGCTCCATCTGACTCTGTTCTACGACCGGGAGGGTAATGAATGTTACCTAGAGGAATTCCAAAATCAGCTAGAAGGTAAGACCTGGCAGCTACATTCTGGTGACATTTTGGTGGGACAACAGGGGGTTGCGGCAATGGTTAATCTCACAAGAGAGCAACAGTCCTGGTATAATATGTCTGAGACTGCTTTCCCCCACATTTCGCTGGCTCTCCATCCGGGACATGAGGCTCGCGAATTGGGCCCCATGGTCAAAGCAGCAGTCTTAGCCTCAGACTGGTCTTCCTCCGGCCTGCCTGGCGTGCTCCGCTCTCCGTCCCTGAAAATGTTCAGAATTGTGAGTACTACCACTGACTCTGCTTTATGCACACATGAACTCATACCTAGAGACCATGGTAGAGAAAAATCTGATCATCCAAAAGCACAGGAGCTTATCTCCTCCCTCCCAGTCTCATTGTGGGCCGAGGGTCCAACCGATGTCGGATTGATCCACTGTAAACCTATCTCATTCCAGCTGAATACTGACTCTCCGGTCTGGGTGCCACAGTACCCTCACAAAAGAGAGGCAGAATTGGGCATTCAGGACACCATAGAAGGCCTGTTAGACTCTGGTGTCCTCGAACCTTCCAACTCCTGCTGGAACACACCCATTCTACCAATTGAAAAGAAGGGCACCGGTCAGTACCGTATGGCCCATGACCTCAGAGCCATCAATCAGATTCTAGGGACCAATACGGTCCCGGTGCCAAACCCATATGTTGCTCTGAACAATCTGTCTCCCGAACAAGCATGGTTCACATGTATTGATCTTGCTAACGCTTTTTTCTGTCTCCCTTTACATGAGAACGTTCGGGACATCTTCTCGTTCACCTACCAGCGTCGCAGACTCCGTTACACCCGCCTCCCACAGGGATTTGCCCTCTCCCCTGGCATCTTTAACCAGGTTCTGAAAGAGAGTTTGGCTGACCTGCAGCTGCCCGATGGCACCACAGTGATTCAATATGTCGACGACCTGCTCATTGCGTCCACCACAGCCGAGTCCTGCCTGCAGGCCACACGGGCCCTGCTCCTACTCCTGGCCCGCCACGGGTTCAAGGTCAGTCAACCTAAGTTGCAAATCGCGCGGAAACAAGTTTCTTTCCTCGGCAGACTACTGTCACAAAAGGGGGCCTCATTGTCCCCCGCCCACCGCACATCCATTCTGCACCACACCAAGCCTGACACTGTCAAAGCTATGCTGTCGTTTCTCGGTCTGGTGGGTTACAGCAGGCAGTACATACCTGATTTTTCCACTCTCACATCTCCGCTGAGAGCCATGGTCACCTCTGCAGGTATGAGAAATCTGAATGCGAAGCTGACATGGTCCCGCAACTCGGAAGAAGCTTTTATCAAACTCAAACAAGAACTCGCTGCGTCCGCCGAATTGGCCCTCCCCGACTACGCGCGCCCGTTCTTTTTGGATGTTTCTGAAACAGAATCTGTTGCTAACGGTATTCTGTTCCAGAAAAAAGGGGAGAGAGAACGGTACTGATGTATCTCAGTGTCATCCTTGACCCCACAGAAAAACGTCAACCAACGTGCACAAGACATGCTGCAGGTGTTGCCAAACTCATCAACAAAAGCGCACACATAGTTATGGGACACACACTTCACATCTTGACATCACACAGCGTTGTAGCTTATGTGAACTCGCAAACTTTTACGATGTCCTCCACAAGACAGCAAAAACTCGCTCGCATTCTCGAAGCCCCAAACTTGCTATTCACTCATGAAGGTGTTAACATGGCTGAGCGTTTGGGGGAAGGTGTGTTGCATGAGTGTGCCCACAGGGTTGAAAAAGAAGAAAAAGCCAGAGAAGACCTCCAGACGGAACCCATCCCAGGGGCCAGAAACCTATACACAGACGGATGCTGCTACAGAGATGAGAAGGAGGGACTCAGAGCAGGATTCTCGGTGATAGAAGAAACACCAGACGGACTCAAGACGGTAACAGCACAAAAGCTCAATGGACCACAGTCAGCCCAGAGAGCAGAAGTCGTGGCAGTGATTGAAGCCCTGAAAGCAGGTAAAGACCAAGACATTAACATTTACACTGACTCAGCCTATGCAGTACACGCAGCACAAGTAGACCTAGGACAATGGATGAGAGCGGGCTACCTAACTGCAAAACAAGAACCCATTAAACACATGGATGAAATGAAAGAGCTTGCAAAAGCACTGTGGTTTCCCCAGAAGGTAGCCATCATCAAATGCAAAGGACACGACAACAGCAGATCCAGAGTTGCCATGGGCAACCAAGCAGCGGACTCCGCAGCCAAAGCAGCTGCAGGATATCATGAGAAGCTCCTGTTGGTAAGACCAGACACAGAGACACAAATGACAAAACTGTCCCTTACAGAAATCTCAAAAGAACAGGACCTAGCCTCACCTGAAGAGAAGACAGTGTGGAAACTCAGAGGCGCAGTCCTATCGGAAGGGACCTGGAGATCCCCAGATGGAAGGCTGGTTCTGCCACCTGGGCTCAAAGACAGTATCTTCTCAGAAGCACATGGAGTTGGCCATGCAGGCATCTCCCAGATGAAAGTGGACCTCAAAGAATGGTGGCACCCCTTCCTACATGACATGCTAAAGGAGTGGGTAAGACACTGCACTGTTTGCACACACCACAACACCAGACCTACATACAAACCCGGGGTGGGTAAGTTCCAACTAAAAACACGTCCAGGGAAAGAAATCATCATTGATTTTACAGATATGGTTAACTCAGTCCGAGGGTACAGGTATGTTTTGATGTGTGTTGATGCATTTACAGGATGGCCAGAAGCATGGCCAGTGAAAAGAGAGGACAGCAAATCAGTAGTTAAGTGTCTCATCAACCATTACATCCCACAGCATGGCTTCCCAGAAAAGATCAGGTCGGACAATGGGTCACACTTCAAGAACCAGGACCTCCAGTACGTGGAGGCCATGTTGGGACTTAAACATGGTTTTGGGTCCGTGTACCATCCTCAATCTCAGGGTAAGGTTGAGAGGATGAACCAGACAGTCAAGAACAGGCTGTCAAAGATTTGTGCCCACACAGGGCTGAACTGGGTGGATGCTCTACCGCTCGCCCTCATGTCCATCCGATCCTCAGTAAACAGGACAACTGGACACACCCCATTCGAGCTCGAACGTGGTCGACCTTTTCCAGGGCCAGAGCGAGCCCTGCAAAACACTGACCCTCCTCCCTCTCACATGCACCAGAAAGATTATTATGTACAACTGCAATCTGTTCTCTCTGAATTTGCTAAGCAGGTGCGAGACAGCAAAGACGGCACCAAAGACGGTGACCTACCCATCACTGACTGGGTCCTCCTTCGGGTCATCAAGAGAAAGTGGAGCGAGCCTAGGTGGACAGGACCATTTCAGGTGACCGAGAGAACCTCCCACGCAGTCCGGCTGGACGGGAAAGGTGACACCTGGTTCCACCTCACTCAGTGCGCCCCAGCTGTAACACCTCAACGCTCCCTGAAGGAAGTGCGGCAGGATCTTGCAGCAGCTGCAGCAGGAAACCAAACCAAAGAGCCACACACCTCCAGAAAAGACACAGGGCAGAATAATCCCTGCAACGAAAAAGGCACAGGGTAGTCTACCCCTGACCGCCTGAAGAAAGGAGACAACATCCTGCAGGACGTCGGCTGACAACTGCTCTAGTAGACAACGAAGCTACGCTGCAAAGACACAGGGCAGAATAATCCCTGCAACGTAAAGGGCACAGGGTAGTCTACCCCTGACCGCCTGAAGAAAGACGACAACATCCCGCAGGACGTCGGCTGACACCTGCTCCAGTAGACAACGACGTAACGCTGCCTGTCCGGGCGACCCCCACGGACGGCTCATCTGTCAGGTCGTGCAAGACAAGAAAATCTCTTACCTGTATGTTTCAAACTGTATGTTCCACACCCTTTTATTTCGGCATTTATCTGGTTATTAACTTACATTGTATTGCTCGATGTTCTTTTGTGGGTTGAATTTTGCAGAAACGAAATGAGGATCCCTCGTCTTAGAGTTGGCTCATGGCCATGGTTGATCGCTTTAGCCTTATTTAACATAGGTTTGCTGCTTATAATCTTAGGGCTGACTAGGGAGTTCCCACAGTTGCCTACAAACGCCACAGAACCTGATGCAACACACCTCTCACGTCCCATCCGCGGCTATGATGCTTATTTGGCCCACCCATCATTCTCTGTTAACGGTACAGCCCTGACCATTACTTGCGAATACTCTGGTCCAAACACTCCTGTGAAAGTTGGCCTCTCCCTCGGAGATGGCGACAATTGGCGACGAGCAGGGGGTTCCATACCCTATGATGTTTCTTACACGCCCCGGGGGGAGTGACAGCCAAAAAGGGGGTGTCAGTAGTGTCTGTCAATCTCACTCACTTAGAGGTCACGGTTCCCACTTACTTTAGATGTTGGCTTTGTAGATTCCATGTGTACCCCTCTGGCAATCAAAATACTCACGGTTGTTTTCCATCTCCTCCTCTAACCCCCAGCCCACAGCTTGATACTAACCTGTCCCTCAGTGTGGTAGACCCCGACCTGGATGCCGCCCTGCATGCGAACAAAAGTAATGTTTACCTAGTCATAGCGGAAGTACTGACGGTTAAATTTATACTCCTGGCACTGTTGATGCGCTAATTGAAGGTGATCTCTTTGAAGAGATCAAAAGGGGGAATTTGTGGGAACTCATATATCATACCAATCATTTAGTCATTGTTTCAGGTAATTAACTGTTTTCTTATTGTGTTTACATTATTTTGTGTGCTCATTGCGGACATGTACTGATGAGTCAGATTAGAAGGTTTAATGCTAACACGGGGGCAATTGACCACTGTGTCACAATGTATAGAACAGAGACTTTCAGTATAGAAGGATTTTAGCTTATGCCTAGAAGTGCCAAGGGTTGGTAAGTATGGTTTTAAACTGTTCTGCCTTAACAGTCATTTATTAAAAAGTGTGCTTTATAATCATCACAGCCATTCACTAAAAGTGTTCCTTATAAAAGTGCTCTAGGGCCCTGACATATGCCTTAGATAATGATGTGCCTTTCATAAACAGATGTGCAGGTGCTAGTCAGAGATGTGGACAACAGGACGAGGGAGGAAGATCACTCTGTCCTGGGAAGATGGGGAGGTGTAAAGGGGGGTTTGCATGCCCAGCAGTCTGCCCAGTGGGAACTCAGTGAAAGCTTGGAATACATGACGCAAATATGATAAAGGGAGACGGGCGCTGGATGCATCCAAGGTCAACTTCCCTGAAACCACGGTTTCGGTCAGGTATAAAAAAATAGAACAATACGTGCTTGTTTGTCCATAGAGAAACACTGGGGGCTGCTGGTTAGGTAAACTCTCCGCCCAAAAAGATGATGAGACGCCTCCTAGGGTATAAATATTAACTACTGAAAAATAGTAATCAGACCACCTCAGAGATACCATTGGGTTGATGTTGTGCTCTCCAAGATATCTTGTGTTATTTGATGTGCCGAAATAAAAGGTTTGTTGAAGACACCTTTTTGCCTCAGTGAATCCTCTGTTCCAGTCTCCATCAACGGACTCGGGGAAGTTTGAATTAACTTCAACAGGGGCTAGGGTAAGGTTTAAGGTTTTTGGCGTTAGGGTTAAAATCACTGTCCAAAACCTTTTTAGGAACATGTTTCAGACCTTTTGGAGGTGGTTACACCAAAAAAAAATGTAAAATGAAAAGAAAATATTTGGGGTGTTCAAGCTTCCTGAAGGTAATACCCGAGTATTAGGTTATGGGGCTATAGTAAGGTTTAAGGTTTTTGGCGTTAGGGTTAAAATCACTGTCCAAAACCTTTTTAGGAACTATTTTGCAACCTTTTGGAGTTAGTTAGACCAAAAAAAAAATGAAAAATGAAAAAAAATATTTGGGGTTTTTGGGTTACTGAAGGTAATACCCGGGTATTAGGTTTTGGGGCTAGGGTTAGGTTTAAGGTTTTTGGCGTAAGGGTTAAAATCACTGTCCAATATTTTTTAAGGAACATCTTTCAGACCTCTGGGAGTTAGTTAGACCAAAAAAAAAAGAAAAAGAAAAAAAAAATTTGGGGTGTTCGGGCTTCCTGAAGGTAATACCCGGGTATTAGGTTTTGGGGCTAGGATTAGGTTTAAGGTTTTTGGCGTTAGTGTTAAAATAACTGTCCAAAACCTTTGTAGGAACTCTTTTCAGACCTTTTGGAGTTAGTTAGACCAAAAAAAAAAAAAAAAAGAAAAAAATATATTTGGGGTCTTCGGGCTTCCTGAAGGACATACCCAGGTATTAGGTTATGGGGCTAGGGTAAGGTTTAAGGTTTTTGGCGTTAGGGTTAAAATCACTGTCCAAAACCTTTTTAGGAACATGTTTCAGACCTTTTGGAGTTGGTAACACCAAAAAAAAATGTAAAATGAAAAAAAAATATTTGGGGTGTTCAAGCTTCCTGAAGGTAATACCCGGGTATTAGGTTTTGGGGCTAGGGTAAGGTTTAAGGTTTTTGGTGTTAGGGTTAAAATCACTGTCCAAAACCTTTGTAGGAAGTCTTTTCCAACCTTTTGGAGTTAGTTAGACAAAAAAAAAAAGATAAATGAAAAAAAAATATTTGGGGTGTTCGGGCTTCCTGAAGGTAATACCCGGGTATTAGGTTATGGGGCTAGGGTTAGGTTTAAGGTTTTTGGCGTAAGGGTTAAAATCACTGTCCAATATTTTTTAAGGAACATCTTTCAGACCTTTGGGAGTTAGTTAGACAAAAAAAAATGTAAAATGAAAAAAAAATATTTGGGGTGTTCGGGCTTCCTGAAGGTAATACCCGGGTATTAGGTTTTGGGGCTAGGATTAGGTTTAAGGTTTTTGGCGTTAGTGTTAAAATCACCGTCCAAAACCTTTGTAGGAACTCTTTTCAGACCTTTTGGATTTAGTTAGACCAAAAAAAAAAAAAAAATGAAAAAAATATATTTGGGGTCTCCGGGCTTCCTGAAGGAAATACCCAGGTATTAGGTTATGGGGCTAGGGTAAGGTTTAAGGTTTTTGGCGTTAGGGTTAAAATCACTGTCCAAAACCTTTTTAGGAACATGTTTCAGACCTTTTGGAGTTGGTAACACCAAAAAAAAATGTAAAATGAAAAAAAAATATTTGGGGTGTTCGGGCTTCCTGAAGGAAATACCCGGGTATTAGGTTTTGGGGCTAGGGTAAGGTTTAAGGTTTTTGGCGTAAGGGTTAAAATCACTGTCCAATATTTTTTAAGGAACATGTTTCAGACCTTTTGGAGTTAGTTAGACAAAAAAAAAAAAAAAAAATGAAAAAAAAATATTTGGGGTGTTCGGGCTTCCTGAAGGTAATACCAAGGTATTAGGTTATGGGGCTAGGGAAGGGTTTAAGGTTTTTGGCGTAAGGGTTAAAATCACTGTCCAAAACCTTTTTAGGAACATGTTTAAGACCTTTTAGAGTTGGTTACACCAAAAAAAATGTAAAATGATAAAAAAATATTTGGGGTGTTCAAGCTTCCTGAACTTAATACTAGGTTTCTTGGCTAGGGTAATGTTTTAGGTTTTTGGCGTTAGGGTTAAAATCAATGTCCAAAACCTTTGTAGGAACTCTTTTCCAACCTTTGAGAGCAAGTTAGACCAAAACAAAAAGAAAAATAAAAAATATATATTTGGGGTGTTCGGGCTTCCTGAAGGTAATACCCGGGTATTAGGTTATGGGGCTAGGGTAAGGTTTAAGGTTTTTCGGCGTGAGGGTAAAAATCACTGTCCAAAACCTTTGTAGGAACTCTTTTCCAACCTTTGGGAATTAGTTAGACAAAAAAAATAAGATAAATGAAAAAAAAATTTTTGGGGTGTTCGGGCTTCCTGAAGGTAATACCCGGGTATTAGGTTTTGGGGCTAGGGTAAGGTTTAAGGTTTTTGGTGTTAGGGTTAAAATCACTGTCCAAAACCTTTGTAGGAACTCTTTTCCAACCTTTTGTAGTTATATAGACCAAAAAAAAAAAAAAAGAAAAAAATATAATTGGGGTCTTCGGGCTTCCTGAAGGAAATACCCAGGTATTAGGTTATGGGGCTAGGGTAAGGTTTAAGGTTTTTGGCGTTAGGGTTAAAATAACTGTCCAATATTTTTTAAGGAACATGTTTCAGACCTTTGGGAGTTAGTTAGACAAAAAAAAAAGAAAAAGAAAAAAAAATATTTGGGGTGTTCGGGTTTCCTGAAGGTAATACCCGGGTATTAGGTTATGGGGCTAGGGTAAGGTTTAAGGTTTTTGGCGTTAGAGTTAAAATCAGTGTCCAAAACCTTTTAAGGAACATGTTTAAGACCTTTTGGAGTTGGTTACACCCAAAAAAAATGTAAAATGAAAAAAAAAATATGTGGGGTGTTCGGGCTTCCTGAAGGTAATACCCGGGTATTAGGTTTTGGGGCTAGGGTAAGGTTTAAGGTTTTTGGTGTTAGGGTTAAAATCACTGTCCAAAACCTTTGTAGGAACTCTTTTCCAACCTTTTGGAGTTAGTTAGACCAAAAAAAAAAAAAAATCAAAAAAATATATTGGGGTCTTCGGGCTTCCTGAAGGAAATACCCAGGTATTAGGTTATGGGGCTAGGGTAAGGTTTAAGTTTTTTGGCGTTAGGGTTAAAATCAATGTCCAAAACCTTTGTAGGAACTCTTTTCCAACCTTTGAGAGCAAGTTAGACCAAAACAAAAAGAAAAATAAAAAATATATATTTGGGGTGTTCGGGCTTCCTGAAGGAAATACCCAGGTATTAGGTTATGGGGCTAGGGTAAGGTTTAAGGTTTTTCGGCGTGAGGGTAAAAATCACTGTCCAAAACCTTTGTAGGAACTCTTTTCCAACCTTTGGGAATTAGTTAGACAAAAAAAATAAGATAAATGAAAAAAAAACTTTTTGGGTGTTCGGGCTTCCTGAAGGTAATACCCGGGTATTAGGTTTTGGGGCTAGGGTAAGGTTTAAGGTTTTTGGTGTTAGGGTTAAAATCACTGTCCAAAACCTTTGTAGGAACTCTTCCAACCTTTTGGAGTTAGTTAGACCAAAAAAAAAGAAAAAAGAAAAAAATGTATTTGGGGTCTTCGGGCTTCCTGAAGGAAATACCCGGGTATTAGGTTATGGGGCTAGGGTAAGGTTTAAGGTTTTTGGCGTTAGGGTTAAAATCAATGTCCAAAACCTTTTTAGGAACATGTTTCAGACCTTTTGGAGTAGGTTACACCAAAAAAAAATGTAAAATGAAAAAAAAATATTTGGGGTGTTCAAGCTTCCTGAAGGTAATACCCGGGTATTAGGTTTTGGGGCTAGGGTAAGGTTTAAGGTTTTTGGTGTTAGGGTTAAAATCACTGTCCAAAACCTTTGTAGGAACTCTTTTCCAACCTTTTGGAGTTAGTTAGACCAAAAAAAAAAGAAAAAAGAAAAAAATATATTTGGGGTCTTCGGGCTTCCTGAAGGAAATACCCGGGTATTAGGTTATGGGGCTAGGGTAAGGTTTAAGGTTTTTTGGTGTTAGGGTTAAAATCAATGTCCAAAACCTTTTTAGGAACATGTTTCAGACCTTTTGGAGTAGGTTACACCAAAAAAAATGTAAAATGAAAAAAAAATATTTGGGGTGTTCAAGCTTCCTGAAGGTAATACCTGGGTATTAGGTTATGGGGCTATAGTAAGGTTTAAGGTTTTTGGCGTGAGTGTTAAAATCACTGTCCAAAACCTTTGTAGGACCTCTTTTCCAACCTTTTGGTGTTAGTTAGACCAAAAAAAAAACGAACAATGAAAAAAAAATATTTGGGGTGTTCGGGTTTCCTGAAGTTAATACCCGGGTATTAGGTTATGGGGCTAGGGTAAGGTTTAAGGTTTTAGGCGTTAGGGTTAAAATCACTGTCCAAAATTTTTTTAGGAACATGTTTAAGACCTTTTGGAGTTGGTTACACCAAAAAAAATGTAAAAAGAAAAAATATATATTTGGGTTCATATTTGGGTTTTTATTTCAAGTTCAACAATTGCAACAACCTCAAGTTCAAAAACCGCCACAAACTCAAGTTCAAAAACACCACAACCTCAAGTTCAAAAAACACCACAAACTCAAGTTCAAACACGACACAAACTGAAGTTCAACAAACACAAAAACTCGAGTTCAAAAACACCACAACCTCAAGTTCAAACACGACACAAACTCAAGTTCAACAAACACCACAAACTCAAGTTCAAAAACAACACAAACTCGAGTTCAAAAACACCACAAAATCAAGTTCAAACACGTCACAAACTCAAATTCAACAATTGCCACAACCTCAAGTTCAAAAACACCAAAAACTCAAGTTCAAAAACACCACAACCTCAAGTTCAAAAAACACCACAAACTGAAGTTCAAACACGACACAAACTCAAGTTCAACAAACACACAAACTCAAGTTCAACCAATACCCAATTATCAAGTTCAACAATTGCCAAAACTTCAAGTTCAGAAACACACAAACTCAAGTTAATCAAAAACCACAAACTCAAGTTCAACCAACACCTGATTCTCAAGTTTTTACAATTTCCACAACCTCAAGTTCAAAAACAACACAAACTCAAGTACAAAAAAAACATAAACTAAAGTTCAATCAAAGCACAAAATCAAGTTCAACAAAAACCACAAACTCAAGTTCAACCAACACCTGATTCTCAAGTTTTAACAATTTTCACAACCTCAAGTTCAAAAACCACCACAAACTCAAGTTCAAACACGCCACAATCTCAAGTTCAAACAAGCCACAAACTCAAGTTCAAAAACCTCCACAAACTCAATTCAAAAATACCACGACCTCAAGTTCAAACACAACACAAGCTGGAGTTCAACATACACCACAAACTCAAGTTCAACAAATGGCAAAGTTTTAAGTTCAACCGACACCCAAATCTCAAGTTTAACAATTGCAACAACCTCAAGTTCAAACACGCCACAAACTCAAGTTCAAAAACACCACAACCTCAAGTTCAAAAAACACCACAAACTCAAGTTCAAACACGACACAAACTGAAGTTCAACAAAGACAAAAACTCTAGTTCAAAAACAACACAACCTCAAGTTCAAACGACACAAACTCAAATTCCACAAACACCACGAACTCAAGTTAAAAAACACCACAAACTCAAGTTCAAAAACACCACAAAATCAAGTTCAAACACGTCACAAACTCAAGTTCAACAATTGCCACAACCTCAAGTTCAAAAACCGCCACAAACTCAAGTTAAAAAAAACACACAACCTCAAGTTCAAAAAACACCACAAACTCAAGTTCAAACACGACACAAACTGAAGTTCAACAAACACAAAGACTCGAGTTCAAAAACCCCACAAACTGAAGTTCAAACATGACACAAACTCAAGTTAAAAAAAAACACAAACTCAAGTTCAACCAATACCCAATTCTCAAGTTTAACAATTTCCACAACCTCAAGTTAAAAAAAAACCACAAACTCGAGTTCAAAAACACCACAAAATCATGTTTAAACACGTCACAAACTCAAGTTTAACAAATGCCACAAACTCAAGTTCAACAATTGCCACCAACTAAAGTTCACTAAAAACAACAGACTCAAGTTCAACAATTGCCAAAACCTCAAGTTCAGAAACAACAAACTCAAGTTAAAAAAACACACAAACTCAAGTTCAACAAACACCACAAACTCAAGTTCAAAAACACCAAAACCTCAAGCTCAAAAATGACAAAAACTCAAGTTCAACAAAAACCACAAACTCAAGCTAAAAAAAAACCACAAACTCAAGTTCAACCAACACCTGATTCTCAAGTTTTAACAATTTTCACAACCTCAAGTTCAAAAACCACCACAAACTCAAGTTCAAACACGCCACAATCTCAAGCTCAAAAACACCACAACCTCAAGCTCAAAAAACACCACAAACTCAAGTTCAAACACTACACAAACTCAAGTTCAAAAACAACACAAACTCAAGTTCAACCAATACCCAATTTTGGGGTTTAACAATTTCCATAACCTCAAGATCAACAAACACACAAACTCAATTTCAAAAATACCACAAACTCAAGTTCGAACACGACACAAACTCAAGTTCAACAAACACACAAACTCAACTTCAACCAACACCTGATTCTCAAGTTTAACAATTTCCACAACCTCAAGTTCAAAAACAACAGAAAACCAAGTTGAACCAACACCCGATTCTCAAGTTTAACAATTTCCACAAACTCAAGTTCAAAAACACAACAAACTCAAGTACAAAAATGACACAAACTAATGTTAAACAAACAGCTCAAACTCAAGTTCAACAAATGTCAAAGTTTTAAGTTCAACCAACACCAAAATCTCAATTTAACAATTGCAACAACCTCAAGTTCAAACACGCCACAAACTCAAGTTCAAAAACACCACAACCTCAAGTTCAAAAACACCATAAACTCAAGTTCAAACATGACACAAACAAAAGTTCAACAAACACCACAAATTCAAGTTCAACAAATGTCAAAATTTTAAGTTCAACCAACACCCAAAACTCAAGTTTCACAATTGCAACAACCTAAAGTTCAAAAACGCCACAAACTCAAGTTCAAACACCTCACAAACTCAAGTTCAACAAACACCACAAACTCAAGTTCAACCAACACCCAATCCTCAATTTTAACAATTTCCACAAACTGAAGTTCAACAAATGACAAACTTTTAAGTTCAACCAACACCCAAATCTCAATTTTAGAAATTGCCACAACCTAAACTTCAAAAGCAACACAAACTCAAGTTCAGAAACACCACAACCTCAAGCTCAAAAAACACCACAAACCGAAGTTCAAACACGACACAAACTCAAGTTCAACAAACACACAAACTCAATTTCAACCAATACCCAATTCTCAAGTTTAACAAATTCCACAACCTCAAGTTCAAAAACACCACAAACTCAAGTTCAACAAAAAACACAAACCCAAGTTCAACAAATGTCAAACTCAAGTTCAACAATTGCCACAAACTCAAGTTCAGAAACAACAAACTCAATTTAAAACACGACACAAACTCAAGTTTAACAAACACGCAAACTCAAATTCAAAAACACCACAAACTCGAGCTCAAACACGACACAAACTCAAGTTAAAAAAAACAAATACTCAAGTTCAATCAACACCTGATTCTCAAGTTTAACAAGTTCCACAACCTCAAGTTGAAAAATAACACAAACTCAAGTACAAAACACCACAAACTCAAGTTCAAAAACACCACAACCTCAAGCTTAAAAAACGCCACAAACTGAAGTTAAAACACAACACAATCTCTTGTTCAACAAACACACAAACTCAAGTTCAACCAATACCCAAATCTCAAGTTTCACAATTTCCAACACCTCAAGTTCAAAAAACACACAAACTCAAGTTTGAAAACACCACAAACTCAAGTTCAAACAAGACACAAACTTAAGTTCAACAAACACACAAACTCAAGTTCAACAAATGCCAAACTTTTAAGTTGAACCAACACCCAAATCTCAAGTTCAACAATTGCCACAACCTAGAGTTCAACAAACGCCACAAACTCAAGTTCAAACACGAAACAAACTCAAGTTCAAAAACACCACAAACTCAAGTTCAAACACAACACAAACTCAAGTTCAAAAACACCACAAACTCAAGTTCAACCACGATTCAAACTCAAGTTCAAAAACACACAAACTCAAGTTCAAAGACACCAAAAACTAAAGTTCAAAAAACACACAAACTCAAGTTTGAAAACACCACAAACTCAAGTTCAAACAAGACACAAACTTAAGTTCAACAAACACACAAACTCAAGTTCAACAAATGCCAAACTTTTAAGTTGAACCAACACCCAAATCTCAAGTTCAACAATTGCCACAACCTAGAGTTCAACAAACGCCACAAACTCAAGTTCAAACACGAAACAACCTCAAGTTCAAAAACACCACAAACTCAAGTTCAAAAACACAACACACCCTCAAGTTCAAAAACACCAAAAACCCAAGTTCAAAAACACCACAAACAAAGTTCAAACACGAAACAAACTCAAGTTCAAAAACACCACAAACTCAAGTTCAACAATTGCCACCAATTAAAGTTCACCAAAAACCACAGACTCAAGTTCAACAATTGCCACAAACTTAAGTTCAAAAAAATTAAGTTCAAAAAACACACAAATTCAAGTTCAACAAACAACACGAACTCAAGTTCAAACACAACACAAACTCAAGTTCAACCAACAACCAAATCTCAAGTTTAACAATTGCCACAACCTAGAGTTCAACAAACACACAAACTCAAGTTCAAAAAGACCACAAACTCAAGTTCAAACATGATACAAACTCAAGTTCAACAAACACACAAACTCAAATTCAAACAATACCCAATTCTCAAGTTTAACAAATTCCACACCCTCAAGTTCAAAAACACCAAAAACTCAAGTTCAAAAACACGACACAAACTCAAGTTCATACACGACACAAACTCAAGTTCAAACATAACACAAACTCAAGTTCAACAAACACACAAACTCAAGTTAAACAAACAAGAAACCTCAAGTTCAAAAACACCACAACCTCAAGATCAAACACGAAACAAACTCAAGTTCAATCAACACCCAAATCTCAAGTTTACGTTTTTCCACAACCTCAAGTTGAAAAATAACACAAACTCAAGTACAAAACACCACAAACTCAAGTTCAAAAACACCACAACCTCAAGTTCAAAAAACACTACAAACTGAAGTTAAAACACAACACAATCTCTTGTTCAACAAACACACAAACTCAAGTTCAACCAATACCCAATTCTCAAGTTTCACAATTTCCAACACCTCAAGTTCAAAAACACCACAAACTCAAGTTTGAAAACACCACAAACTCAAGTTCAAACAAGACACAAACTTAAGTTCAACAAACACAAACTCAAGTTCAACAAATGCCAAACTTTTAAGTTGAACCAACACCCAAATCTCAAGTTCAACAATTGCCACAACCTAGAGTTCAACAAACGCCACAAACTCAAGTGCAAACAAGAAACAAACTCAAGTTCAAAAACACCACAACCTCAAGTTCAAAAACACAACACACCCTCAATTTCGAAAACACCACAAAATCAAGTTCAACCACGATTCAAACTCAAGTTCAAAAACACCACAAACTCAAGTTCAAAGACACCAAAACTAAAGTTCAAAAAACACCACAAACTCAAGTTCAAACAAGACACAAACTTAAGTTCAACAAACACACAAACTTAAGTTCAACAAATGCCAAACTTTTAAGTTGAACCAACACCCAAATCTCAAGTTCAACAATTGCCACAACCTAGAGTTCAAAAACACCACAACCTCAAGTTCAAAAACACAACACACTCTCAAGTTCAAAAACACCACAAACTCAAGTTCAACCACGATTCAAACTCAAGTTCAAAAACACCACAAACTCAAGTTCAGACACCAAAAACTAAAGTTCAAAAAACACACAAACTCAAGTTTGAAAACACCACAAACTCAAGTTCAAACAAGACACAAACTTAAGTTCAACAAACACACAAACTCAAGTTCAACAAATGCCAAACTTTTAAGTTGAACCAACACCCAAATCTCAAGTTCAACAATTGCCACAACCTAGAGTTCAACAAACGCCACAAACTCAAGTTCAAACACGAAACAACCTCATGTTCAAAAACACCACAAACTCAAGTTCAAAAACACAACACACCCTCAAGTTCAAAAACACCAAAAACCCAAGTTCAAAAACACCACAAACAAAGTTCAAACACGAAACAAACTCAAGTTCAAAAACACCACAAACTCAAGTTCAACAATTGCCACCAATTAAAGTTCACCAAAAACCACAGACTCAAGTTCAACAATTGCCACAAACTCAAGTTCAAAAAAATTAAGTTAAAAAAACACACAAATTCAAGTTCAACAAACAACACGAACTCAAGTTCAAACACAACACAAACTCAAGTTCAACCAACAACCAAATCTCAAGTTTAACAATTGCCACAACCTAGAGTTCAACAAACACACAAACTCAAGTTCAAAAAGACCACAAACTCAAGTTCAAACATGATACAAACTCAAGTTCAACAAACACACAAACTCAAATTCAAACAATACCCAATTCTCAAGTTTAACAAATTCCACACCCTCAAGTTCAAAAACACCAAAAACTCAAGTTCAAAAACACGACACAAACTCAAGTTCATACACGACACAAACTCAAGTTCAAACATAACACAGACTCAAGTTCAACAAACACACAAACTCAAGTTAAACAAACAAGAAACCTCAAGTTCAAAAACACCACAACCTCAAGATCAAACACGAAACAAACTCAAGTTCAATCAACACCCAAATCTCAAGTTTACGTTTTTCCACAACCTCAAGTTGAAAAATAACACAAACTCAAGTACAAAACACCACAAACTCAAGTTCAAAAACACCACAACCTCAAGTTCAAAAAACACTACAAACTGAAGTTAAAACACAACACAATCTCTTGTTCAACAAACACACAAACTCAAGTTCAACCAATACCCAATTCTCAAGTTTCACAATTTCCAACACCTCAAGTTCAAAAACACCACAAACTCAAGTTTGAAAACACCACAAACTCAAGTTCAAACAAGACACAAACTTAAGTTCAACAAACACACAAACTCAAGTTCAACAAATGCCAAACTTTTAAGTTGAACCAACACCCAAATCTCAAGTTCAACAATTGCCACAACCTAGAGTTCAACAAACGCCACAAACTCAAGTTCAAACACGAAACAAACTCAAGTTCAAAAACACCACAACCTCAAGTTCAAAAACACAACACACCCTCAATTTCGAAAACACCACAAAATCAAGTTCAACCACGATTCAAACTCAAGTTCAAAAACACCACAAACTCAAGTTCAAAGACACCAAAACTAAAGTTCAAAAAACACCACAAACTCAAGTTCAAACAAGACACAAACTTAAGTTCAACAAACACACAAACTTAAGTTCAACAAATGCCAAACTTTTAAGTTGAACCAACACCCAAATCTCAAGTTCAACAATTGCCACAACCTAGAGTTCAACAAACGCCACAAACTCAAGTTCAAACACGAAACAAACTCAAGTTCAAAAACACCACAAACTCAAGTTCAAAAACACAACACACCCTCAAGTTCAAAAACACCAAAAACTCAAGTTCAAAAACACCACAAACAAAGTTCAAACACGAAACAAACTCAAGTTCAAAAACACCACAAACTCAAGTTCAACAATTGCCACCAATTAAAGTTCACCAAAAACCACAGACTCAAGTTCAACAATTGCCACAAACTCAAGTTCAAAAAAATTAAGTTCAAAAAACACACAAATTCAAGTTCAACAAACACGAACTCAAGTTCAAACACGACACAAACTCAAGTTCAACCAACAACCAAATCTCAAGTTTAACAATTGCCACAACCTAGAGTTCAACAAACGCCACAACTCAAGTTAAACAAACACACAAACTCAAGTTCAAAAAGACCACAAACTCAAGTTCAAACATGACACAAACTCAAGTTCAACAAACACACAAACTCAAATTCAACCAATACCCAATTCTCAAGTTAACAAATTCCACACCCTCAAGTTCAAAAACACCAAAAACTCAAGTTCAAAAACAAAACACACCCTCAAGTTCAAAAACACCAAAAACTCAAGTTCAAAAACACCACAAACAAAGTTCAAACACGAAACAAACTCAAGTTCAAAAACACCACAAACTCAAGTTCAACAATTGCCACCAATAAAAGTTCACCAAAAACCACAGACTCAAGTTCAACAATTGCCACAAACTCAAGTTCAAAAAAAATTAAGTTAAAAAAACACACAAATTCAAGTTCAAAAAACAACACGAACTCAAGTTCAAACACGACACAAACTCAAGTTCAACCAACAACCAAATCTCAAGTTTAACAATTGCCACAACCTAGATTTCACCAAACGCCACAACTCAAGTTCAACAAACACACAAACTCAAGTTCAAACATGACACAAACTCAAATTCAACAAACACACAAACTCAAATTCAACCAATACCCAATTCTCAAGTTTAACAAATTCCACACCCTCAAGTTCAAAAACACCAAAAACTCAAGTTCAAAACACAACACAAACTCAAGTTCATACACGACACAAACTCAAGTTCAAACATAACACAAACTCAAGTTCAACAAACACACAAACTCAAGTTAAAAAACACCACAAACTCAAGTTCAAACTCGACACAAACTCAAGTTCAACAAAAACACAAACTCAAGTTCAACCAATACCCAATTCTCAAGATTAACAAATTCCACACCCTCAAGTTCAAAAACACCACAACCTCAAGTTCAAAAACACCACAAACTCAAGTTCAGACACGACACAAACTCAAGTTCAACAAACGCCACAAACTCAATTTCAAACAAGACTTAAATTCAAGTTCAAAAACAACAGAAACTCAAGTTCAACAAACCCCACAAACTCAAGTTCAAACACGAAACAAACTCAAGTTCAAAAACACCACAAACTCAAGTTCAACCAAAACCCAATTCTCAAGTTTAACAAATTCCACACCCTCAAGTTAAAAAAGAACACAACTTCAAGTTCAAAAAACAACAGATACTCAAGTTAAAAAAACACACAAACTCAATTTCAAAAAACGCCACGAACTCAAGTTCAAACAAGAAACAAACTCAAGTTCAAAAAAACCACAAACACAAGTTCAACAAAAACCACAAACTAAATTTCCAACGTGATACAAACTCAAGTTCAACAAACACACTAACTGAAGTTCATCCAACACCTGATTCTCAAGTTTCAAAATTTCAACAAACTCAAGTTGAAAAACACCACAAACTCAAGTTCAAACACAACACAAAATCAAGTTAAACAACAACACAAACTCAAGTTAAAACACGACACAAACTCAAGTTCAAAAACACCACAAACTCAAGTTCAAACACAAACTCAAGTTCAACAAGCACACAAAAACAAGTTAAAAAACACCACAAACTCAAGTTCAAACTCGACACAAACTCAAGTTCAACAAACACACAAACTCAAGTTAAACCAATAGCCAATTCTGAAGTTTAACAAATTCCACACCCTCAAGTTCAAAAACACCAGAAAACTCAAGTTCAAAAACACCACAAACTCAAGTTCAGACACGACACAAACTCAAGTTCAACAAACACCACAGACTCAAGTTCAAACATGACACAAATTCAAGTTCAAAAACAACAGAAACTCAAGTTCAACAAACGCCACAAACTCAAGTTCAAACACAACACAAACTCAAGTTCAAAAATACTACAAACTCAAGTTCAAACACAACTCAAGTTCAACAAACACAAAATCAAGTTAAAAAACACCACAAACTCAAGTTCAAACTCGACACAAACTCAAGTTCAACAAAAACAAAAACTCAAGTTCAACCAAAACCCAATTCTCAAGATTAACAAATTCCACACCCTCAAGTTCAAAAACACCACAAACTCAAGTTCAACAAACGCCACAAACTCAAGTTCAAACACGACACAAATTCAAGTTCAAAAACAACAGAAACTCAAGTTCAACAAACACCACAAACTCAAGTTCAAAAACCCCACAAACTCAAGTTCAAACATAAACACAAAATCAAGTTAAACAAACACACAAACTCAGGTTAAAACACGACACAAACTCAAGTTCAAAAACACCACAAACTCAAGTTCAAACACGAAATCAAGTTCAAAAACACCACAAACTCAAGTTCAAAAACACCACAAACTCATGTTCAGACATGACACAAACTCAAGTTCAACAAACGCCACAAACTCAAGTTCAAACACGACACAAATTCAAGTTCAATAAATACAGAAACTCAAGTTCAAATAACACACAAAATCAAGTTAAAAAACACCACAAACTCAAGTTCAAACTCGACACAAACTCAAGTTAAACCAATACCCAATTCTCAAGTTTAACAAATTCCACACCCTCAAGTTCAAAAACACCACAAACTCAAGTTCAACAAACGCCACAAACTCAAGTTCAAACACGACACAAATTCAAGTTCAAAAACAACAGAAACTCAAGTTCAACAAACACCACAAACTCAAGTTCAAAAACCCCACAAACTCAAGTTCAAACATAAACACAAAATCAAGTTAAACAAACACACAAACTCAGGTTAAAACACGACACAAACTCAAGTTCAAAAACACCACAAACTCAAGTTCAAACACGAAATCAAGTTCAAAAACACCACAAACTCAAGTTCAAAAACACCACAAACTCATGTTCAGACATGACACAAACTCAAGTTCAACAAACGCCACAAACTCAAGTTCAAACACGACACAAATTCAAGTTCAAAAACAACAGAAACTCAAGTTCAAATAACACACAAAATCAAGTTAAAAAACACCACAAACTCAAGTTCAAACTCGACACAAACTCAAGTTAAACCAATACCCAATTCTCAAGTTTAACAAATTCCACACCCTCAAGTTCAAAAACACCAGAAAACTCAAGTTCAAAAACACCACAAACTCAAGTTCAGACACGACACAAAATCAAGTTAAACAACAACACAAACTCAAGTTAAAACACGACACAAACTCAAGTTCAAAAACACCACAAACTCAAGTTCAAACACAAACTCAAGTTCAACAAACACACAAAAACAAGTTAAAAAACACCACAAACTCAAGTTCAAACTCGACACAAACTCAAGTTCAACAAACACACAAACTCAAGTTCAACCAATACCCAATTCTGAAGTTTAACAAATTCCACACCCTCAAGTTCAAAAACACCAGAAAACTCAAGTTCAAAAACACCACAAACTCAAGTTCAGACACGACACAAACTCAAGTTCAATAAACACCACAAACTCAAGTTCAAACACAAACTCAAGTTCAACAAACACACAAAAACAAGTTAAAAAACACCACAAACTCAAGTTCAAACTCGACACAAACTCAAGTTCAACAAACACACAAACTCAAGTTAAACCAATACCCAATTCTGAAGTTTAACAAATTCCACACCCTCAAGTTCAAAAACACCAGAAAACTCAAGTTCAAAAACACCACAAACTCAAGTTCAGACACGACACAAACTCAAGTTCAACAAACACCACAAACTCAAGTTTAAACACGACAAAAAGTTCAAGTTCAAAAACAACAGAAACTCAAGTTCAACAAACGCCACAAACTCAAGTTCAAACACAACACAAACTCAAGTTAAACAAACACACAAACTCAAGTTAAAACACGACACAAACTCAAGTTCAAAAATACTACAAACTCAAGTTCAAACACAACTCAAGTTCAACAAACACAAAATCAAGTTAAAAAACACCACAAACTCAAGTTCAAACTCGACACAAACTCAAGTTCAACAAAAACACAAACTCAAGTTCAACCAAAACACAATTCTCAAGATTAACAAATTCCACACCCTCAAGTTCAAAAACACCACAAACTCAAGTTCAACAAACGCCACAAACTCAAGTTCAAACACGACACAAATTCAAGTTCAAAAACAACAGAAACTCAAGTTCAACAAACGCCACAAACTCAAGTTCAAAAACACCACAAACTCAAGTTCAAAAACCCCACAAACTCAAGTTCAAACATAAACACAAAATCAAGTTAAACAAACACACAAACTCAGGTTAAAACACGACACAAACTCAAGTTCAAAAACACCACAAACTCAAGTTCAAACAACAAATCAACTTCAAAAACACCACAAACTCAAGTTCAAAAACACCACAAACTCATGTTCATACATGACACAAACTCAAGTTCAACAAACGCCACAAACTCAAGTTCAAACACGACACAAATTCAAGTTCAAAAAATACAGAAACTCAAGTTCAAAAAACACACAAAATCAAGTTAAAAAACACCACAAACTCAAGTTCAAACTCGACACAAACTCAAGTTAAACCAATACCCAATTCTCAAGTTTAACAAATTCCACACCCTCAAGTTCAAAAACACCAGAAAACTCAAGTTCAAAAACACCACAAACTCAAGTTCAGACACGACACAAACTCAAGTTCAAAAACACCACAAACTCAAGTTCAAACACAAACTCAAGTTCAACAAACACACAAAATAAATTTAAAAAACACCATAAACTCAAGTTCAAACTCGACACAAACTCAAGTTCAACAAAACACAAACTCAAGTTCAACCAATACCCAATTCTCAAGATTAACAAATTCCACACCCTCAATTTCAAAAACACCTCAAACTCAAGTTCAACAGTCGCCACAAACTCAAGTTCAAACACGACACAAATTAAAGTTCAAAAAACGCCACAAACTCAAGTTCAAACACGACACAAATTCAAGTTCAAAAACAACAGAAACTCAAGTTCAACAAACGCCACAAACTCAAGTTCAAAAACACCACAAACACAAGTTCAAAAACCCCACAAACTCAAGTTCAAACATAAACACAAAATCAAGTTAAACAAACACACAAACTCGGGTTAAAACACGACACAAACTCAAGTTCAAAAACACCACAAACTCAAGTTCAAACACGAAATCAAGTTCAAAAACACCACAAACTCAAGTTCAAAAACACCACAAACTCATGTTCAGACATGACACAAACTCAAGTTCAACAAACGCCACAAACTCAAGTTCAAACACGACACAAATTCAAGTTCAAAAAATACAGAAACTCAAGTTCAAAAAACACACAAAATCAAGTTAAAAAACACCACAAACTCAAGTTCAAACTCGACACAAACTCAAGTTAAACCAATACCCAATTCTCAAGTTTAACAAATTCCACACCCTCAAGTTCAAAAACACCAGAAAACTCAAGTTCAAAAACACCACAAACTCAAGTTCAGACACGACACAAACTCAAGTTCAACAAACGCCACAAACTCAAGTTAAAACACGACACAAACTCAAGTTCAAAAACACCACAAACTCAAGTTCAAACACAAACTCAAGTTCAACAAACACACAAAATCAAGTTAAAAAACACCACAAACTCAAGTTCAAAGTCGACACAAACTCAAGTTCAACAAAAACACAAACTCAAGTTCAACCAATACCCAATTCTCAAGATTAACAAATTCCACACCCTCAATTTCAAAAACACCACAAACTCAAGTTCAACAGTCGCCACAAACTCAAGTTCAAACACGACACAAATTCAAGTTCAAAAACAACAGAAACTCAAGTTCAACAAACGGAACAAACTCAAGTTCAACAAACACACAAACTCAAGTTCAACCAATACCAAATTTTCAAGTTTAACAATTTCTAACAACCTCAAGTTCAAAAACACCACAAACTCAAGTTAAAAAAAACCATAAACTCAAGTTCAAACACGACACAAACTCAAGTTCAACAAACACACAAACTCAATTTCAACCAATACCCAATTCTCAAGTTTAACAAATTCCACAACCTCAAGTTCAAAAACACCACAAACTCAAGTTCAACAAAAACCACAAACCCAAGTTCAACAAATGTCAAACTCAAGTTCAACAATTGCCACAAACTCAAGTTCAGAAACAACAAACTCAAGTTAAAAAAAAACACAAACTCAAGTTTAACAAACACGCAAACTCAAATTCATAAACACCACAAACTCGAGCTCAAACACGACACAAACTCAAGTTCAACAAAAACCACACTCAAGTTCAACAAATGTCAAACTTTTAAGTTCAACCAACACCCAATTCTCAATTTTACGCCATAAACTCATGTTCAACAATTGCAACCAACTAAAGTTCACTAAAAACCACAGACTCAAGTTCAACAATTGCCAAAACCTCAAGTTCAGAAACAACAAACTCAAGATCAAAAAACACGCAAACTCAAATTCAAAAGCACCACAATTTCGAGCTCAAACACGACACAAACTCAAGTTAAAAAAAAAATACTCAAGTTCAATCAACACCTCATTCTCAAGTTTAACAAGTTCCACAACCTCAAGTTGAAAAATGACACAAACTCAAGTACAAAACACCACAAACGCAAGTTCAAAAACACCACAACCTCAAGCTTAAAAAACAGCACAAACTGAAGTTAAAACACAACACAATCTCTTGTTCAACAAACACACAAACTCAAGTTCAACCAATACCCATTTCTCAAGTTTCACAATTTCCAACACCTCAAGTTAAAAATCACCACAAACTCAAGTTCAAACACGATTCAAACTCAAGTTCAAAAACACCACAAACGCAAGTTCAAAAACACCACAACCTCAAGCTTAAAAAACAGCACAAACTGAAGTTAAAACACAACACAATATCTTGTTCAACAAACACACAAACTCAAGTTCAACCAATACCCATTTCTCAAGTTTCACAATTTCCAACACCTCAAGTTAAAAATCACCACAAACTCAAGTTCAAACACGATTCAAACTCAAGTTCAAAATCACCACAAACTCAAGTTCAAACACGATTCAAACTCAAGTTCAAAAAACACACAAACTCAAGTTCAAACAAGACACAAACTTAAGTTCAACAAACACACAAACTCATGTTCAACAAATGCCAAACTTTTAAGTTGAACCAACACCCAAATCTCAAGTTCAACAATTGCCACAACCTAGAGTTCAACAAACGCCACAAACTCAAGTTCAAACACGAAACAAACTCAAGTTCAAAAACACCACAAACTCAAGTTCAAAAACACAACACACCCTCAAGTTCAAAAACATCAAAAACTCAAGTTCAAAAACACCACAAACAAAGTTCAAACCCGAAACAAACTCAAGTTCAAAAACACCACAAACTCAAGTTCAACAATTGCCACCAATTAAAGTTCACCAAAAACCACAGACTCAAGTTCAACAATTGCCACAAACTCAAGTTCAAAAAAATTAAGTTCAAAAAACACACAAATTCAAGTTCAACAAACAACACGAACTCAAGTTCAAACACGACACAAACTCAAGTTCAACCAACAACCAAATCTCAAGTTTAACAATTGCCAAAACCTAGAGTTCAAAAAAATGCCACAACTCAAGTTCAACAAACACACAAACTCAAGTTCAAAAAGACCACAAACTCAAGTTCAAACATGACACAAACTCAATTTCAACAAACACACAAACTCAAATTCAACCAATACCCAATTCTCAAGTTTAACAAATTCCACACCCTCAAGTTCAAAAACACCAAAAACTCAAGTTCAAAAACACGACACAAACTCAAGTTCATACACGACACAAACTCAAGTTCGAACATAACACAAACTCAAGTTCAACTAACACACAAACTCAAGTTCAAACACGACACAAACTCAAGTTCAAAAACAACAGAAACTCAAGTTCAACAAACGCCAAAAACTCAAGTTCTAACACGGACAAACTCAAGTTCAAAAACACCACAAACTCAAGTTCAACCAAAACCAGATTCTCAACTTTAAAAAATTTCACACCCTCAAGTTAAAAATAAACACAACTTCAAGTTCAAAAACACCACAAACTCAGGTTCAAACACTACACAAACCCAATTTAAAAACACAAAAAACGCAAGTTCAACCAATACCCAATTCTTAAGTTTAACAATTTCCTCAACCTCAAGTTCAAGACCACCAAAAACTCAAGTTCAAAAACAACACAAACTCAAGTTAAACAAACACACAAACTCAAGTTCATAAACACCACAAACTCAAGTTCAAACACACCACAAACTCAAGTTCAAAAATCAAACAAACTCAAGTTCAACCAACACCCGATTATAAGGTTTAACAATTTCCACAACCTCAAGTTCAAAAAAACAGAAACTCAAGTTCAAAAAAACACGAAAACTCAAGTTCACCAAACATGCAAATTCAAGTTAAAAAAAACCATAAACTCAAGTTCAAACACAACACAAAATCAAGATCAAAAACACAAAAAAATCAGTTCAACCAATACCCAATTCTCAAGTTTAACAATTTCCACAACCTCAAGTTCAAAAACACCACAAACTCAAGTTCAAAAACACCATAAACTCAAGTTCAAACACAACACAAAATCAAGATCAAAAACACAAAAAAATCAGTTCAACCAATACCCAATTCTCAAGTTTAACAACTTCCACAAGCTCAATTTCAAAACCACCAAAAATTCAAGTTCAAAAACACCAAAAACTCAAGTTCAAACATGAAACAAACTCAAGTTAAAAAAAACACAAACTGAAGTTCCAACACAACACAAACTCAAGTTCAACAAACACTAACTCAAGTTCATCCAACACCTGATTCTCAAGTTAAACAATTTCCACAAACTCAAGTTCAGAAAAACCCCACAAACTCAAGTTCAACCAATACCAAATTGTCAAGTTAAACAAATTCCACACCCTCAAGTTTAAACACGACACAAACTCAAGTCCAAAAACACCACAACCTCAAGTTCATAAACACAAACTCAAGTTCAAAAACACCAAAAGCTAAAGTTCAAACATGACACAAACTCAAGTTCAACAAACACACAAACTCAAGTTCAACCAACACCTGATTCATAGGTTTAACAATTTCCAATACCTCAAGTTCAAAAACAACAGAAACTCAAGTTCAAAAAAACACGAAAACTCAAGGTCACCAAACATGCAAATTCAAGTTAAAAAAAACCCATAAACTCAAGTTCAAACACAACACAAAATCAAGATCAAAAACACAAAAAAATCAAGTTCAACCAATACCCAATTCTCAAGTTTAACAATTTCCACAACCTCAAGTTCAAAAACACCAAAAATCAAGTTCAAACACTACACAAACCCAATTTAAAAACACAAAAAACGCAAGTTCAACCAATACCCAATTCTTAAGTTTAACAATTTCCTCAACCTCAAGTTCAAGACCACCAAAAACTCAAGTTCAAAAACAACAGAAACTCAAGTTCAAAAACACCACAAACTCAGGTTCAAACACTACACAAACCCAATTTAAAAACACAAAAAACGCAAGTTCAACCAATACCCAATTCTTAAGTTTAACAATTTCCTCAACCTCAAGTTCAAGACCACCAAAAACTCAAGTTCAAAAACAACACAAACTCAAGTTAAACAAACACACAAACTCAAGTTCATAAACACCACAAACTCAAGTTCAAACACACCACAAACTCAAGTTCAAACACACCACAAACTCAAGTTCAAAAAACAAACAAACTCAAGTTCAACCAACACCCGATTATAAGGTTTAACAATTTCCACAACCTCAAGTTCAAAAAAACAGAAACTCAAGTTCAAAAAAACACGAAAACTCAAGTTCACCAAACATGCAAATTCAAGTTAAAAAAACCCATAAACTCAAGTTCAAACACAACACAAAATCAAGATCAAAAACACAAAAAAATCAAGTTCAACCAATACCCAATTCTCAAGTTTAACAATTTCCACAACCTCAAGTTCAAAAACACCACAAACTCAAGTTCAAAAACACCATAAACTCAAGTTCAAACACGACACAAACTCAAGTTCAAAAACACAAAAAACTCAAGTTCAACCAATACCCAATTCTCAAGTTTAACAACTTCCACAAGCTCAATTTCAAAACCACCAAAAATTCAAGTTCAAAAACACCAAAAACTCAAGTTCAAACATGAAACAAACTCAAGTTAAAAAAAAACACAAACTCAAGTTCAAACACAACACAAACTCAAGTTCAACAAGCACACAAACTCAAGATCAAAAACACCAAAAACTTAAGTTCCAACACAACACAAACTCAAGTTCAACAAACACTAACTCAAGTTCATCCAACACCTGATTCTCAAGTTAAACAATTTCCACAAACTCAAGTTCAGAAAAACCCCACAAACTCAAGTTCAACCAATACCAAATTGTCAAGTTAAACAAATTCCACACCCTCAAGTTTAAACACAACACAAACTCAAGTCCAAAAACACCACAACCTCAAGTTCAAACACACAAACTCAAGTTCAAAAACACCAAAAGCTAAAGTTCAAACATGACACAAACTCAAGTTCAACAAACACACAAACTCAAGTTCAACCAACACCTGATTCAAAGGTTTAACAATTTCCAATACCTCAAGTTCAAAAACAACAGAAACTCAAGTTCAAAAACACCACAAACTCAAGTTCAAACACAACACAAACTCTAGTTAAAAAACACAAAAAAATCAAGTTCAACCAATACCCAATTCTCAAGTTTAACAATTTCCACAACCTCAAGTTCAAAAACACCAAAAATCAAGTTCAAAAACACCACAAACTCAGGTTCAAACACTACACAAACCCAATTTAAAAACACAAAAAACGCAAGTTCAACCAATACCCAATTCTTAAGTTTAACAATTTCCTCAACCTCAAGTTCAAGACCACCAAAAACTCAAGTTCAAAAACAACACAAACTCAAGTTAAACAAACACACAAACTCAAGTTCATAAACACCACAAACTCAAGTTCAAACACACCACAAACTCAAGTTCAAAAAACAAACAAACTCAAGTTCAACCAACACTCGATTATAAGGTTTAACAATTTCCACAACCTCAAGTTCAAAAAAACAGAAACTCAAGTTCAAAAAAACACGAAAACTCAAGGTCACCAAACATGCAAATTCAAGTTAAAAAAAACCCATAAACTCAAGTTCAAACACAACACAAAATCAAGATCAAAAACACAAAAAAATCAGTTCAACCAATACCCAATTCTCAAGTTTAACAATTTCTACAACCTCAAGTTCAAAAACACCACAAACTCAAGTTCAAAAACACCATAAACTCAAGTTCAAACACGACACAAACTCAAGTTCAAAAACACAAAAAACTCAAGTTCAACCAATACCCAATTCTCAAGTTTAACAACTTCCACAAGCTCAATTTCAAAATCACCAAAAATTCAAGTTCAAAAACACCAAAAACTCAAGTTCAAACATGACACAAACTCAAGTTCAACAAACACACAAACTCAAGTTCAACCAACACCTGATTCAAAGGTTTAACAATTTCCAATACCTCAAGTTCAAAAACAACAGAAACTCAAGTTCAAAAACACCACAAACTCAAGTTCAAACACGACACAAACTCTAGTTAAAAA